GACTTCAACTACGTTAACTTCTTCCAGACCTACTTTTCTGATATTCTGTTACTAGGTTCATTGTACCTGCAGGCTGTTATGCTAGTGTGTTGTAGAGGCATCTTTTATCTTTTCTAGCATACTCCTCACCCTCTTTGTTAAGTGCGCTGTAGATTACACTCACTTTCTGCTTCCATTGTTCATCTTTGCACTGGTTCACCTTCGGTCTCAACACTCTTCTCTTCTTAGTCACCCTACAGAATTCTGTAGAGAGTCACTCTTTTTCCTGTTTCTTCTTTGTGCCTAGTGTGTCTATACAGGCTTTCTCATCGGTAGCTTTCTAAGAGTCCCAGTGTTCTTCTGCGCAGATTTCCTCAGCAATATTGTTTAATGTCTCTAAATTTTACCTGATAACAGCAGTGATGATGTCTTTGTAGTCATGTCCTTCAGTTTTTAGGTGTGGAATTTGAATTGTGGTTTATCATCAGTTGCTTTGGAGGCTTTCAACTTCACCTTGAATGTTTCTTCAGCTAGAAAATGGTCTGAGCCCACATCTGCTCCCCTTCTCTATTTTGTTTTCAGAAGGCCGTGTCTCCACTTTCTTGAGATTAAAACGAAGTCTATTTGACTTGCCTGTGTGGTAAAACCCATGTCGCCTTATATGTATCATTGTGCTTGTAAAGGTTTCTCCGTTAATTTCTCTTTAATTTCGACACTTGATCAGTGCTCTTCCTTTGTTATTTTGTGTATCCACTTAGGCCTCCTAGTCACTCACCAGAATTTTGATGTTGCCATCTAACCGAGGTCTTGGCAATTACTGTCTGAAGTTGTCTGTAGAAGTCTTCTTTATTCTCCTGTAGCTTTCTCTCTTTCTGATTTGAATCTTATTGTCATTATCAAGAAGAGGACTGATTCCCACTGTATGAGAGCCTTTGATGCTGTTGGTGATATTATGATAGCCGCTTCCTCAGTATACTTGTGGTTTTCATCTGGTTGACCGGGTAGATTATTGACCCTCCGGTTAACAACTTGGATATTCCAGTTTTATTTCACCTCCTCTCGCAGATTCTGAAATTAGTGTTAGCCAAGAACAGATGGTTATGTGAGCGGGATTATATAAGAAAATTGCTACTGTCAATATAAGTGTCCATAGACTTCACAATATTTTTTTTCTGGCTGGCCCATATCCCCTACATGAACATTAAAACCACTTATTAAGGTGACTTTATTTGAGCTTTCACTTTCCACGACAAACAGACGACTTCTGTGATAAAACTAATCACTTAATTCGTTCGAGCACTTGGCGAGTAAGTGGAGGTTACAAAAAGATATCAACGAGTATCATAATCTTTCTTTAATTTTACAGATTCATTCAACCCGCCAACACAGATAACAATCCGCTGGAATCGAATCAAGCAGTGAGTTTTCTGATTAATGAACTTCCCCTTATTCGTATGGACAGACTAGTAACTTCTTAAATCTGATCAGTAATTCATTATCACCATCCTTAAAAACTACTTGAGTCAAACCATGAAGTCCTGATGCTAATTTTGACGTTTTACATTTGAGATAGGCTGGATTTTCGGGATTATTATTATATTATTATTTCCTTTAATTCCTAGAAGAACATAGGGCTTCAGCCACGCGTCTCCATTGCGTTCGGTTTTCTGCCAACTTTTTCAAACCCGCTCCAAATCTGCGCACACGCTTTCATCTCCTCTTCACCTCTTCGGGATAAGTGTCTACATCTCAATCAGGCATTGGTTGTGTGGCAGACAATCTTTGCATCTGAAAGTGTCCTGTCAATTATTCTAGACTTCTTTCTTTAGAAGTGTTGCTTACTGTAGCAATCTTAAGAATTTTTTCCTAAGTTAAGCCTAAGTATTTCGTAATGCTTACAACTTTTGTTTCTTCTGTTTGTTTGTTTTTTAACTGCAAAAAATCTCCGCCTCTTACATTACCTTACTAGTGAACATTATTATTGAATATTACGAACTAAATTTAAACACACTTCCAGTTAATGTAATCTAAATCTTCGCATTAATAAGTCACTTACATATTTAGTAACTCGTCTGGTACTTTTTCCAGTTGGAATTTTGTTATACAGTGGTATTAACAGTGGGGTTATTTTTTAGGTATTATAGGGCACTACAAATAGGTAGGCAGTGTGGATAAAAGATTTTTTGACGAATGCTTAAAATAAAATCATTTAAGATAAGGTAAATTGCTTAAATATTTTTGTTTCTTCGAAAATGTCATATCTCCTAGAATTTAATCTTTTGTTTGCAGAGATATTAGTCAATTCATACTTTTGAAATGTCAGAGTACCAAAGAATATTTGTCTCAAGGATGAAAAAAGTCGTCAATGAATGAATAACAGGAAGTGTGGAGTATTTTAGGTAGGGGGAGGGAGAAAAGTAGGCTAATTACATGCTAACAGATTAATGTGGTAATATCCCTACGCACAGTTGCATATCCCATGTGTATGTGTAAAACACAAGACTTTATATTCACGACTTGAACACTTATGTTGTAATTATTTGTAATAGTAGTATTAGTATTTCGCAATGACCGAACTACAAGAATTCAACCAAAACACAGAGAGGGATGTATTTGGCGAAATTATTATTCAATTCATATAAGAAATATATTAACAATCAACAGTAAGTATTTAAACAATACAGAGATAGAAATTGTCAATCACCAAAACTTGGTCAGGTTCAAATTAAAGGGAAATCAACACTACTTGAAGTGCGTTGGTGGTTCAGCAGTAGAAAGCTCCCCGAACACACACGTGGTCCTGGGTTTTACTATGGGCTGACGCATCTCTAAACCTCCTTTAGCCGCTGGCAAGCCAGGTAAACAGGGCGGGTTGGGTTTGAGGCTAGCAGCCCCACTCCGTAGAAGAAAATAACACTATAGCTAGCGAAACTTTTTAAGCACAAAGCATGGAGTCTTATGTTCCACTAGGCAAGCAAAGGATTAGAATGCATGACCCATTGAGTTGGGTCCTAATGGCTGAATGGTATACGAGCTTGCCTTGTAACTGGAGGGTTCTGGGTACGAATCCTAGTGGGTGCCTACTGCCGGTGATTCCCAAACTAGGATGAAACAGCTGTACAGTACGCCAGTGCTGGTTTTCAATGGTTCTCTAACTGATATCAATCCGTGATCAAGTCGTAAAAGCATAACTAACCCTTACAAACCAAAACTATAGAAAATCTTGTTCAGTTTAGATGTAATGCTTTTTAACATTTATTCGCAAAACTCAGGAGAAACTTATTTCACCTTAGAGATTCGAATCTGCTTAACTGAAACCGACTTCTGAGTTGTTGGAATAGTGAAGGCTTACTAATAACCTTTAAAATGGCCTACATACAATTAACCGAAGCACAGTCATGTGGTATTTAGAAACATAAGGTATTGGTCACTTCCCAGTGGGTAAGTCGTATATAGAAAGTTTAACAAATATTTTAAATAATTGGACTCTATGTATTATATTCTAACATCATAAGGACCAGCTTCGGCTAGCATCTTGATTCATATTATCCTTTGAAAGCATGCCTTATTTGTTTGGTTGGCAACAGGCACGCGGTTTCACTTACGATACTAACACTAATCACAACAATCATAAATGCCTGTTTATGGAAATGAGGAAAAATACATGCATAAACCAGAATGTCCCACTCTCCTTAATATGTATTTACAGGATTAGATACTGAACTGTGCCAAGTAGATCAATAGGAGTTAATTGATTTTAAGCTGACTTCTATTTTAGGGAAATATTTCATGTTACATGCGTATACAAAAATATGTACACACTCACATAACCAAAAGTGTGCTTACCATGAATATATATATATGTGCATGTGCGTTGGTCCTTTTGTGTGTGTGTATGTATGTATGTATGCATGCGTGCGTGGGTGAATTTTGGGCAAAGATTACTGTCAATGCAGTTTTTGTTATGACAGTCAGACTTGTATTTGTCTTATGCCAGTGATGTAAATCTACGGATTGATGAGGCAAATAGAATAGAATGAAGAGTAGTAATTCTGTTGCAATAATAAAATTTTAACCAATAGAGAATGTAGGCAACTGACCAAAATTATCACATAAACCACTAAACTGAAGCACACAGTAACAACAACAACAGCAGAAGAAGACGCATTTGCAGATATGTGTATGTGTATGTGAGAGTGCGAGAGAAAGTGTGTGTATGTGTGTGCTGTATCTGTACACGTACCCACGCTTTCGTGTATGTGTAAGGATAAGTGTAGTCATAAAAGAGGAAAAGGGTGGGGATGGATAGAGAAAGTGAGAGAGAGAGAGAGAGGCTACCTAACCACTGTTATAAAGCATGTTGAACGCTTACCTTAGATTAGTAAACTCGGCATTTTGTTGAATAGTGCGCATTGATATTTCTTGCTTTTCTCAAAGATAAGACTAACTATCCACTTTCGAAAAATCCTTTCTGTTCAAAAGACAGTTTCAACGTGAAAACATCTCAAATACTACATACAGCTTAACTACAGCATCTCAACTGAAAAAGGACAAAATAAAATTTCCAAATACCACATTGGACATATTCATTCTGCAATAGACTTTAATTTTTTTATATATTTTTAGCGTACGAAATAATTAGTTCAACAGCCGAGTGTTTTTCCTCATGACTACTGTTTTTGATATTGGCAGACGTGTGTGTAAGGCTATATTCTAAATCATAGAACAACAAAAGGATAATAGCTCAAATTAACTTGAGCAGTATTCAACTAACATAAACGTCAGCCAACACAACCATATATACACACGTATATACCAGACACATCAAGTTTAATTTTCGTATTGTCATCTAGAAGCAGTGCACACAAACGATAATATTATTCTCTTACAAATATTACTTATATAGACTATCATTCCATTCAACTGATTGACTAATTATCAATGTTCATTCGCATTCATATAATCTAATTATAGAAGCATAAAAATTTCCATTTAAACAAAACATTGACGACGACAACAACATGTCGGATAAAGCAAGTTCTTGTGATTCATCTGATTTCTCCGATGGTTATCCAACGACAACAACCATTAGTACAGTTGCTGTACAAGCTGGGAATGCACGTATTGTATTGGCAGTACTACGAGTAAGTTCTGTATATATATATATATATATATATATATATATATATATATATGTTTATGCGTCTTTTGGATTTTGCTGACTATACTTAGTCGATTGTAGATACTTCGTTATTTGCATATTCCTGCTGAGACGTGTTTATCTGTTAGAAAAGAGTTCCATTGTTATATAAAGTTGATTCAAGCAGGTATTTTTACCTCACCGATTGACTTTAACATATAATTTGATTAGAAAGTCAGTCCTTGTAGACCACGTGTAACGAAAATATGTTTTCCTACGCTGTTGGAGTAAAATGTCTGAATAAGGCTGAATATACTGCAGGTCTTCAAATTGATTCCTATCAGATGGCTAGTGACAGCCTTGTAGCTCGAACAGTACTACTTCTAGCTGAAATGACTCACTCAAAGTAAATTAGCCTATTCAATACAGTTTGTTGAAATTATAGGTTAGTACTAACGCCCAGGAATGTCTTACTTCAACTAAAATTAGCTTTCATGTCTCAATTAACAAGATACAAGAATCCTACTATGAAGATTCTTTTGTTTGTTTCCAACATGGCTGTAATATTTCCCATTATCTGGTAAATAGATACGACTGCGTATCACTTTGACGCTGTAAACATGTCACTTTTTTAACGAAGGTCTGCTATATCCTACTCGTTAAATGATTGAGAACTGCTGAATAAAGGGCACGAACTTATTCTTCGATGTATATTATTTCGTAAACTGACAATAGTCTACAAAATGGAGCTTCGATCCCATATTAGCTTTGTTTACTGCATAGATCACACGATGAAACAGAATTACTTGGTGGGTTGTCATTTCGAACACAGTTTATTGTTGATAATCACATTAAATTACAACTCTGAAACTTGGAAACGTGATTTTTGAAGGTCTACTTCTTGTCTTTCGTCTACCGTATGGGTAGTAGAATTTTCTAGATATCCAGGACAAGTATTAAAACATGTCTACTACATGCATCCTCAGTTGACTTGATCAAAAAAGCTTCGGTTTGTCTCTCTACCCTGAAATAATGGATTTTAGAACTCTCAATATATGCCACTGTATTTTACAGTTCTGTGTGAACACATAATGTTATCGCTGAACTGTAGGGGCTACCAATCTAGATTTTCTTAAATCTTAGTGCTTAATTAAATCTACCCTGAAGACTTAGAACTCTATAAAAAGAAAGTTTTGAATTTGTGTAGATACAGTTGTTGATATGATTATAACCAATAAATTGTGTTTGAAATGTCATCCAACAAATAATAATACTGCTTCACTGAGTAATTTATCTCATAAGCAGATTAATATGGGATTACACTCTTCTACAGTGCCCCACTTTGTAGTTTTGATGTTTTGAAACGATGGTTGCTACGCTGTACTTAAAGTTGGTAAGCCATCACTCACTGGGACCAAATACATATCCGAATGACAACTCTAGAATACAATGAAGTGGCTATGACGAATTCCTCTTAAATATCACCTGTTACTAGTAAAAATCTTTAATTTCAAAAATATCTGTGATTAACTAAATCAAATTCATCATTTCTCGACAAATAGTGTTATGAAAGAGTAGTGAAATAAGCAAGCTAAGAAGTACATTCCCTCTGTTTTACAGAAAAGTTCACAACTGACTGCAGCAGAAAATCTCACTTAGATGCTACTAGTATTAAAACAAATAACGAATGTTAATAAAGCAAGATTTAGTAAATCTCTGGAATTTCCGTAGAATTGCCTAGCTGAACACCCTACTTGCTGTGGTACATTTGTGTATTTCTCTGGATAGTGTTATTAGAAGATGGAGATTATATGGGAAATGTTGTGGTGTATTCGCGCAATGCATTTCGAACAATGTGATCCCTTAAACTTACTTTTCACATCAGTTTACATGAATAATAAAATCCCGCTTAAAATGAACAAAGTGCTAGGGGATTTAAGAGTAGTAAGAATATCATTACGTTTGGTTATCTAATCAAATAAGGATTACCAAGGTAGGTTAAGAGTAATAATAAATTGCTTTTGTACACACAGGGGTGTGGGGCGCTTAAGTTTATGAATAGCTATTATCCCTACGTAGTATTAGCCTTAACCTTCCTCGGTAATCCCTGATTCTTTAAAGGGACTAATTTTTATATATACTTTGAGGAATACATGGGGTGATGTAACTGATAAATAAACGAAAATGAATTAATCATGCAGAGCCACAGATGCGGGTGTTTCCCAGGTCAAGTTCAAATAGATAAACAGGAAAGATTGTGAGAAATTAAAAATCAAGATTCATACAGAGTATTCAGTTGGAGATTTCTATCAAAATTTGATAAGTTCATTAAATCCTGCTCCCTTGACACTTGTTGCTTGTTTTAAATCCGTATCGGGAAATAAATGTCTCCAATTTTTGAAGATGCTCATTATTAAATTCATAATTATCAATAGATCAACAACAAATCTGAATAACTGCCAATCAAATAAATTTTTAAATCCGTTTACATAGAAAGAATTTAATGAAATAGTCGAAAGTTGGCAGACACCACCAGCAACTGGTTCAAATCGTGCCGCAACCTAGAAATTTTTACGCATTAATGTCAAATATATCTAGGTAAAGTATTACTATGGATTAAAAAAGAGATTTAAGTATAAATTCACGAAAACAGCTGTTTGGTTTCCACTTATGGTCATGAGATAACTGTCTATGAATCCAGCCACAGGATAATTTTGAGACGTATACATTCTATGCACACACACACACACACACGCATACACATACACACATGCATAGCGGTGTTTCACTGACACTCATGGAGAACTGGAAATCACAGATTGCAAATACGACTAATATCGTTTAAACCGAATCAAATCACTAGGGGCTTAAGAAAATCGATGTCAACCTAGAATTTCAGAGAGCAGATATATATAGTTGCATGTTTCAAGCAGCCATCCCACTATTCATTTCTGACTGCTATCATTCTGTTAACCATTCATAAAAGTAAATAGGACAACGCAAAATATGTGGATAAACACGTAAAAGTTGAGGAATTTCCAGTAACATTTAAAAGTTTGATGGATAGATTTCAGTGAATAATCTTGCACTGACAACTGCTCGAGTTGACGTACATCTGTCTATCATTGTTATAAGTTGATTTAAATTTATTATGAAATTGAAAGGTAGAAGAAATAAGTTTAAGTGTTCCGATTATTCAGCGACATTAAAAAGCACTGTTGACAGATCTTCAGGCAGACAGAAATTTCAGCACAGTTGGCCAATCGTCTTAACAGATCGTGCTTGAACTAAATTGCACACACAGTGACATCTGTTTATTTGGATAATTTAACAACACTTCGTGAACTATCAGTAGTTTACAAGGTTTGTTTAATTAAATTTGTATATTTAATCGCTTAATGGAGAGCAGAGTAGACAGTTGGCGACAGTTTAATTTTCATGGATTAATGAAATGGTTAAAGAAGTGTCTTAGTTGAATATGCGATTAGTAATGCTCAATGAAGTTTCCATTCAACATCATAAGACTAAATAAACAAATAGGAACCAGGTCTCCTGTCCTCTGTTGCGAAACATATTATAGGGACAGGACATAAAAGTGATGTTTACATGTCTTTTAAACCTTTCTATAAAACGTGTTTAGGGCATATCCTAAAGTTTGTGGAAGTCCTAGCCAGTAATTACGAAGTTTAAACCACATTTATGCGTTCAAAAACAATTCGTCATCACAATTCCTTGGTAAACTTTGTTTTCACACCATAGCAGATGTACTATTACCCCTCTTATTTGGTTTAGTGATCTCCATTGCTATTTTGACCCTCAGTTTAACTTAACGAACCTAAGTCTCTATTTTCTCACTTCTTAACTCTTTATTAATTTCATATATATTCCTATGACAAGTCTGTATGTGATCAGATTGTTCGAAATGCGTTGCACGCAAATACATTACACGACTCAGACAAATCACTTCTTTTTATTGCTTTGTCTAAATTCACTGAAGGAAACTAATTCTTTTAAATAAATATCCATCCTTTCTGCTAAGATCACATATACTTATTCATGAAAAATACACCCATCTTATATCAACCAACTTGGGGTTTCCGGTCCCATTCATTCAGTATACTGATATGGTACTAATGTAAACAGGGGATATTTCAGTGATATCTATAAAGCGTCAACTAAGATGATTGTTTGTGTGTTTTTATGACTAACTCAGTTTAATTAGCACCAGAAACTTGAATATTTTTGATATTGAACAACAAATTTGATGGAAAATAAACATTTCTGGATGTTCATTTCAACTGTTTCATTTTGATGTACTTATCAAAGACTTGCTCCCTTGCTCCCTGCCTTTAATTTATGAAGAGCAAAACTGTTTCTTTCCGTTGCCTTTTGGTGTTACTTAATATTTCTACACAATTTACTAGGTTTTATAAAGCTGTCTCCTTATAAACATCATGTAAGTGACCTTCTGAATGTACTAATAATGAAAGTTACAAATGTTTTACTATTGGTATGATGAATACATTACAAGATAATTTGAGCTTATCCTGAAATCATATAAATGATGTCAACTTCAAGGAATGACATTTCAAGTATGTGACGATGTATTCAACCGTGCATAGAAGCTATGCTTCAAAGCTATTTTTGGAATCAGGACTGATGCCTGCATAATGCACATAAACGCATCCAGTCATACTGATCCTCAAAATCTTTCGGTATAACCTGATTAGGAGTGAAATTCTGGTACTGTCAGCCATTACAGCTATATCCAGCATACAGAGTGAGATATTCGAGAACTACTTCTTTGACGATTATTTCGAACCTATGCCCATAAAGATAGAAAAACAACCGGGATCAAATTATCTGAAGTCTGGTGGTGGTATGGGGGAGAACACAGATGATCCTAGATCAAGATGCATGCGTTACATTATACATATACCTACAAAATGAAACTCTGCTTTATTTTTCTTCTATTTCTTTCTGTGGATTTGATGCTTTCTATCCTGATTCACAATATCCTTCATTTCTTTTGTTCCTCTGTTAAAACATTTTTTCAGAAGACGTTACATCATATACTACTTACAAAACTTCAGCAGTAGCACATCCACAATGGTTACATAGAATTATGGAATGTGTGTGTGTGAGTGTATCTACCTAAAAGGAAACAGACAGGATGGGATAACTGGACTGTTATATGCTATATGTTAGGATATTACAGACAATTAGTCAAGATCCATTTCATGATAAAATTTTGGGAAATAAAATATATATCCTTTTTGGTAAATAAATCATAGATCTGGACTCTAAGATGAACTTAATGTAATAATGTGACTCACGAATAGTTGAGCAAATCTGAATTGTTGTCTTCAAAAGATGAAAATGTTCAGGGTGTGTGTGATTCATTTGATAATAATAATAATAAGGTGTCTACTAGTTGTTAGGATTCGATCGTGACTGGTTATATTGGGACCATTATAACGTATTTTACAGAGTACTAAACCTTTTAATACAATTCCACACTCAGTTTACGACAAAGGTATAAGACAAGATTGACTCATGGATAAAAAAGTAACCATGTATGAACAAGCACGAGTTAAGTGAACACACATTCAAACTGATCTTTATTTCCGTAGCTGATGGTATCAATGGATTATTATCTGCGGTAAGATTCGTATATTGTAATTCTTCTTCTTTATATGCTCGTATTGGCATATAAATAATGAACATCTGCTTAAGATTCCTAATATGGCCGGAATTCGGGTGGCATTTAAACCAATCAACTCCCTACACATACACTTTGTCGACTTTAGGACTGGATAGCATGTCATGACTATCAGGTCAAATGTATCGGTCAAACTAGTAGATGGGGATCAGTCTGACTGTCGAAATACAGGAATTCATCTATAGCTAGGATGATTGGTCCTGCTAAGTAAATACAACCGAAATGACTCATCATTTATGCTACATGCATATAAGAATTTACACTAAATAACAAGAGAGAATACGAGATTACATAAAGCAGGTTATGAAGTCGGGTGAATATATCGATTTGGTTACGAGCGATAAATCATCCAGTTATCAATACTGTATCTTCATGTGTTGTATACAATAAGCTTATTAAATATGGAATTATATTCTGCCAAGGTGTCTAAATTCTACTCTTTCATAATCCACACTTCTGTCCCTACCTTTATAAGTTCATTTCAAGTAAATCTTCAGTAGTACTGCTCCTAGGAAAACTTAGCTGACAATCACTCAGTCAGTCCAGCATGAGTCACTGACACACATGGCCAGTAAATCCCAATGTAAAACAACTTTTCTCAGCAGGTGTTGGTTCCCAAATAAACTTTTGGCTGATTTCAAAAGTAGACTGAAAATGGAAGAAGCCTTTGAAGGTTACCCAAGAAAAAGATTCTTTCGTACAGTAATGATCCTATTTTAATTAAAGTAATTGGTATTATAATTAATGCATCCACCGTTTTGGTTTATTTCAAATCAATCCCAAGATGACTTAAGGATATGGGTCTCCGAATTGAATCCCACTCCACTCATTTCAGCCTGGACAACAAATTACCATCACCAGCCTTCTCATAATAAGCTAGGCTGAACTGTTATAGAAAAATCTTATATGGATTAAAGGATTCTAGCTAACGAAAACTAAGTAACCTTCCAGGTTAGACTACGGATTGATTTCAGTTAGAGAACCATTGAAAACCAGTGAGTACTGGACAGCTGCTGTTTCATCCTAGTTTGGGACTCTTCGGTAGTATACACCCATTGCCTCCCTTATAGTGGACTCAAAATTAACACAAACACACATAGTGTGCAAAAAGTTAATCTTGTTTGCCTTTACCTTAAACCTTCTCGTAACTTATTAAAAGAAAGTTCCTTACTTCATAAAAGTTCTTTACTGCCAGATTTAAAAACCACATGAAATAGTTTTTGTTAGTGAAACTATTTGTTCATTCACTTCCCTTGATTAATTTAAACAAAAAGGGATTGAATATGCATATATATATATATGTTTGCACACGGCTTTTCCTCATCTGCTCACAACTCACTGAGGTGAACTCACTATTGATCTTCCAGTTTACTTATTTGTCTATTTATGAGATAATTCTTCTTCTATCCACCATTTCTTTTCACTTCCTATTTTGCCTCTTGAACTTTTCATCCCATTGTGTATAAGCAAACTCTATTTGTTAGATTGTAAGCTATCTTATTCTTGGACTATACCCTTTGAGTTCAAATAATTTTAGATGTTATATATTTACATTTATTTATAGCAACTTATGTCAACTTTTTAGTCTATTAGCAGTTAGTGAAAAGCCATGGAATAAAAACCCATGGGTCTTCTAACTAGTAAAAATGTTTATTCTGTTTTTATTCAAACTATTTTCATACATACTTTGCTGGGGGGGGGGGGAATAATATCTGCAAAATTGGTTGATGAGTTACTGTTTCTTTTGCGGAGATATCTTCATTTTTTAAAACATTGATTCAGAATGCTCTGATTAGTAGTATTGTCGTCAATGATGAGATAATTGCGCTTAACATGACAGTTGGTTTTTCTTTAAGCTGCCTAGCTCAAAATAATAGTTAGCTTAGCCGACAACAAATTTCCATTACAATTTGTACATTATCAACCAACAATACTGTCAATTATTGGTAATCTCAACTTTATAATACTTAACAAACGTAGGCTTTACAATTGCATTTTCTGTTCACAACCTTCTCATATATATATGTAATGTATGTATAATTTTCACATATATTTCAGTGTGGTAATTGGATCCGTGTTCGCATTCAACGTATGGAACCAGATCTATATGATATTGGAGGGAATGCTGATGAATCGCGTTCACTACAGGAAATTCATGAACATTTATGTGCTAAGTTGGCTGTAAGTTTTAAAAAAAAATCGTTTTTATTTTATTTTATAGTGAATGTTAGGAGACATGTTATCATGAGAATTTTGAAGAGAATCAATTTCCAGTGCTAGTTCAAATCCTACTTCCTTTGTCAATATTTTATCATACAAATCAATTGAGAATTGATATTCTTGACAGGCAGAATGGATTTAGCTGAAACTTTAACACAGTTATATTTTGTTCAACAAACTAATGTTCCGTGCGTCGGTGGTACAGCGGTTATGACGCTCGCCAATCATGAACATGGTCTGGGGTTCGATCCCCTGCCGACGCACACCTGATATTTGTGGTCGGCCTGCAAAATTTGGACTACCGGTATCACATGCTGAAAATTCCATACCTGTACCAAAAATACGGTGTGAAATCAAGCTGTAATCAAAAATAAAATAAACAATTAGAAAATTAGTACACTGAAAAGATAGCAAATCAGAGGATGTGCTTATTTTTGCCCGGTTTTGGAACACAGCACTTTATTGTTCCTGTTCAGTTTTATTCATCAGAATGGGATCTGTCGTACAGTAATATTGTACATTAGAAGGCAAGGCACAGAAGTAAAGGCATATTTTCCACTTCTCAAACTGTTTAATATATATATATATATATATATATATATATAAAGTTTATATTCGTTGACCAATCACTCAGCGTGTGATTTTGGTTTACATTAAACGACATGAAATAGAATGTTCAAATATACACAGTATTCTTTTGTTTATGCAGTATATAACCGTGGGAATAACATCCCGACCCTAACATCAAATAGATATATCGTATTCTGTTGTTAATGGCGTATTGAAGTGTGCGAACACGTGAGAATAACATTCCGTTGGCACACACTGTCTGTATCACACCGCCACAGTATTAAGAAGGTCAATAATTTTAACTGACACCCTCCTCCCAAATTGTTGATATATTATTATCTAAAGGTTTGGCGAATTCCACTTACGTTGGTGACCACCTGCACCTGAACTCTTGATATCTTACTCTTTAAGAAAGCTCAGTTAGCAGTCGATTCTTCACGTTTATCTGTCCAAGAAGAGATATGAATTTGTTCCACATCTGTTAACCCTTTTTTTTTCTTTTTCATTGATTATTCATTTGTTACTCGATATGGTTACCTTTATGGGATTGGTGATTAACTGTATCTTTCTGAAATTGTAATTTTTTTCAATGGCTTCCATGATTCCAAACATTCATCAACATCTCAGTGATTACCAAAATGCACAACCTCCTCTTACTTTATACGTCGTAGACATTCACGTTCATAAATCCTTCCATGGTAAAGTGAATGACACATAAGTCAGTATGAATCTCCTTCTGTCATAGAGATTGTCTGCGTATGGTGAGTTTATTAGGTGGCATTTTCAGTTCATAATAGAAACTCTATCAAGAACGGTAAGAATGGAAATATTTTCATAAACAAGATAACAAGGGGTTATCGGTAAAATAACCCAGAAGCTAATTTGTAAGCTTCTTTGACTATAAGTCAGTATAATTTCGAAAGTAAAAACTAATTTTGAATTAAGACTTAACTATTTCTGTTAGCCAAGTAAATTCTTTCACGTGAACAAATATTATGAATGAAACCTCATGCTTCATGTACATCATCAATGCACTAGAACGTTTTTCGATTGTTCATCTTAGGAAACTGATAGGTGCTTGAAATCAAATGAAGATAACTGACTTTTCAGTGATCCTCGGAGCATAATTTCAAATCAGTGAAGAAAGTATTTCCTCACAGATAGCTCAGTAGTGAAGTCTCTGACTTAAGCACTGGGTGACACGGGTTCGAATCTCAGAAGGGACGTGAGTTTCTTCAAGATTGTAGATACGCCTTACTGTCTAATGACTGTCAATAATTATGAAACTTAGGTCCAAGGCTCCCTGCTGATTGCCACCAACCATCTAACAACAACACTTCTGAGTGCACCGTGATGGCGAACCACCTAGATTGGTGGTGGCCACATTGCAAACCTGACTGACAGAATTCAGTCTCCAGAGAAAAAAGGACGATACGTATGACACTAGTTAGTGTTCAGTCAAAGAAAGCATGTTCTGCTTAAAATTTTCAGACTAGAATGATGAAACTGTTTACTGTTATTCGATAGTTACCAAATATTTTTGCCCAGATGCTAAAAGCTTTAAACAGCCTTAATTTACAAATCAGCTCTCCGTACACAAGCTTCAGCTTTTATTCTGACTAAACTTGGCAACTGCAATGAATAACACTGAAACCCAAAGAGTCTAGTCCTATGTAAGATTGTACGTATGCAGAGAGGTCGGCACTTATCCACCTGTATGTATGTTCAGTCAAAGGTTTCTTAAGAGAAACAAAGTGGTCTGCACACTAATGTTGCTTCAAATTCTAAAACAAACTAAAATGCTATAAATAATAAAATGAAGTTAAGTGATAATAACCAAGCATTAAAATAAGAGAATGAACAGGAAGTTTGGACTACAAATGTAATCAAATAATAACGTTTTTATTTAGAATGTAGGTTGACAATGACGGTCATCTGAAAAACAAAAATTGGAGGTGCTTCTTTTGGACACATAGCGTTAGCCTGAGTTTTTCGATCCCTAGTTGTTTAGCTATGCCTTAATGTCTTCATCTGATTCCTTTTGATGAACCTAAAAGGATCTTCTGCAGGATTTTAGAAGATTTGTCAAATAAAGCCGGATGTTCTGAGTCCCAAAAATGTTCTGTTGTCAAATCAAAGACACAGCTTTGTTCTCTCTTCAGTAGACAGTCTGTGTAGTGTTCTGTAACGCTTTCCTGAAGTCGATATTTGGTGTAACCAAAGTACACAGATCAGAAGAAGCAGGTAAACTGGTGTAAGCATACTGATGAGGCCTTGTGCATCGGTTTTTATGAAAATTACTTACTTGTGAAACACTAACCGGCAACTTACAGATTTGCACAGCTATTATTCTCTTAAACCAGATCTAAATACTAGATTTGAATAATCACTGTTATTCACTCCGTATGAATATGCATAGTGGTGATTGTTCAGTAGCCAGTCAAACACACACATAAAGATGTGAACAGTGACTAAACTGTTCACTAATTAAAACATTCTCTCTATTATCAATAAAAGGTGTGTGTATTTAGCTGATAAAATAAACAATAACCACCACCCTAGGAGATGAATAATCATTCCATGCAGTTCATAAATTCAAGGTAAGCGTTTAGGTGAACACTTAAAACTACTTCTACTCCTAGTTCAACAATCACCAACACGCGTTTATATATAAAGTCAGAAAGAAAACATTGTATCACAATAGTAAAGTAAGAAAGTAAGGATGGTGCATATCTTGTCAACAGGATGCTGATAATGAAATATACAATAGTTATTTTTTCCAAAATCTGTTTTGTTGGAAAAACTGGAATTAATGCTTCGTTGTAAGAGTCTCTCTCTGTTTGTGTATATATGTGTGTCTGGGTATGATAAATACATATACGAATTGTACACTTCTTTACGTCTGTTCAATATTCAAATGTTTTCGACACTGAACCATTGAACGCTAATGATTGACTAGTCACAATGTTAACTGACAAAAGACATAAGTTATAGAGTCAAAAAATAAAAATACACTGGCTCTTGGTTTAATATTTTTGTATGCTAGAATATTTTGAAATGAATGTTGATTTCGTCTTCACTTATTAACTGGTGATTAGGAGGATAGAAGTGTATTAAAAGCCATAAATATAAACTTGAAGTCACAGAATTTATCAATACTGAATGAATTTGAATAATCTAAGTTCAGCAGAGGTTAAAGACATTACAGATATGTGGCTAGAATTAGTGAATGAGTGAGCGTGCAGTTTTATACATGTGTATGACATTAGTGCCATGACGCTGTCCACCTTCAAAATACCCCGACAAAGTAATATTTCAACGATTCCGGATAGCCACCTTTTTAACTTTAGCATATGAATGTGCTAATGAACACCAAGTCCTTACGAACTCTAACATCCCGGTTATCTTTATAATTTCTTACTTAGATTGTCGACATTTTAAAATGCTTTTTTTCAAGTATTGGTTTTGTAGGAATTTGGTTTGATTGTATGGAGGATTCAATCAAGAGCTGACATCAGGGTCCCAGTGGCTCAATGGTCTACGAGCTCGCCTTGTAACCAGAAGGTCCTGGGTTCGAACCCCGGCGAGTGTGTACTGCTGAGGAGCCCCAAACTAGGACGAAACAGCTGTCCAGTACTCCCAGGTTTTCCAGTGGTTCGCTAACTGATGTCAGCTCATGACTGAATCCTCCATACAATTTTAAAATGCGTTTTTTTTCTACTCTGTTATTTCATTTTACTGCTTTTTCGCTTTCACAGTCTAAACAAGAACAAATATCTGAGCTTTTATCAAGAGCTGATGATTTAGTCACTCAGCAGACTTCAGACAATCAAAGTCAAGTGTACGCAGCAATGGCAGAATCTTTAAATCGCGCTTGGCGTGATTTACTCGGCATATTAACACAACGTGGACGTTTACTTGACCTTGCGGTGGAATGCTTTAATTCAGCTGAGAATGTTATCTACCAGGCTGAAACAGTTGAACATCTGTGTAACACTGGCAGTTGGGGTCATGATGTCAATTCAGTGCGTCGTTTAATGGAGGTATGTTTTCAAGGTGTGAATATTTTTTAAAAACTAAATATCCGAAATGTTTAGGTGCCTAACTTTCTTTGGCTGTCATCGCGGTGCTAGTTACCAGTGTTAAAAAAAATACACACACACACAATGTTGTTAGCATTTTAGTGTTGTGCTTTTAAGTGTTTTAAGTTCAACATATTTACACCCTCATAGCTGTCTTCTACTCTCGAGACTTATGTTGTGTCTAAGTATCATTTTCAACACTTTCACGTGGAGGCGATTTGAGACATTATTCTGGACTAGATACTATGTTGCCTTTCGACTCCTCTGACTTCTAAGCACACTTTAAACTCGTAACGTAGTTTTTCTTGTTGAGGTTCCATTAAAGGATAACCTTTGCTCTTTGCATGTAGATGAATATCAGGAATAAGACGTTTTTAAAAATAAACTTTCATGTAAACACTTTCGTTACTTTTATTCAGTAGTATCAGGTAAAAATTTTCAAATAAACACCATACTTTGTTTGCCTATTGGTTACCTCTGAAAAATGCAAAACAAGAAATAGTTTTAGGGGGAATATGTAAACATATATATATAGGAACCAATGAAATGAATAGAGGAACACTCCACTCAATTAAATGTACAAATAAAGCAATAGGTGTTCAATTAACAATAATTAGACGATAAAATGACGACAACAAATGAACACCCTGCTGTTCATTAAAAAACACCACTGTATTAGGTGTTGAGAATTTAGCAGTCTACACTCCATTGTATATTGTGTATTTCATACATAGTCATAACGTATAAAAGATGATTAATTCAGGCTGTCATTTTTTACAAGTATATTGGTATTTGCTTTATATGAACCTGTTCATTAATTAACCACCCAAACTGACATTTGTAATGTGTCTTACATAAAGATTGTTTTCGTTGGTATGATTCAGATAATAGATGAACTAAGGAGCACATTCATTTATATGAGAGGCTTATCCACCACTGTACTGAATATAAAGCCTTAAGGCGTCTCACTTTGCCGATTTCAAGAAGTACCAGTCGAAGGAACAAAAGAGTTGTGTCAGTCAAAAGTTTTTCATTTACAAAAAAATATTATCCACTTAACTTTTTTTATTCACAGGAACATGAAAATTTGAAACGTACTGGATTATTGGAACCATCACATAATATGCTGAATTTAGCCAATAATTTATTAGAATTACTCGGTCGTATGTCGTGTCAAGCTGGTGGTTCAACTTCAGCTTCAAACACTGGCTCTGGACGTGCAAGTATTGAAGCTAGAGAACGTGTAGCAGTGATTACTTCTAAAGCTGGAGTTGCTAGACGGCACGCTGAAGAAGTATGGAATCGTCGTGATCATTTACTTCATCTAAGACTAGCTGTAGTTTCTATGGAAGCAGAGTTGGAACGTATTGTTGACTGGTTTGTGAAGGTAAGAATTATGCATTATCCATTCATTAACTTTGCAGTGTAAATGAATGATATTCAGTCTATCATAAAAATAATAAAAATATTTTTAAAAATCATAACCGAATTCTGATGGCTAAGTGTTACACATAATTCAGTCTGGTATAAAATCATCTTTAAAGTAGATGGTGGTGGGAAGCACATGTCACACTAAAAAGAATGACAGAAATGCATACAAAATGCAAATAAAGTTTTATTAGAATCTAGCCCACACAAAGATCACTCACTACCAGGGAAAAATCCCTATAATCGGCATGAAAAGCATATAAGGGAAACATTGGGAAACCCATGGGATTAAAAATGTCCCAAAATATATCAGAAGAAGACTATCTACACATGAGGGGGTGTCAAAAAATTGCCACTCAGAGACTTCTATCATTGAAAGCAGGACAACTGAGTTCAAGAAACTAAGGAGAGAATATTCCTGTTATACGGATCGGCAGACAGCCGATCACAACAAGGCCTCAAATAGACAAACCCCCTCGACTTTTAGAAATGCATGCTATACAACCCAGAAAACCAAATGTAATTAAGAAGGCAAATTGAGACAACTTCCACATACACTACATTATGAAAACTTAAAAGCACTATTTATTACACATCCTACCAAATAGCGTCGAGTGGTAAGTAAACTTCATGGCAAGAAATCAATATTGACAGTCACAGTCAAAACTTCAACTGGGAGCCATTTTGAAGAGTATAAGACAATTCGTGAAAGCGTATCACAGCATAATTAAGAAACATGTATATATTTGAATTGAATTTTTGATTTTCCCGTCGATTGATTGGACCGAAGTGCTCGGTCTCAGGTTGACATGTCGGCTTCTTGTGCAGATACTTCGAGCCTCGGCGGGAACATCATCGGTAACTGAGAAATGCAGGTACATCCAGCTGACGAGTCCCAAATAGGATGAAATGCGCATCCTGGATTCCACTGCTAGCCACCATCCACCAATATATATATATATATATATATATTTGACCTATCTTAACTAAGCCCACTGTCAACTTAATTCTTATGTTGCGAAAAATATTCTTCATCATCGACAATGTTAGAATACTTCGACTAAAGCAAACAAACTGTTAAAATGGTAATCTCGAAGGAAAATCACATTCAAATTTAGTCGCTGAGGGTGAAGCAAACAAAAACCTTTTCATTTCCACTATGAGCTTGAAAAGTCAAGCAAGTAGAAAGAAGCTAAAACTTAGCAGAATCAGTGATGTATACTGACTAGACACAATGTTAAGGCGCATAAAACCTCCGTACTCTTAGAAACTAGGTGATAATTTCAATAACTGTCCATTCAGAAGAAGGGACTACAGAAACATGATAACTGTGAATTCAGTAAGACACATGTTTAAGATTTATTTAAAACAGTCAACCTTGGATGACTTCTGCAGTCATCTGCCATTTCACTAAGGATGCCGGAATACGTAAAAAGGTTTAGCTGCAGAGGTAATTATTTAGAGGAGTTCACTTTCTCCTTCTTAAATAAGTATAGCCGATGCATATCTTGATGAGTGTATTTTCAATCAAAATGGTACACAGTCGCAGGCACCTTCTGTTTATGCAGACCGAATGCTTTACTTAATTTCTAACTCATTAAATATCTTTATGAATTAGTGATTATGAAGCCACGGATCTAGATATGAATCTGGACTAGTTTCATGTTAATTTCAACCATTACTGACAGCTTACACTTTCAACATATCTATAACTTCCTACTATTATTTCTTAGTAATTTATTACATAGATTTAAACAAAGAGAATGTGTACCTTGCTTCCCCTTTCTCTTTTCGCATTAATTTAAAATAAGAATAAAGTTTGCAAAATATTTATAATGTTCACCTTATTTGTTTTGTTTTTCTAGATTGGTGAACCTCGTTTTTCAGACATACAAGTTGGAACAAGTCTATCCGAGTGTCAAGCTAATTTAGATATGTTAATGACTCTTGCCGATGAGGTGCGTGATCTACAAAATGCACACTCACGTCTAATGCAACACTTACATCAAGCAACAACTACAGATTCATGGCGTAGAAAACGTGAAAAAAGTGTATCAGAAATCCTACGAGTACAAGAACAAGAATTAGGCTTGCATTCTTTACCAGTCAGTTTAGAGGGTGATAATGAAGTTGAAATGACAAGTGTGCATGACTCAGACACCTGGCGTGTTACTCATGGTGCATATTCTGAATTGATTACTAGACTAAGGACAACAGAATCATATATTTGGGAATTTCTAGAAAGGATTGAAAGCAGAAGACGTCAGCTGCATACTAGCGTCATTTATTATAGTGAAATTAACGTTGTAAGTTATTGATGTTATCATTTCTCTTCTCTTCTTCTGTACCTCTTCTTTTTTTTCTTCCATTCCTTTGCATTACAAATGGGAAATGAGGCTTCAGTCTTGATTCTTGAAGTTTCAGTAGTGATTGTTCTTTTACAGGGTGAGGTTGATAGCCTGACCCCAAGCCTTCCCTTATTACGAGGCTTACTACTGACTGACGAGTGAGTAAGTTCCGAATCGAACCAGGAGGGTACCCTTCTTCCAAAATACTAGATTCAGTAATTAAAGAAATATCAAAATCTACAAAGTTTCGTGGTCTCTACTATTTGATTAAAAGTTCAAATTAAACATGAAACCTGAAATATTTATCTACAATGTGCTACTGGTTGTTGTTTTGATTGTATAAATAGTAATCACCTTCTTTCAGAGTAAACAGCTGAATATTTGTAAGCTGTTAGACCGTATCGAAAGACTCATAATGTTCCACAAAAGGTTTTTACTTAAAAATGATTTGCATTCACATAGCGAACTATTTATATGCTTAAAGGAATTCTATTGGGGAATGTGAATCGACTGTCAGCCAAGGCACTGCTAAACCTCACCCAGCCGGAATTAAAATCTGTAGAAATTGAAGGTTGGACTTGGAGCCCCATAGAAGACACCTCTCCAGCTGAAGCTTCAAAGATTATGCTTGAAATTAAAGCTAAATTAAAGCCATTCGGAACAAGACTAAAGAATTATTCAAGTATTACTGCATGACAATGCACTGAAGTTGAGATAACACCAACGTATTTGTATCGAGTAGTCCCTAGTCTGATGAACACCTTAAATAAATATCCTTATTGGAAAAAATTATTAGTCTTGTAGTGCACTTTACTTTAAAAAAAACTGAACGACGCACATCGGTACCTTTAAGATACACGGAATTCACAAATGTAGGATAAGAAAACCCTAAGGATGAATCTTCACGTCTCTAATTCCATTGGAAACCGGCTGCAAGTATTGCGGAACACTTCTAGTCTATGTCTTCAATTTCCTGTGTCAGCAGAGGTATTTAAACACTCATTCTTTCTAATGTATGCGTTTATGAAGTGGCAGTTCGCAGAGATTTGGTTGGTTACAGGTTTGATCACCAGGTGACATAGGTCACAGAATAACTGGAAAACCCGACAGTACACGACAAGTGTTTTGTTCCAATATGGAAATCCTCATTAGCACGCATCCACTGAGTTTCGAATCCAGGACCTTCCGGTTAAAAGTCAGGTAGAAGAACACTTACTCGCCTACGATAGTGACTGGCGGTTGCAATATATGTACTTCACAGGCCTTAACAGATTATTTATATACTCCTTATTCCCTTGGCCATCAGAAGCAAAAACTCCATTTCACTCTGTTAGTCATTTTTAGCTGACGTCTTTACTGCTCATGAGCTTTCAGTTCCTCATCACGTGAGCTCATCTATGTCACCCTGAGACGCTCAAGTCTTCATCTCCAACTGGAGTTCCACTCGATGGTGATGTCCACCAACGGTCTCCTCAGTGCATTTTCTACCACTGTTAACTTTCTTCTGCATATTTGCTGGGCAATAAGTTCTCTATCGTTAATCCTCTCTGACCACGGCCTTAAACATGGATTAAAAAAATTCTGCTTTGTCTTTTTTTATCTTTAGCTTCTCAGTCAAATTTATCAACTTGAATCAGATATGAAAAAGACAAGAGATCTTCAACAAACTGGACTGGAAGAAATCTATTACAATCGACTGACTGATTTGGAAGTACGTGTACCAGGTTTAAAGCAAACAATGAATGAATTACGAAGCAGTTATAATGAACCAGCTAGACTGTCTAGATTAAGAGCTCAATTAGGTGTTAAAATTCAACCTACTGCCTATGAATCTGAATTACCGCCAGCAGCAGCAAGTTCAGTGACTGGTAAAATGCGTGAGGTTGATGAAGGCATAGAGAGATGTCGTGACCTACTCAATAAACACAGAGAATTAAACATCAAAATTCAGAAACGTGAAGAAACTGAATTTCGTTTGAATGATGTAAGTCATAATTTTGTTTTAATGAATAATTTTCATCATGTTTATTAAAGTGTGATGAAATAATTGTTCTCAACTACGTGTGAATAGTATAGAACTTTAAAAGGAATATTTCGTGGATTGTAGCAGTATCACTTGACGTTTTATTATTTTCCCTACTTTTTAGTTGAGTATGTGGTTGAGTCAACGAATTTACCGTTCACTTGTGGAATACGGAAGATCTGGTACAACACTTGAACAAGTAGCCGATTTCGAAGATGTACATCGACGTCTTGAACGTGAACTGCAGTCTAGAGAACCTGAATTAGAAGAATTACGCATTGCTATTAGTCGTCTATCACCAACTGCTGGAAAGTCAAGTTCACAGGTAAATTCTTTTTCCTTATTAGTGGAGAGTTTTTCGTTCGTAAACTGTTCAAATTGTATACAGTGGTAATTAAAGTGGAGTTTCGATCAGAAAACACATTCATGCGTAGTATATGACAACTACAGTAAGAACCAATCATATCAACGAACATGAAGATCTGTTAACAGGTTGGGTGAAAAGGAATTCGCTCAGGATGACAACTGAATGGAAAGTCACATCTGTCATTTATTTGAATTAGACAACAGAAACATATCTAAGTAAACACGGTTGTAAAAGTTGTTAACTTTTGATAAAAGTAACTCCTGCTTCTGAAAGATAAGTGACACCAAACACACCACGTCTGTCATCTCCAACCTTAATCTTTTAATTAATGTCATATTCTCAAGTATTATATTTGTAGGGAATTTTGTTTGATTGTTTGGAGGAGTCCATCATGAGCTGACATCAGTTAGAGAATCATTGGAAAGTCTGGGAGTAATGAACAGCTGTTTCGTCCTAAATTGTGACTCTTCACCAGTACTCACCCACATATTTGATCAATAGATAATACCAAGACAGAATATATCCTAAATCAAATTCTATCTATGATCTATGAAATTTCTTCTCCATCTGAACTTATACTAACCTTTTATTCATAGGAAGTAACATCTTCGGAGAAGCCATTGAAACATGAGAAGGTGGTAACGCTGAGGAGACTTTAAAAAACAACAAAAGACAATAAAAGAATAAAACATGTTCTATGCATAATGTATGATATTATTTATAAATTATAAAATCAATGAAGAGCTTATAACTTCCTTCATATCCGTTGTGTTTTGCCCCGGCAAATATTTACTGTGTCTCGCCTCGCTAGTGTTGTCCACCTAAATGCTAACCAACATTGTATACTAGATAAAAATGTAAGAGTTTACAAATCATGGAAAATGAGTTAATTTACTAACTAGTTCTGCAGCTCATCCAATCATTTCATTCTTCAGTAGTAATAAGTAAGCTATCTCGTGTTATTCAAGAGTTGGTTTGCAGGAATTTGATTGGTTGGAGGTTTACATCATGAGCTGACATCATTTAGAGAACCACTGGAAAACCTGGGAGTACTGGACAGTCGCTTCGTCCTGGTGTGTGACTCTTCAACAGTACACATCCATTTAGGTTCAAACCTTGGACCTTCTGGGTACAGCAACGGGTGCTTACTGATGAAGAGTTTCAGGCTAGGACGTAACAGCTGTCCAGTACGCCAAGGTTTCCCAATGGTTCTCTAACCAATGTCAGTTCATGATGAAATCTTGAAACCAATCAATCAAATCCCTACAAACCAATAATTGAATATCAATGAGATGCTCACTAGCGACTGGCCCTACTCAGGTAGGTAGTTAACTGAGTTATAGTGGTATGCAGCAGGTCGGGTGTGAGGACAAATACTCGCCGAAAACATTGGCTAGCGGTCGCGCTATGTCATGAATTGGCAGAAGCTGGAATTCATGGGCTGGCCATTGGATTGGGTCCCAGTGGGTTAATAGTCTACCAGCTTGTCTTGTAGCCGGCAGGTCCTAGGTTCGAACCCTGGTGGTTGTGTACTACTGAAGATTCCCGCAATAGGACGAAACAGCTGTTCAGTATCCCTAAGTTAGCCAATGGTTCTCTGACTGATGTCAGCTCATGATGAAATCTTGGATCTCGTGTTATGCTACTAAGATTTCTTTAAAAAACTTTAGATTTATGGGTTCTTGAAATAAGGTTATCATAAGTTCTGGTAAGAATCTTTGTAGACAGTGGAACTGAACTTTTCTCACCCAACAAGGCTTTGAGAAATTGAGGAGTACAAACTTTCTGATTTCTCTTTCCACATAAGTCATGTTTTTATGTGTGCAAACACATAATCAAAACTGGAAAATTCTAAGAAACTGAACACTCTAGTCATTACTGGTGATACGTACATAATCCAACCAACCAGACGTAAACAGTGTTCTCAACTTTAAAATTTATCGTAAAACATTTTGAAATTCAATTATTTATTGATGACAGAAAGAACTTTTTTCGTATTCAGTACTCAATACACATGAAGCGATGAAGAAATTTGTAAAGCCATTGACATAACCTTGTCGCCAGCATTCAAGCAAAGACAATTTTACATTTCACTGTATTCATTTCCCAATAATAATAGTAACAAACAATGAATTTTGCTTCCTATAATTCTCCTTTTTTCAATACCATCATTTATACAGGATCGTTTAAATGAATTAACTTCATGTTGGACACGTTATCGTCAAATAATTCAATTACGCTTAGAATTAGCAAATCATTTCTCTTCATTACTGAGACGAATACGTGAAGACGACTATCAGTACAATCTAACTGTACAAAAGATGCATGAAGCTGACAGAATGAAATTAACAACAACTGGTTTAGATTTTCATCCAAGTTGGATAGCCGGTTCTACGGAAACTCCACAGGCAGCTGAACGTATACGCAGTGAATTAAATATGACTACAAGTCGATTAGAAGAACAGCAGATACTGATTCGTCAGTTTATTGATCATGTGAGTATAAAAGGTTGACAGGGAATCTTTTTTATGTGTTGGATATGATGATGGTATGCACAAATTAACAAGTTTAATTTTCGGGTTTGTTTGCTTTTATTCAAAACGTCTGCCTTTGCAAATTTCTGCAAAATTATACCAGGTCAGAGGTGTTTCTTCTTATTCTGCTTATTAATAAAGCTAAAGTTTGTACACTTAGGATTCTTACGGAATCAGGCAAAAACGTTAATTTGATGTAAGTATAAAACTTGGGTACTGTGGTAGAGTACAACTCCATTATGGATAAGATTTTATTTTGATAAATCACACAGTTTTATGCAGCAATATTAATAAATTATCAGTTAATATTACTGTATAACACTGTGTAATTTTATCCAAATAAAAATCTTATTCATAACGAAGGGAGGAACTGAAATGAATCTACTGCTCACCAAACTAAGTACTGAAGAGCGTGAGGAAAGACAAACGATCATTCGGAAACACAAACTATGCCATCCTTGTAAATTAATCTGCGCATGACTAACTTTTATTCTGAAATTAAATCTTATCAAATTGGAGAAATTAAGGGCTGATGCAACGGTAATTATGTGAATTTTTTAAAATTGTTTTATTCCTTTACTTTCCCGGTGGAACACAGGGCTCCAAGCTGGAGGCTTGAAGTTTCGGTAGCAGTGGTGTTTATTTTTACGGGATGGGGTTGCTAGCCTCACGCCCAACCTTACATTTTTACCAGTCTTTGCACTGGCTTAGCGGGGTAAAGGAGTGCGTTGGCCGGGGATCAAACCCCGAACCACATGCACTTATTACAGGACTTATCATAGGAATATATATATATATATATATATATATATATATATATATATATATATATATATATATATATGAAGTTATAATAAAGAGTGTAGAGGTGAGAAAATAGACTTATGTTAAGTTAAAAGGACATATTGAGGGTCAAAATAACAATGGAGACCACTAAACCAAATAAGAGAGGTAGTAGTACATCTGCTATAGTATCAAAACAAAGTTTACCAAGGAACTGTGATGACAAATTGTCTTTGAACGCATAAAGGTGGTTTAAACTTCCTAATCGTCATCTAAGGCTTCTACAAACTTTAGGATACACCCCAAACACGTTTTATAGATAGGTTTAGAAGATGCGTAAACATCAATATTATGTCCTATCTCTGTATTATGTTTTGCAATAGAGGAGCTGGGTCTCCTGTTCTCACCATTAATCCGTTACGGCGATTCTGTTTGCTTCAGAAGACATTTAGGAATATGCTCTGAAGCCCTTACTTACACACATAGATGAGTCCTCCCTGTGTATATGTGACCACGCGTACATTCAAATTGGTAAATACAGTGGGATATGACATCATTTTTCGCATGTTTTAAGGGCTTATATGGATATATTCATTTCATATTCTCAATTAATATGACCTTAGCTGCACAAAAACTCTTTCTAACCACAGTGTTCAATCTTTGTCTAATTGTCAAGCTTTTATAATCACCCACGTACACGTCTTTCTCAGCGGCGAGTTGGAGAGCGGGTCTTGGTGTGCTAACTACTTTATATCCCCTGATGAACTTGTCTGGATAATTATTATCAACCAGAGCTTATGACAACTTTCTTTCTTCCTCATTATCAAGTGTGTCCTCATTGTCTATACGTTGGATTCTACCAAAGAGGCACCTTACTATGGCTCTTTTGTATCGAACACGTCAGAAACTGTGATAATTAAGACAGGACAAATATGATTTACAGAACATTAAAGTTACACTTCCACAATTACCAGTTTATTACACTGTTATTGTATTTACAAAATAATCATATATTTAAGAGTTAACAAATGTTCATAATTTCTCCAATTCGTGATAAAAGCTCCAATGATTGATTTCATGAGAAAATCAACACTGAAATTAATCAGGTACGCTGAAAAAAATCCCTAGAATCTGAGTATTAATCTCCCGCTCATCACTGAGATCAGGATGGATAACCTAAAGTTATACTGAAAAGTTGTGGCTCGGGGATACCACCATGTTGGATGTAAGGCAGATTCTCATCATTGGAACTAGTTGGCCGTAGCGCTACATCGCGAAATAACAGAAGTTAAAATGCATCAGCCATTAGACTCCAACGTGGTGGCTGGATGATGGTCAGATGGTTGCCTTAGTAACCTTAAGGTCTTGGGTTCGGTCCCCTGTGGGATTTCTAGTAATCCCTACTGAAGAGTCCCAGATGAAAACGAAACAGCTGTCCAATGCTCCATAGTTTCCAACGAATATCTAACTGATATTGGTTAGTAACAAAAAAAACACATTGAAATTAACCAGAAAAATAATTAATCCCTTCTTTCGAAATTCAGAAGCCTACTCATTGGCGCCGAACACTATTAACAATACACTTAGTTAGTACATAGATTTTGTACATACACTCACTTATAATTGTTATGTGCACGAAATAGGTTGATTCTTTTTAAGTGAATTTTCTTTCAGCAATTTTCCAAAATGATTTTAAATCAACAAATGACAGTTGTCTACAACTTTTATCGTTTTTCTGCATACATAATAACTCTTTGTGATATTAACAATGTTTACAGATTACACAGAGGGCTGATCAAGATTTGCAAATCACAGAAACTGTGCATTACTGTCAAGTTCAACTGGAAGTGAATAATAAACGCTTGGTTCAACTACGTGAATCATGGGATAATTGTCAACAGCTCTGGGACCAGTATAAACTTGCTCAAGAACAATGGGAAATATTTACAGAAACAGCTCGTAGTGTAAGTTACCAGTTGTATGCTGTCATTTTCAGAGTGTTGTTACTTTTCAATAAAGTATACTGCTCAATGAGGAGGATTCACTGGGTTTTTTTTCGGTTTTCAAAATCACCTTTATTCCACCTTCACAAATAATAATTATTATTTATTATTATTATATCCTTTAATTCCTACAGGAATATAGGGCTTCAGCCACGCGTCTCCATTACCTTCGGTTTTCTGCCAACTTTTTCACCCCGCTCCAAGTCTGCCCACATGCTTTCATTTACTCTTCACATGACCTCCTCCAAGTCATCCTTGTACTGACGACCAACTCGCCGCTTCCCTTTTGGGTTCCGCTCGAGGGCTTGTCTAGTGATGTCAAAAACTGAAGCACCAGGCTACAAAGGACATCTTCATTGCAAACATAAGGGACAAAGCTGTGTTCAAATCCTAGGTACAGCTTTAACTCAGCTTCCCCAGTGTCTAAGTAAATTTGTTATTCCATGTTGGCGTTTCTCAACTAATAGTATTTCTTATTGACAGAAGTATGTTGTGTTGATCGGTGATACTTTCGTATCTAAGACTACAGCTTATGATCAAGGCTGGAGTAGTGGTCTTCAGGGAGATGGAATTGATTTCTTGGTTTAATTGCTGATAAAAGTGTTGAGGCGGTAGAAACGGCAAGGAATACAATGCATGGGCTCTTTTACGTATAATTATCCTTGATTCAATTCAGATTTACATTCACCATCCTATCACCTAATGTTATAGAAAGCTAATTTTCCTTAATAATATTTTTATGAAATATTTTATAGTTGGATGAAGCGATGACATCATCACTTTCAAGAATGTCACGAACACCATTACCAAGTCAACCTTATGAACTTACTGAAGCGTTGAAAGTGCATCATAATGAACGTAATGAAATTGATCAATTAACACTGAATTTGAAGACAAAAGCTCAACAGTTAGGTGCAATGGTTGGCGCTAGACCAGATGATCAAGATCATAGTAGACAAGGTTGGCGATTTGTTGAAGCTGTTGATGGTTCATATTCTGGACTTGCATCTTCAAATATGGGAAAACGTATACGTTCTGAAATGTGTATGCAACTAGCTGGTTTGGAGACAAGATGGAAAGCATGGGATAAGGCATGGACATCCCGAAGTATACAGTTGGAAAGACGTGGTACACATTTTGGACATTTAACAACAATAGAGGTAATATGTTTGTTTTCATTTGTGAGCCTGCGGCTTGAATTTACTACCGAGGAAGGTTATTATACTTATCATTTTGAATTTGGCCTCATTATGATTTGAAATATGACCACCTTGTTGGTTAGGTTTATCTTATTGACATGGAGTAATCAGTTTTAGGCTTTTTATTACCACAAGCAGGGCTTTTATAAACTACTACTAGAATGAGAGAAACCATGCATTATTTAACCTGTTCGTGCTCGTTGTTCTGAGAATATTTATACGTACTTTCACTACTAATTAACTGCCGTCTTCCAACTACTTTGAAAATAAGTCATTTTATCAGACAGTAGGAAATTCTATAATTAAGTTTCTATAAATTAAGGGTTTGAGTGGGGTCATCAATGGTAAAGTCATATCACCCCCCTCCAGCTTATGTAAGATTATAGTTGAATAGTTCAAGGGTCGAAAATTAAAGGTAGTCAGAAGGATGCAAAACGAGTTACAGCGATAAATCTGTTACTTAAAGCTGATTAGGACTGAAAGGCACGAAGATAAGTAGCGAATTTCACACAACCAAATCCTCTGATTAGCTTGGACAAAGAGAGAACGAATATATTTGAAGGATAGGAACTGCTCATTTAGTTTTATTTCACAGCTTGTCATCAGCTGCTAGCAGCCCGAAAGACAGTGAAAATCGTATGCCAGCAGTCTGAATTATTCTCTCATCCTCAAGACGAGCTGAGAAAAATGCCAACTTAAAGATTCATATATATATATATATATATATATAGCCTGCTTAAATTTGGGCTACCGAAAAATCTCATGGATATTTTACAAATATTTTCTCCCGTTCAGTTTGTTTAAATCTGATAAAATATGATCTTTAACTACGTTTTATACTTTGACGAGTACTTAATGTGCTTACAACTTGCTGATTCGCAAGTTTTTAGTTATCGTGAGGAAAACCCTATTTGTAGGGCAGAGAGCATTGCGATGCAAGAGACAGCTGTTCTTGGGTTGTTTCCTTGGTTTACAGAATCGGGTAAAATTAAACTTTAAGTACCACCAACCACCAATTAGCGAATGACTTCGAACGCACCAATCACGTGAAGGAGGCACTTTTGAGTATGGAATACTTGTATTTATGAAAAAAATACATAAAAACTGTATAAGAGTGTTACAGAGGAAACCTTTCTGTCACATTTGATAAAAATAACTCTCAGTCTTAGGATGAAGTATCAGAGGTGATAACACTGTAAGACTTTATCAAAATAAATGCTACCCACAATGGAATTCTACTCTACCACAGTGCACAAGTTCTATTCTTATACCAAAAGGGTAATTTAACCACATTCTATGCATGTAATTATTTAGGTTTCCTAAGCCTAGCCCTAACGTGAAAATATATCTAACTAACCATAATCTAACCCTGTCACATTTTATAGGTCAACCTAACCCTAACTTGTCCTTGTCCTAAGCTGTAACTTAATCTTTCCCAAACCTAAGCTGAAACTTGCCAGATATCCCATTTAATCAAAATAACTCTCCGATGAGAAGATTTTACTGATGATGACAACATTATTTGCCAAGTTTCACTAACTTGCTCAGTGCGCGTTTCAGGGTCATTGGTGCGGCCGCACTCCATTGGTAGTCAGTAGTGCTTGAAGTTTAACTTGGTCTAGAATGGATTCCTGAAACATTTCTAATTGCCACTCAACCAAATTACATGCATTTACCGAAGAAGACGAAGGAGAGACATAATTCCTTGGTACGAGCTCCATGTCAGGCAGAAGTGTTTCGCGAGGTCCACCGTCACCTGATATTGTATCAGAAGATCCTGGATGAAGAGAAAATATCATGCAACAAGCTATGCTGAAAATTTTATACAGTGTATAAACGCTGCAAAATGCAAAGCTATTATTGTTACTATTATTAAGTTACGATACACTTACGTATATATTAAGTTGATAGTAAATTCTCCTGTTATGCAAATTTTATTTTACAAGTACATAAAACTATGGCCACCATAAAAATTAATAACCCATCACATTCGTAGTTATAATGTCTTTTTCGAAAAACCAGCTCAGCCCACCTTTTTTACCATATGCTTAGCCGATTTTCCACTTAGAATTTAATAATCCCGCGATGTAAGTCTCGAGAAAAATAAAACAAAACATATAGATTTTTTTTATTTCAACTGATGTCGTAGATCATGTTTCCACTTTCCCCTAGTTTCACTGACTAAATCATATTGTATATTTAGATTAATCTGAATAGGACTATGATAGCGAATTTCTTTTTTACTACCTTATTTATCCCGTTTGATGATTCATTCCACTAAAATGTGAAGTGATTCATTAATATTTGTGTTTTAACTAAAATTCCAGTGTAAACAATTTTCTTCATATTTTAAAGGGAATTGAAGAAGAAATAGCTATGGCTGAGAGGAAATTACAGGAAATCATGGGCACGGTTTCATTGACTGCACCAATTTCTCAAGTTCAGATGGCTGATAGAGAACTCAGTCAAATTGAGGCTACTGTCCCGGTAAGTATAACATATAATAAATATTAATTTAAGTATAAATTAACTACTGTTTATTAGATAATTGCTCAGAGTTCAATTTTGACTAGTATTCACATTAAGCAGATAGGGTTTAAAAATATGGCCAACTGATTTCGTTTTCACAAAGTAGCTTTGATTTACTTCTTCTGCTGTGTACAACTCAGGTACTACTGTATTAATTGAGATTTAAGTAAAAGGAGTTAGTAAATTTAAGTTTATTCGAGAATATTTGTTAGTGGCTGTACACATGAAAGTCCTAGTAGCCAAATGTAAGTCAACAAAATTCCTAATTCCCCTCGCTTTATAAGTTCCCCAATCAGTAAGATGTATAAATATGTAAAACATATTGTGGCGCTTTATGTTCTATAGTTTGGTTTGTAAGGATTAGTTAAGTTTTTATGAGTTGATCACGGATTGATATCAGTTAGAGAACCATTGAAAACCAGGGAGTACTGGACAGCTGCTGTTTCATCCTTGTTTGGGAATCATCGTCAGTACACACTCTCTGGGATTCAAACCCAGGACCTCCCGGTTACAAGGCAAGCTCATATACCATTCAGCCACTAGGACCCGATTCAATGGCTCATGAATTCTAACTTCTACCAATTCGTGATTAGGTGCGACCCCAACCATTGTCGTTGGTGGGACATCCATCCACACACGTGACATCTAAATGGACCTCACTGGTCACGACTTCTCTCTAGAACTCCAGGAAACTCTATCCTGTAGCAGGTCACTAGCGAGCATCATATTAATTTTCTATAGTTTTGGTTTGTAAGGGTTAGTTATGTTTTTTTATGAGTTGATCACAAACTGAATGTGCTGTTATTGCGCTACACTTGACCAGTTTAACTAGAACTTGAATGCACTAGTACCCACTCAATCAGTAGCTTAAGCAACTTGTGGATTCTAATAACTAAACACACTATTCAAAGACCAAATTATTTAAGAGTGCTCTCGCAGAGGCAATATATTTGAACAGAATAAATGCTAGGGTGACTTTTGGGAAAAGGTTTATCAACTTATCTGGCTAATATGGGCTAAACCAGTAACTCTAAGAATGTGAGAAATAGAGGCAGCGCCTGCTTGAATGTATATTCAATAAAAAGGCGTAAAATACATTCAGTAACTGGAGGCGAACTAGCAGCTGAATTTGTTAACGCAATTATTTCAGTTGAATGCATTTACTTTAGGCAAGGTGCATAGCGACATAGAAGCTGTTGAAATATCTGAAGATGTTCTTTATGGTATTTGCTTACCCCAGAATTAGATAACTGTTATTAGAGGTGATAAGTGATTAGGATGAAGAAACTATCATAATTGATTAGAGAATATTCTTGAATTTTTAAAGAGTAGAAACTCTAGGTAAATTTCCAGAGTACTTCTTTCAATATCAGACAGTCTAGATTGGTGTTGCAGATGTTGTATTTCTCTCTATCCAGGGTTTTTACAGTGCGAGGGAGAGAAGCTATTTAATGCTGTCTTCAAAAATCCTATTCTTCATAATGATTGATTTTATCTAATCGCCAAGTAATTAACTCTACTCTTTACCTAATTTTACTGCATTTTTGTGTCATTTTCATCACGGATTTAGGTTCTACGAGGCCGTATACATTCAAGTGCACCAGATATGAGACTGCAATTAATTCAGGGTGAGCCATCACCAAATGAATATACTGGTGCTAATATTGATCTAATGGACGTCACAAAACGTCGTCACGAGCAACTTGAATCACGTCTTACCACATTTACAGAAGAAACTGTACGCTGTCGTACAGAAATTAGTTTAACACTACGTCTGTTAAACGCTGTCAGTATGGCTGAGAATGTGCTTTCACAAATCACATTCAATTTAGATAATGTTAAAAGTCGTATTGCTGAGATTTCACTACAAAACACCAGTCAAATAGAACAGATTCGTTTTGAAATTTCTGAACAAATTAACCGAGGACGTGTATTGGCTGATACTCATATACCTGTATTGGAACAATTAGCTTTTCAATATCCCCGACGTAAGTTTCTTGAAAAATTGTTATAACATAATTTGATAATTATTCAATCTTATATTTCTTTTTGAATAAAACTCCCCAAGTAGTTTGTGATGCAAATAAGAATCTTTGAACCCCTGATTCATTCTACCTGTGAATCCGTAAAGTATATATAGTTATATCAATTCTGTGTATGGAATCAAAGACATTTACATCTGTAGTTATCACTGGATCAATTTTCCCTTCGCTATGTCTTTAATGAGAGCAACTTCCTTTCGTTACTGTGAAATATATAACGTTAAGATACGTCATTAAGAAACTAGATAAACACTCTTGGATAGATAATTTGTGTGAATTATTGACTGACCTTTGTCACTGCCTGTTTACGATCAGACCAGTCTGCTAAACGTGACCTATCCTATCTCATCATCAATAACTTTCGATTTAAGAACTGGTAACCTCCACCACGGAGGCTTTTGTTACAGCCATACTTGCCCCAAGTGGATTTAATGAAACCTCATTATCTGTCATTACTGAGTACATCACAATAATACCATGTCTATAGGAAGAAGAAAATACAACTGTACATTTTCAGACATTTAACATACAGGTTTGCTACGTGCTGTATGAACACTTAATGACAGACTTATGCTTAGCATGTAAGGTTTATCTTACTGAACGAAAATCTTATAATTCCTTCACATTCCCAGTGGAACATAGGGCACCTTCAAACTAGAGGCTTGAAGTTTCCGTAACAGTGGTGTTTACTTTTACGGGATGGGGTTCTAGCCTCATGCACAACCTTCCCTCTTTACCAGTATTATTGCTGGCTTAGCAAGGTAAAGGAGTGTGCCGGCCGGGGATCGAACCCCGAACCACATGCTTGGTCGGCGAGCATTCTACCCCTGTGCCACCGACGTACTCAATCAAATTAGCCCGTCTGGGAAGAAATTAGATGTGCAACTCATAGACTGAATGTCGAATCACTGAACCAGAGTATTCGTCTACAATTTTTTTCTGTGAATCTCTCTCAGTGTATCATTATGTTTAATAGGTAGGCGAAAAGATACAACAGGTGTTCATACCTTGCTTCCGCTGGCCTGCATGTATTGACGGTAGGAAAGACTTAAATGGAAAGATACCACAGTTTTAAGATAGATTTTGCTACCAACCAATGCCGTCTACATAAATACTGAAAACTAGGCAGCAATGAACGATCAGGGACATTCAATGATGGTTCATGTGTATAGCTAATTAACAGATGATGAAGGAATGAGTTATCTGATTCTGATTCGAAGGTCAAAAAGTAACTTGACAGATGATTAACTTAATTCCTTACTGGAGTTTCAAAGCTAGGCTGAAGCAACTGCCAATCTCTTACACTTTCAGTTATTGTTTAGCTCTAACTAATTTTCGAAATCTACCCTGGAAGAAGCTAAGTCTAGATAAACCCAAAATGTGAATATTATCACTAGTATTCACCGCCTCGGTTTATGGCTATTCAATTAATCTAAATTTGGTTCCGGTCATGCAGTAACATTAGTCCGGGAAAAAACTTTTTAGGATCTATGAGTAAACAGTACCTCTAGCAGTGGAACATTCAGGCAACTAGTCGAAATTATCCAATCTCGTTGCTTACGTATTTTGTGAGGAACCTTTCACATTTCAAGTAGTCTCTTTCAGTGAACACGATGCTAGTAAGTGTATGTGTCTACACTTTTTCTAAACGATAATGTTTATTTAGAAGTAACATCCAAAAGTTGGTATAACCAACCTCCTCAGTGCTCAGTGAACTGATGCATTTGTGTTATGTAACAAAATTACTTCTACTGAGTTTTATCAAACTATCTCTTAATCATTCTTATTTAAAGCTGTGGAAGCCAAACAACTTATACAACCACTTGTTAATGGATTTCAAACAACTATAAACAATCTGAATCAAATGTCTGATGAAATACGCGTGAGAACAGAACAATTTATTGATTTACAACGACCGCAAGGTATGCAAGTGGCTGGTGATCAAATTCGATCAACGTCTATAGTAATGCCAGTGCGAGCGAAACCACCAGTTATTACCAAGCCTTTAGAAAATGTCACTACTGAAGAAGGTAAAAAGGTTGTTATGGAGACTAAATTCGATTCAGGCCTACCACCAGGTGAGTATTATTCTCAAGTGACAATAATAAATATAATTTTCAAACTAGAATGTTTATTTTGTCAGACCATGTTATTTGATGCTAAGTGGTTTTAAGCGATGGGCATCAAGTGAAAGAGCACGGTGATGACGAACCAGCAAACTTAGTGATTACATTACAAACTTGGCTAATAGAATTCAACCACCACTGAAGACTTCATGCATGATATTGGTTACCACGAAGTGATAAATCAATGAAGCTGTAGTCATTTATGCAGGACGTTAAACAACATTACTCGACTTTACCTTACAGTGGATCCTGTTCCGGAATTGTATATGAAGTAAGCTTCACAACTTAGATTATATAGTGACACTTAATGGTTATTAGCCGCCTTCAGAAGTAAGCGTGTTGGTTGTAAATCGGCATTAAGCGATTTTGTATATGCCTTTATCACTGAGATTCTAATCTTTAGAGGCGCAAAAAACCATCAGCGTCCTCCTAACTAGCACTGACAAGCAATAAAGTTAAGTCAAATACATTTTTATTTTGACTGATTTCTAAATATTAGCGATAATCTTAAAAGAGCTTTGGTACGGTCCATATTCACGAGACATTGTTTATACTCAGTATAGAGTCAACCATACCGTCACTATACACAAATATTTCTAAGCCATGACATAATTCAAACATTAAAGGTGAGAATACAGACTGGATGGTTTTTTATCTCCAGAATTCAAATTCCATTTCTTCTGATTCATTTACACCATTCCAGATGCGAATCCATTTGATGCTAATCAATTACAAGTAACTTGGTACAAAGATGGTTTGCCAGTGGTTACACCAGATTATGAAGTAAATTTAACTCCTAATTCAGCCAGTCTAAAAATATCTGAAACACTAACTGAAGACAATGCAGTGTTTTCATGTCATATTAGCACACCATACGGTAAAGCTGAGACAAGATGTACTTTAACAGTAATCGAGCCAATCAGTCCACAACCTGCTGATGAAAGTTTGATCCAGCCGACTAGAAGTGTTAGAGAACAAAAGCCTGTTCGTGAAACTGGTGAACCACCTCAATTCATCAAGTTAGTCTATTATGAATATGTGAATTCCTTTGCCATGTTATTCTTTTTTTTTTTGAGATAAAGTTTTTCTGTATAAACGAGTCAATGACTCACACTTTTTGAGAGATTTTATTCATCCTGGATTAGATAACCTTCTTTCAGGATATTCGGTTTCAATGAATGAAATACTGCCATTTTGAGACATAAGAAAAAGACGTAAATAGCAAAGACAATTTTCTTTTCGACGATTCATTTTCGTAAGGTGTACAATCGTTATTACATTTAATAAAGAGTTCATAAGACCAATCAGATACTGGTAAAATTTGTCATCGAAAACGTATTGCGTAATGTAAGGTCTAGTGTAGAAGGGGTGATAATTGAAAATTAGAAAAGGAGACAGAAGTCGGCATGACGTAATGAGCATTAGAAAACAACCAATCAGTATAGTTGTTTTGAGTGAACAAGAACCAGCGGAAAGACCATAAAGTGTTATGTATAAATTTTCAAGTAATGGTTTTGTAGGGATTTTGTTTGATTGCATGGAGGATTTCACCATGAGCTGACATCACTTAGAGAGCTATTGGAAAACCTGGGAGTATTGGACAGCTGTTTCGTCCTCGTTCGGGACTCTTCAGCAGTACGTACCCATCGGGATTCGAACCCAGGACCTTCTGGTTACAAGGAGAGCTCGTAGACCACTGAGCCACTGGGACCCGATCCAGAAGGTCCTGGGTTTGAACTCCAGTGGGCGCGTTCAGCTGAAGAGTCCCGAACTAGAACGAAACACCTGTCCAATACTCCCAAGTTTTCCAATAGTTCTCTAAGTGATGTCAGCTCATGGTGAAATCCTCCATGTCTGAAAATGCGATATGATTGATAAACAATAATAGAGTGATAATAAAATGAGGATGATGAGAATAATAATAATCGTAAAATTACATAAAAAAAATGAAACAAAATTATATTGAGAACGTTACTCTGGCCACGGTAGGGTGAGGGAATGTATGTGGTGCTTTTGGATGCAGAGGGCTGGTTTCAGATCCCGAATAGCCAAGGATTTAGCTATGTACAGATAATGTATTCAACGTCTTTTCATATGATATTGAGAGACTCTGTGTAGCACTGTGAAGCATTCATGCAAGTTAGGGTGCTCAATGTCCAGAGTTGACAAGGGGTTTGAGGACGGAGCTTCTAGATTAGGCTTTAAATGCACATTTTGCTGAAGAAAATGCTGATTATGCAATTATTATTGCTGAATATCTGAATCATTTTCAGAGATCTTCGCACTTCGTCAACTTGCTTTCATGCGTTCATATTAAGACATGAGGAGATATTATAAGTTAGTTTCCCACGTGAGGACCTGGAAACCAAACAGTTAACCCTGATGTAGATTAGAAATCATTTCACTGGATTTTAACTAGTGTATGCCATCAAGTCAGACTGCTTTCAAGTAGTAAAGTGAAACCAAGTCACCTGAAATATTTACATTATGTATAAAATGTGAGAGTTTTGATGTCCTATATTAAGAACAGGGAGCAACTGACTTTCAGGTAGGCTGTGTCAATGGCGTTAACTATTTGCAAATTCATTAATAAGCTGATCCAACCTCATCTACTATCGGACTCAGGAGTTCTGAACCCTATATAGAGACTGAGGATAACTGAACAATGAGGCTTCAATCGCTAACTTACTGGCCACTGATTGTTTTCTCATTCCGTAAAAAATTATAATTCGAAAAGATGCTAAACAGAACAATGTTACAACAAATTTTAGCATTCTTCGTCACTAAATGTTATACTCAAAAGTACCTGCATTAACTTTAGTAGTAATAAAAAAGTGCAAGAAAAATTGTACACGGAACCCTATCATTCCATGCTTTCAGTTCATCCAAGTTCACCTAACATTATTTTTTTTATTTGTTTGACTTATCACATTAGTTTGAGATATCTCCTTTAGTTGAAAGCAACTCAGACACTTTCCTAATATAATGGTTCTTTCCCATCAAGACTACACAAATATCCTTATAAGGAGACGTTGGAACCAGCCCATTATTCCATTTCAGTTGTTTCAGTTGACTGATATTACCTTCATGAAGATAACTCGAATTGCTGACTGACCTGTACTGAAAATAATGTCTAGGTTGACATCAAAACGTTCAACAGTTTAAAAAACCCCGTCAGAAAATGAAAAACGATGTTACCTTAAGAAATATGGGCACGTTAACTTCAAAGTATTGATAAATTTGATTTAATTTTCATTACCTGGTTTTACACCGGTGACTTTTTCTTCCCTTACAGACATCTCAAGTCGACTTATATTGACGAAACTCAGGAACTAGTTTTAGACTGTCAAGCTATTGGTCAGCCTGTTCCATTCCTATCATGGTATAGAAATGATCAGCTGATAGATCAGAATCCTGATTTTAAAATTACTCAATTGGCCGGATCAGGAATACTGAGAGTAAGATCACGATATTGATGACGATAATACTAATGATAATAGTACTTAAATATATTAAATTATGTTAAAATTTATATAACTAGTTTAATGTTTTGTCTGTATTTTTATGATTGAGTTGGCAAGTTGTCTTACTGGTCTGTTACCTTGGTTTAATAGTCAACAGTTAGTTTTTTCTGTTCTCATTTGACTATTTCGCGGAATAGTAAGTATCACTATTCCCCACGTCGGAAGGTATGGGTTTGAAGATATCTGTAATGCCAAAACTGTTTGTAGTGGGATGTAATCGGTAATGTTCACATTCTGTCTTTAAAAATTGTATCACTGATGTGAACTACCGCATTCCTACTTGAATCTCTCTTTTCCCAATAGTTGCGAGGTTTCCTGTTCTTTGACTTACTACAATGAGGACGTGATATAAGCATAATTAAACAGCGCCTATAAGTCTAAAATGAGAAACTATGCCATCCTTGTAAATTACTTTACGCATGACTAACTTTTATTCTGAAATTAAATCTAATCAAATTGAAGAAATTAAGGGCTGATTTAACAGTAAATATGTGAATTTTTAAAAATCTTTTACTCCTTTACGTTCCCAGTGGAACATAGGGCTTCAATCTAGAGGCTTGAAGTTTCTGTAACAGTGGTGTTGATATTTTTACGGGATGGGGCTGATAGCCTCATACACAACCTTCCCTCTTTACCAGTCTTATTACTGGTTTGGCGAGGTAAAGGAGTGAGTCGGCCGGGGATCGAACCTCGGACCGAACACGTGGTCACCGAGCATTCTATTTCTGTGCCACCGACGCGGATGTGTGGATAGTTGAAATTTAATTTTCTGTGTGAAATAGCATCAGACTTTCCCGCCTTCTATACTGTTGGGAAATTTAGCTATCAGAAACAATGGACAGGATCAGTCTACCTCTGTCTGTACATCAGATACACTAATGAAAAAAAGCGTGTTTCTTCAATGATCATGATAAAAATCCATGACACACAACGAATCCAATACAGAAGTTTATAACACAATTTAACAAATGAGGATGCACCAGATTGCAATAGGCAGTTTTAAAAGTTTGGTTATTCATTGCAATTCACTTCGAGTATATCTCTATTTGATGTTCATATAGTCTGTATTTGACCATCAAGCTCTAAATTCCAACTTCTTTATACCATGCGGTCTTCTATGCTGTGTAAATTTCAAATCATAAGCACTAGTTAACCGAGGTTGAGCTTCGTAACACATTACCGCTGTTCTCTGTGGAATTTGTTATGAGTTCTTAAGATCTTCTGCACACAATATGGTTTTTTGTTCGTCAATATGAGTATATCAGATTATAGATGTATCCGTTATGGACAGTAGTATGATAATTTTCAAGACATTCTGGTATAATTTATATTAAAACCGTTTTTATAAGAAATACGTTGTCAGGAAAGCCCCCAAGATGGTGATCTTTTCCTAATCTGAATACTCTGCTGACTATCAGACTATTCTGAGATCAAGAGGATCTTTGAATAGTAACTTCCATTTCATTGTCTTAACTATTCCTTGATGTATTATAACCCGTTTTCCGGTCGCATACCTGCTATTCACTGGCAAAAAATATCTGTAATGTCAGAGAAATTCACACCAGCTTGCAGAATCACATTTATGTCGCCTGGTACTTCAATCAAAGAAATTCCCACGAGGATATTTATAAGTTTATCAACTATGTCATGATTGAGAAAAAAAATCCATAAATACGACATTTTAATGAACTGCTTTCTCGCATTCTTTCTCCATAATGTTCATACAGGTTCCACAGTGTCGTGTCGCTAGTCATTCAGGAGTATATGTGTGTCGTGCAATCAATCCACTTGGTGAATGTTCAACAACCTGTCAGGTAAACATTAATCCAGCTCAACCACCGGAAATTATTCAGCCCTTGCAAAATTTGAATCTGAAAGTTGGCGACAGATGTAAACTTACAGTTCAGTATAAGGTGAGAAAGATGTTTAACCAAAAGTAACTTACGAATATAGCAACTCAGTGTTTGAATAAATTTGTATTTAATATTAGCAGTTACCAAAAGGAAAAACATTTGAATGTGTACGAGCCTGTGTAGGAAGAGGATGGACTATGAGTTTACAAAAATGTATATTTCTCATAGATACAATACGTATTAAGTAATTGGTTAACTGCACAGTTAAATTATTGTTTAGTTGATATCTCAATAACTTTTCCTCTCCCCTTTGGGCTTATTTCGTTATACGTCATAATCATGACACTTAAATTTACTGATAAGTTTATTGTTAACTATTTAACTGGTTCGAAACTACTCATATTAGTTAATCAGTAGTATATACCATATGTTAGTTTGTTTGCTTTCTTGATCGCTACTTATGGTATCAAGCAGGTCACACATTGCAAAGTTAAAAATTCTTGGCTTTCGAAAGAAACATAAATGAACTTTCGCCCCGAAATATTAAGCTGAAAAATGAGAAATTGAATTCTATGCATTACCATTTCACACAGGTAGTTAACAAGAAATCGGGCTTCTTTAACTTATCCTGCCTATTTGTCACACCGATGATGAACTTGTCTCAGGATTTCATTATGAACTGACTTCGGTTAGAGAACCATTTGAAAACTTAGGAGTACTGAACTTCTGTTTCATCCTAGATTGGGACTTTTCATAAGTATGCACCCACCTGCAGGGGTTGAATCCAGGACCTTCCGGTTACAAGGCGAGTTGGTACACCATTATACTTATGAGACACCATCCAATGGACCATCGGTTCCAACTTTTGCCAATTCACAATATGGAGCGACCACTGGCAGAAGTTACAATTCATTGGCCATTGAGTAGGGTCCTGCAATGCTTAGTGGTGTACGAGCTCTCCTTGTAACCAGAAGGTCCTGGCTTCAAGCTACTGGTGAAGAGTCCCAATCTAGGGCGAAATAGCTGTCCAGTATTCCCAGATTTTCCAATGGTCCTCTAACCGAAGTCATTTCGTGATGAAATCCTGAAACCAATCAGATCCCTGCAAAACAACATTTGGATGAGATTTTCAATGGCCCAACAACTTATATCAGTCACATATATGTACCCTTATGCAAACTGAATTGAAAGCTTAATGTTTATGAAACTGTAATAAGAAGGTGACTTAGTCTTCTGGAAAATGTAGGCAATTTTGATAGTATGAATGATAACTTTTGATCCGCTAGTCTTGCATGACAAATATTGACCAACGATATCAAAATGATGCCCCCTCCCCTATTATTGCAATCATCTCCTTATCTTAACGTATGCAGTTTAACTGAACCTAAATTAGAAAAAAGTGGAAACAATTACTGGTTCATTCCACTATGTGAAGTACCATTATTATTATTAAAACACAAACTTGGTACATTATGGACACCGACAAATGCAGTGCGAGGGCTTGAATACTGCTCAAATGCCTAAACCGAAGTAGCTTGTTGTCTTAAGGAACCGTCACGCAAAGTCTTCGACTTGAAATCTGATCCTCGAGACAGTGGAGCAGCTTCAAGAACTGCGTTCCTATTGTTTCCGGTGACCAAGACGAGTTCATAGGACATTCGACTAGTTCAGATTCCGGAGCCCTTTTATGCACCATAGGCTTTTGAATCAAGATTTTTCAGCTCTCCGAGGTAAACCAGCATATACACCAGTCCGGTTGTTTTGCTCCAGACGATCGCATTTGCCATTTTATCGTTGTGAAGGACATCTCCTTTGCGTGAAGGCGGTGAATAGGACTTACATGCCGGAGGCTATGAACGCTGGCCACATTTCGACAAGAAGACCGAAGTCTACCCAAACTCAGCTGTAACAGATAGTTTATGAGGGAAGGGGAAGCCAGAAGCTTATTTTTACTGAATGTGTTGGGAATATAATAAATGGACCTAACTATTCATTACAAATCCAAACAACATGACAGCAACAGAATTCAAAATAGAAATATTTTTGGCATCCAGACTGACCAGTAAAGTTTCAATAGGCAAATAATGATCTAATGAATAATAAAAGCTCTTTTTTACCTAATCACATGTGTTGTTATGTTAGAGGTACTTCAGTTTATGCGCTTGTTATGAGATAAACAGTTCAAGTAAATCAACTGTTATTGTTTTTTTTTAACACACAAAACAAAACACATCCAACAGTTGGTGTGATCACGGACAGTAATTTTGTTCGAAATATTACTGAAAACAAAAACTTATTATTGTGCATAAACTATTGAAATATAATTATAATTTATTTGATGATCTACTCCGCAATGCTCAGTACTTTTTACTTACATTAAGAAATAATAAGGCCCAATTTCTCCCTCTCTATTGCACATACACACACTCTCTTTCTCTCTCGCTCCAACCAAATGTTTGAAAAGGTTATGCCGAGTTATTTTTTGTTTATCCCCTCACCTAAGCGATTAACACTAACCATTATGTAATTATCAGTTTACTTTAAATAGTGCATTAATCAGAGTAAGTTGACCTTTAAAGGTTTCTCCCGAAATAAACAAAATTATATTGACTTTATATTTGATGAAAAGAAGTTTTTGTATATGAAAGCGTAAGCGCAACAATATGGTGTATGATAGATTTAGTTTAGTTTTGGCAGCATGGTGTAGTACTGCGTTATTCCTTTGTCTGCATGTTCAATCCTGCTGATCATCTTTATTCATTATTATTAATTATATTCGAACCTTGAGGTGAGGTAAATTCTCACATTTCAAGTGACATGGTAGGCAGTACAACTTTCCCCGATTTACCAATAAGTGAATCACCTTGTTTATTCAAAGTTGAATATACTGTTTTTATCTTAGAACTAAGTTCATACTAACACTGTGTATCCACTAGTTGACAATCCAATATCCAATATCCAATATCCTGATTACGAGCTAGTATAAACCAGTGATTTCTTTGAGCTCGCTTCTTGATTGTGAGGTAGAGGTTCCAGATCTTCGGTGAGCTTCTGCGTAGTAAGTCCCGACACTCGACTGCTTTAGCTCTGGTAGACTCCAGGAGGAGTGGTGCGGGGATTGGTCGAGATGTGGTTTGTAGTATGCAGTATGTTAGGACTGTATTGCTGCCGTGAATGGAGTTTGACCTAACTCCCCTTGGTCATTCGGTGTAGTCATAAAAGCAGAATAGTAATAATAATAATAATAGGTTGTAGTGTAGATAATATAGGTTGAGATAAGTGGAATAATAAAGGTGACCTAAGGAAAAGATAGAGTGAGAGAAGGCAGAATAGGTCGTGGGGATTTAGTTTGTACGCTTATCATTGACAGTGTGGTTTCAAATTTTATGAGGATAAGCCATTGAGACACAAACCTTGCATTTCTGCATGATTGTCTAGCTTCCGCTTAAAAATCTCCAGAGATGGCGCTGTAGTCACGGCCGCCGGTAAAGCGTTCCAGAGACGGCAAACACGAAGCGAAAAGAAATGTGATCGCACTCGAGTCTTTGGTCTCTGGTGTGCTATCCTTAGCGGGTTACCTCGTGGAAGCCTATAATCGCTTAATGGCAGGATGCTTTTATTTGGGTGGGCCTGGTCATTTAGGATCTTGTAGACGGTGATGAGGTCTCCCCTGTGCCTACGGTAACTAAGTGTGAAAAGACCTAATTTCTTTAGTCTTTCCTCATATGATTTGTTGCGGAGGCCGATCACCCATTTTGTCGCTCGTCTCTGGACACTTTCTAGAATGTTAGCATCCCTTTTGAGTAGCGGAGGTGCAATGATATTATGCACCTCAAGGTGTGGCCTCACATATGCCTTGTATAGCCTTAAGAACAGTTCGGGAGTGAGAGCTCCCAGCTGCCTGTGCATAAAGTGTAATGTTGCGTAGGCTTTGGCGACGTCCCTCGAGTAATTTCCACTGGTGTCTAGCTTTTCTGTTAGAATAAGACCTAGATCACGCTCTGATGGAACACAACTCAAGTTCTGGCCACCAAGGGTGTAATTTACACTCTGTGACCTGCCGGAATGAAGCTGCACTACTTTGCACTTCTTTAGATTGAAAGGCATTCCGTTAGCCAAAGCCCAATTTCCCAGAGTTTGCAGGTCAGCCTGCAATCTATCTGAGTCTTCCGATGAGTTTATTGCTCTCCAAATCTTTACGTCGTCAGCGTAAAGAAGCGCAGAGCAGTTTAGTTGGGGGGCAGGTCATTGATAAAAATCAAAAACATCAACGGCCCTAGGATAGAACCCTGAGGAACCCCTGATGCCGAGGTGTGCCAGGATGATCGGATGCGGTTGACTTTGGTGCAGAATTCTCTCTCGCCTAAGTAATCTTTCAGCCATGCGAGAAGTGCTCCAGAAACTCCCGCCTTGCCTATTTTGTGAAGGAGCAGACCATGGTGAACTGTGTCGAATGCTTTCGCAAAGTCGAGAAAGATCACGTGGGCTGGTACCTTTTTGTCCCAGGATAGTGTCCAATCGTTCCAGGCTAGTAGAAGATTCGTCACGCAGGATCTTCCCCTCCTGAAACCGTGCTGTGCTTCGTGAAGAAGGTTAGTCCCATCGAAGTATTTTCTCATGTGGTCGTCAATGAGACTTTCCAATATCTTCGATACCACTGGAAGTAGAGCAACTGGTCTGTAACTGGTCACATTCTGCCGGTCACCACCCTTGAAGATAGGGGATAGGATTGCACGTTTCCATTCACATGGAAGTTTCCCTACATCAAGGGAGTGTTGGAACAGATCACTTAGGGGTTGACAGAGACTTTCTGAACACTGCTTCAGGACAGATGGTCTGATGCCATCACAACCTGGAGACTTTCCCGAAGCCAACCTTCCCAATTTTGCAAGTACCATAGCCGGGGTAATTTGAAATGTCCCCAGCAGGTTTTCGTGTGTTGGTTTTGCGATGTAATCTGGATGTTCTGTAGGGGTAATATCCTCGTTACTATTTAGTTGCCTGTGAAAGGCTAGGCTGAATGTCTCTGCCATTTCAAGACTAGTAAGAGATTTCCCATCAGAACCCACTAGATTGCATGCTCCCTGGTTGGTCGGTTTTCTTTCGGCCATAAACCTGTATAGGCTTTTGGGGTTCACGAGAAGCTTATTGGCGAGGTCTCCCTGAAATGTCCTTCTATCGCTCCGGACTCGTATGTTACATCGATTCCTGAGTTCAAGGTACACTTCATATTCGGGTTGACTCTTCGATCGTCGCCACGCGAACCAGGCTTTTCGCTTTGCCTGCAGAAGGCGTTGTGTCCCCCTTTTCAGCCATGATCGTTGCTTCCTAGCTTTTGGTGAGACTAAAGGAACAGTGTCTGAGACCGCCTGGTGAATGATCTCCTTTACCACTCTCCAGTGTTCTTCTACTGTTAGCTCTGTCCATTTTTTAGGCCAATTTGCTTCAGACAGAAGTCTTCGCATTTTGGTGTAGTTGGCTTTGTTATAACACAGATAGGGCTGTGTATTGTCCCACTGTAAGCGCTCGCGGAGGACTATGTCGAATACTATGACCGCGTGGTCACTACTACCTATGGGAGTCGTGATCTGAACGTTTTCCACTAGTAGCTGGTCACTAGTGAGCACGTAATCCAGTCTAGAAGACTTCCCATCAGGGCCCCATCTAGTATCCATCTTGACATTTTCAGTGAATCCAGCCTTCCTGATGGTATGCAGCAGATTTCGATCAAATCTATCATGGGCTTTTCCCGACACCAAGTTAAGAGATGGGGCATTGAAGTCACCAGCTATGACAATTTGATCATAACCCATGTCTTGAGTTGCTGAGATTGTATTTAGCAGTACCTGGTTGTGGTCTGCTCCACATGAAGGTGATCGATAAATGCTGCCCACTAGATATTTGCAGTACCCAACGGTGAAGTGGCACCATATGGAGTCAGGGAGCTCTGTGAGGGGAGGGTCCGTCGCGTGAACACATCTGAGCTGTTTGTCGACGTATATGGCGACTCCACCTCCTTCTTTCAGGTCCCTATCTCGCCTGACTAGGACCATATCATTTATACTGACTTCGCTGTCTGCCACCGTAGGGGTTAGCCAGGTTTCCGTCAGTATTATGATTTTGGAGTTCAGTTGTGATTGTAGGTGTCTAAGTTCAGCTATTTTGCCTCTTAGCCCTCTCACATTACTATACAGGCAACTGGTAGTCAGTCTCACCACTTCCCCGTATTGGGGGGTAGTTGACTTGATATTGGCTATCGGTTGAGGAGTTATCCTACGAACTAGTTGGCCGATTCCCCAGGAACCGGCCTGTTGGCGTTTTTTTCTTCTAGTTCAGTTGGAGCACTCGGATGACACTGGCTATCATCGTCCGTGCTGCACCGCTGTAGTGTGACTAGGGGTTGAGGATTTTCTTTTACTACGCTTTGTTCTCTCCTTTGAGTGCGAGGCCGGCTCTCGCAGCAGCGAATGTGTTTGCTGACCTTGTCCTTGGTCTCGTACCATCTATGGAGAGCGGTATTCAACTGGTCTTGGGAGCTGAACTTGACAGCTAACAGACGTGGCGAGTTAATTGACATAAGATGAGTGGGTCGAGGCAGTCTATAAATAGAGACAGCCCCTGAACTTCCCAGGGCCATCTGGGATGCTAACCATCTCCATTGTTGTACATCATGACAATGCTTTTCGCAGGCGTTCCCAGTTACCAGTTCGGGAATGCCATGCACAACCATGGAGGCAGAAGGAATGAGCTCTGGCGACTCCCTCGCCATTTGTCTTTCCTTCCACGGCCTGTCTGGCTTAACACGTATGTTACAGGCCCTCCCTATAGAAAGGACTTGAGAAGCCAGTAACACTTTTTCAACATCCTCGGTAGAGCCCAATGTTACCCTCAGTGGGGATGGTTTGCCTTCAGGTGCAGCAGTGCCCCTATACAATCTGCATAGATTTACTGGTTGGATGTCCAAACCCAGTGTGCTACTCAAGATGGACCACTGTTCCTGATCAAATAGGGCCCTATCTTTCAGCAGACTACTGCTACAGTCTGGTACATTAAAGAGGATTACACAATTTGATCTGCTAACCGTGGGCTTGGGCTCGGTCCTCGCACGTTTGTGATCACCTTTAAGACCGTTTTGGTTTGACTGGTGCGACTGGGTATTTTTATGTGTCTCAGTGCTATAGCCAGCATTACTGATAGACGGTTGGGGTCTTTTTCCAACGACGGAAACCCGTGGTTCTCCAGCCTCTGTGTCTGGAGCGGTTATGGCAAGAGTTACAAGTTTAACCGGTGAGGATTTTGGTATCCCCGGTTTACGCGCGTTTGTACTAACTTCCGGATTGGTGGGGGTCGAGCTTTTCACCTTTTTCCCCGCTACTTCTGTGCCATCTTTAGTTTTCAAAGGACTACGCGAGGCTACATCAGGACGGCAACTCGGGCATATGTACCAGAACCATTGGCATGGGTTTTTACGCATAAAGTCATAATATGCTTTTGGTACCCCACTGTCGCATCTGCAATGCACCCATCGGTTGCAAAAGTTACATTCGAAAGCAGAGTCTGCTTGTTCGACAACAGAAGCACAGACCTTGCAGTCGTCTGTCTTCTTGGGGAGCGTTCTTGTCGTCTTGCGACGTCGTGAACGTTTCTTTTTGGCCTTCCTATTTGTTTCATGGTCTACCATGGGGATGGGTGTTATGAAGTTCTCACTTAGTGCAATTTTCCCACTCGGATCTGTTAACCTAGTCGTGTTAACAGGGGTGGAGCCACATCCACTTGGCTGACTTTGCACAGCTTCACTGTAGGACTGTGGCGACATGGGTAATCTGTACGAGCTGGGAATATTAGCCCTGGTCTTCAGGACCGGTATGCGTGAGTCCATCACCTTCTCCTGTTTGCCTAGTTTGGCTGAAGCCCTGGTAACTACAGAGTATGATGTCCCATTACTTATTTTAGGTTGAGAATCTATTGTCATTTTACTCCTAAATTAATACTGGTGATTAAATAATAAGAGACTGTTATTTTGTCCAATAGACTTACAGCAAAAGACAATAGAGAGCACAGAAAAGAAGGATAAAGTATTTAAGTAAAAGCTTTAGACTTTACCTGTAACTTTCGGGTTATTCGGTTTCACAGCAATCACGTAACAGACCCACAAGTCCTGTATATTTGAAAGAGTGAGGAGGGTGTTGCTACAGAAGTAGCACCTGAAGCTTTGGCAGTAGTTCGAGACAGCGGGAAGTACCACACACAGGCTCGGTGAGGAAGAAATGGTTGAATAAAAATTCGCCGGATAGGAAGATCAGGTTTCCCAAACGAATAATTCACAAAATTGGATATTTCCGGTTAGAGAGGAAAAAGCACGTCTTATTCAAGGAGCGCGCTTCTCAGATGGGATTTAATTAAATATGTGTGTTCTAAGTTGGGAATCCTACTAATATGAAAAAGTCACTTGCCAAATACTAAACAGTGACAGCAATCATAAATCTTCTCAAGTGTTGCCTTGCAGGGATTTGACCGATTTGAGTTTTAACTACGAATTAACTTCAGTTAGAGAACCATTGAAAACCAGGAAGTACTGGACAGCTGTAATGTGTTAAGACAGAAACTCACTGATGTCGCTGACTGATTAAAGGTCGTGTTATATTGGCAACTGTCAGAAGTTTGGATTGATGGAAACTGGGTCGCAATCCAGTTACTGAATGGTCAATGAACTTGCCTTGTAACGTAGAGGTCCTGGATTCGATCATTGGTGTGGCCCCGTGTGCCTAAAAACAAGGATGAAACATCTACCCAACACTCAATAATTCTTTAACTAGAGTTAGTTTATGATCGAAACTGAATTCATAAAACCAATAATCTAAGAATATCACTCGTTTTTCTAATTGCTTGTAACGCCTAATATGACTTCCAAGTTTAATATTTACTACGAAAATCACTGTTCTTAATGGCTCCTACGGTGATGTAGTTTGTCGGATTAAGCACCTGGATTCCACCTGATAGGTCGTGAATTTGAATCTCGTTCCACTTAGTGCAGCCTGGGCATCTGAGTGGTATCATCAGCCCTCGTACAATAGGTGTTGCTCTTAAACAGGTTCATGCAACATCTGATACGAGTAACTGACTTCAAACTTAATGACTTATAGAACAGATCAAGGACTTGGACCCATTTCATCAGCATCTAGTTCTTGTCAATATTCTGGCTAATTATACTTTATTTGAACTATTTCACAATGCTGAAACTTTTTACTGACATTAGTAATAAATATATCATCTGTATGACGATTACAAGAATCCAATTTGTCTGTTATACTTTATACGAAATCACGCTGGATAATCCACAACGAGATCATTCATTTGCCTACAACAGATTTCATTGGGTACGAAATGTATGCTCATGTTACATCTCCAAAGAAATTCTTTGAAGATAATGAGTTTGCTTTACTAATATCCTTTGGCTCAGGAATTCCATTGTCTGCATCCTTCGCATTTTGGTGAATAGTGATGACAAATTAAAGCATACCACTTCCATCCTAATTACATTAAAATTTCCTTAATCAAAAGTAAATTTGAAGACATTTTTCGACTTGTTTGTGTGAGAGTTCAACTGGCCATTTTGCAACTCCATGGTAGATGGTATTAAAAATGTCTAAGATTGAGCAAACAGGGAGTCCTTACTTATATACTTTAGACAGAACATATGGTCGCTATGTGTTACCTTCAATGAAATTAAAAGAGTCAGGTGCACCCTTAGAAATTATTCCTTACTATTTCAGTTCCAATCTATTTCGTAAAGTAAATTTTTTTGATATTTGTAATATCAAACTACTTATATACATAAGTAATATCCAATCGAAAGAAATTAACTGTTTCATTTTTTAAAAATTTATTTCTAAAGAGTGCACTACCAGCTGTAGTGGAATGGTATCACAATGATATGCCAATTCAAGGAGAAATAGGCCGTCGACGTATTACAATGGAAGTTAATAATACAGTCAGCCTACATCTTCTTATGGTGAGTTCAACTTACTTTATTTACAGTCATCACCACTCAGCAGTTATCCTCCTTTTCTTTATAGTTTTCAGTACAACAGACACCGACCTGTATTACTTCAGAAGGTGGCCATCTGAAACAGCATCGGTGGCATAGCGATGTAGTGCTCTCCGACCACGCACGTGGTTTGAAGTTCGGTTCCTGGCTGACGCACACCTCTGCCTCGCTAAGCCAGTAATATGACTAGTAATGAGGGAAGGTTAGGCATGGGACTAGCTACTCCATCCCGTAAAAATAAACACCACAGCTACCGAAACTTTAGGTCTCTAGCTTGAAGCCCTATGTTCCACTGGGAACGTAAAGAAATAAATAAATCGATTCTATGCAAACACAAAACTTCGTCTTGTTCTTATTACTGCTATGATCTCTGAGTTAGAAATTCCATTTGTGAAGTTCTCATTGTCCTTGCAGACAAGCTCTTTAACACCGATTTGATTGTGAAATTATCTAGAACAGCAGTTACAGGTTTTCATCCCAACCATCTGGTTGACCGAACACAGATGAGCAGATGAGCTACATATTTCCACCTTTATCCGTCTTCCTATTTCTTTCATTTTCTGCAAAATGATTTGAAAGTAGCAACAATTAAGTGAATACAACAAGCATATCTCAGAAACAATTATCCAGTGTAGTCAATTGTTGACTTGTATACATTCATCCTGCAACTATAAGAGACAGTGCGAATGATTGGGTGGTCAGTATGCCTCTGTTAGCAACAGATAACAGTATACACACAAGCATAATTCCTAGAAGGTTGATTATAGATCTCTGAAACGTGACTGATCAAATACTAAGTCCAGTTCACCAAGTCTCATTCAGTAGTAAAGTCTGTGACTTGAGAACACAGTGATTTAAGTTCATTGACTAGAATAGTGAATTCCAAAAATGCTTTCCTATGGCTGACATAGTAGTGTCATTGTGATTGAACACTAGTAATTAGTGTGATGTGTCTAATCATGTCTTTGGTGCAGACTGAATTCTATCAGTCAAGTTTGTAATGTTGCCATCATTCTAGGTAGCTCTCCATCATGGTGCACATTGATTTGATGATATTAGATGGTTGGAGGCAATCGGCAGGAAGCCTTGGACCTAGGACTAGACACATCACACTAGTTACTAGTGTCCAATCACAATATCCACTATAGTCCTACAGAAGGCCGGTCGCCAACTCGAATAGCTCAGTGGTGACGTCTCCGACTGTAGTACTGGGTGGCGCGGGTTCGAATCTCAGAGAGGACGTATATTCTTTCAAGGTCTCAGACACGTCTTGCTGATGAGTGCCAACTAGCACGAAACCTAGATCCAAGGCTTCCTCCCGATTGCCTCCAACTATTTAATATCATCAGTAGTGTCATGTCAATTAGCTTAGTAAATATGCTGCACAAGTGAATGATTGATTTTAATCACCACTTCCGAATCTGTGGATGCAGTGATTACCATTCAAGGTCTTATTTTCAAATTTGAACTGTCCTGAATTCATTAAATGGACATAAAAAAAAATCTAACACAATAGTGGGAATGACGAAAAGGCTCTAAGCATTAAATCTGTGTCTGCACTAATTAATCTTCAAGGGCACCTATTCAACTTCATATGAATTGTGTGCACACCCTGAAAAACACCCATAATTATATGAATGTTTCTGATTCTTTTGTGATATCATGTAGACCTCAAATGAAGGCGTATTCGACAATAAAACAAATCCCCCCCCACACACACACATTTGTGCATTCCCTTCTTAATTATCCCTCACATTAATTGAAACATTTTCTAGAAAGTTATTATCAGTAGTTGACTGGTTGTATGTATTTATCTGGTGAATATAAGTATGATTAGAAAACTTTTGAAAATGATTCGTCTGCAGGAAAATTTTCATTGCTGTTATGTTTGCATTTTTGGAAATTTTCCACTCTCAAGAGTTGGTTTGTAAGGATTAGATTTGTTTTTACGAGTTTGACCACGGATTGATATCAGTTAGAGAACCATTGAAAACCAGGGGAGTATTGGACAGCTGTCTCACCCTAGTTTAGAATGTGGTCCGAGTGGTCTAGTGGATAACGCTTTGGCGTTTGAAACTATGGGCACTGGGTTCGAGCCTTGGTGGGAACATCATCACTCACTGATTGGGGAATGCAGGTACATCCGGATGACGAGTCCCAATCAGGACGAAATGCGCATCCTGGATTCCACCGCTAGTCAGCATCCACCAATTAACCTCTAGTTTAGGAATAATCGGCAGTAGACACCCAGTGGGTTCGAACCCAGGACCTACCGGTTACAATGCAAGCTTTTATACCATTCAGCCGCTGGGACCCGCTCGATTCAATGGTCAGTGCATGAATTCTAACTTCTACCAATTCGTGATTTAGCGCTATGTCATCGGTGGGAAATCCGACCTCACACTTGACCGGTTGGAGCACACTGGTCACAACTTCCTTTTCATTCAAACTAAAATCTCTGCTAATGTATTTCGAAGTGCTATCCTATTAATTAATAAAATGGCAACCTGTAAACTGAACTAAATTATCAACCTTTAACAAGTTCAAGTTGCCAAACTTAAGAGATGGTATCGATGTAATGAAACTAAAAAATATGATACAAGAGAAATCATAATTAAATGAAGATTTGTCAGTACTGCTAACCAGCTTAAAAAAGACTTTTCTTTAAATACTGCCTACTGAGCTGCATTTCTGTAACAATCTGTATAAAATTACTTACATTTCTCTTATTTTCTATAAATCTAGTGCGATGTTTACATTTAAAATAAGACCTAAATATTGACAGTGTTTGAAATAGCAACATTGTACTACTATAATCCCCAGGACTCTAGGCCCTTATCTGTCAAGTCCAGCTGACACGTACATTTTATCTGATCTTAGATTGTTCCATTTTTTCTACAAACAGTCACATAAGTAAAAAAAATGTATCTATTTGTTATTTTTCACAGTAACTTTCGAGGTGCATTTTTCTATTACATTTCAACTTAAACAAGCTAATTCTATGGCTCCTCTCCTCAGGTTTCTGAATTAGAAGGTGGAAAGTATACATGTACCGTGCGTAATCAAGCAGGATTTGCCACAACAAGTTGTAGTGTGACAGTTCATCCTCTGGAGAAACATGAACCTTTATCACCATCACAACTATCTTTCCGAGCAACAGCTTCACGTCGCAGAAGAGATATTCAACTTGAATTTGATGAGGTCTTTGAACCCTCTAAAGTTCCACGTGTAGTTCAATCTCCGACTGCAATTAGAGGTGCTATTCCTTACACAAGCCCCCAAGATTTTCAAAGAGCAGTTTCTGTACCGCCTCTTACTACAGTCTCTGTACCACTGAGGTGAGTGGAACAGATTTTTTAAACATATGAAAAAAAAAATAAAGTTTATTACTTGTTTTGAAACCGTTTTTGCATATATATATATATATATATATATATATGAGTAAAATAAAGAGCTATATATGCATTGATTTACACTTTTTCAGCCCACCACTTAGATCGGATTCGACTGCTTTATACTGCTAATAAAAATGACGAGTTAGGTGGTAAACATATCACAGAACAAAGCAGTTTACATTGCCAATGCATCACGCTATGATTATCAAAGACCAAGAATTTAATAAATTTAGATGTACTGAAACTTTCCTAGCTTATAATCGCTTATTTAATGTAACACCATCGCTTAACTAACTCAAAAGCTTCTTTTATCAGTAAATTCTAACTTTCATCTTCTGTAATAAACACCTTGACTGCGAACTTCTTGAAATAATGCACAACTGTATAACTTTCCTAAAATATTCGGAGTAGACGCATTGGCAGTGAATTCAGCTTTACTAATTCAATCTGGCTATAAATATCATGTGCTATACCATAATATAATTCATGTACTCTTTATACAATTATCTGACCAGAGATTGGACTCCAAAGAATGCTTAAACCACCACAGAATTCACACCAGTGACCTCTGGACTGACAGTTCAGGACCTAAGAAATTCAAGCATAAACGTATAAACATTATTTGTGGAAAAAATTCAAGTACTCCCGCCGTTGTGACTTACTATGAATCTCAATTGTTATCTTTGAGTATCTTATGTACTAGCTTGTCAAAATGACCTTTGTCCTTTCTTGTTAGCATATCACATTTATCTTATTTTAATTGTCTTTTTTGAATCAAATCAAGAATGCGAACGCATGTTCCTGAATCGCGTCCAGCATCAGATTATGGTAGACCGCCACAGTTTCTTACACCTTTACAAAATGCTGAGGTTGATGGACAAGAGAAAATCAAGCTGGAGTGTCAGATCACCGGGTTTCCAGCACCAAAAGTAAGATTTTCTTCCCTCTTAATTTTTACCAATAATGTTTTGAGTATGGTTTCAAAAAATTTAATATTTTTGATACAGAAGTGTAAATGGGAAATAATAACTTTCAGAACTGGAAATTCAAATATTTAGCGAATGAATTTAGCTACGAATAACCTACAGTGATGGTTCAGTGGTAGAATCTACGCCAAGTACGCACGTGAACTGATTTTGATTCCCTGCCGACGCATTCCAAAAGCTTGCCTAGCCTATATTTAGCTTGGAGGTTGAGTGTGAGGCTGGCTATTCTAAGCCGTAAAAATAATACCACTGCTATTATAACATCAAAGCTGAAGTGTGGTGCCTTATGTCATACGCGGAATGCACAGGAATTGAAAAACCCACAGAGAATGATCTGATATTTGTATTAAGATACCTGATGATGGAAATCATTTTTAATCCCCCTTTGACTGATTTTACCGAACTAAAATAGGACACAGGTGCATCCAGCCAATGAGTTTTTATAAAGACGAATGTTATGTTCTGAATTCCATTTTTAGCCACCGTCAATCAAATAACATCCTGAAAAGTCATACCTTGCAGAAGAGAATGCATATAACAAACCCACTTCATGTTGAAGTCTTTGTTGAAGACACTGTCTAGAAAGATCATTCAGCCCAGACAGTATATAAATGGCCACATCAGGTATTTGTTGATGAATACGAATTGCGCTTCTCAGGGAATTGATCAGTTCTAGAATTAACCTCTAGTGGAGTCTGGTGCACTCTAATTACTTCATTTTTTAACACTGGCTACACTGTGCTACTGACACACGTTTTATTAGAATGCTGGAAGTTAGATTTCAAATATTAGGTTCATTTGTGCATTCATTCTATGGCTATATTATACAAAGTCTCATTGTTTAGTCAAGCTATTGTAACACCTATACGAGCTAATCGTAAACTTCATCTAAAAATATAACAGCTTTTTTCCTCAGCTTTAGATAATACGTTTTCAGTACAAAAATTCTTTCGTTATAGTTGCAAAACACAATTTAAGCTAGCAAAATTATAACTTTCAGTAATACGATCGAATCCGTGTGTACACAAGTGTGATTCATCAGTACTGGTAAAGCGGATATATATATATATATATATATATATATATATATATATATTCATGCCATACCTCAGATTCTGGACGAATATAGAAACTTGCCCACTCACTAAGATGGATATTTTTCTCCTACTACGGTGAATATAAGTGCGTGGTTGTATGACAGCAATATTGCCTATATTATCTAGCTGAATCATCATTTCATTTCACTCTTGTACAATTTTCAGGTGAAAATAAATATTCAGAGGGATATATTAAGGGGAAATAGAACTTGTAAAGCACATTTTGAATACTTTAATTCTACTCATAGCCCACTAGCTTTCAATTTTCCCTCACATGATCTCCTTCCTGGTGCCATTGGGTGCCCTATGTGTTTTTCCCTATTCCTCTTCAACTCGAAAGTTTGAAGTGTGATGTGAATCAGTAGTCCCCGGCAAGTATTTCCAGTCCATCTCCTTCTGCTTATTGTTTTGTCTGGTTTCCCACCAGAGTTCCTTTATTTGTCATCCTTTCTGACCATCTGTTATTCAGTACAGAGTGAAGACAAACGTTGTTGGGGCTCTGTTGCTGATGCGCGAAGTCTCTGAGCCGTATAGGGACACTGATTTGTAGTATAATTTGTCCAGCCAAGGTTGATTAGGTTGACACTGAAGTAAAAAGGATTATTATTCCTATTGTTTCCTCTAGTTCCTAGAGGAACATAGGAATTCAGCCGCACGTCTATATTACGTTCGGTTCTGTGCCAATGTTTTCGTGTGGCTCCACTTCTGCACACATGCTTTCATCTCCTCTTGGTATGACCTACTACATGTCGTCCTCGCACTGACGACCGACTTGCCGCTTCCCATTCGGGTTCCACTCGAACAATGACCTGGCATGTGATGTCACCTGATGGTTTGTTTTCTCAGAGTATGGTCAATCCAATCCACCTCTATTTCTTCCTGCCTATTTGTTTCACAATCGGTTCCTGCTGAGTTGGTTCGCTCATTGCCAGAGATCCCTGTTGCTGATCTTTTCTGGCCGGCCATCTGATCTTGAGGGGTATTGAGCGAAGACAGCTGTTAATGAAGGTCTGAAGTTTGTTTGAGATGCTCTTTATGACTCGCCAAGTCTCTGATCCGTATAGTAGCACTGACTGACTTTACATTGGAGTTGAAAATCCGGATGTTATTTTTGATGCTGAGTGCTGTTGACCTCCACACAGATTTGAGAGTAATGAAAGCTTGTCTTGCTTTTGCAATTCTGGCTTTGATATCCTCGTCAGTTTCATCCGCCTGTAGTTGAAACGATGCTTCCTAGGTAGGTGAAGGAGGCTGTTTCTTTCAGCTTCCTCCCATTTATACTGGCTGATTGTTGTCTGTTGTTGTTGTTGTTGCTGTTGATGTTGGCTAGGAATCTTCATCACCTCTGTTTTATCTATGTTGACTTGAAGTCCTATCTTTGATGCTTCTTCCCCCAACTTGTTGCTTTACACTTGCATATCTTCCAGTTTGTGGGAAATCAGACATATATCATCGGCGAAGTCCAGATCCCCCAAGTCTTTTGTGTGAGTCCATTTCATGCCTGTTTCCTTGCTGTCCGCTGTCTGTTGTATTATGCAGTCTACAGCAATCAGGAAAATCACCACAGATAGTAGACAGCCTTGTCCTACTCCCGTCCTCACTTCGAAGGATTCCGTGAGTTTCCCGTTGTGGAGCGTTGTCGTACAACTGTAAGATGAGGTGTATAACTGTTGGTGACACGACATAGTAGCAAAGGATTAGTTAAAGTAATTATTAGTGTTGATACGAGACATAGTCAAAAAATCTACAGAAAGGTGTGAGTATTTCCAGTATTTGCCTTTCTATTTTAAACACAACAGGGAAGACAAGAATTAGTAAATTGACGTGCAATTTAGACGTTGATCTAGGTTTACTGTTATAAAATACTCTATAAGAAAGGACAGATAACTGCACAGAGCCACCAAAGAAACCCAATATAAATACACATAATCAGAATAAACATTCATCTAAAAGTTTGTTAGAATGTTGAATTACGTTGATCACAGAAAATTCACCAACATCTAATACCAATGAACTTCCACCTAAACTATAGATATCTAGTTGACAAATAAAATACTTTCCAGTAAACCACTTACTTAAGCGAACACTCAATAAATGAACAAGAAATGATCAACTTAATTATACGTGTGAAGCTTGAATAGTGTAGTATTATAAATTTCCACAATAATTTGTTTATTGGATATATAACACAGTGAATAATCAACCTATTCCTAAACCCTTTTGATACCATTTCTGATTCGCAAATATTGATTAGGATGTACATAGACACACAGATTAAAGAGGGGTCATTGCGCAACAGAGTATAATAGGTCTAGCTGACCCATTTCGAACTAGTACATTGAACGCCAGTCGTTTTTATGAACATTATATTGTTATCTTGACATGAATCATTGTATTCTTGTGTTGAGTCTTAGAAATCATGATAACTATAGAAGTGAAATCACTTCTTTCGACTTCGATGTCAATCCTGCTATACTTATATCAGTCTTTGATAAAAATTCTCTTTAGTGTAGCAGTGTATAGCTTTATATTCCTCAGCTTGAACACTTCTCGTTAATAAGAGATAAATAGGATTAGTAAATAACTGTCTATGTTTGAAAAGGACGACTAAACTAACTAAACCCAGGTAGCTAAAGCACCACGTTAACAAAATGAATGGTATATCTCAAGTATGATGTTTAGTTAGTAAACATTATTCTGTAATCTGAATGAATTTCAGTAATACAAGAAATGTATATGAGAGTCTCAGTGCAAAAATAAATACAATTAGCAAAACTTAGACTATGGAGTCAATTAATAAAAGGCTGTGGTGAATAGTGTTCGTATTCTGTTTAACTAGCAGATTCAGATTTTACCCATAAGTTATAATTTTTACATTCTTTGATACAATGATACACAATGAAAGCAATATATCTTTTTTTTATTCTGAGATATTCTTTTATTTCCAGGTGAGTTGGCTGAAAAATGGTATTCCGTTGGCTAGATCGAATTCGTATGCCATCCACGAAAATGGACAATATCATAGTCTCGTTTTCTACGATGTGTTCATTGAAGATCAAGGCGAGTATACATGTGTTGCTGAAAATCCCTATGGGAATGCATTCAGTTCTTGTAGAATGGATGTTGAGCGTAAGTTAATCATACTGATAGTAAACCTTAACAGTGATTGTTAATTCAGAAAATATTGTTATTGTACCTCGAATTCTTTTATGTTTTCCAAGCGAGATAAATAAATTCTTTGGTTGCAATTCCCCTCTTCATATATACATATATATCACATTTCGCTTCTGGAATGTTACTACATATTATTATATAAGTGATAACCATAAGGAGTCATTCACATGTTTGACCTACTTAACATCAGAAATAACACATTTAAAGATAAACTGTTTGGAATGTTTCATGGGTTTTATAAATTCCTGAAATTTATTGAAATGTAAGTATAAGCAAAGTTGTTCTCTGGGTCGAAATGCTTTGGTTTTAAAACTTATCTGTGTTATGCAAGACTGCAGTTATTTGCTGAAGCCTCACTGATAATGATACCCTTCATGAGGCTAAAATATCTGACAGTCAAGAATTGAATCCAGTGCTCAACTCACTATAACATCTAAATCACCAAATAAATAACTCTAGAGGTCATTACTTCACTTTAAACACTTTCTTTTTGATTCTTTATCTGTCTCTATCTTTCAAACATATCCATTTTAGCTATTCACACCTCTGAACAGCCAGTTGATCGTGCACCGACAATAGTGAAGCCTTTACCAGCACGTTTATCAGCTGTCGAAGGTAATTCACTTGATCTGACTTGTCAGTTTACTGGTCGACCAATACCAACAGTCGTATGGCTTAAAGATGGTAAACAGCCTCAGTCTTCAGTTAATTTTCAGGTAAGATTATTGTATTTGTCTGTCTGCCAGTTTGTCATTTATTTTCCCAAGTAACTTCAATCATTGATAATGTTCCACGTAATTTAGTGAACAGGTAATTTGCTTTCCCCAATCTCATATCCACAATGGGTTTTTACGCATAATTTCAGAGTGATTAAGTTCCACTCAAGATCAGTTTCACCTGTAAGACACTTGGCAGACCTACTGAAATGCCATTCAGACGAAATCAGAAGAATATAGTCCAATGGATTTTGAGGAAGTATGTATTGTTGTGTTGAAGATAAACACATGTAGTAACACTGGGTTTTACAAAGAAAAGAAAATTGTAACAGCAAAACTTTTTGAAGATCACTCACAAAGCTGCATACCGATACATATATATATATATATATATATATATATATATATATATATATATATATATATATATATATATATATATAGTAGAACTGACAGAAGGCATATTCCAGAATTACTCCCCATAAGGAACTGAAAGCTGGATGATGGAAGAGGAAGCAAAATTTGGAACACAAAAACAAACAGAAAGTGAAGGAACATACCTGGTTACATATTGAATGGACCATCTAGAATCTTCAACTCTTCATCGTATCAGAGATAATTGTTAAAACTAGTTTTTTGCAGAAGAGGTTTCGGTTCCAGCTTTTAAATCTCACTAGTCCTCCAATTAGTTATAGATGCCTTTGTTTAACTCCTTTTATTTGGCTTGGACGAACTTAGTAGGAGATTGTTAAAATCTCAAAATGAAGTATGTACCTTGAATTCACATAGTTTTCCGATGACGAAGTAAGGACACATTTCTTTGTGTTAGGTTAACTCGTGTTTACAAGACAGTTATATCAAGAAGTGACTGGTACATTTGATTCGCTTAAGTAAGCAGGTAATTTTTTTTGTTGCAACTGAAAAGTCCCTTGCACGAGAAAACAATTCGAAGTATAATAGCAACGCATGTTCTATCCATAGATTATGATAATCATTATCTCTTAAGAATGACTGACACTATACCATCATTTGTAACTCAAGTTCCAATGGCTTTAGATTTTCATTTGTGAATCCGGGTGGAAAGTCACCTTTCACTAACCTGTATTTTTTCTTGATCTTATCGGGTGAAGAATAGATAAAATTCCTCTAAAAATTTGATGGAACTGAATACATCTCTATGGAAACGAATTTTTTTAATAAACAAAGGCACTATGCATTTCTGTATTGGAATACTAACAGCCTTAATCTGCTGTCATAAGGCAGAGCATATACAGTCAGGAGAACAGTTTTGTTATGTGTATGGCATAAAGTGGAAGTTATGCGATTGTTCATTGGTTGAATAGGTTAGTTAAATAAATGTAACGCGTAGATATGAGTGTTTATTTCCAAACAATCTATCTACACAGATTTCTTTTGCCGTCTGTACAAGCAAGTTCTAATTCATTTTCATGAATCGTAATGTAACCCAAGTTACATTTCTCCCTTCAAGTCTACGTGGAGAGAATTGAATAGTAGGAGGTAATACTAGTCGGTTTTACGTTACGGACACTTCTTGTTGATGGATCTCATTATTCACAGATAATAGATCGCACGGAGATTGCTGTTAATTACAACTTGTTATTCGAATTAGAAATCTAGTTAATTCATGCATAATCCACATCCAGGCATTAATGAAAACAAAACACGTAGCTCAGGGAAGACTCAGTCTCTTTTCGGCGAACTCATTCACTTAGCTGTACAATCGCAATTATATATACTTATTTTCGCATATGTGTGTGTATGTTAGGTTTGTCCGATAAGAATAAAAATAAGTTAGGGTTGTTTTTGTCAAGACATTTCAGAAATGTGATGAGTAATCAATTTACAACTAGGTGGGGTGAAGATTGAGAATAGTGTAGTGGTGAAGCGTTGTCATAAAACGTAACTATTAATGTTAATCAACACATAAAAAGAGTTGAATAAGCGTAACACAGTTACGTAATAAGATGAATAGATTAATGAGTGAGCTGTGACCAGGATAACCATAAAAACAAAGGGAAATAAGGAATTTTCAAGTATTGATTCTTTTGTAGGGATTTCTTTTGGTTTGATTGGTTGAAGGGGTTCATCATGAGCTGACATCGGTTAGAGAACCATTGGAAAACTAACTGGGAGTAATAGACAGCTGTTTCGCCCTGGTTAAGGACTCTTCCGTAGTACGCACCCAACGCCACGGTTCAAATCCAGGACCTTCTGGTTACAAGTTAGAATTCATGGGCTGTCCATCGGATCAGGTCCCAGTGGCTTAATAATCTACGAGCCTGCCTTGTAATCAGAATGTTCTGGGTCCGAGCCAATGGTTCTCTAACTGATGTTAGCTCATGATGAAATCCTTCAACCAATCAAAATATGAAATTATGTAAGGGTTAATTGTTTAACATACTGGTTGAGAAACTAAATTTATAAAGGACTGCTTCTTAGAGGACAGAAAAAGAATCATTACTCAGGATTTGTCACGTCACTATGAAGCCGAATCTAACCGAGTACATCACTAAAGAGTTCGGTCCCACAGCTTCGAAATGGCCATCCGATGTTTCAAGCATTTTTAGTCTGGCTAGCAAGCCCTCTTGTTAGACGGGATTAGTTTCCAGTCACTTATATCCAGTAGGTTATTTTACCTAATTTCTTCATTTTCATTTATAGTATCAAGTAGATCAGATACTGTGATCTGAATATTTTCAGATTATCAAGGGGACCATGATGAATTTTTACGTGGAACTGTGTAATTTTCAAACGACAGGTTTATTGCTCGTGGAAACTCTAAAAGATGCAGTTTTGTACCGAATTCTGTGTTGTTACATAAGGTGGCTACTTTTTAAGAATGTAGGACCAAGTTCAGCGTTTAACTCAACAGTAACTTGTTCAGAAAATAACAGCTGTTAATGAAGCACTAATATATGATTTTCCTTCCTAAACGATAATTTATTGGAACATTCATTTGATGGAGAACTCGATTAGCTCATATTGTTCTTTAAGACCGATTGATAGTCAAATCAAAATGTCTATCATCATGATTCCTAGTTAACTGTAATCATGAAAATAATTTAATTCCTTGGACCATTTTATATTCACATGAATCAGCGATATACAGGACACAGGGTTTCAGCAGAACATCTCCGTCTTATTTTGTTCTCTGCAGTCCTCTTAATCTGGCTTCACGATTGCCTACAAGCTCTCATCTCCTACTCGCTCAACGGTCTCCTCAGTGTGTGTCCGAACCACCTCTACTTCCTTTGGCATAGTAGTTTGGCTATCGGTTTCTGGTTAGTTCGTCCCAGAGCTCCTTGTTGCTTATCCTTTCTGGCCTTCCATGAGATCTCCGCAATGACGTAAAGGCACCTGTTGATGAAATTCTGTAGCTTGTTGGAAACGCTTTTCGTGAAACTCCAAGTCTCTGAACCTCAGGCAAAATATGTCAATGAAGACAGAGTTGTTAAATATAATTAACATATCAAAAAACACATCACGTGGGTGGAAACTTGTGATTCTATCTGATGAAGTCAACAAGGCAACATTCACACGTATCGTCTGGATTCAGTGACTGATCAGTTAGCTAACTGGTCGAATCCGTATATAGTAGAATATCGATGAGTTCACCTCCTATTATGTTGGATTGCATGTATGGTGTTTTGCAAGATTCTCAAAATATTATAATATTTTTTTTATTCACTACAAATCCGCTCAGTTGTTCTTGAGAAATTCCTACTCACTACTTAGTTCCCTCTTTTTTTTGAATTCCAGACTTTTCAAGACTCCGGTTTTGCGCGTCTCTACATTCCAAAAGTGGAAAAAGACAAAGGTGGCACATATGAAGCTGTAGCAACAAATCAATTAGGAAGTTGTAGTACTACCTTATATCTGGAAATAATTCCAACCATCAAAACATCAGTTGACTTACTGACATCAGTATCACCGGCAATTAGTGGAAGTCCACCCGAGTTTACACGAATATTTAAGTAAGTATCATTACAAAATATGTAGATGAGTTTAATTTCTCGATACAAGTGTGCAATAGCTAACTTTGTTATTCTTTCTTATTTCTTTCCAAAACAATCACATTCTAGGGATGTTTATATAGAATCAGAACGTCTGGAAGAAGTAGTACTAGAGTGTTCAGTGACAGGTATTCCAACACCAACAGTGTACTGGACACATAATGGCATAATTATAACGCCAGATGATCAACGTTACACCGTTGGACGAGGACCTGGGCCAAATGATCATTGTCTAATAATTCGACGACCGGGACCAGAATCAGCAGGTATGTTCATCACTAGGTAACATGATGCTCTATTTTATCATATTCCATTTAGAAGCATTTAAAGTGTGAATATAACATGAGGGAAAACTATCCTCTGATGGATCTAGCAGCATCCATGAAATCCAAGTCAGTGTAAAATATAACACGTTTAAGAACAAATAAGATAACGCAGGTAGCAGAAAAACTCATCTACGTGCGTAGAACCTAAATATTTCAAGCGTCAATCAAAAGTGAGAAACCTGAGTCAAAATTCAACTCACTAGTTGATGAAGTGTTTAGATAAGTAGCTTTTTCAGTTTTAGGAGAAATAATAATGTTTATATTTAATGAGGAAATTCCAAGACGTTCACAATTCCACCTAAATGAATTTAAAGCTGAGTACTTTTATAACCCTTTAAAATTTTGTAAACAAAATTATACTACTTTCTATTTGCTAGTAACATGAATTATCTAAGTGGTGTAAAAGAGTTCATTTGCTTTTAAATCAATTTTGATTTTCCTGTCGATTCATTTTACTGAAATGTTTGGTCCCTTTTAACTTGTTGGCTCCTAGTACGGACAAAGTCATAGCCCAAGTGGTTTAGTGAATAACGCTTTGGTGGGTACTGATTTCCAGTCTCAGGGCGAACACCATCATTCATTTGTGAATACAGCTGCATCCAGATGAGAAAGCCTAAATGAGACAAAATACGTATCCTGGATTCCACTACTAGTCTCCACCTATCTAATCAATTGCTGTATAAGCGATTGTGATACGCAACGAAGCGAAACCATAGAGAAAGGAAAATACAGGAAAATAAACGTCTTAATAGTAATTTACCTCGCATTTTAAACACCTTCTGCAGCCTGAGAAACACCGATGGTGTAGGTACACACGTGAGTCTTTCTACAGCAGGCTGATGAAAGCTTCATCAATTAATAACCAGCTTATTTATTGCCGATAAAATTAGATTGCAAAGCCGTTCATCTATTCCTAAATTACAGATAAATCTGACAACTTTGAACAGATATTTCTTTTATAACTAAAGCTGTCCACTCTTCAGCTTTCAACACTTCTAGTATGAAGGGCAGTTTAATGGAGTTAGAACAGCAGCAAAAGTTATAATCTTGTTGGTTCTTATCGAAGTCAATGGATACTCAAACACTGGTATAGATTGACGCATTGAGGCCTTAATCGATTTTGCAACCTTTATTTTCGCTTCATTTTGTCCGACACAATTCTTATGAAATCAATTCTTACTTATCTATAGGTCGTTATCAAGCGATAGCTGAAAATATTCACGGAAGAGTTACCTGTTCAGCACTGATCAGTCCTTCAGGCTTCAGTCAAACCTTAATAAAACGACCACCTTCTACAATGAGTTTAACAAGACATACAGTTATCCGACAACAACAATGGACTCGTGAAACATCTTTGCCGCCATCGCCAGCGAGTACTGGTCCAATAGTTTCTCCACAATCATTCGCCACAGTTCAAGTACCTCGGTCACCAATTAGATTTCAGAGGGAAACATCAGCACCTCCATCACAATACTACTTGACAAGACATCATTTACAAATAAGACCAAGACAGGCAACACCGCCAATTCAACTCACATTCTCTTTACCACGTAAAGAGAAGTCATTGAGTCGAACAGAGGTAAGAAAGAGATTTAAGAATGCTTAACTGTCTATAAGAACTATTCAGAATAATGGGTTGAAGATTGATTGGGGAAATATTGACATGGGATTGCTTGCGACTGTTTAGGATAGCCTTGTATTGATGGACTGTTATTGGTGCAGTCGTATCTCTATTTATGATCACATCGCTAACTCGATTTTCAATCAAATTCAGTCGATCTTCATAAAAGTGAAACACGTGTACAGAGAGTGATACATTCAGAAAACTTATTCTCAAGGAAATGATAGTAGTCTAAGAAACATTGATTATTAGACAATTACATGGTTCGATTAGAATGTTTTAGTTTGTTATATGCAGTCAGTTTTAGGTGAAATTCAATACCCATTAACGATAACTCGATGAAATCACAAAATAACATGAAACAAAGTACCTCGGACTAGGTCTTACGAAAGCCATTTGGCTATTACTCCTTATCAGTTTTAAGATTTTTTTAAAAAGGGCAGCAATACTATGTCAGTCAGATTTCTGTCATTCTTCACGTTAGAACAAATGTGAGATGAAAATAATTTTTCACAACTTGTGAATACATAAATTAAAATAAATCCAGTGACGAGTCCTGAACAGGTAGAAACGTAAGTTATGGAATCCAATACTAGCCACCTTTAACCAAGTTGTATGGTGAGCATAATACTCAATACAGCAGTTTGTTCAAACATCTGTCAAATGTCAGCGATATTGGAATAATTTATGCACCATGAAAAATGCTTTTATCTACAGGAAAGCTAAAGATTCGGACATACATTTTGGACCGCAAATTAGACAATAATTAACTGTGGAAAACAGAAGAAAATTCACCAGGCGATGAGTAACACTTTAGATAAAATGTAGTTCATGAAAAAAATAGGAGTCTATTAGCAACTTCCTTTCCAAATATTTTGACGAATTACAACTGGTGATATGCATCGGTGGCTCAGTGGTAGAATGCTCGCCGACCCCGCATGTGGTCCGGGTCGATCTCCGGCCGACGCACTCCCAAACCACTACGCCAGGGATAAGACTGGTAAAGAGGGAAAGTTGGGCACGGGGCTAGCAACCCCTTCCCGTAAAAGTAAGCTCCACTGCTACCGACAGTTCAAAGTTCTAGCTTGAATCCCTATGTTCCACTGGGAACGTAAAGGAATAAAAAAAGACTGGTGATTACATTAACATGAAAGACCCTGGTAAATACACATTCACCTAATGATTAGAATGCCTCTGGAAGCAAATAGTCACATTTCGGATGAATAGGACAGACCACCGCATTGCATGTAGTGAAGACGTTAGTGAATAAGTGTCATTCTACCTATCTTACTCTCAACCAGTAATAATGAAGAAACCTCATAAAACCCAATCTACCTTTTCTAAAATTCAATTAAGAGGTAATTTCCACACTAAGCACCAACTTCAACTTGTACTCAGAATAACGTAAGAACAAGACCGGTTATAGCTATAATGTTGTATTATCACAATAATCGAAATTCACATAGCTAATCAGGTAGACAGTAATAATAGTGGGGTTTACGTGTTGTTCATCAGGCAAATTAGGCAGATAGAATTAACAACAGTACAATTATATATCGTCAACTTAGTGGGAACAAACAAACCAAACAAACAAGTGCATATGACTAATTGTTACACAAATACATTCAACGTATGAATGTGAGTAAGTACAAAAACTCATCCATACCCTACTTAGCTCGTGTTCTGTGCGATAAAGAATGCATCAGGCATGAAACCTTTAACTTATTAAATAGTCAGTAGAACCAATGGATCTTGTCTTTCCAACTCACATCATTTATAGGTACAACGTTTTCTCGCTCTTTCATTCTGTATTTATTTTTGTTATGTGCTGTTTTGTTTCTCTCTTCCTTGCAAACTCTACTTAAAACATTCTTGTTCATTCTTTCACACTCTGTACATCTCGAACATTTTGCTATCGCTTACGCCAGTAAATATGCTAGTAGTATCTACTTTTCTAACACCTTCAAACACTTTAATTTTGGCTTTGCTACCGACATACTAATATGTTGTTGAGATAACTTTAAACTATGTAGAACTTTATTTATTGTTAATGTAAAAAAAAAAACTGGATGCAATACTGTAGTAAAATGCTGAGAATTCCATTCTGTATCACAAGTACTGATTTGGAATAAAGCTTATGTTATGTTATGTTATTTACAAGCCATCACACCAAAAGCCACTGCCAAGATCTTAGACGGATGAGAATAGTTTATGAACAGGAAGTGTTCACCTAAGACGATCACTCACTCACGGAAAAGTGTACCGTAGCACTATATTCTCTTCTAAAAGATAACTAAACTGCTTGTTTAACTTAAACTTTTAAACTTTGACTTTATAGATTACAAAACCTGTTGAGAGTCATTTAAGACCTCAAGGACAAGTGAAACACTATAGCAGCACACAACACTTGAACAAAAAACAATTTACACCAGTTGTTCAACATGTTGAAACACGCTATTCACGTCGTGTTGCAAGTCAACCACGTCTTTCACCGGGTTATTCATCAGAAGAAGAACATGAACACAGTATGTCAATTGTTCCAATGGTAAGACACTATAAAACACGTATGGAAAGAAATATGGTTGCTCGACCACATGTTATCTCTGGTTACAGTTCTGTAAAAGAGCATAGACGTTCATTGCACGTTATACCAATGAGACGTGAATATCAGACATGCTTAGAACATAATGTACCATCTCGTCCAACATTGGAGACATGTTTTGCAACGGAAGAAGAACGTGAATATGGGATGAATGTTGTACCGATTGTACCACACACTGATTATAAGACAGAATTGACAACAGATGTTTATAGTAAACCAGAATTAACACCAGGATATGTTACAGAGACTAAGCATATTCGATCTTTTGAAGTTACACCAATGGTACCAGAATATCATACTAAAATGGAAAGACAAGTTGCAAGTCATCCAATACTTGAAGCTGGTTATTCATCTGAAGAAGAGCACGAGCATAAACTAAACGTGGTACCTATGGTCCCATATACTTCTTATAAAACGGAATTAAGTACCGATGTCTTATCGAAACCAGAGTTAGTACCAGGATATTCTACTGAAACCAAACATCCTGTAAATCTTGAAGTTACACCGATGGTACCAGAATATCGTACTGAATTAGACACAAGTGTCGCCAGCCACCCATACTTAGAAGAAGGTTATACATCTGAAGGAGAACATGAACATCAAATGGAACTTGTACCTTTGGTACCGGAATACAAGACACAACTTTCAACAGATTTATCCGCCAAGACAGAGGTGATTAGTGGCTACGAGAGTCGGTTGCACTTTGAACGAACATATCTGATGGAGACCCAGTTAAAGCAGGTAAGATATGAATTTCACAGTCATGCTAACCATAGTTTTACTTTGTATAATACTCAAAATAATTTACAATTATAGAAATTACTGCATTTCATAACTCTTTAAAATAAAAGGAATTGTAGCAAAAAGGCTACGAAACTAGACAACCTACATTACGACAGTATTCGGGATAGCCTAATGATATTAATAACAAAGACGACCGTCCCACATTATTGATAATAATTCACCCCATCACTTTTTACACATCATGTCGTTGTTTATGCTTTTCTGGATTCATTGAACTATCTTATCTTATCAATAATAATCTCTAACTGAGTGTATTTAATCAGTTGTGTTTCCGCAAGTTCTGAGTGGCTATTTGTATACTTGTGTGTAACTCAGCCCCTCTCTCCAGTCGCATTGTGTAATTCAAACTGTTGCTGTTAGATTAGCAGTAAATTGTGGATATTCCTCCAATGCCACAGGAAAGCGGTGTTTAAAAATGTCCATCGTAGAAGGAGTATGGAAAGGTTTTGAAAATCCTTCCACTTATGAAATATATATATTACATTATAGAAAAATTACTAGTTGCTTTCTGAAATAGTGCTTCTGTATAGGCTTTATCCATGGATACTTATTCAGCTGCTAACTGCTCAGTTCGGCATAGATACCACTGAGCTTCCGCGTTTAGCGGTGATGTGTGTTTCCAACTTTTTTTTGGTAAAATACGCCTTTTAAAATTTCTATTCCCAATTTTTATTTTCATCTTTTTAAGTATGAAAGTGCAATTTCAACTCGAATACCAAGCAGACCTTCATTAACGTCTATATTTGAATCAACCTTTGAGCACGAAACAAATATGAATGTTGTTCCAGTTGTTCCACACGATGAACATTATCAAAGTCAAATACTTGCTGATTTCCATGCTCAGGTAATTGTAAAATCAAATGAGTGAAACATTTTACTCTGGTATATTGTGGTTCAATTATTATGTTAGTATGTCCATTTTTATTAATCATACTAAACTCTGCTTTTCTTTGAAGACCACTCGCAGTTTACTGGCTTACCGTACGAGGCATATCGGGAAGCTATTTAAATACATCTCAATGGTTGGATGTGAGTCCTAGTGCATTTAAAAACTCATCTATTTGAATGATCTAGCAATACACAGTCAGTTATAATCGGTTTCTGTTGTATTCAAGTCTTAGGATACTGGCAACTATCCCTGCCGTAATCACGATGTGTTTAAGTTGTTTTAAGACAATCAGTTATGTTTATTCGTTGAAAAAGTTAGTTTTTCTTGACATTTATTTTCACTTGTACTTGATAAAGTTAGAATTAGTAAACTTTTTCTGCATAACTATTCGCTATCGTCAAAATTGTGCTCTTAATAAACCATTTCTATTCACTCTTCATAATAAATCTGGAACATTGATATCACTGAGTGGAACTCCTGTTTCCAGTCTTTTGTGACATAACTAGACTAACGGAAACAGACTGATGTCTGAACTAACTGTCGGTAAATATAAACTTCGAATGAAACTCTCAGCTATCTAGTGTTTTTCGAATTGTTTGTGATAGCAATTATCGTGCTGAGGAATTTTTCCATAGTCTAATAGAAAACCATAATTTTCCAAAAGGTTATATAATGAATGGATATTTAATGAAAGATACTTTACTGCCTAGATAATCTGCTTAATTCTACCCCTTTTTTGTTGCAGTATCGTCCAATTGATGTCATTGTTGAAGTGCCAATTCCACCAGAATTTGTCAAGCCTTTGACTAATGTAATAGCCGACGAAGGAGCTTGTGTCGTAATTGAAGGTCTTGTAAATGGTGTACCGCAGCCTAAAATATCATGGTACCGTGCTGGACGAGAGATATGTGACGGTCCTGATTTCCGATTAGATTATACCGATAATCGTGTACGACTAACACTTAGCGAAGTAAGCCATCTTCTGTTTACTGTCATTATTCTGTTTTTCTTTTGAAAGTCCGGTTCCACCGTTAAATTTTTCTAGGTAAAGTACTCAATCTCACTCACACTGTCCCCGTTTTCCTATACTAGTCAACATTTTAACCAAAAAACATTACTGTTAAGCTATTCCAGTCATGTAAGACTTGCGTAATGACGTATGCGAATTAATTTCATGTGTTAGGAATTCAGGAATCTAGCTTAATCTGACCGTCATCGTAATGATCCCAAGGGTCGAAAAGTCCTTACAACATTTCGCGTGACTTCTGACTGTAATGAAATCTACCACTACATGTAGAAATTCTGAACGACATAAGGTGCATTATTATTCACAATCAGTTGCAAAACGGGGATTTCTTTGTTGAGAAATTCTGGTCAATTGTGGGACAAGTTAGAATTATGATGGTGCTTTTGCTGTGGTGAGTCAGTGATCTACTCCGGTCACCCAGAAGATAACCACACGCACACCGAGGGCGTGGCTATCATGATGTCACCAACGGCAACGAAAGCCCTGATGCAATGGGAGGCGATTTCGTCCAGGATAATGACCGCCAGATTCAACTCCAAAGGAAGGAAAGTGTCAATCATACAATGTTATGCACCCACAAACAACGCAGACCTCGAAAAGAAAGAAGAATTCTACAGGCAACTACAGGCAACAATGGACAATACTCCAGCTGGCGACATGAAAATACTAATGGGAGACATGAACGCCAAACTGGGACCAGACAACACAGGAAGGGAACTCATCATGGGTAGAGAAGCTCTAGGAGAAATGAATGAAAACGGAGAACTCTTCGCCGACTTCTGCGCCTTCAACGAACTAGTGATTGGTGGCAGTGTATACAAGCACAAAGATATCCACAAGGCTACATGGGTGTCACCAGACGGGCAAACCAAAAACCAAATCGACTTCATCTCAATCTCAAGGAAGTGGAGGCGCAGCCTACTGGACACAAAAGCAAGAAGAGGAGCAGACGTTGGCTCAGACCACTATCTCGTACAAGGGACAATCCAAATCAAATTAAAAGCTTTCAGGGAATCAGGAGCTGCAGATAGACCACAAGCCAAGTTCAACACTCAAAAGCTGAAGGACCAGGCTACAAAGGACATCTTCATTGCAAGCATAAAGGACAAAGCCGAGACACAAATCAACACCAGCGAAAAGGTCAGCGTCGAAAAGCACTGGAACAACTTGAAAACGGTGTGGAGCCAAACCTGCATAGAAGTTCTAGGCAGAAAGAAGAGACAGGACAAACAGTGGCTCACTACGGACACTTGGAAACTAATAGAAGAGAGAAGGACAGTGAAACAAAAGATTATCCAGTGCACTGACGAGCAACAAAAACAGGAGCTGAATGCAAGCTACAATACACTGAACAAAAGAGTGAAGAAGAGTGCCAGGGAAGACAAAAGAAAATATTATGAAACCATGGCAAACGAAGCAGAACAAGCTGCAGGCAAAGGAGACCTCGCCACACTCTACCAAACAACTAGGCACCTTTCGGGCAAAAGTTCGACACAGATTAAGCCAATAAAGGACGACAATGGAAAGTCAATCACCAAAGAGGTGGAACAGAGAAAGCACTGGGCTGAACACTTCAAAAGACTTCTAAATCGTCCGCCACCTACAACACGCCCAACAATACCAACAACGGAAGCAGAACTACCAGTGAACATTGACCCCCCGACGAAATCAGAAGTCCTGAATGCAATCAAGATGCTAAAAGCTGGGAAAGCACCAGGACCAGATGGAATCCCAGCAGAAGCTTTGAAAATAGACCCAGAGACAACAGCGGACTTGATGACGCCACTGCTGGAGAAGGTGTGGAAAGAGGGCAAAGTACCCGAGGATTGGAAGAACGGATACTTATTCAAACTACCAAAGAAAGGAGACTTAAGTCAATGTAAAAACTGGCGTGGAATTATGCTTCTGTCCATTCCAAGCAAGATACTAAGTCGCATCATCCTGGAGAGAATCAAACAAGCCCTAGATGAAAAACTTCGTCCGGAACAGGCCGGATTCAGGAGAAACAAATCATGTATTGATCAAATCGCCACTCTACGGATCATCATTGAACAAAGCTTGGAATGGCAGTCACCTCTCTATCTCAACTTCATCGACTTTGAAAAGGCCTTCGACAGCGTCGATCGAGAGGTCATTTGGCAACTACTTCGCTACTACGGGGTCCCATCGACAATTATACATCTCATCCAACAGTTATACGACAATGCTGCATGCCAAGTAATCCACAACGGGAAACTTACGGAAGCCTTCGAAGTGAGGACGGGAGTGAGGCAAGGCTGTCTACTATCACCAATGATCTTCCTGATTGCAGTAGATTGGATAATGCGACAGACAACGGCAACCAACGAGGGAACAGGCATAAAATGGACTGACACAAAAGACTTGGAGGATCTGGATTTCGCCGATGATATATGTCTGATTTCCCACAAACTGGAAGATATGCAAGTGAAAAGCAACAAGTTGGCAGAAGAAGCATCAAAGATAGGACTTCAAGTGAACATAGATAAAACAGAGGTGATGAAGATTCCTAGCCAACATCAACAGCAACAACAACAACAACAACAGACAACAATCAGCATAAATGGGAGGAACCTGAAAGAAACAACCTCCTTCACCTACCTAGGAAGCATCGTTTCAACTACAGGCGGAACTGACGAGGATATCAAAGCCAGAATCGGAAAAGCAAGACAAGCTTTCATTACTCTCAAATCTGTGTGGAGGTCAACAGCACTCAGCATCAAAAATAAGATCCGGATTTTCAACTCCAATGTAAAGTCAGTCAGTGCTACTATACGGATCAGAGACTTGGCGAGTCATAAAGAGCATCTCAAACAAACTTCAGACCTTCATTAACAGCTGTCTTCGCTCAATACTCAAGATCAGATGGCCAGAAAAGATCAGCAACAGGGATCTCTGGGAGCGAACCAATCAGGAACCGATTGTGAAACAAATAGGCAGGAAGAAATGGAGATGGATTGGCCATACGCTGAGGAAACCATCAAGTGACATCACTAGACAAGCCATTGCTCGAGTGGAACCCGAAAGGGAGGCGGCGAGTTGGTCGTCCAAGGGTGACTTGGAGGAGGTCATGCGAGGAGGAGATGAAAGCATGTGGACAGACCTGGAGCGGGGTGAAAAAGTTGTCAGAAAATAGAAGGCAATGGAGGTGCGCAGCTAAAGCCCTATGTTCCTCTAGGAACTAAAGGATACAATAATAATAATAAATTTTGCTGTGGATCTACTGTATCAAGCTCAGATTTTAACAATCGGGCTGATGTGATTTGAGGAGAACAGTCTACATTATCCAACTTAGTGCTGAATACGTAATTCTGATTGATTAGCGTCAAATTAGTTGATCGAGATTTTTCGAGCTGTCGGAAGTTTGTTTATTTAATTCATTTCGATTAACGCAACGCTTATATACAGGATGTGTGAAATACTACTATGAGTAACAAATAGAAGAGTAAAAGTATAGAGATTAAATTATGGAACCATGTGAATACAATCATATGATTAATGGTTCTCAAGTGTTCTCTAAACGTCATCCAGTTGTCAATGCTATATCACTATGTGTTATATCAAATAAACTTCTTTGATATAAAACTGTATCCTACTACAGTGCCCAAGTTCTACACTAACAATCTTTCTGTCAACCAACCCGTAGAGAGATAATATCTCCCTATAATAATTAAGTAAGGACTTACTACAAATAGCACGGTAAAAGTAGGGTGCAGTAGGTCGAAGGTGAGGGCACTTAGTCGTCGAAGATATTGCGAAGTGGTTGCGCTATGCCATGAATCGGCAGAAGTCAGAATTCACAGGCCATTGAATCGGGTCTCATTGGCTCAGTGGTCTGTGAGCTCGCTAGCCTTGTAACCAGAAGGTCCTGGATTCAAACTGTGGTGTCGGGTGCGTACTACTAAAGAATCCCAAACCAGGATGAAACAGACGTCCAGTACTCCCAAGTTTTACAATGGGCCTCTAACCGATGTCAGCTCATGATGAAGTCCTCCAACCAATCAAAAGTAAAAGTGAATATTCGAAATAACCGGCTAACAGCTGATTAGGGATATCCTCTAACTGCCTGCTTGCAAACCAGCAAGGCTGTTGTTATTTAGGCGCGAGACTTTACCACACGACTAACCAGTAGGATACTGTCCCGACATTGTGAAGACACGGTAGGCAGACTGAGGAGGCAACAATTTATTCTACCAAGAAACAGGGCAAAAAACCAGGAAGTGTAGTCATACTTATTTATATAGTCAGTTATGTTTCATGACCAACAACTTACAAGTTTAATGTATGAAAACTGTGTGTTCTAAGCGGTTAACAACATACCAATAAAAATTCAGTGACATAACCTTTCATCTATATTAGGACTTAATTTTATGCCGATAGTTTATATTAGAATAATAATGACCAATAATATATCTCCACTCCTCTCTGACAGTACTTTTCAAAACAACAGATGCGATGATAATAATAAGAACTATCTTTTTGATATATATCAGCTAAATTGTTTAAGATATAAATACGATTGAGTAATATGCAGCGTGCACCAACATCAAAAAGTCACACAAAATTTTAACAAATGTACACATGATGAAGAGAACTTGTAGTTCAGACGAATGTTTTACTGTCCTTGTGTTCTCTCAGCTGGATGGTTTGTCTGCGAAACTTCGGCTGTCTTCCTAGACAGATGATGAGATGAGAATCAAATTATGAAACTGCCTAATGCATACACGCAAGAGCAAGAATTATGTGTCATTTGCATTTAAAATTACCCTCATTCAGGTCTCATGTTGCAGACTGTATAAATTGATTGTATTACTGTGGTAGAAATGACCGGTTATTTAGTCAGTGAAACTAAGGTGAACTGATTGTAACTGAGCTATCAATAGAGATGGTTAACAGAATGATCGTGGGATGACTGCTCAAGCAAGAATGCTACCGCTGTCACAAGCTCCTGCTGAAGTGATCACATCACAATACAGAACAACTATTCATCCAGACTTATATTATGAAAACCTGTTCTTTCTTAATAGTTAATAAATAGATACAAAAATATGACTGAGTTAATTTAGATATAGAATATTCAGCAGACAACAAGTCATGAAATCAAAGCATACTTGAAAATTGTCATAAAGCAACCACTAAGTTCTGACCAGTAGATGTGAGATAATGTTTTTCTGTTCCCTACGTCAGGTGTAATTACACTTACTTGCAAGTGAAACTGATTTTCTATTGTATCACACTGAAGCAAGTAAGAAATGCTTTTGGAAGGTGGTAAACTTACCTTCACATGCAGTGCTGAACTTATAAGAACTCGTTCATCGAGTAGCAGAGGTCCATCGTAAGATGCTGACCGTCATGTAATTATCTTTAGTGACTGTTGGTGAATGCTATACGGTATTGACAGTCGGAAAACATCAGAAAAGTACTGAAATGGACGCAGAGATCTCTGTGGGTATGTTCACATCAGATGATAAGGTGGTTGTCACTAGAAGTGAATTCCCTTAGATGAACACTGCTGAGGAGTTCCAAACAAATCAGTGTTCATTTAGTTGGTCGCAATACCGAGCGTTAACCACTTCAAAATCAATCAATTCTGAATGTACGTCCATCTGACTTGTAAATATTACCAACATGTCTAAAAAATTTTAATTTTTTTTAACACTTAAAGGCTTTTGCTGACGATTCTGGTGAGTACATGTGTGAAGCTGAAAATGTTGCAGGTCGTGCACAAAGTGCAGCAAATTTAATAGTACGTGCTCGCTTATTAGCACCGAAGTTTATTAAAGGACTTGAAAATCAAATTATTTATGAAGGTGAATCAGTTCGACTGGTTGTGAAAGTTGATGGTCATCCACCTCCAACAGTTACATGGTGAGATAAATTCTAATGAATTTTATTTTTTGTTTAATATCTAGACTCTTTTCTATTTAAATTTCTTAAATTATTCATCATTTTGTCTATTTAACACCTTTGCTGTCATAGTATGTCTTAATTACTAGCCCGATGGAATTAACAGGCTGAACATTTCAGTAGTATTTGAGCTCCTGTAAACTAAACTGCATGAATATAACCAGTCAGCAGCAACAGCAACAACAACCAGCATCAGTCACCATCAACGGGAGAGATTTAACAGAGGTCAGCTCCTCCACTTATCTAGGAGGCATCGTTTTAACTATAGGGAGTACAGATGAAGGTGTCAAAGCCAACCAGAATCACAAAGGCAAGATACGCCTTCATCAACCTGAAACCAGTTTTGAAATCTTCATTCAGCATAAGGAACTATATTCGTATTGTCAACACCATTGTCAAGTCGGTCCTTCTATACAGGTGATAAACTTGCACTGTGTGTCACGAAAAGGGTTTCCAACAGGTTACTGCAGGCTTTCATCAACAGCTACCTTCGATGGCTCCAAACTAAAGATGAAATGGCCAGGAAGAATTAGTAACAAGAAACTATGGGAACAAACCAACCAAGAACCGATCGCTCAACAACTACAGAAGGTGGAGATGGATTGGGCATACATTGAGGAGGCTGCTGAACGACATCACACATCAGGCCTTCGAGTGAAATCCAAATGGGAAGCGACGAATGGGTCGTCCTAGGGGGTCATGAAGGAAGAGATGAGACAGTTTGGTCAATCATGGACCCAACTGAAGAGGACGGCAGAAGACAAAACAAAGTGGAGATGTTTTGCTGAAGCCCTATGTTCCACTAGGAACGCAAGGGAATAATAATAATCATAAAGTGCAAACACTGAATCCCTAGTTTGTGTGCAATTTAACAGATTAAAATGTCATTACAAACATCATAGTCCAAAGATAATCTGAGCTCCGAGTTAGATTGAATCACTACAAAATTACTTATAATCCGTGTGTTTAGATTATCAAAACAAGATTTTCCTGAAAGTTTAGCTATGTATACTGCAGCTTCTTCATCTGAATAACACGAATTGTATTAATCATCAAAACATATAGTCAAATAGTAGAGAAATTAAGGTGAAGTAGCCATAATGTCACTTGCCGGTAGATATTTGTACCAACTGAATAAATTTAATTTGTCTTCATTTATTTGTAATGATAATGTCAAAATTTCAGTTTTAAATTGTCACAGTATACTTATATATCTGTTGTTTAGTGTATGGAGAATATATCAGTGCATTAGTGATAATCATGATAAATGTTCAGAGTTCAAAAAAGATACTAACGAATAGTCTTTTTCTGTTTTGTTTCACTTGAGTCTGCCAGATGAGTGATAGGTCTATCCCTTTTCTCCTACTTATTGTATTCGATATAGTTAAAATATGCAAGGCTTCAGATGTCAGTCTTTCTTTATATGAATGGAAGACTCATCCTAGAATCTAGATATTGTTACAACCAATCTTATAAATGCTTCCTATAGCATGCATATCTACAGCTGATCTTTTCTCCAGACTTCTTACTTCTGATTCATTTCTAGGTGGACGTTTCGTGCACACTCTTTGTTCATTCACTCTGATTATCCCCTGTTTACTTCTTCCCCCTATATGGCAACCCCCTTATTCCCAATATTTTATTCTATAGATATAGTGGTTTCGTGTCATTTTAAGAAATATATCTTTACCACTGATTAAAGCTTTCTCTAAAGAATTAGAAGGCTTGAAGTAGACTTTAATACCACATGAGGCAAGTGCCGTCTGAAGTCGTCCAGCTGTATCTTTTCGATATGGAATGGCTACTGCTGATGTCCAGGACTTTTCAGTCTTTTTCTATTCCTTCCTATTATTTCTATTAAAAATTTTATCGAATGACTTTTTCGGAAAGCCATTCTGAGATCTCATTCTCCGCACCACCGTTAACAGTTATATTGTTTTTAACTCTGTTTATAAGGTTTAAAGCAACTGAAACTATCATGTTTATTGAGTAATTAATTACATAGGAAGTTCAAATATTTGTTTGAATATATCGGTTTCTTACATATTAGAGCATTTTATTCTTCCGTCAGTTTGTCTTTTCAGAAGACAGTCTAGAAAATTTAGTGTTTCTCCATCCGACTTGATTTCGTTCGTAAACTTTATACGATTCGAAAGGTAGTTTATATGTTTTCAACTCTTAATAATGGTAAATATGTCATCCATATATCTGTACCATGTTTTAGGTTGACAAATAAAACTATTCAGCCAAACTACTATCGAACACAAATGATTTAACATCGTTCAGTGGTAGAATCAGTATTTTCACACCCATATATATGAAATTAAAATAAAATAGTTCATAACCTGACTGATCATTAAAGGTAAATATACAACTCGTTATTAAGATGACTAAGCACACTGGGAATCTGATTCAGACTAAACGAAATAATAATTGTCAGTCTGTGATCTAACTTGAAGTGAATCGAATCTCTACATCCCAACGCGCGAGAATCAACATATTACTGATAAAGTGTGATTAGCGTTCAAAGTGGCACAGGAGAGACAAAGAAACAAGGTTACTATGTATGGTCTGAATGCAGTTAGGTTGGATACTTTGTGAAGCAGAACGAATAATCGAAATTACGTGAATATGGTGATCTAAACTCGGGGTAAAATAAGATAGAACGATACCAAAAAAAAAAAAAAATACTGAAGCATCCCCATTGTCTCTGGAACTAAATATCGCCATGTACTTATTTGTATTTTAGGACACGTGACGGTCACGAAATCACAAGTTCTCCCAATTATATACTTGAAAAAGAAGGTAACGGTGTTTATGCGCTTAGTATACCAGAGGCATTCTTTGAAAATGCTGGACGTTATGCTGTAATTGCAGAAAATCCAGCTGGAAAGTGTATTTCTTCAGGCCTGGTTACAGTATTAGGTATGTTTTTAAATGTTTTTGCTTTTTATGGGGCACATTTAACATGTATCAGGCTACCAATCTCACATATTGCATGTGAGAGCTGATGCTAATACCCATTTTCATGTACAGTGTAAGTCGAACCCACGATTTACTGTCTAAATATCAGCAGTTTGAGTAAATCATTTACATCTTCGTGGTATTCACATCATTCTAGAAAGAAACTTAGCTGACGTCTGTAATTTTCTATATTCTTTAGTGTTCTGAATGGAACACAGAGATTCAAGCTTTAAACTTTGAAGCTACAGTGTTGTTTTTCTACTGGATGGGGTTACTGGCTTGACGCATGGTCTTACATCCTTACTGGTTAGTTTTACTACTGACGATGAGGTTTGGGAGTGTGTCGTCTGAGCATCGAATTCTGGACCATGTGAATAGTTGGCGAGTGTTCTACCACTAACCACCAACGCAGAGGATTCTGTACTAAGCAGCCACCATTTTAGCAGCCTGCTGGAATCATCGGGCTATCTAAATCTTTTACCCACCAAAACACATCGCTTTTACTCCTTTTCAGATTGTTTTAATCTCTTAATTAACACAGTGAGTCGCAATCTACATCTGCGCGCGATTTGAAATAGGTTTTTATCTATCGCTAGTTTTTTGAAGGAATTAGAGAAAGAACATTGTGGAGTGGCTTTGAACCATAGTTTGGATGGGACAATATTTCTCCAGATGATATACTATTGATTATCACACTGTTTGAGTATTGTACACAAGGGGCAAACGCCTTGCAATAAAACTCACTGAAAATCCCAATTGTGTATGAATACATTTTTCAGAATAATAGCCTTTATTATTTTTAAAAAAACTCAGCTGGCTGAAATTATTCAAGGAATCCAAACGTAGTTATGACCTTTATCTGCAGTCATTACCAAGATAACTTACAGGCTTGGGATTAACTACGCCTAGCAGACTCACAAGTGATTTTTTGTTTTAAAAGATTTCGTACTCAGTCCTTACACTTTCATATAAAAGTCAGCAGTGAAATTCTTCTCAGTGTTAAAGCATAAAACCATACGTCCTAGGCAAAGAAAGGCTTGTCTTCATTTCAGTACTTGATCAAAGTTGCAATAATTTTCACTGGCAGAAAATAGTGTGCAGTTTAAAGTCTTATATCTTGACGCTCCATGTGTGACAAACCTCTTTGTGAGAGATATTACCATTCATGAACTAGTGGGTCAGTAATTTGTCCATTTTATTTTGCTTTAAATCCTTCTAGAACCAGAAAGGCCGTATCCAAGTGGACTAGATAAATTATGTCAGAGCCAGTTGACAGTACAAGTGGAAGGTTTGAAACAGGTTCGATTACCGTCACCAGTGCCTCAACCACACCCAGAGAAGCCTTATTTCACAAAGGTGAGTCAAGTTATTTGTACTTTTCCTTCAAATTAACAAACACAAGTTTATGGCTTACCGTATAAATATCAATTTTATGTCTAAAAATCTCTTTATTTAATAAGTCTTTGTGTTCATGAGTGTCCAATGAATAACATCAGTTATCCAGTAATTTAGGCAAAGTGTCAAGTGAAATATCCACGAACCGCGTGTGAATTACGTGTTAGGCAAATCCTTCTCATACACAAAATACTATAGTTAATGGCCTATTTATACTAGCAAATAATGTGAATTCTCCTTCTGGGAAGCCAGTAGGCTAACTTCTATTACATTTTGATTTAACATGAACCTCCTCGAATAGTTTGACTGTTTAACACAATAGATAATAGGACTGAGTAGTGCTGTTATAGTCGGGATTAATAAAATACACTACTAAGAGGGAGAAAGAACAAACAAAGTGCCATCTTTGTTCCCATTTTCCACATCACTCTTGAAACGAATTTCTATCGTTATAGAGATGTCAGTGATGAAATCATCGTTGATTTATTAGAGTAATTGGTCCGATCATCATGAGAATAATAGTAGTTGGACGACAGGCAGTATAAAACGTACTGCTAAGCCATCTAAATACATACCAAAATCCGTGAACTAGAGTTTGGAAACATTTACTCTGTTGTATTGTATTTGAATAGCCCAGTAAAATATCTTATGCCATTGTTCCACCTATCAAGTACAAGTCTGAAGAGTGAAAAATTACCACTAATTTCTTGAGTATAACAGTAACATTTGGGGAATTGTGGCAGAATATAATACCATATTAGAGAATTCTTATACAACACATAATGTGTTGCAGTATCGATAACTGGATGAAGTTTGGAGTACGTTTTAGCGTTGGTAACGATATCAGAGAATATATTCACACGACTTGTTTTTATAGCTTTACTCTCTCTCTCTTATTGTTTTATCCGAATTTTCCACGTATCAGAGGTAGACATTGCATCATTTTGACTGCACGTGTTTGACGTTGACTTGATTAACTTCTCCCCCACCTACTGGTTACCTATACTTCTACCCTATCCCACTTTACTGTGTGATTACACTCAAGTGACAACACATAACAGTGACTGAGCTTATTTAACTTAAAAGGATTGATCATTCCATGACTAGCTGAATCCCTTCGTTCCGATAATCTAATCGACCCTGACCTAATAATGTAACCTGTAGAATTTACCTCACAGTCATTACGTGGTATTTGGTTAAATTATATTTGTTTTTCTTAATTGAACCCTTAAGCCGGCACAGTTTGTTTGTGAAAGAGTTGATTGGTTTAAATGTCACCTTAATCCTACTTAGTGCTTCTGATGTTCCTTCCTTAAACAATTGCACTGTTGAAACTTTAAATTTATTATTTATATTATTGCTGTCATCTACTTTATTACGCACATTTTTCTCATGGGCCATCATACACTTTTGAATGAAATATTGTGCGTAGTTGTTCACTAATATAATATTTTCGTTCCTTACTCCTAAGTCGAATAGAGAAACATTTAACTAAGCATGCATCTACTGATTTTGCGAGAGAAGCACCACTTGAAATGTGATAAGAATTGATGAGTGTTTAGCGGAATATGTGTACTTTATCATCAGTAAAGATAAACAACCGATTTCAGATGGTAACAGAACAATTTTTACACGGATGTTTGAACATTAGACGTATGTAACATGTTATTATATCTTTCCTATCTTTCTAAATTTATTTATTTATTTATCAGGCCTTCAGTCCTGAAATAGAGATAAATGAAGGCGAACGATTAGTTTTGACTGCTGAAGCCTGGGGCAATCCGATTCCCTTGATTAAATGGTACTTCAATGGTCAACCTTTAGTCGATAGCCCTGACCATCAACAATCTCAAGTTGGCCCACAATTGGCTGATGTCAATCAGCTACAACCGCATTCAGTGCTAATGACCGGTCATTTGGTCATGAATGAAGTATTCTTGCAAGATTCTGGTCTCTACACGTGCATAGCTGAAAATATAGCTGGTCAAGCAGAAGTTATGGCGAATATAAGTGTTGTGCCAAAACGTAAGTCCTGAAAAATTCTCATTGAGATATAAACATAACTATTTTGATGAATGAAATTCTGCTTATAAATATTTTCAGTTGCGAAATACACCCAGTAGTTCATAAGGAAAAACACAGCTTTTGTTCAGTGAAGAAATATCTCTTTTCAACGATTTCATTTTCAAGCTGTACAGTCTTATTTATATTACGGAAATAGGCATTAAATGCCACTGTATAGCTTGAAAATGAAGTCCTTGGGATGAGATATTTCTTCACTGGACAAAAACTGTTTGTCTTCATAATTGTTTCATTTTTCTACAGTGCAACAATATTTATATGTGCGTTACAATAAACAGTATGAACCATTTTGGTGTGTAGGTGTCACAAAATTTAACAGTGAATAAAAATAATGAGTGGAAATAAAATTGCCTTGATCGTTTTAGCATTAATCATGTCTAAAGGGAGTATTGTATGAGTAGCCAATCTATGCACGACTTACTTTGTGTCATAGAAATGTGACCAATCAAAAAATGAGCGAATGAATAAGGGGTGAGGAGAATAGTGTTTAAAATGTGTCCAGTTAGACCATAAACTGTCACACCGTTAAGTTAATGTGATGAGAGGGCTAATCAGATGCGCGTTAGGTTAGATGAACATCTCAGTCAGATTTCTGACTTTGAAAAACAGGCGAAATTAAATCCAAATGAGGAATACAATAGATGATTTTTAAGTATTGGTTTTGTAGGGATTTTGTTTGATTGCATGGAGGATTTTTACTTAACACTTGAAAACGTGTATCCACTTTTCACTTCTTTTGTAACTGACGTGTTCATATTTACCTAGCATGTTTAATTACAATCAATTGTTCTAATAAATCAAAATAGCGCGTTCAGAAGACAGAGACTATGTAGTGGTATCATTTTACGGTTTCTGGACACTCGCACTGAAACCATCGTGGTTTATACTATTGAAATGTTTCACAATCACTTAATTTCAAATATTGGTTTTGTAGGGATTTTGTTTGATTGGTTGGACGACTTCATCATGAGCTGAAATCAATTAAAGAACCATTGGAAAACCATCAGGGAGTACTGGACAGCTGTCTCGTCCTATTTGAGGACTCCTCTCTGGCTGATATTAGTTGGTGACGAAAATCTAACAATTTTAAATTAATCCTAAGTCCCCACAAATTCTATAATCTGAATGTCAATCGCCAACTCACTGTTGGCTACTGAATGGATTTCCTGAAGCCAAGATGGGAAGTTGTAACCAGTGGGGTCCACTATGCCAAGGTGAAGTGGATGAGCATTGAAAGCAGTGTTGAGGGCATAGCTATATGACGAGCTGACAAATCTAGAATTCAGGGGTCACTAAATCCCAGTCCAAGTGGCTGAATGGACTATGAGCTTGGTCTCGTAACTTGAAGTTCGCTGGTTCGATCCCTGGCAGGGTCGCAGGTTTGCGCTGATGAAGAGTTCCAAAATAGGATGAGACAGCTGTTCAGTGTGCTAACTGGTTCCCAAGGTGTCTCTAACTGATGTCGATTCCTAATGGAAATCCAGCAATCGGAATTTAATTAATTCCAGTTAATTGATAACGGTGATTGTAGTAAATTTATGATGGTTGCTGTAGCTCAGCTAGTAGAGCGCAAGACAAATAATTTTGGAGGTTGGCAGTTCGAGTAATATAGCGACCCAGAATTCCACTTTTAATTATCACTCATTATACCAGTCACAGTGTTATAGGTCACGTAGTCCACGTTAGACCAAAGCTGAAATCTGTACTTCACTGTTTACAATTCGGGATGCATTACACTAATCTGAAGTACTGCTATCAGCTTAAATAACCGTGACCTAGATATGTGTAACATTGGCTAGCGTTGACTCTGTAGTGGGAATTGACAGAAACTAAAATACATCAAGTATCTGATTCCAAACCAATGATTGACTGATGAACGTGTTTACCTCGAAATAAGAATATCCTCGGTTGAATCATCGGTGTACACCGCTGAAAAACTCCAAACCAGAGCGAGACAACTCCCCAGTTCTCTGTAGTTTTTAAAGATTCTCCAACTAATACTTGTTTGTCATAAAAAAACTACACTGAAACTAGTCAAAATGCCTGCTAACCCAGTATCTGAAATAACTGGGTAATTTATTATTTTATCACGGGAAATAACTGTTTCGCAATAGATGAAGCTAAATTCTTTTCTACGATAAGTGCATTTGATTATCTATCGCGTAATAACCTTTGACTCTCTCATAAAATTAGTTAGCTTCCTTAAATGCTAGATGGTGACTAGCAGTGGAATCCAGGATGCGCATTTCATCCAATTTGGGACTCGTCAGTTGGATGTACCTGCATTCCACAATGAGTGATGATGTTCTGACCAAGGCTCGAACCCACTGCCCATAGTCTCAAACGTGAAAGCGTTTTTCACTAGACCATTTGGGCCCCGACAGCCACCTCCTGTGCAACGGGTCAAATTAATTATTTAATTCAATTTTTAGATTTTCCCGTCCAGATAGGATGAAATACATATCCTGGATTCCACTGCTAGTCAATATCCGACAATTAACTTCTAATTACATGCCCAGACATCGTCGAAGCATCTGCACAAGAAGCTGATATGTCAACCTGAGACTGAGCACTTCGGTCCCATCAGTCAACGGGAAAATCTAAAATTGAATTAAATAATTAGCTCTCTAGACAATGCCTTATTTAAATAATGATTTCACAACAAAATGGTCATTCACACATGGAAATAAGAAAAAACAATTTAAAGAAGACACCCTTTTCGGCGAATTCATTCGTTAAGCTGTACAGTCGCAGTCGTTTTTGTTTTTGTGAGTGTGCATTATTCAATCTGTCAAACATAGCATAAGCATAAAAATTAGTTTGGAGTAATGCTGACACCAACAAAATATTTCAAAGTAGTGATGAAATAATCAACTTGTAACTAACTAAGGCAAGCGGACTGAAGATTAGTTAGTTTAGACTAAGGCTGAGTAGCATGAAAAATGTTCAGAAGGAATTGGGTGTTAATGTGAAACAGCATGGAAACAAGTATGCAAATAAATTGTGTATTAAGTGAAGTGAGTGAAGAAAAGGTTAGCTGAGAAAATAATATTGATGAACGCCGTGCCAAAAATTCAAAACATAGTGTGAATAAGAAAATGTTGATTACAGCTGAGGTTATTAGATAGTTGGAGGTTATCTGCAGGTTTCGTGCTAGCTGGCACTCGTCAGCAAGGCGTATCTGCAACCTCGAAGGAACTTATGTCCCTTCTGCAGACTGATAGAATTCAGTCTGCACCAAAGAAAGGACTAGACACATCACACTAGTCACAAGTTAGTAGAGCCGAGCTTAAAATTATACGAGGGGGTAGACGGTGGCGGGATGGAGAAGTTTCTTCTGTGTAGATAAATCATGGTTTTCCATCCGAATCACTAAGGCCTTATCAGTACAAAGTATACGAAAACATACCGTTTTGGAAGGTTTCTTTTGACTTTGCAGATATCTTTGCGTGAATTTTCCTAGTATATTGAGCGGCCAGCGTTAAATGTAACAATAATCAAGCTTTATTTCAGACAATATGTGAACTCAGTGGGGAAATTTTCAGAGTATTTAGCCCCAAAATATTTCTTCATATCGGATTTACACATAAAGTAATAATCTGTAGTATATCATGTGAATTAGTGTTGATACATATGGAGACAGCACCAGTTCTGTGAATTTTTTCTTCGTTTCCTTCAAGAATTGTACAGTGGTTTAAAAAAAAATCTAATCAAATATATGCACGAGTTCATTTAGTCACCCCTTGATATAATCGCATGATTAAAACAACAAGAAACGCAAAAGAGTTTAAGCACTTTGATGGATGGAAATTTTAATAGTCCAGTGATTTAAACAGGTCGCTGAAGAAATTTATGTTCAGTCATGACACTCTTCATTGATCTATTGTTACATGTCTGTACCTAGGCGGGATAATCCTGCTTGACTCATTTAGATAAAACATGTATTAAGCGACCCATATATCTCGCTCAACAGAAACAAGTGAATTGGTAGATACAGATAGTAGTGGTCAAATGCGATCATTTATCTTTAGAGTTACTGAAGAGCATTACACGATCGAATAATACTAATTTGAATATAGACGCAAAGTATGTGCTTTTCAAGGTACTTAATATTCTCTTCTTTAAGGTTTCAGGTAGAATGTCGCCTTGGAACACTGCGTTCATATATAGTATCCTCTTCGCCACAGAAATGGTGTGTTCTCTATTAGTTTTATGTGATTATCAATACAGCTTGGAGGTAGCCGTTTTCATCTAGCCTCCTCTTAAGAAGAGTGATATCTCTGTCTACTGACTCATGGATGCGGATTCTTCGGATCCTTGTCGTAACTGCCCGCTCCACTTAGGCTTTCTATATAACGATTTGTTCACTGTCTCATTGGCCTTCTTCGTTAGCTGAACGTTCAGAAAGAAGATTGTTTGTCCAACTGAAGGGGACTAGTGGAAACTTATAGATAACTATTTAGGTTATATTTATTATCAGAAATGATGAAAATATCATAAACATACTTTTGTGCAGAAAGAAACTGTCGGTGATCAATTTCAATGGACCATTTCCCAAACTTTCCATGAAATTATCTGATTTCGTTAGCAGACATCTGTTTTTAATGTGATTCTATAAACTATTGGACATAAAATGATCTGTTTCTTTTCCTCTTATTTTCAGCTACTCGAGAAATTGAGAGACCATCAATTCAACCACCAGAATTTGTCAGATTCCCAGAATCTCCAGTGAAGCTACAGCCTGGTCAAGATGTAGTATTTGAAGTTGAAGTTAAAGGCCTACCTTTAACCTCTTTGAACTGGTATCACAATAATATGATTGTTCATAATAATCAGAATGTATTCATTGAAAATATACCGGAGGCTGGTATCACAAGAATATTTATTAAATGTGTGCAACCAGATGATCAAGGCGATTGGTTAGTAACAGCTACAAATCCGGCTGGTTCATGCTCTAAAGCTGTTCGAGTAATTTGTGAAGAGACTGTGTAAGTTTGCATGCGTGTGTTTTTATCATATTTAAACTCTATTGTTTTAAGGTGAAAAATTGGTGATGTGAGGGAGACTTAGAGATAAATAACTCCGTCTATCTATCAATGAGCTTCTCAGACTTAACATCAAATTACGGTGTGTCGTTTAGCCGAATCACAATATTGCACACCTCATAGATAGACTGAGGTCAACGCAATAAGGCCTAAGCAATCACAGTAGTAACCTTATTATAACTGAGTCAGTTCTCAACTGAACATTTTAATGGTAACATTTTTAACTTTGCATGTCATATATCCAAACTTCAGAAAGGGAGACAGAAAGAGCTTGAATTTTCTCTCAGGATTTCAGATACATGTACCCCTATGATTACTACTAAAATACACTAAAATCTAGGTTTAGGCTTTCCTCCTAACGGAGTCTCATTAATTCGAGTTATCGGTCCGACTGATTGACAGTATTAATATGAAAACGGTATGATTGTGGACCAGATGGAATACCCCCTAAAGCACTGAAAGCGGACCCAGAGACTACAGCAGACATGCTGACTCCATTATTACAGAAGGTCTGGAAGGAGGGAAAGGTGCCTACTGACTGGAGGAAAGGTTACCTCGTGAAACTGCCAAAGAAGGGAGACTAAGGACTTTGCAAGAACTGGCGAGGAATCATGCTCCTGTCGGCGCCAAGTAAAATCCTGAGTCGCATCATCCTGGGGAGAGAATAAAGGACGCACTGGAGACAGAACTCCGACCAGAACAAGCTGGATTCAGGAAAGGCAAATCATGTTCTGACCAAATTGCAACTCTACGCATCATCATCACAGAACAAAGCATGGAATGGAAATCAAACCTCTACATCAACTTTATAGACTTTGAGAAGGCCTTCGACAGCGTAGCGTTGACCGCGAAGTAATTTGGAAACTACTCGAGTGCTACGGCGTACACCAAATATTCATCAACCTTATTCAACAGCTGTACGACAACGGCACATGTCAAGTGATCCACAACGGAAAACTCAGCAAGGCGTTTGGGGTAAACACAGGAGTCAGACAAGGGTGCTTATTATCACCGACGATGATATTCCTAATTGTGGTGGACTGGACTATGCGTCGGACAGTGGGAAACGAGAAGACAGGGATATCCTGGACCGACGTGAAGAACCTAGAAGACCTGGATTTCGCGCGTGGATGATTTATGTTTGATGTCACACACACAAAATCGAAGACTTACAAGCGAAAACCGACAAACTGGTCGAAGAAGGAGTCGGCGAAGGCAGGACTCCAAGTGAACATAGACAAGTCGGAGGTCATGAAAATAACCAGCCAACAACAACACCGGCAGCAGCAACATCTAGCGTCAATCACCATCAATGGGGGAAATTTGAAAGAGGTTACTTCATTCACTCACTTATCTAGGGAGCATTGTCTCAACTACAGGAAGTCGGAACGGACGAGGATGTCAAATCGAGCGAGAATCGGGAAGGCGAGCGAGAAACACATTCATCAACCTGAAACCAATCTGGAAATCTTCGTCATTCAGCCAGCATCAACAACAAAATTCGGATTTTCAATACAAACAGCGTCAAGTCGGTTCTTCTATACGGATCAGAAACTTGGCGGGCGGGTCACAAAGAATATTTCCAACAGCCTGTTGCAGACCTTCATCAACAACTGTCTTCGCTCTATGCTGAAGATCAGATGGCCGGAAAGAATCACCAACAAGGAATTATGGGAGCAAACAAAACAAGAACCAATCGCCAACCAACAAATATGAAGAAGAAAGTGGAGATGGATCGGACACTCGCTGAGGAGACCGCTGGGTGACATCACGCGCGCGTCAGGCAATCGCTCTCGTGGAACCGGGCCGAAAGGGAAGCGGCGAGTGGGACGTGAGTGCAAGGGTGACATGGAAGAGATCGTGTGAAGAGAAGTTGACACAGTATCGACTAACATGGATGCAGGTGAAAAGCACAGCAGAAGGAAGGCAGAAGCAAGTGGAGACGTGCAGTTGAAGCCCTATGTTCCACAAGAACCCAAGGGAACAATAATAATAATAATGACTGTTACAGGCTCCTACATTGCCATCGGTCAGCAAATACACAAATTGTATAATTGACTAACTTATTAACAAGTATTGGTTTTTTTGTAGGGATTTTGTTTGATTGCATGGAGGATTTAATCATGAGCTGACATCAGTGGTTCTCTAACTTATTAACACCATCTTTTTTATATTAATGAGTTGTTTTGAAGATACACTAGATGCTCTCATCGACGAAGGTTAAGTGAAGTGTTGTTGATATCTAATTACCCATTCCTCAAGGTGTGTTGATGATGGATATATACCTCAAGCTGATCAAAGCAACTACACATTTAGTGAAATCGTCCATCCACATACAATTCAGTACTCATGCATTAACACACAATGAAAAAAAACAATAGTTGTGGCCAAATTCAAGTAACTGTTATCTAGAAATAAACTGAAGATTAGACTTAAAAACGAATTTGAACAAAAGTATCACTAAGAAATCACTTGACAGGAACACTCGCCTATACTTTATCTTTCGTTTTGATCTCTTCTGTTCCCTGACAGAGTAAGTTAGAATTTCATTGCAGATTACAGACTCTTACACAGAAATCGACTTCACCAAGAAAAACTGTAACTTTCCAATAAATCAGTCAGAGTCGAGAGTTCAATTCCTCCTAGACTAAAGACAATGCGCAAAAGAAGAAACGGTGATGAATGTCATAAAGTTCTAATCTAAAATTTGTGCTATTATTTTAATATAACTGTTGACAATTAATTGCTTCCTAAAACTTGTTTTGGTAACTGACACTGTATTATTGTGAGTTTTGTAAAGCGTGTATAGAATTGTACTATTTCGAATTCCAAGTCTTGTTCGTATTTCATGTCTTAAGGTTCTATGATAACTAGAGCTAACTGAAGTGCTTTAAGGTTCAGAGTTAGTTATTCATCCATAAGACATACAAACACGCTTGCCTGCCAACTGTATCTGAGGATGACAACATACTACAGCACTGGCTTCCTATATTCACGGGATGTGGAATTGTGTGACAGATAGAGGAACACCTATAGGGTTTATTGTCAGAGAATTCAAATAGTCTCCCTATACACTATGGTGTAGAGTTGCGTTAACAGCGAGAACTAAATTAATCCAGCGGTTACAAAGCTGTGGAAGACTTCTTTGTATAACGCCAAATTTGTTCTACATACACGATAGCTATAACTTTCAGCACTGGCTTTTTTTGTACCAAATTCATTACGGGCTGGATTTATGGATTGCGTTTCTAATTAAGCAGAAAAAAAACATCTGTTGGACGAAATGAATTGTTCTCAACATTGAAAAGGTTAACTAATGACATTTGACAGAAATACCAAAGTCAAACACTGATATTCTATTGACTGCTAGATTTTCTTCTTTTGTTTAAATTATTCTCCTTGTTAGATTTATTCAACCAGAGCCTATTGTACACTCAGAATATGAGCTGAGATTAAGTCATCCAGTGTCTGATGTCACTGATTTATCCTATACATATGAACAACAAACATTATTCATACAACCGGAAATGATTCCACCGAATTTTGTAGAACGTTTCCCCAGTGAAATTAAGATCAATGAAGGAACACCATTAATTCTACATGGTAGAGTTCATGGCCAACCAAAACCAACTGTAAAATGGCTTAAAAATGGTAAACCATTATATCCAAGTGACAGAATTCATTATTATACACTGGTAAGTGTGATTTATTACAGACTGTTTTTCCTTTTTCAAACGAGGTGAATGAATGTATTTTATAAAATAAATAGTATCACAATTTTACCAATGGATTCTATTAGATTCTATTAGTGTGGGGACAAGTAGTTGTACTATTCTAAAATTTGATTAAATTTTCCCCACACAATTGGGTTCTGTAATCTGAATAATTAACTTGCGAAGCTTCGATCGTGTTTCCAGAAACCTCCACCGGCTCTCGAGTGGTTACGCCACAGGATGATACAGCATGCCGGTCTCGTCTCGCAAGAGGCAGGGATAGGTGTTTGCGGTTCTCCTTAAAACCAATACCCAGTCAGTGGGTGGACCATTATGTGAATTGTACGTCGGTGGCACAGAGGTAGAATGCTCGCCAGCCATGGAGGTGGTCTGGTTTTGGTCGCCGTCCGACGCACTCTTCCTTCACCTCTTTAAGCCACTAGTAAGACTGGTAAAGAGGGAAACTTGAGAATGAGGCTAACAACCCCATCCCGTAAAAATAAACACCACCGCCACCTAAACTTCAAGTCTCTAACCTGAAGCCATATGTTCCAATGAGAACGTAAAGAAATAAAGAAAGATGTCTCCATGCACTGATATAAATGAATGTGTATCACATGTTTTGGCTGTTAGTTTGTGTTCGGTCAGTGTAGTGTTTTCTTTCAGTTCACTCAATCTGTGTCATATATGGCACAGGTATTGTCTTCTTTCACTGTTGGGTGTTTTATTTTACATAGTATAGGGTGAAGAAACTGTGTTCATTTATGTGTGACACCTATTCGACGAGGTAGGAATATTCTAGCAGTAATTTCGGAAATGTATGGTAGAACGATTTTCCGTGTCCTTGGTAAAAAGTATAAAATCAAAGAACTTTTGTAGCTTGAAGTCAGTGTAAATGAACAGAAGCCGAAAAGTGTCTTCTCAGTGTTTCAGAAGAAACGGAGAGCTTCCACCACACATGACTGGCGTATTTAGCCTACACATTTTGTTCATTTCTCTGTATACTGTGCCGCTTTTCAGACTGCTATGATATGGCGTAACTACTAGTTAATTCCTTCATTTCAGGTGACTAGTTTACAATTGTTGACGTAGTGGGTAATGACTACCTTAACACATTACACTAACAGAAGTTTGACAACACAAGCTTATCCGAAATAGTATCGTTATCAGTTATTAACCTACACCTTTCCTTCTTATTCAGTTACTTTTGTTAGTCTATGGACATAGCTAAACAGAGAGAATCAAGTCTCTGATATGAAAAACAGTGCATTGGAATGGATGTACACTAGTGTAACATTTAACTTTATGAATAAAACTTGACGGACTTCACTGGTCATAAGTTCTCACTAGAACTCCAAACAGTTTCATACTGTGTGTACTCGGCGGTGAGACTGCTTAACTCCTGAGCCATGCATGTCGCTAACTGACAGAATTTAGAAGTTTCAAGCCATCGGATTTCATCCCAGTATCTGAATAGTTAACGTGCTCGCCTCATAACCTAAAGGAATCTGAAATCTATTCCAGATGGAGTCATGGGTGCATACTGCCGATTAGTCCTAAGCTAGGGCGAAACATCTGCCACTGAGAGTGGAAGACATGAAAAGACTAGCTGTGTTTGATCATAGGTGCCTGCGTTCTATTTCCCGTGTAAAGTGGCATAATACGGTGAGCAACATGGAGGTTAGGCGTAGAGTTATAGGTAAACAGGGGAAATCAATCGACGAAGTCGTGAAGCTACAAAGACTGAGATGGTTAGGACATGTGTTACGTATGCCAAGCCATCGCCTCCCTCGACGAGCAATGTTAGCGGATATAGGGTCAGGCTGGAAAAAAGCTAGCGGCGGTCAAACAAAAACTTGGCATCAGTCAATGAAATCCACAACAGTTGGTCTAAGCCACGTAGGAAGGTGTAGACTTCCAGGCTGGGGTCCTCGAGACAGTAAAAATCTATGGTTGGAAACAATTGGTGACATGGCTCAAAATCGTTCTCAGTGGCGCAGATGCATCCACTCCCTGTGACTTATGATCTTCAATGAAACTGTTTTGTATTTCTTTATAACTCCTTTGTCTCACACCTCTGCTCACTGTTTCTATTATGCTTTTCTTGTACTTTCTTCTCTTGCTTCGCGTGCTACACGGAATGTGGCGACTTGAACTTCCGTACATTTGTGCAAAGTTCTATGTCGAAAACAGACAGACAGACAGACAGACTAGTACCCTCTGGTTTTAAATTGTTCTATAAATGATGTCACTTTATCACACAACTTGAAATCAATGAAATCCCTGGAAAGGAACACTTCAAAAGTAATCTAGTGCTCTCTAATGACTAACTACAGCATAAAGATACCCAGAGATTTTTAGAATAAGAAGTCGTAACCAAGTGAGATTCATCAGTTTGGTTGTGAAGACAAGTACCCACTGTTTATGAATAAAAGTTGGAAACTACAGCTGTAAAGCCCAGTGGGTAAATTGACTTTCGGACATTTAAGTTACATATTTCTAATAAATCAAGAGTTAGTCTTGCTAAGAAACAGATATCTTCTCAGGAAATCACTGATCACAACAATTAGACTTGGATCAAAATACAGACCAATCGACAGTGATTGATAAAAATACTGACTGTTCCATCTATGCTCTCAAAAAGTCCTCGAACCACAAGCTGTGGTTCTGCTAGTTAAAAATTTCACCAGAACTACACAAACCTACAGAATCCGATAAAAATGGCCAGAAATTGAGAAAGTTTTGCTCTTACTTCGGATGGACGCTAAATGTATTATTTTTACACGGAAGATCTAAGTCGTATTGTCAGAGTTTTACCACATTTTCTAAAAGTTATCATCGATTGTTTTCAGAAGCCGTGTAAAGCAGATAAAAGTAACTGTTTATTAATTCAGTTGGTGGTGACCAGAAATCAAACTTAAATGGTTTGGCTTTTACTAATTGAGTGAGGAAAGTCTGCTTACACAGTAAGGCATGTTCGTGTGCTACTGTAATTCACAAGAAAGTGTATCTAAATCCAAGTTCATAAATACTTGTATGTATCTGAATGGCTTTATTATTATTGTTCCCTTGGGTTCCTAGTGGAACATAGGGCTTCAACTGCACGTCTCCATTTTCTTCTGTCTACTGCTATACTTTTCGCCTGCATCCATGTGAATCCATATTCTTTCAACTTCTCTTCACACGATCTCCTCCATGTCACCCTTGTACGTCCCACACGCCGCTTCCCTTTCGGGTTCCACTCGAGGGCTTGGCGCGCGATGTCACCCAGCGGTCTCCTCAGCGAGTGTCCGATCCATCTCCACTTTCTCCTGCATATTTGTTGGTTGGCGATTGGTTCTTGTTTTGTTTGTTCTCATAGTTTCTTGTCGTTGGTGATTCTTTCCGGCCATCTGATCTTCAGTATAGAGCGAAGACAGTTGTTGATGAAGGTCTGCAACAGGCTGTTGGAAATATTCTTTGTGACCCGCCCGCCAAGTTTCTGATCCGTATAGAAGAACTGACTTTACGTTTGTATTGAAAATCCGAATTTTGTTGGTGATGCTGAGTGACGAAGATTTCCAGATTGATTTCTGAATGGCTTACCAGCATGTATTATTATCGTCAACCGGGAATTCATAATGTCTACCTATTTCACTGATTTGAAGAGCATTATGAATCACATTTGTTGAGAAGAAAGTTAATAGACGTCCGGAGTGATAATCAGAAAGTAATAATAATTAACCCTAACAATTAATTTGTGAAATTATCATTAACTTCTTGAACTTCGAAAATTTCTTTTTTTTTTGCCATTCTTCAAGGATGATGGGACAGTACATTTAGAAATTGCAGAACCTATAGAAGAAGATTCAGGCGTTTATGTCTCCTCAGCTGAAAATCCAGTTGGAGAAGATCACTGTATTGTTACTGTAAGTAAAGTGACCATAATTTTTTGCCTACTGATTTTTGCTGAATTATTTATTCATAAGACACAATCAGTTTAGCTGTTGCATATTAAACTGATAGAGGTAGTTAAGGTTCAGCTGAATATTTCATGAAGCATAAAACTAAAGGTATCACATCGTTGATAAGTCTTGATAGGAGGCCAAAATCTTGATGATTTCTGACCGACTTCAAACATTTGCCATCAATTTCAGTTTAATCATCAATATGAATATGAAAACAAAGAATCGAACACAGTTTCTTCGTCATCATGCTTGTTTATTACAGTAGGATTTTATTCACTATGGTTTCCAAGCAGAGCTGTTTGGATCGGTTGTCTGCTTGACGGTTCATGGAACAATCCACTAACTGGTTATTCTTACCAGATTATATATAACTGTTGGATGCCTCAAAAAGTAGTCAGTCTTTAGGTGACCAGTTAGCAGCTCAGCATCTCACTATGGTAACTTTGGTTGTATTTTGCTGTTGTCCATTTTCAGTTGTTGTGCTTATCGAGATTCGATTTGTAGTGAAATTCACTTTGAGGCTCATGTTACTCTGTAATCTTTGTGCTGATGAATTATTCGCAGTAAAGACCATAGAAAGCTGTTGTAACACTGCTTTGCAAAAGTGAGATAATCCTAATAAGTCATGAGATTCGTCTTTAAAGATGCGCAATAAGTATAACGCTTTTAACCAGTGGTACTGTTTATTCTTTTGTCTACTCTTTTGCATAAAATCTGTCCGATTAATTTACCCTATAAGAAATACTCCATTTCACATTTTATTACTATAGCTATCCGTTCTACCACTGGTAAGTGTTGCACCGACAGGTCAACCGCCCGTATTCTGTCGTGGTCCACTTCCTTGGTCGCCTGCAGAAACTGGTCCATTGATTGTTTGTCCTGGAGTATTGAATTTAAAGGAGGGTCAGCCTGTTCGCTTAGAAGTTGAAGTGATTGGTAAACCAACACCAACAATAGCATGGTTCATCAACGGACGATCTATCAGTATGGATAAAACACACAAGGTAAAAAAAATCACTGAGTTTCACAAAATGAATGCTAAATTTTTTTTTTAATCTTTACACACTGTCTATAACATGCGAAGCACTTCAGAACTAATGAAAATCAGGGATGGCTGTTTTGCCAGGCTTAGAATTTCTTAGGTACTCATGTCGATCCTATAAAAGAATAAAAATCAAAACATTCAGGTTAGACGTTAAAAGGGAGCTCTAAATAGAAGAGAGACAGTGGGGTAATCGATTAATGAGCCAGAAAATAATTTATCAGGATGTTTTTGTCCAATTTTTTTCCATCTTTATTATCTTAATATTTTTCTTACAAAATATGCTCCACATCAGGTTGTCCCACTTCGCGCCAACGTGTGTTCACTGATTCTTGATTCACCAGCACCGAATCTGGATTCTGGCCTTTGTAGTTGCATAGCTACTAATCAATTTGGTCAAGCTGAACTTCAATTTAACATTCATGTTGAAAGTAAACCACAGACCATTACTCAGGCGCCACGATTTGTACAAAAACCTCCAAATCAGTTGACAGCATCACCGAATGAACAAGTTACACTGTACGCTGTCGCAGAAGGTATACCGAAACCAGTTTTATCATGGCATAAAGATGGAAAGTGAGTTGAGTTTTTGTAAAACTTTAACCGTTAAATTTTCTTCTTCTTATTGTAAATAAAGTTGTGATAACTACAATCTACAACAGTGATCCAATAAGCGACACTGATGGCACTGTCTTGGTTAAACTGCATAACAACAAGTAGCCAAAAGTGAAGGTTTTGTCATTAGGTAACTGGTTCACGATTACAAGCAAAGAGTCAGAAAAACTCACCAGCCTCCGACTAGACTACTTATTACCAAAAAGACTCTAATACTGATTTGAGAACTGAAGAAAATTTTCTTTATCGACAAAATCATCTTCAGAGGCTGTACAGTCGTATGTATACTTACCAAAATGTATAGTGGTCTATTATTGAGTAATAGGGGGTGACATAATTGATATAGTTACTAGGAAGTGGCTTTAGAAGTAAAAATTAAAAGTTTTAAATTACGTGGTACTCAGCGGCACAAAGATAGAAATTTGATAAGGTTAAAACTGCTATTGGATGAGAATAAAGGTGGTTGAGTGTCAAATTAACAAGTGTGAAGAGGGTGTGAAAATGTACAAAAGGAACATGTGAAATAGTGGTAACAGTGAATTAATTATTAAAGCAAAAGCAAACTGAAAGTAAAATTATAAAATCAAAACTTCTCTTTTTACAGGGAACGCCTGGTGAAGAGTTTAAGACCGAGATAGGATAAGAGACTGGACAAACGTTTTCTGTGTACAGAGTTCAGGGTTGTATTGACGAATTGCCAGAGCCTCCGTCACCCTCAAAAGCTGAAACCTGACACCCTTTGTACCATTTGGCCTCACCGTGTGGATCATCTTGAAAGACGACTCTGATTGAGCTACGTGGCCTAAATTCACCAAGTGCTTGGGAACTGAGCTAGTAATTGTCATGCATTTTCCTTTTGCTAACCATGTTCAGAGATGTGTTTGGAAACTGTGAGCTTTGCGCAGCCAATATAACTAGCTCCACACGAGCAGGTGAATTTATAAACACACATTGAGGTGTCCCGTCCAAAGTGGCAGTTTATCTTTCACACATCCATTGACCATTTGTCGGCTGTAGAAAGTGATACGTAGCTCAGCCATAAAGAAGGCTTTCCTCAGTGATCTGCATAAGCGATTCTTCAGGATTTCAGCTGCGGTATCACCTTTAAATTCAACGCTCATAAATAGCAGTTTCTTCGGCACAGTCTGGGTTCTTTCATGCTTTTCCCTTAACTTCATGTTTTTGTCGATAAATCTTGGAAGATATCCATTCTCTATGAGCACTTGTCTGAGTGGCTCAGTTCCCCATCGATTGTATCACTGGAACGTATTCTTCTTATTCTTGAGGATAAGGATTGGATCAGGTTTCACCTTCTTCTTAAAGGGACCCAACTATAAAAATTTGTGTAGTGACCATTCCATGTTGGTTTCCTGTAGATCGATCTCTGAAGAGAACCATCAGATCTCCTTTTTAGAAAAACATCCAAAAAATGGAATTCCGAGTTCCTCTCTGATTCCGACGTGAACTGAATGGCATGATAGCAGCTGTTGAACTCTTTAGTTACCAATTCGATGTCGGTATTGTCGTCAAATATGCTGAAAGTATCATCCGTGTATCTTTGGTACAAATAGAAGCTATCGATAGTAGGCCGTAACATACTCTTCTCCAAACTTGCCAAGAAGCAGTCTGCAAGTAAAGGAACGTTGAAAGAATTGCAATGAGTTAAATCGAATTTGCTATTCGCAGACAAATTAGAGGTTTATATTTTACACTTTTCAAGGTGAAATATCATCACAGTTTCCTTTGGCAACGAAAATTATTTAGATCACAATATAAGGTATGCTTGGTATTGTAAATGCCAATCAGGAAAATAGGCACAAGTGCATAATGCAGCATAGTACTGATTGACTGACAGAAGTAGTTGGATACCAATCAAATCGACTAGTAGAGCTTGTTAGCCGGATCGAAGTGATGTAAACACTGGATAGATGCTTAGCCCGTTCGGAGCTGTGCTCATCACCAATGGTGTATCTGGTTCGACTGTTTATCACAGTGATTGGTGGCGTCTTCACCTACATGAAACCTTCAGTTGGGGAAGTATGTGTGTTCACTTTTGCACAATATAGAAACTTAGCTAAGATCAAATATGGTCGATTTAGTTCCCATACCGAGTACTTAAGTGTCAGCTTAATGTATTGAAAAGCATACTTTCATACACTCTTCAACCTGCAGCTGAAATCCTGTTGCGTCATCAGAAATTAAAATGTAAAATTGTCTGATGTAAAAGTGATGGGAGTCAACAGATAATGGTAACTAACATAGTTAATAATACTGTGTACCTGAGATAGGCAACATTAACGTATATTAAAGCGAAGACAACTAAGAGAAAGACTGTGGTTAATTGACAGACTAAACAGAAGATTTTTATCACCTCTTAAACTGTTTTATTTACATGAAGATAAATTACTAAAATGGGGTATGCTGTACATTTTGATTTCAGGTTATTTACTGGTACTGCAGACAGTCGTATCCAGATTGTAACTAACGAAATGGAGACAACACTGTATATTACCTCCTTACAGCCAGAAGACTTAGCCACATGGCAATGTCTTGCTGCAAATACAGCCGGAAGTGCTTCAGCAAGATGTAAAATTTCAGCACCTGGTAAGTTTCTAACTTATGATATATTAAGCAAAAACATTATTTTGACTGTTTTGTAAATTTTGTTGCGTAAGCGGACATTTTGGGAAAAGCTAAAAAGACGTCTTAACTATCAACAACACAAAGTCATAAAATGCCAATAATGCCATTTTTAAAATTGATACTTCAAGCTCTTCTCGAGTACTATTCAGTGGAGTGAATGGATAAATATTAAAAGTACTCGAAACCAAAAAAGTTAACCAGGAAGAAATATTTACTTGTGAACTTGACTTCTTCCTCTAAAGATCCACAGAATATGTTCACGACTTCTGAATACTTGAATGAATATCAATTAGCTTTAAAGCTGAAGAAATATCTTCATGTATTCCTTGATAACGAAAAAAAGTGATATTCCTGCAGTTAGCTAATATGTGAGAACTAATCATGTCTTGATGCGTATACAATTACAAAAACACTGTCGAAGTTGTACGAGTTCTTGCCAATCACATTCTATGGGTCATCACAAGGTGTCATCAAATGAAACGACATGGGATTTCCCGATAGCTTTCACCAACCATTCAATACACAATACAACGACTCGCAACCATGTTGATTAATTAATGTTAGTTGAGGGTGCATACAGATTAGTTACCAGACTTTAAGATCAGAGGATAAAATGAGTTGTCAGTGGTTAGAGAACCATCGGGAAAACTGGGAGTACTGGACAGCTGTTTCATCCTGGTTTGGGACTCTTCGTCAGTACGTACCCACCGTAGTTCGAGCCCAGGATCTTCTGGTTACAAGGCTACCTCGTAGGCAAAAGTTAAAATTCATGGACCAACCATTTGATAAGGTTCCGGTGGGTTAATGGTCTATGAGCTAGCTCTCCTAGAATTCATAGGCTGTATGAATCCATTCAAATACCCTGAATGACTAAACATGCTAACCTCCTAACCGAAAAGTCTCGAGTTAACTCATGGCCGGGTCAAAGGCGCGCACTGCTAAATGAATACAAATTACAAAAATCATATTATCAGGTATACAGGTTTAATGCTGCCAAAAGCGTTGTCACAGTTTGTCGAAAATTGACAACACAGCTGTGGCCAAAACGGTCCACAGTTAAACATAAATAATGCACGAATGTACAAAGGAATGTTAAAAGCATCAGAATAAACAAGTTTCAGGAGTTAATGCAGCAGTTACAGTTTAGTCATTTGGATGAGAATCACTACAGACAAAAACAGAATGCTGACGTATTTGAAATGAGAAAATGGACATTTCTTCTGGTGCGGTAAGAAAATAACAGCCACATAGTACTGTATATTAATAAGTAGTAATAATATGCGTTTTAAGCACAGTTCTGAATGCATTCAGAATTGGTCACAGTGTTGATTGCTGACGGTTGTCTCCTGGATAGAAAACTATCTGATGACTTGCTGTGACTGTTTAGTTGTCGTTGTAAAACACATCCTTAGGGTTTGGCTGATTCGTAAAATACCCTTTAGGGACGTCTAAGTATCAAAAGGTGGAGAATTGAAGAACATTCTCTGGACTAACTGTTATGGCAGTTTTAAAAATTTATTAACAATAGGCAACAAAATCCATGTACTTATTACAGTCTACTTATGACCTGATTAACTTTCTAGGTTACACATTTCAATTGGTAGAGTGTCAGGTTAGTAATCAGCAGGCCACCTGCTTCAAATCCCATTTCCTCATCAAACATTACACATAAATGACTTCAGAAAAGTATAAAAGGAATCAATGCCTATTAATATATTTTTATTTTGATCGTTTAGTCGAAGAAAAGCCTAAAGAACCAGCTCGAAGATACAGTATACCGAAAAAACAACCTGAAGGGTAAGTAATATTGAACATTTCCGCGATTAAAGTGTTTTCGATCATTGCCCCTTTATTAACCAAAGTAGTTCAAAATATTTGCATTACTTTTATGCTACTTACAGACAGTTAGTAGGCAAACTAACAAGTGATCGGTTACTTCATCATGACTGAATGTAATATCCAAAGGCTCGCAGGAAGCGACAGTGGAGAACCACGTGGAGCATTTCAAAGAATAGATGACAGTCATATTTTTGAAACCAAGCTTTACGTCATCATTTCATAAAGTAGAATTGTCGCATTCACAAGGATCGTAGTGGTTATCAGTGGCATTCAGAATGGATGTCTTGTTCTACTCGAAAAGATCATTTGGATTAGCATCCTATTAAGTATTACAGGCATCAGAAATACTTGATTCACTGACATAGTATTGATCGGTCTTACGTTTAAATCATCGTCATAAAAATTTAAGCTAAACTATTGTAGAAGGACGAGATGAAAATCTGACTCTCTGGATTGTACTATTTCCATTGGGCCCACAAATATTTAGAAATGCTTGTAGACATGAAAGAAAATGGCTTTGTCATGTGTTGGTTTGATTGTGCATAGTCTAAACAAGAATACACCGTCCTTATGAGTGACAATAGGAATCAAGGAAATAATTATCAAAGATAGTTTACTGCATAAAGATGTCGAATACGCCCGACTGACTTGTGTCAAAAGGTATAGGAACCTATCAACTGATCGTTGCTGTCATACTGAGCTTAAACAAGCAGAACCATTTGACCTAGTTGTAACACCAGAACTAATGTATATGAGATATTCAGTATTGTGCAGTAAGTTCTTAATAACTCTTCAGCAACTGATTAGAATCCATATATTGTCATGAATCGGGGACTATTACACTTACTTCACTATTATTACTACAAAACAGGGTGAAATAGTTCGTACACACGAAAGTCAAGATTTTAATTTTAAAAAGTCTTACTTTATTTTGTTGCATTTTTAGGCTTCAAGAAGTTACTTCCCCGAACCCAATAATCATGTCTCCACCACAGTCCGTGCGTGTAAATGAAGGTGAAAATGCTCGTTTCACAGCTCATATAGTTGCAAATCCTCCACCAGTTGTATCTTGGTACATTAAAGGTCAACCAGTACCCGCTGTTGGAACAGTACAACAACCAGAAGGCGAAGAAATTCGACATTTAAGTCGTTTCGATGGTTTAATTTACTATCTAGATATGCAAAAATGTCTACCTGAGGATGCAGGTGAAATTTATGTTGTAGCACAACGTAGTGATATTTCACCGGAGGCAGCAGCCAGTGAACCTAATGCTGTTGTAAGCGCATTTGCTAATCTAGAAGTAGTACCAGCCGTTGATCTACGTGCACAACTGAAACCGATACCCAGTAAGTTCTTGTTGATTTATCCCGTCAATGAATTAATTACAAGTTGTACTGCATTACGAATGAATAATTTAATGTATATTTGGGAAAATGCTCATCTTTTTCTTTTCATGTCTTGTAAAAATGAAAGTAATCTAATCCCATGCAGAGTATACCAACATTTTTCCATGAGTGAATATCATTCTCTGCTCATTTCTGCATTCAGTCATGTGTATACACAGACACCCTTTTGATATGAGTAGTTGAAAACTTGAATAAAATCTTCTTCTTAGTTCAGGCTTGATTCTAAAAGCTGTATTATTCATTTATGGATGCTTTAGCAAGGAAGGTGCTGATATAATGATGATAATAATACCGATAGGAAAGGAATTGATATGAGGGACTATTCATAATCGTATTATTCAGCTTCTACTCTGTGTTCTGGTGATTGAAACAGTTGTTCGCTCCCACTTGACCGAAATGATAACCTACTAGTATAAACGCTTCAGTTTGATCCATTTTAAATTGCATAACCACAGTGTTATAAATATTATATCAACAAGATCAGATGACCAGCCAGAAAAGATCAGCAAAAGGCATCTCTGAGAGTGAACCAAGCCAGCAGGAACCAATTGTGCAATAAATATGGGGGAAAAATGAAGGTGGATTGACCACACTGTGTGAAAACTACCAAGTGACATCACACGTCAGGCTGTCGAGTGGAACACGAACGTCATGTCAGTGCGAGGGTGACATGGAGGAGATCATGTGAAGAGGAGATGAAAGAATATGGACAGACGTGGAGCCAGGTGAAAGTGTCGGTAGTGAACTGAACGCAATAGAGACGTGCGGCTGAAACCCTATGTTCATCTTGGAACTAAAGGAAACAACAATGATAATAATAAACACTTGGTCATTATTCAATTAACTAATTAATTAATCATTTGTGATTACTGTTACTATCTATTCATCCTCACTCATATCCGCCTTAGTGCCCAGCTACCGCGATCGGTTTATAATTTAGTCAAAGTGGGAACACCATAACTCACTAGAGATTGAAGCTGCATCCAGATGACGAGTTCAAAATGGGACTAAATGCACATCCTCAAACATCTCTGAAGCGTCCGCATTAGAAGCTGACATATCAACATAGGTCAAATATTCCAGTTCAACATATTCGGTCAGCATAATATACAAAATTAACTTAAACAAACAATATTCGGTCATTTTACGCTCGCTCTGATTTTTGTGATTACTTTTCAGTTATTCTATATCTTGAGATTGTCATTTGATTGGTTCGGTGTTTCGATCTATTGCTGATGATTAGATAGGTATAAAGAGATAAATTTCTGAATAGCTTACAGTAACAAAAGTTTCGAGCGGAGACAAAACCTAATGAAATAATAGGAGAGAATTCATCGGAGAGAAGGTTATTGATTTAATAATATGGACGAGACCTAAGAAGACGGTGACAGAGTTTGAATTTGTTACCATGAGAGGTTTATTCAAACCATCTAGGGCGATGAAGGCTTTTGTCAACCACTGCACTGAAATGCCTACTACTGCAGATAAGTTTTAAAACGGAAGATAGAAGATGTCCTGGCTCTCAGGTCATAATACACCAACACACTGTTGACTTCAGTTCTCTTCAACTTAATCAGAAAGAGAAGGGAACGATATGTTGCCACTGCTTACCACATAAATCCAAAAGTGAAATCACAAAATTTCGATCAGTCCCACATTAATTTATTTTATATGTAAAGTTAGGATTTTGAAGTAGTAGTGAATAAGATGTTGTTATATCATTTAGTGCAGCGCACCTTGTTATGCCCAGTTGCTTCTGCTTACAATGATTTATATTCATGGGTTTAACACATTAGAGAATTGATTTCACTACTGCCCCCTTAAAATTATTTTATGCTGGCAATAATGATTAACAAATCTGATACATGTGAAATAACTTTTATCATACTTGTGCCTAATCTTACATGTAAAATCTTTCTTGTTTTACAGAAACCTCTACTGAAATCATACCTGAAAAGGTTGAACCGAAGCTTGAAGGTCGTGCACCACGTTTTCTTAAATTTTTACAACCTGTAACAGCACCAGAATCTTCACAAATAACGTAAGATTACTATTACACAGAAGATTGCTTTTTTTTTCTAATACAAACTTGATGTTATACGGAGATTATGAAAGTGTGTGTGTGTGTGAGAGGGGGGGCGGGTAAAAACAGGTCGGGTATTAGATTTCACGTATAACTGCCTCATGCGGTATAAACGTAATAGTATGTAAGCAGTCTAACCAGAATACTGCCTACCTCACTTAATTTTACCACCCTACACATCTTAGTTGTATAGTGTTAAAGCTGACCTCTTTCATATAGATAGTGTTTGTTTGAATTTAATTACGCAGAGCAGATCTTCTATGTACCAGTCTATGAGCTGCAATAATCGATTGCGTGGCTGTTGATACTGAGTTGCCCAGATTGGAATAGAAGGGGTAGGAATTAGACCTGCGACCCGTTGGTTGGAAGCCGGGTTCTTAAGCCAGTGAGAGCCACCCCCTGATAACTCAAAGTGTACTTGGATTATCTTGAATTAACGTTATTTGAGGTTTATTTAGGTGATACGTGGATCTAGAAATCATCAAGTATCATCCTGTATTCATCTGTTTACAAAAAGGCTTAGTTTTCTCTTCAAGTATCAAGTTTTAACATGATATTACTACTTATAAAAAAAAACTTCGGCGGAGAAGAACCGTGAATCCAGGTGTTCATCTACCGTGAAGAATGTAGTTGTAAACAGTGAGCAATCAAAACAAAATGCAGTCAGTAAGTTGCACAGGCTGGTTAATATTTTTCACTGCAGCAAAAGACAAATTCCAACTGAATGTACTCATTCTACTAATGTAAATTGTAGTGATTCAGTTATCTTACAAAATACTTCAGGGAATCGTCAGTTACTACTAGGTTTCTTATTCAATTGTGGCTACCGGAGTTTGTGACACATATGGTTTAGGTGCTATTCGAAGGGCTTCGCTAAAGAAGAGTTAAGTGGAGTAGGTTTCGAATTCATTACCGTTTGCACAGTAGTACTGACACACCAGTGATGCATCTCAAAGTGATAGAAATAAACTCTGAACTGTTAACTTGAGTAATAAGACATTCCATAGAATATTTTCTGACAATAAAACTACTTTTTAATACTGTATTTTCATAGGTTTTCGGTTGAATTTGATGGTGAACCAATACCTGAAGTAATCTGGATGCATGAACAGGAGGATATAAGTAATAGAGAAAACTATCAGGTATTTACACAAATTATTATTATTACAAAGATCGTTTATATTGTATTACATGAACTAATTGTTACATGTAAATGATTCAGTACTCAGATGTCAAGTTTAAGTTTAGACTCCACTATGCCCACTTAGGAATATAATAAGTCCTTATAAATGTTATTGAGAGAATGGAGTTAAATAATAGTGTAAATACACCATCGAGGAAAAATCTGTTGTCCAATACCGAATAGATTATCTTTCGACCCTGATACATGTCGATCCATTTGTTACACGATCAAATTAAAATGAAAACACTTGAATAAAATGAAAACGTTCCTGTTTCATTAAAGCCTTAATCGTCAACCTGAATGGATATTTGGCAACTTTTTAGAAAAGCAATCACATTCAGACCGCATTCTAAGGTTGGTCTTCAAAGCTAATGATCAAGTCGATACCCGATTGCACTTATTTTAAGGGCATAAGTTGGAAACGTTTGCTAAGTTTGAGAATCGTTTAGTGTAAGGTCATTGGACTGGTGGGAAGCTATTAAAAGTCAATTGTTCAAGATTATTTTGTTCAGATTATTTTGGGAGTCATGTTTCCACTGTCATTCTTTAATATTTTCAAGATCCAATTAGGAATGAACATGTTTTTTTAAGAAACACAAATATCTTGGGAGAATTGCTGAGATGATTCTAAGATGTACCCTTTCGGAGATTCCTTGAGAACAAAATTATTTTAATAGGATTCCGTCAGCCACTGTTTAAAAAAATGTATTTTAAACTTTCAAGCATCTCGTCAGTGCATGCTTCGCCTTTCTTTTTTCATCTTTCACAAAGATAACTACAACACCTACAACAAGTCAGCTAGTAATTTCAAATGTCCGTTTAGAAGATATGGGCAATTTCTCAGTTACACTGCGTAATCCAATTGGACAGGCATGTAGTAAGTCAAGACTGACAGTGACACAGTTAAAAGTGTCTGGGAAAGCACCTGAATTTGTACCACCACTGATTCAATCACAGGTTGTGGAGGCTGGAGAGCCGATTACATTTGAATGCAAGGTAAGTAATATATACATGTATTGATTGATTTTAAAGATTAGAGAGTGACTAAACTGTTTTCATGACAAGAAGTATAATGGCCATTCCAGTTTTTCCATCTATGGACAGCGATTTATTGATGAAATAGGAATGTAGGTTGGTCGCATTACAACTCACTAGCCGGAACCGAAATATCTGAGACTTGTGTTTTATTTAGATTCATAAAATCATTCAAACAGTAAACTCAGGAGTTATACTTAAACTTCATTCGCTCGCATTTCTGCGCAGGCTTATAAGGTTAGTGAAACGCTATCACTCACACTCCAGCTCTTAAACCTTAACTGGTTTATTGAATTGAATTCTTGATTTTCCCGTCGATTGATTGGACCGAAGTGCTCGGTCTCAGGTTGACATGTCGGCTTCTTGTGCAGATGCTTCGACGATGTCTGGGGAACATCATCACTTACTGAGAAATGCAGGCACATCCAGATGACGAGTCCCAATTAGGACGAAATGCGCATCCTGGATTCCACTGCTAGCCACCATCCACCAATTGTATACTTAACTGGTTTAGTTACCATGATGACTTCATAGTGTAGACATCAAGGTGGGTATAATGGTACCATCTTCCTAACTTAAACATTTCCCTAAAGAGGGTGGTGGTTTATTTCAAGCAGAAAGCTCGTTTCCTACATTTAAAATAATTTTCTACTGTTAGCTAAGCACTTGGTAGTTTCTGCTATTAAAGCGGGGGAGTGGTTTTTGTGGGATAAGAATGACAATCATAGGTGTGTGTTTGTGGCTTAGCTTCTGACCTCAGAAAAAATCCAAACAAAAGAGCATATCAACCCTGAAGTCCTTACCACTCATTTGCGATCAAGTAATTCCTTTTATCTGCATTTTAAAATACACTTTACTACCCTATATGTATGTTCTCGTAACCTAAGTTTCTCGGGTTCCGTCCCATGTGGAGTTGTGGGATTGGGCATCAAGAAGAGTCCCAAACTGGGACGAAACAGTTGTCCAGCGCTTTCTAGTTCGAATGATCTTTCCAACTCTTGTTGCTTTGTGAAGAAATATAACAGCTAAAATTTGTCCATATCCATTCGGTTTTTCCTCTTTCCTTTTAAACTCCTAACTTTAAAATACACTTTATGTGTATATTCGGGACTTCGTGCTCCTATGAGCAATATTCCTATTTTCAGTTTCAATGATAATCATTTCTGAGCGATATTCACCAATTTATACCTTTAGATTACGTAACAGTACGTGGTTAGGTTTTCATAATTTATTCATTATTCTTCTTAATATGTAGAATTCATAAGTTAGTTACTGGATGGTGGTGAGTCCGAAATAGGACGAAATGTGCATTCTGGATCCCACTGCTAGTCACCATTCACCAATTAACTTCTAGTTACATGTTCAGACATCGTCGAAGCATCTACAAAAGAAGCCGACATGTCAACCTGAAATCGAGAACTTCGGTCCAATCAATCGTGGGGAAAATCTAAAATTGAATTCATAAGGGTGATAATAATATTCCAGAGAAAGTCTTAAGTAGTGTGAAAAATGACACACACACAAGAATAGGAAAGGTGGGGATAGCAGACGTCAAGTGGAAAAGAGACATGAGAATGGAAAAGACGGTAAACTGTGTTCGAATGAAGTCTACATGAGAAATACAAGTTTATTAATAAAGGGAAAACAAACAAAATGTAACCAAACTATGTGTTGAACGGCTAGTCATCACTTTTTTGTATAGTAACACTTGACAGTTGCGTGTAAGGTTTTCAAAATTCCAGCGACTAATGAATACACAACTGGCGTGAGTATAGTTCGTAATTCTTGAATGACTTTTAAACAATTAACTCTCACCTTGCATACCTTAATGTGTTAGCCTATACTGTTTATTTTCTGATTGCAAAAAATAAATTTAGGTTATTGGGGAGCCAACACCTCAAGTGCATTGGGAACGTAATGGAGAAAGACTACCGCTTAAAAGTCTTGACCATATGCGAATATTTGATGCACCACCGTTTCATACTCTTGTTCTATGCGAAACTGTACCAGAAGATTCTGCCGAGTATCAGTGCGTAGCGATTAATGCGCATGGACATAGTGTTTGCAAGGCTAATGTTACAGTAAAAGGTAATTTCAGAATTCAGTGTGAAATATGTTCAATGTAACTACTTGCGATTATCTCCGCTATTATTAAAACTACTTTTAAATTCATTTGAATCTTGTTCTTGCTTAGTTGTGGTATATTTGTGATACTGTCCTGAAATTGTTTCCTACGGAGCATGTATGTGTCGATCCTGCTCATCTTCGTGATGTTGACATCAGTATATTTGTCCATTATAGTATCCTTGGTCTTTTGTTTGCTTGTTTTATGTGTCAGCTTCTCCAGAGTATGACAGCTTGAACGGGTGTAACTAGTCACTAACACTTGGTGATAACTCATTTGACTATGTTTATTTTAACTCGTTTAGTTCGATTGAAGTAATTAGTAGTAAGAAATATGGAGACATTTTGTGTGACTTATGTCTCGACATTGACAGTGTCTGTACACTCACCTATTAAAACGGGATCATTTTCAAGATTTAAGGTGTTTCACCGGAAATTTATTCTCTTCTCCTGTTAAATTATTGGTGACATTACCACCATGGTAGTAGAGTAAATGACAGTTAATACGTACAACAAAGAAAAGGCATGAATACACATGACTAGATTCACTAATCGAGAACATACTGACTCTATTTTTCGCACTCGAACGTACAGTTCACCAGAGCAATTTATAAAGGTCACTGTAATTGTTACATAAAAGTTGGGAGACGGATGGTTTGGCGATATCTGACATGTTGCCACCTAAGTCCATTGAGTTAGTCGGGTTCTAATGCTAGTGCATTCACATTCGTGTGTATTGGAACAGCCAGGTGACACAGCCTCAGACACAATCCAGTTTTATCACATTCATCAAGTAAACTGTACATTTTATGCAGTACTTTCGTTTCAAATACTTACGTTTAAATATGGGCATCACGTAGGAATTCTAGAGCTAATAAGTTATTAAATTATTTCTAACACACGAATAGGAACCACAAATAATAAATTCAATACCATCAGACAATGGTTAGTTACTTCCAACCATAAGAATATAGACAATTCTCATAATGAATGGTTCGTCGGTCTTAGTGAAACAATGTTATTTGTCAGCAACTCTCTCATACAGTGTTTAAAGGATTTTCTAAGCAGATATCCTAGGTCTTTATCAGTGCATCTAATTCTGTGAGCTTCAGGTTGTCGGCTGACACTGCTCATTTTATGTGGACGAAGACACAAAATTATCTTATTAGAGATGTTCTAAGTTTTTCCTGTCTTGTTGCTTTACTTTTCTTCTCAAGCCAAACCAGTTACTGTCATCCCACCGAGAATTATTCAAGCACCACAGAGTGTTACTGTTGCTGAATCAGAACCTGTTCAACTGACTGCACTGATAGAAGGCATGCCAAGTAAGTGATGAATACATTTCAGTTCATCAATTATTTTCCTTTATACTTGTATTTATTCATGGTCAGTGTACAACTATTTGATTAAGACATCAGTTGCACAAACGTACACAGTTTGATGGAATTCACTGAATAGTTGTAGACTAAAATAATTAAAAAGTATCACTCAGCTATTTATTCTACTCGGTATCTTCCAATTAAAAAAGAAAACTATCAAAATACGAATTTAGTAGAATTTTTCAATCAGTCTACTAGAAGACAATCTGAGGAAGATTGCCATTCACTCTCGACGAAGCAGTCACGTCATGTGGGTAGTCTGCATCAGGAATCCACGCAGATATTTACTGGTAACCATTAGAAACTGTGTCAGTTGACTTCAGCTTGGCAGTACTAATCAGTCAGTGCTGGGTCGACAATTGGCGGCAGTGATAACCTGCCCAGCATTCACTCTGGATTTTTCTTATTTTCAATTTTTCTTCGGCAATATAATTTGTATATTCTTTACGTCTTCGATGAAATTTACTTTAATAGTTAGTATTTTTTTAAAGCACTTTTATCGTCCTTTGACGCTGAATTCTCTAAGTGCTAATGGCATCTACATCACAACTTCATTATGAAAATTTCTACCATAAACAATTTCATAATATTTGCCGTGAAGACAAAAGTAATCTCCTCTCTTTCAAATACGAATCCATTTATGTTTCATAAGTCGTCCAGTTTCTTGTTGTATCTTTCTAATGTTCTCAAACATTGTCTCCATCATCACAATTCACTGAATAACTGTTTCTCTCCAGAAATAAGAAATCTCCACGATTACCTCTTTTAAAGTTGTGACCAAGAGTGTTCAACAACGATAGTGTGGAACCTTGTTGTTGTGTAGGTGCTGAGCATTCACTGGATTGGTTAGTTATCACTATGCTTCTTACAAAGACTGAAGTTCTTCTAACCTCTATCTCACTCTGTCTAAAAAATGTGCACCGGATAGGAGTCTGAGAAAATAGCTGAATAAAGTTTGCTAGTTTCTATCTTGTCAGTACGAGACATTCAGTGGAAGAATCTCACCTGTAATAAAATCTCATTGAATTGTCCACTTAACTGGTATTTAGAAAGTTATGTGAATTGACTTCAATTTATTGGTGGCAGTAGGGATATAGGGATGGCGGTTAGCCAATATGCACAAACTTCAGGAGAAATGCATATTACTAGGTGAGTTTAGTAGAATAGGAATTGGAGATTCAATTTCTCATTGAAACTAGGTCTAACCGTCTAATATGGTGGATGCATATACTAGGGACGGCGAGATTAAAGAATGGCTATCCAAGCAATACGAACGCACGACTAACTTTGAGACAGCCAATCAAAGGGGATATTTCTTCCGTCACATAACTTAAAATTAGTTCCGAACTGTGATGATATCACTCTACGGTGCCCGTGATTGTGCTCCTTCTTTACCAAGACGTTTTCACCTTTATAAACAACAACCGCCACTCCTCCAAAAAGCTGCATCACGTCATTCATCTCCTAGGATGCAACATCTCTTCAATTCTGGCATCTCTGCACAGCAGACACAGAAAATGTTTTGTCTGTGCAGCGGCAGGTTTTAACTCAGTCTTCAGAAACCAATGATTGCAAATCAAAAGTATGATAGGCAGCGAAAGCTTCAATTATGAACAGTAAGTTCCTAAAAATGAGTGAATTCAGTATGTGACTTGCCATTCCGAGCACTGACTCTTCGTCTACAGTCTGAATAAATGTCCACCAGCTGCTTCTGAACAGCTGTGGATGCACATACAACTTCCACAAGAGTCATTATCAGCACAAAAAATGATAACGAACCAGTTTGAGAGGAAATCTCCACTTCATTTGTGCACAACATTCATAATGGCGCTTTAACAATGACGGGTCCTGTTATCAAACCAGTAATATGAGTTCATGGGCATTAGTGCGTTCGCACTCCTGGATAGTTATTTTTAACTTGACCTTAGGGCATTTAGTCTTCTGACTTTAGACTTAGATTAGTTAAAACCTAGTTACGCTGATCAAATTTTCTATATCTGGCTGTGTACCATACTCATTATAATGAGGGCTGGTGATATTATCCACTTGCCAAAGCTGAAATAGACTAAACGGGATTCGAGCTTGGGGCTCATTGGCTGAAAGCCAAGTGCTTTTGTCAGTGAGTTATATTTCGATTACAACTACATTTGCGAGTCATTCGTTGCTCTATCTACCTGAACATTCTCTAAATCAATCTTATAAACTGATAATCACATTATACGTGTTTGTATATGCATACAGTAGACTCAATTTTCAAAAACTGTTTTTTGTTAACAGTGCCAGAAATCACTTGGCTACTGCACAATGAAGTTATTAAACCATCTCAATACTTTCTTCCGGAAGTTCGACCAGATGGTTACACAATACTTAATATTTCCAATGTTTATCCAGAAGATGTAGGAGTTTATACAGTACGTGCTGTTAACGCTGGTGGTGAGGTAACAGCGTCGGCTGAAGTTTGCCTATCAGGTTAGTCTCAGTTTTACTCTTCATTTGCGTTTTAATATTAACAAGTAACTGTCTGACTGCACTGAAAACTGAATGCATAAACTCCGGCAATCTGGGTTTATGCGTTTTAACTAGAAGAGCGTAATTTATTTGGCTATGACAATGTAACTGTTTTAATACGCCATTGACAAACTATTACGATTTTGTGATAAATTACCATCATTTAGAGAGCCACTGAAAATTAGGGGGCATTGGATAAGTATATCATCTTAGTGTGAACCTCTTCAGTACTTTGCTCCCACAACCCTACCAAGGAGCAACCCATGAACCTTTAAGTCAAGGTGTGAGGATTTTACCATCAGGGTCTCGAAACAATAACCCATGTAATCTAATTCCTATCAACTAGTGATAGAGCTCCACCGTCATTATCCAGTGTCTGTTGTCACAGTCGTTTTGGTCTATGATGAAATTTGCCTTGAAATCAATTCAACTACCACAGACTAAGCAGGTGCAAATTGTAATGTGTGTAAAACTGATCATTGCGAAGATGTGAATTGAACTCGCAATCTGAAGAAATCTCTGCACTATACTGAACTCTTCATCATGATAATTAATCTGTGACTTCATGAAAGGTGTATTAGTGAAGTGAATACTATAGAGATACACTGTGCATAAAAAAAACACTCTATTACAAATGTTACAGTTTATTTCTACCACACTGCTTGTTTTATAATGCTGACATTTTTTCATACTCAAAGTATTCAAACTGTCTTCTCCGTTGTCGGCGTAGTAAAGCATAATTCATGGAAATACGATTGTGTCTCATTGCAAATGATTTTAACAACAAATGAATGAATGTCTTTTGGTATGAGTTCGGTTCTTTCTAGATATCTTATACAAGACGCACTTGCCAAGAAATCAAGATCATGCTATCTTAGCAGTCAACACATAGTCTTCAGGTCAGGTGATATCAAGTTATTGACCGATATAATACTATAAACATGGTAATTACTCGCTAACTCTGAGATATGAATGTGGAACCGTTTACAAGTTGCTCGTCATACTGTTCACAACATCATTCGATCACTGAGAGATTTAGCTATAGTTCAGGCAACTCTAATAATTCGATTTACAGCTTAGAATACTTTGCTTTACACTGCAGAACGGTCCTGGGTTTCTTTAGTGTTGTTGTATAAATACATATCTGATGAAAACTGACAATATGTACAAAGATGTGATCCCTGCTGGTTTGTCAGAAGCCTTCTACTTATGTTTCTGCTTCTACTTTTCAAAATCTTACTGAGATCTCTGGTAACACTGTGAATTAGACCACACTAAGAATTCTGAAGTACATCCTATTTGAGTGAAGGTAATATAACTTAACCATTGCTTGTGTTCATCATGAAAATGTATCTTTCATTAGAATACTGACTGTATATTTCAAAACAGGTTTTATGTCGGACTGATATACATTTTGTAATACTATAAATTAATCTTCAGCTCCGCAGAATATCGCTCCACAATTTGTTAAACCCTTACCTATGGGCCCGATAGAAGTTAAAGAAGGCGAACAAGTCTGTCTAGAGGTTCAGGTATCAGGTGAACCTTTCCCTGAGATTAATTGGTATCAAAATGGACAGCCAATTCAATCTGGTCCTGTTTGGAAGGTAAGTGAAGTAAACTCATTTTATACAAGGAAGTTTAGTATTTGTTTTGATTTCTCAACGCTCACTCTCTTGATAACTTTTCCTTTAGAGATTCTATGAGTGGCTGGTTTATCGATTGTAAACATATTTGCGGAAAAATCGTAATCCTGACTGTGTGCAGGATTACGAAAAAGTCTGTATTACCATTCAAACATAGTCAGTTTGACAGTTTGAATAGGATGGTATTAAAGTGTACAGTACAGATGTCGCCTACATCGTCTTAATATACAAACTTTTGTGTTCGGCTGCCAAATATATATATATATATATATATATATATATATAATGCCGGTCTTTTTGTCATAATGAAGTTGAGTGTTTTTGTCTTGACCTAATAATAGCGGGTAAAATTCAGTCCTGGGAGGCATTTATTTTTGTAAATAATAAATGTTTGTTCAAAAGCGCTTAAATTATTATTATTATTTAGGAGGGGTTTATTCAAACTGATAAAGGAGAGAGTTTTACAAATTCCACTGATTTACAAGAGAACACTGGAGTATTACAATTCAGAGTAGCTTCCAGATCACTATCCAGTAATTAATTAATTAATTAATTAATCTATTTGGTCTGATTATAAAATAAGCACTGGACATTTCTGTATCAATGTGAATATGATCTCTGATTCAGAAACTAGACAACTCCACTTTGAAATTTAGTGCAATTTTTTCACTGTAAGTCGGGATGCATTGCAAACTAAGAAAAAGCTGAACTACTAAGGGACTTCATTTGTGCATCAGACAAAAGGCCTTAGCTCTTTGAAATCCACTGACTGACACCTGATAAAGCACATCTTTTCTTACTCCTGGTTATCTGCGATTAATAGACGAATTTTCAAGCGATCAGTATCTTACTGCCAAGCATATGCATAATCTGGTTTATACTAATTAATTGATTTTCAGGTAACAACAGACCGATATATTTCCCGCCTTGAATGCAAAACTGTGTCAATGAACAACTCTGGAGAAATCCTTGTCAGAGCAGTTAATCCAGCCGGACAAACAACTACCCAAACAAAAATGATCATTATTCGTCTAGGTGGGTGAACTAGGGGTATTTTGTAAAACAATTTATTGTGACAATCATTCCTATTAAAGCATCAAAAAGTTAAATTTCCCCGGGCTTTACACTAATTCAAACGGTAATTATCCAGTTTTATGGATTCGTTCCATCTTACAACTGATGGGTTACGTTGAATTAACAGACTGACTATGATGGCTCTTCCAAACTACCGGTTAGATTATCGCTGTTAAAATGAATTTCATCATATGTGATGGATATCTGTATTCTGTAAAGTCATTTCTAGTTAATTAAAAGATTGTCGTTTTAAGGTTACTTGGAATCCATTCCAGTTTGCGACGTAATCTACTCTGAAGTAAACTAATCTTCACACTGGACGAAATTTCGATGTTCAACACTGAGTAGGTTTTACCACCTATAGAGAAATACTAATCTTTTCGGTGTACCAAGTAAGAACTTTAATCCCTAAAAGAGTTGTGATAGTGGAGTGTTGGTGACTGCCAAACTGGTATGCAACAGACACCTGGTGCCTATAGGATTTTAACGCAGTTGAATTGACAGACACTAACAGAGGTGCCATTTCGTCTTTCACTTCCGACCGGAATCATAACCTGTCGCGTAGGAAATATGGGCTGCAATTTACTGGCACTGATTGATTTTTTTAGTTTGTTGGCTACTACTTCATCTCTAAACTACAGTCGCAACTTTTTGTGTTCGTAGACGCAAACCACTTCTTTACGACTTTTGTAACTTTCTCGTGGAGTTTTCTCGATAGCTATTTTTAATTAAGGTGTTATGTATATTCCCAAGCTCATTCTCGAACACATCTTACTAACATCCAATGAAATGTAGTGTGAAAAATGTGTTCGACGTCAATGTTCAGTTGAAGTCAAATCTTCAACAGACTTAGCCATAAACAATGATTTTACCTAAAAAAATAAAACAGAATTTATGTCTAACTTTAATAAACCGACGAACTGTATAACTGAAATTATTCTCATTTTTTTCACAGGACCAGAACCGAAACCACCAGTTTTTGAAAAACGATTACAACCTAGAGTCAAAGTATTGGAACATCATACTGTTACGTGAGTTTTCATTATTACCATTACTATTCATGAGTTTTTGTTGATTTTCTTTGGCTGAAAATAAGTAGGAATAGTGTTTTCCACCTCACAGAAATATCTCCTAATGCGGAAGTTGATGACTGATATCAAAAGATAGCAGATCCTCGGTAGTAGAATTTATAATGCTTGCCTTCTAGTATGAATCTCGCTATAGGTCAGAAACTCTGTCTTCACTGTAGGTGAAGGTTAGTTTACTAAGATCGGTTATGTAGGAAAAATTTACTAGCGAATAAGTTGAAAAAAATAGTGTAATTCGAATTCATATAAGTCAGAGTGTCACTCAACCTAAAAAGTTGTTCCAATGATATCCAAATTTAATTCATTCTTATCATGCCAAGCTGGCATTACTCTTAAAGTTAGTTTTATCAGACTAGTATAAAATAAGAATCAAGCCTTTCAGACGTCGCTTTACTCAGTCAGCAAATAGATTCAATACAGAATCTGGAAATTCACAATGCTTACGTAAAATGAATCGGAAAGCACACTTTCATCTGAATAAACAGCTTTACTATGGAAGAAAAATCATCAGCATGATTAAGGAAAGGATTACTTGAACTGACTAATGAAGATAAGATCTTAAAGTAACAATCAAAGTGGTTAAAGGCAACAAGACATCGTATATGATAAGATTCCCCAAAATCCATCGTCCAGTTTCTTGAAACCAAGTTAGTAGATGCAAAGGAGACCTTGAATACAGATAATTCAAACTCTGTGACGTCCTACACTACCACCTGAGATTTCGTTTCATTTTTCGATTGAAAATTCCATAATCATTATAATATTTCTTACGAGAAATCCGGGATGGTAATTAGAATAGCGAACTTTTTAGGCAAATAAACCAAACGCTTAAACTGCGCGTAGAATTCATACCGTAGGGCTTGTCTACAATGCGGTACTACTATATTAACAGATAAGAATAATGAATATGAATTACCAACACCAAATTGTGGCATATTAAGAATGATCCACAGTCGCAGATACACAACTCACGAATACACATGGTAAGGTGAAAGGGGTTACATTAAACATGGTTCAAAAGGAGGAGGGAGAAAGATAGAATTTGGAACATTGGGAAACCTGTACAAGAGGTACAGTTTAGTCATAGCTTGAGAATTATTACTGACAAAATAAAAATACTGACAAACTATGTAAGATATCGTTTTATTGAAATAGGAAAGTCTTCCAATGGGGTAATAGGAAAGTTACCGAATACAAACTTATTCCGTGCTGTGTGCTACTGATAATATTTATCAGTAGTATATAAAGCAACTTCCTTTGGCGTTAAAATATCAAACAGCAGGGAGGTAGATTTGACATCAGAGAAAGGAAATGATTCAGCGCTGCAGCAAAACATGGGAAACGTGAAAGCAACACAATATGAAGGACAGAAGTAGCACAACACGGAAGATCTGTGAAAATGGTCGTTTGAAGATAAGGTTTTACATAATTTCGCCATACAGAGATACCAGATTCCTTTTCCAAGTCCCTTTTCTTCGGCCGTCCCAATATTACATCATGGTAATAAACATCGTGTGTTTGTTATAAAAAAAAGACGAGTTGAAAGGAACCAATAAAATTTTTTCTCAGTCGAATAACCACGCTTAGCTCTGTGAGATCAGCATATTTTAACCTGTGGGGACTAATTGAATAGGTTTTGAACAAATTTGTGTACAGATTATCTGATAGGTGGTGATTACCAGTAGAATCTAGTGTGGCACCCAATGACTAGGTAAACGTATCTAATACAGAATGATTTATAATAACTGTGATAAACCTGTAATGAAAATATTTACTTTTTGAACCAAATGTACACTTTTCCTTTAGGCTGGAATGCTGTGTCAATGGGTATCCAGAGCCAACTTTACGATGGTTTCATAATGGTGTGGAATTTGAACCAGTTATAATTTCATCGCCCTCTCAACAAGCATCTGCTAAAAAGGAATTGTACATTGACAAATCAACACATACATATACTTTGAGCATACACGATTTAAATGCCTTTGATATAGGCGAAATAATGGTACGCGCAGAAAATGAACTTGGTGTAACTATGTGTAGTAGTGTATTAGAACTAGAGATAGTTGATGGAAAGATTGTTGAACCACGTTTTGTGCGTCAACCACCAGAAAGGATTGAATTACAACCTGGTGATAGTGCTAGACTGGAATGTGAGGTTGAATCCGAACCACCGGTTACATTTAGATGGTATTTAAATGGATTACAACTAGACCAGACAGCGAAACAATTCAAGGTGCTTGAAGATACTAATCGTACAACTCTGATCATTCCATCGGTTCAACCAGAAATACTGCCCAGTGAAGTTACCATAGAAGCTGCTGGACAGACGGGAACAAAGATTGTAACCTCTTCAGTATTGGTAATGATGGCTAAAACAGATGATATAACAGAGACGCAACCGGAAAAACAACTCCCTGAACTTCGTTTCACTCGACAACTACCAACACATTTAACTTATAGTGAAAAAGATGAGGCGATTACACTTGAAGTTGAAGTTGATAGACCGGAAGAATCATTTTCAGATGTTCCTCAGCCTGTTTTTAGTTGGTATTTGAATGGAATAGAAATATTTTTGCTTCCACCTGAAAAGAACCCCGAACGCTACATTGTAACTCAAGATCAACCATGCCACAGCAGATTGACAATCAATAATCCTGGTACCTGGGACTTCGGTGAAGTTACCTGTATGGTAACACGTTTAAGTAATGATAAGGAGGAGAAGATTTACACTTCATGTAATCTCGAATTAACTTATCAGCCACCAAAGACGGAAGAGCAGCCAAAAGCACCAGTAGTTTCAAAATTAGAATTTGCTCCACAATTCATTCAAGGCTTACCAGAAAAACTTACACCAGAAGTAGGATCTACAGTTGTTATGGATATCATATTAAAGGCGAATCCATCACCTGATATTCAATGGGCAATTAGTTCACCGTCAACAGCTGAAAGATTCGAATTTTTCGGTCCAGAACAAGTTGATGACGATACATTACAATATAGAGCGGTACTACACAATTATCAACCTGAAAAAGATGATAATACTATATTACAGATGATTGCTACATCGCCATTGGGACAAGCAACATCGGTGTGTCACATACAACCAAGGGAACAACAGACTGTCAATGTGGAATTCGCTAAAACACTAACTTCACAACTAGAAGTTGCACTCGACCAACCGCTACAGTTAGAATGTTCTGTTCAACCGACAACAGCTCCAATTGAATTTCGTTGGTATGTTAAAGGGTTAGAAGTCACTCCAGAACAAATACCATGTGAAGTGAAGACAACAGAGTTTTCATCAATTTTAGAAATACCAAAAGTTAGTTCTGAAATGATTGGAACCATCACTGTTTCTGTTTTGCATCCTGAAGGAGAATTGACTAGTTCATGTGAATTATATACTGCTACCGAAGTAGAAATGCCTGTGGTTGAAGATGTTATCACTGAATTACCATCAGCACCTGAAACGTTTACAGTTGAGTTGAAAAATGTTGAAGAACAAACTGAATTCAGTTTCATTAAGCCTGTTCGCGCTGAAGTTCACCAAGATTCAAGTGAAGAACGTACTTTAGAGTAAGTTTAACTACTGATCATTTCAAAAGACTAGGAATATTTTTGTATATCTAAGCGTTTTATAAACTAGCATCACTGATTTAATATGCATCGTTACTGGAGAGAGTCTATTGGTACATTGTAGTATGTATATGTCACTGATAGGAATTTCAATAAATCGTGTGTCATGCAATTCTTAATTAATCTTATTTGTGTTTGACAGAAGAAGGGAGACAGTCTTTACGGTGTACATTCTTACAGTGAGTTTCTTCATCTGATACAACAAAACAACTATATCAAAAACGTTTGCTGGATAATGAAAATAATAATACGGTTTCACTGATTGCCACATGACGTAAATTAGTGAAATTAAATATAGACTGTAAGTCGAAACCAGACTGAACCATTGAATATTGGATATGGAATCTTATACGAAGGTGCAGTAGTTTAACCTGTCACACTTTGCAAATTGTACGCGAATAAATGGAAACATGAGACAGAAATCATAATTACACTAAAGTTAGTGAATATAAAAGATCAAAATTAATGAATGCATCTCTGATGTTGAGAATAATTTTGAGGTATATCACCAACAGTCCCCAACAACTGGTTACAAGCATCTTGAGGACCTCAGTCAGACAGACGGTCTACAACTTCATTCCTGATGAGCTCAAACAAACAGTCAAAGACTTCCTGGATTGGTGCTATTTTTCTGTCAGTTCACTACTGACTTCTCCACCTTAATCCTATATCAGGGAACATTTTTCATTGAGGAAAGCTATGGCTGATAGTGCGTAACACATATCCTAGATGTTTCTATGGTCTCAGCTTCACTGTTTGGTTCTGTCTCTTTACCCAACACTCTACCAGTAATCAAAGGATTAATGACAATATTATACTGCCTAACAAAGACACATATGGCTAGCATCTTCATATATTTCACTTTAACTGCTCTCTGTCTCAGCCACAGAGAAGGACGGAGTGAACTGCTACTCAGTCCACAGATCCTTTGGCGGATATCCGCATATCACAACCACTCTAGGAGTGACTCAATTCGACAAATGCCACACAGGTCATTCGTATGCGTAGCAAGACTTCGATATCAGTCGATACCAGTTCATTATGGTTTATGAGACTTCCCTACAATGAGGTGCAGTGTAGTCTACTTAAATAAATAATGGTATTTTGTGAACACTACAACTGTGGTCGGTGGAAATATGAATTACTAGGCAGAAGTCAGTTGTCTGAACCGTCCAGTCACAACTGAAGTTCAGAATCTAGTTTGCACTAAACTCAGCCACTGGTCGATATCTCGTAACATATACAAACTTTGAAAATCCTATTCTGTATATTTATTATTGTTGTTTGGAATAAAATCATTGTAGCGTCATTATATTATTAGTCATCAAGGCAGAATGACTGACTTAAAGCACTATTTAACAATGCATTGGTACAAATCCGAAATAATGAATTAGTGTAGCAAAATAAGGGGTGCAATCGAAATAATGAGTGGTCCAAATGGTGGGCCTGGCAGTGATTGAAGTAGGATTCAGAGAGCGTAGTGGTATTTTCCACACATCATGGTTGTAGGGCTTTGGTTTATTTCAAAGTAATTTTTATCAGAGACTCTTCGAAAGTCCGAAAATCGTGTGGAAGCAGGTGTGTCCAGTAGTCAGTAGCTTTCATCGGTCCTCAGATCGGTATGCGGCAAACTTAGAACAAACGTGTTCCATTCTCATATATGTACCAATTACTTTATTGAACCTGTATTTCAGTTGAGTATATTTTAATATTCCCACATCATATTTTTGTAGATTGGAGTGTCAGTTGCTGACAGACCAACAGCCAGTATCTGTTCAATGGAGTCATGAAGGCTCCGAACTTACAGTATCCGATCGGATTGAACAAGTCTATGAGTATGAAAGCGGTTTGGCTAAACTAGTTATACATAATGTTACCCCACAAGATATGGGTGAATACACATGTACGGCAACACGAACCCAACTTGTACCGACACAAGTTGAACCTATTCAAAAGACTATCACCTCCAGTACAGTCGTGGATATTGAAGGTGAGTGTTAGTGATCAACTTTTGCTTTCTTCATCATCACCATATAATAATTTTATTTATTCCTCAACTGTTAAATAGTTTATATTCTCTGTAAATGTCATAAATAGTTTGCAAGTGGCACTTTAGACACCCAAACTGAAAGATCTGGAAATTTTATGTGATTCAAATGATTCATTAACATTAGTTAATAGTTAATAGAAAAGAGTCAGTCACTTGTGGAATCCTTTCTGCTAATCAAGTACTAAAGTCAAGGCGTGAGAGTGTGGTGGTGTGATACAGACAATGTGTTCCAACGGAATGTTATTCTCACACTTCACATCGGTATTAGCAATAGAATACTATCTATATTTGAACATTCTATATCATGATGTTTGATGTGAACCCTAATCCACACGCTCAGTGGTTGGTTAAAAAATATAAGCTGTAGATAATATATAAACAGCGATTTGATTAGTAAAAAGCATAACTTGGCTTCCATGTCTTACCGTCTGTTGTTACAAGAGAAATGGATTTAATTAGTGTAAGTCTGGAGACACTTCAATAAAAAAGATTAACCTGGGACATAATCTGGCTTGCATGGTCTTGTCAAAAAATTAACAATCTTCCAGTGTAAGTGAATTAAAAGTTAATATATCGACTATACATCCCTTTAAACAAATCATACTGAAATGTATCCTGCCAACAACATGTGTACCACTCAAAAATTACGGTGATACAATTTGACTGGTTAATTTATACACAGTGAATAAATTCACCTAACAAAATATCTTTCTTCGCCAGAAGGGCGTTTCAGTATTATATTTAACACCATACTACTGTAGCTTCACATTTTTCCAATGGGATATGAGGTTATGTATGTAGTATTTCAGATGCGCCTTACCGATGCATCCTAACAAACACAAAATGCATACACAATAAGTTATCTTGAATACACTAAAAAGTAGACAAATATTGTTGATAAAGTAATTTTTCTTTACTAGGCATTTGTGATGTAATCTTTAACAATCCAATTTCCTATGTGAGGTATATATTTTGTACCGACAGTGTACGGTAGACTGACTAATTAACATGTAACTTATTTCCTAACATTTGTGTAACATTTTAATTTACATTTTTCTTTTTCAATCAGTTCCTGAAACAGTTGAAATTGTTCCTACAATCAGTGAAAAAGTACTCACATTTTTACAACCTGTTACACCGAATATTCACACTGTACAAGACCATAAGGATCTTGAGTAAGTAATCAATTTTCGGTTTATTTTTCCTCACCGATTACCTGCTTATTATTGCATTGGTTTATTCTGAGTATTTTAATGTAAGTTGGATAACTCACACTGCGAACCACTTTTGAAGAATAAAATGAATTCATTTTAGTGAAAGGAGTTTACGTCAGTTAATGACAATTAAATGTGAATTATGCTTATATAGTTTTTAGACAGGGAGTTCAAGTTTAAACAAAGTAAATGTATTCATACAATGCTAAGGGGATTACATAACAAAGACGAGAGGTACGTAATTCATCATCTTACGTACCTCTCTCCTTTATTACGTAACTCCTTTACCGTTGTATGCATACATTTACTTTGTCTAAACTTGGACTCCCTGTGTAAAAACTATGCAAGCGTAATTTTCTGAGCACTGTTCACTAAGTCCAGAGCATTTTGTCAACCGACATCATGTAAAATTTGCAAGCATGGTTAAAACTTTTCTCAACATAAACTTAGTAATTTTTTTAGGCTGTAAGCAGCAACTGATATGAAACCAACGAAATAAATGATGGTACCATTCCATTTTGCAAAAACTGTTGTTCTTGCTTTATTCAAATTCATAAAGGCGGATAAATGTATGACAATTAAATGAGTAAATCATTGTAATATTATCTTCGAAATATCTAAAATGCATGAAGAGTTCATTTGGGAAGAGTACAATAAGGCTTCAGAAAACGAATGCGACGTGTATACTCATTGGCACGTGTTTCCAACCTCCCCGGTAGAATGTCGTGCCTCCGGTCTCCCCAAAATGGATGATCACCTACTTAGTTAAAATATATGGAAGTTATGTCACGGTGATTGCTTCTGTATTTTATTATTTCTGGCTGTACGCAGCTGATGATAACTCAGTGAGGTAAACTGTTTCATCTTATGCCACAAAGCTGTTCTCATTAAGTTATTCAAGGCTTTAATGCTATTTTAACTTTATGCATTTATAAAAATTTTCGTTTGGAGTATCTGAGATAGCCTTGACTACTTTATAAGTTCATATATACTTACACAACAACAATATCACAAATTGAAACTCACTTTATTATACAGATCAGATGGTGAAAGGCATTAATTAATCTCATCTGGAAGTTATAGACGAAGGTTTCTTGGTTTTCAAACATTAGAATTTCTCATTAGTCATGTCAATTCTTCCTGACTGCTTTTAAATCTCTGCTTACTGTTCATTTGTGTTCTGACAATCAAATTTTTCTTTTTAATGAAGAATCGTTGTACATTATGAATACATCTCTTCGGTCAGTTGTCATGTTAATAGGTTAATTAATTACACAATAAAATTAGCGCTACTTTTACGAAGTTCATTATATTATTAAGAAACAGATGCTTCCAACCTCTGTCATTGTCAACATCTGTTTAGATTTAAAATAACTCGAAACACTTCTTATTATTTATCTCCAGATTGGAATGTCAAATTCAAGCTGATTTGAAACCTATCCAACTCGTCTGGGAAGTTAACGGAGAAGAATTAACTCAATCAGATCGTACAGAAATGACATATTTTGAAGACAGTGGAATAGCTCGTTTAATAGTACACCAAGTTATTCCATCAGATTCTGGTGAATATGTTTGTAAAGTTCATGGTGAAGTTGTGGAGGCTGAAACAAAACAACAAATGACTAAAACAATTTCTTCCGGTTCAATAGTTACAATTGAAGGTGAGTGAAAATCAGGCTGTTATAAAATTACGATTTTGTCAGTAGTTGTATTATTAAATACTGATATGTGATGTTGTATCGTATGTGCATTGTTCACTGAAAATACAACAGATGTCAAAAATATACCGACAAACATGCTAAGATTTACTTTTGTGTGCTTTTCGCTTTGCTGTTACGCGTTAATGACCAACCGAGTGAAAAGCCTCCTCCTAGATTTGTTGAGTACGTAACAATGTGATTGTACACTTTTTGGTAATATATTGTGATTTAACACTCCACTGACTTGGATTATTACTTTTATACTTGGAATGTTAGTGAACTCTAATATTAGTCCCCTACAAATTAATTGGTGAGCCCGATAAGAACACGGATTATTTTGGCATATTCATATTCTTATTTTTGCTATTTTGTATATTCATTGTGATTTTTTTGTGTTTTTATATTTGTATCCTAATTTGTACCAATAACCCCATATTCATAATGTCATCACCTCGGTCCGGTACATCAAACGAGCAGACAACTAATAGCGAGACAAATGCCACAATAAATGCCATCACTGATTTTCGTTTACCCCAATACGGTTTCGCGGAACCAAGGATTTGGTTTGCGGTAATTGAACCGTTGCTAGAAGCACGGGGCATTAAGTCCCAAATAGCCAAATATGGTATGGTGCTGGCAGAACTCCCTCCGTCAGTATTGACAGAAATCAGCGATTTCATCGAAGATCCTCCGACGGAGCATCAATTTGATAAACTTAAAGCCCTCCTCATACAACGTACCAGTTTGTCGGATGAGAAAAGAATCCAACAATTGCTCACAGGCTGTGATCTAGGCCCACGTAAACCATCCCAGCTGCTCAGGCACATGCGCCAGTTAATCGGACATCATAAAGTAGACGAGGTAGTGCTGAAACAGATGTGGTTGCAACGTTTACCTAGAAATGTCCAGCAAATTTTAATCATCTCAGGAAAGTCGTATGACTTAGACCAACTAAGTGACATGGCAGATAGTATTATGGATGTTTTATCTGATAACACCATAAGTCACGTAGCATCTGATAGTGCCACACCGTGTCATTCCACACCCACGGCAGACACACCGATACTCGCCGCCATTGCAGACTTAGCGGCAAGGATTGACAAGTTGGAGACTAATAGGTCGGATCGACAAGTCCGGAGGCGGAGCTCACAGAGAAGGTCACCATCACGACGACGATCCTTCTCACGACAGCGTTCTTACACGTCTTCTCGGGATAGCAATATATGCTGGTATCACTGGAAGTTTGGACGTCATGCCCTGAAATGTGTAAAACCGTGCAGCTTTAGCGAAGCCAACCAGGCTCAGGGAAACGCCTCAGCCAGACAGTGATGGCGACAGCTGTTACTGGCAATCACCCCAGTCGCCTTTTCTATGTGAGGGATTTGACTACCGGCACATTATTCCTGGTAGATACAGGCGCCGAAGTCAGTGTTATTCCCCCCTCACTATCCAGGCGATCAGCCAAAATACCTGGTAAACTTTCACTTCGTGCTGCCAACCAAACCGACATACCGACGTATGGCGAACAGTCAATGATTTTAAACCTAGGACTACGCCGACGTTTCACATGGATCTTCATAGTAGCTGACGTACGTCACGCTATACTAGGTGCAGACTTCCTAAGTCACTTCAATCTGTTGGTTGATATCAGCAAGAAAAAACTGGTTGACAATTGCACCCAACTCAAGATCCACGGTATTACATGTGACTACTCTGTTCATAGCATCTGTATAGAAAAGCCGGAGAGTGAAATGTTCTCTGCTTTATTGCAACGATTTCCTAAAATCCTTAAACCATCATACAATGTTGAAGATATATCTCATACAGTTACGCATAAGATCATCACAACAGGACAACCTGTGAAGGCACGTCCACGACGGTTACCACCCGATAAACTAGCAGCAGCTAAGTCGGAATTTGAACATATGATGCAGCTAGGTATCATACGACCATCTAACAGCCCATGGTCTTCACCTCTGCACATGGTACCTAAAACTAATCATGACTGGCGGCCATGTGGAGATTATCGCGCTTTGAATAACGCTACGGTCCCAGATCGTTATCCTATACCTCATCTCCACGATTTCTCCTTGAACTTACATGGAAAGACCATTTTTACTAAAGTTGACTTGGTCAGGGCATATCATCAAATACCAGTCGCTCCAGAAGACATTGCAAAAACAGCAATTATCACGCCTTTTGGATTATTCGAATTCTTGAGAATGCCTTTCGGACTAAAGAATGCTGCTCAAACATTTCAGCGTTTTATGGACCAAGTTACCCAAGGTCTTGATTTCGTCTTTGTATATATCGACGATGTCTTAATCGCCAGCTCATCGATGGAAGAACATATGCAACACTTAAGCCTGTTATTTCAAAGGTTTGAACAATTTGGAGTTGTTATCAATCCAAAGAAATGTATTTTTGGTTCCCCTTCCATTGAATTCTTAGGACATCGAATAACTGCCGAAGGCATCAGACCTACCGAAGATAAGATAGAAACTATTAAGAACTTTCCCGAACCTGATTCCTTAAAGAAACTTAGACGTTTTCTCGGGATGTTCAACTTCTACCGACGTTTTATTCCATCATGTGCCTCCATAGTTCAGCCACTGACCGACCTACTTAGATGCAATTCGAAGAAATTTCAGTGGTCTGAAGAAGCAAAAGCAGCATTTAATAATGCAAAAGATGCCTTATCCAACGTTGTAATGTTATCTCATATCAACCCAGAAGCTTCACTCATTTTATGTACAGATGCATCGCAGGTAGCAGTGGGAGCAGTTTTACAACAAAAGTTCAATAATGACATCACTCCACTTGCTTTCTTCTCCAAGAAATTGGAACCTGCGCAAACTCGTTACAGTACCTTTGGCAGAGAACTGTTAGCCATCTACCTAGCAGTTAAACATTTCAGTTACTTACTACAGGGCCGGCATTTCACTATTTTTACTGACCACAAGCCCCTGTGTCATGCTTTCACTACTTCACTCGATAAACACTCCCCTAGAGAAGCCAGACAGTTGGATTATATCTCCCAATTCTCAACCGACATCCAGTACATCAAAGGAGATGCGAACGTGGTAGCCGATTCTCTTTCAAGAAGTGACATTAACCAGCTTCAAACGTCGGTAGACATCAGTCTTGATCGTATGGCTCAATTACAAAGAGATGACGTTGAACTCCAAACCTGCCGCAGAAACTCTTCCTTACAGCTCAAAGATGTGCCTATCCCCTTATCAGATGCAACCATAGTCTGCGATGTATCTACCGGAACTAATCGTCCATTTGTCCCTCTCAGTTGCCGAAAAGCATTGTTCGAACATTTACATTCGCTTTCTCACCCTGGAGTACGCGCCACGGTCAGACTGATCAGCGAACGCTTCGTGTGGCCTAAAATGAACTCTGACATTCGGAGATGGGCACGAGAATGTATCCAATGCCAATGCTCCAAAGTACACCGCCACACTATTACAACCCCGAAGACGTTTAAATTACCCGAAAGGAGATTTCAGCATATCCATATAGATATCGTGGGACCATTGCCAACATCAAGGGGATATACACATATCCTGACAGCGATTGATAGATTTACTCGTTGGGCTATTGCATGCCCCTTAAACGACATATCTGCTGAAAACGTTGCTTTAGTTTTTCTCGACCGTTGGGTGTCAAACTACGGTGTACCGACTACTATTACATCCGACCGCGGTCCTCAATTCCAATCGACACTCTTTCGCGAACTGACGAGACTTCTGGGAGTGAAACATATCTCCACAACAGCCTATCATCCGGCAGCGAATGGTCTAGTGGAAAGATTCCACAGACAACTGAAAAGCTCCCTGATGGCGCAGAATGATACATCTAAGTGGAGTGAATACTTACCTTTGATTTTACTTGGTATCCGTTCTACTATCAAAGAAGATTTAGGATGTACACCGGCTCAACTTGTCTATGGCACCAACCTAACCTTGCCTGGACAGCTAGTCCCCTCAGCCGATTCCACAGACGTGAACATTGCCGACTTCACTAACCGATTAACTAGACAAATGCTTCAACTTCAACCAACAGCACCTCGACAATCTCCCCGAAGAGATCAGATCAACAAACATCTACAAACTTGCAAATTCGTCTTCATTCGAGTCGACGCCATCAGAAAAGGATTGCAACCTCCATACGAAGGACCCTTTCAAGTTATTAAACGTTCAGACAAACACTTTACAGTGAACAAGAATGGAAGACGAGAGACTGTTTCAATTGATCGAATCAAACCCGCATACACCGACAACGACTTCGAATCTACATCGGCAGCTGCGCAATCAAATAATCAAACATCCGAATCCCCTCCACCGGCACCAATTCTTATCCTCCCTCCATATCACACACGTAGTGGTCGGCAAATCAGTAAACCGGCTCGCTACGTTCATTTTGAGGACTAATAAAAGAAAAATAATTGAAAATTATTATTATCTTTTTCGTTTAGACATTATCATCATGACCGTTAGTATTTCGTCGTAAACTTTGATGTTACTATCACTATTATTTATTTATATGTACCTCACCTAAAAAACAGGTATTGTCCTTTCCAAAAACTATTGATCTTTAATCCATATTTTTTTAATGTTTCTTTCCCCTCCTTAAATACTGTGTATTTACATATTTTTCTTTATACATTAAAAATCTATGTTCATGGTTAGTGCAAATTTAAGTGACATGACTTTCTATTTCAATTTTTATTGCTGAATTCATTGTATATGCTTTCAGACTTTACATGATTCACATACCTTCTCGCGTTTATGCATGTTGTAATATATCCCTATTTTTATCCAAAAGTTGCTATTACTATTATTATTTACTTCATAGTTTTACGTATCATTTCCCGGTTGTCTCTCCGGACCTCTAGGGGGGGAGCCGTGTTGAGTACGTAACAATGTGATTGTACACTTTTTGGTAATATATTGTGATTTAACACTCCACTGACTTGGATTATTACTTTTATACTTGGAATGTTAGTGAACTCTAATATTAGTCCCCTACAGATTTCCCACTTGTTGGCATCTATCAGTAAGGTATGTTTTCCACTTTGAAGAAAGCCATGTTATCTCACAGATTTGGGGCAGTTACACTTCTGAAGTTAGAGACTTCATCACTGGGACATTCAAGTTGTATTTTCACTCAACATACACAAATGAGGCGAAATTTATCATGTTTTTGTTTTCAAAATTCAGGCCCTCAGAGGTTAGGCTTCACAGACACTCATTCAGATGAAAAGTTGGATTTCATGGGCCATTGGACTGGGTCCCAGTGGCTTAGTGGTCCACGAGCCCGCCTTGTAAACGCAAGGTCGCGGTTTCGAACCCTGGTGGAGGGTGAGTACCGATGAAGAATCCCAAACTAGGCTGACGAAACGGCTGTTCAGTATCCCCGGGTTTTCCAATGCTTCTCTAACTGATGTCAACTCATGATGAAATCGCGAAACTTCAATGTATATTAACAGAACAACATTTAATGCGAAAAACTAGTTCTAATCTTTCTTAGGCCGGGGTTTTTTTCCTAACAGATTTATGCGACTTGATTGAGTAAAAGAGATACTACTGAGGGGAGCATACATACTTTCAACGTTACTTATTTTGGACAGTTTCATTGATCCTTCATTATGCTTAATGTAGTTAATCTTTCTCTTGAACATTTCTTTTTGTTCTAGTCTGCCTGTATCTCTGTATCTTTGTATATCCTTTATGCTGTGTGACAAGCTGTACGTTTGTAACATTGTGCAAAGTTCTACGTCGAAAATTCAGTTTAGTGCATAGATAGTTAATAATAATCTAGACTCGATTACAGTTAGTTCGGACATTTTCAAATTTCAGGTCTTTTTTCAATCTGATTTATGTCTGAGTGTTGTGTTGAGTACATGCTTATAACATAACATGCTGCTACTACCTCACCCACTGAAATTGAAAACCTAATCAAGCTCACCATAATCATCAATTTCTCGAGTGAGTTCATAATTTTTGTATTGTGTCGTATCTAAACACTGTTGAAGCATTTTTTTAACCTACTGTCTTCTGTTTTCCAAATAAATTTCTTTTCTAAATACAAACACAACTTAGATCAACCTGAGGAAATCACTGTTCCAGTTGAAGATACTCAATCTGTACAACCATCGATTGCTGCTGTCGAACCAGCTGATCTATGCTTTGTCAAACCTGTCGCTCATGAATTGCATAAAACATCTGATCAAGAGAAACAACTTGAGTAAGTTTATTGACACAGTGAATGTTTTCAGTTAATTTTAGTCTTTAGTTTAATGTATTCTGTCAATTTCAACAGTCTCTTCTATGACAATGAGAAAATAGTTCTTATTCAAATTGTGTGATACAGTTATGCTGAGGAAAATGGAGGTGGACCGGACACGCACTGAGAAGACGGTTGAGTAACGTCGCGTACATGGGAAAGCCCTGAGTGAAACCCGAATGGTAGACGTTAAATTGGGCGTGGTCTGAGTGTGACACGGAGAATATCGTGTAAGGAAGAGATAAAAGCTTATTAGGGGTCGTGCAGCCGGCTAAAATGGACTGTTGAGAACAGCGTGAAATGCAGATTTGGTGTTGAAGTCCTGTGTTCCATGCCAGTCCTAAGTGAATAGTGATAAAAATAAAATGATATGGATATATGGTCAAATGGGGGAACAAACTATTGTCGCACTCATCACGATGTTCACTCCTAACCGAAGTCTATGAACCAGAGAAAATAATGTAATCCTCTAGGTTTTAGTTTGGGAATGAATCACAACCAATTATTTTGTTCACTATCATACTCATAATCTTGAAGTCATCCTGAAAACTGGTTAACAGATGTAGATTTTTATGCTGTCACTTTTGAAATCTACAGCTTATTTGTTAATAAATACAGCAACGAATTACAATGGGTTCCCGCATTAGTCCGTTCGGTAGTCATAGATAAATCTGCCAGCTGTAGTTGTAGGCGAAAATGTACAGCTTTAAAAAAATGATTCATTAGTTGACTTTAAAGTCCAGGTTATCTATAGAACACGTGATCATTGATTAATACCCTAGAACTACACGTATCATAGAGACGTACATGATGTCAACATTCGTGTATCTCACTATCCCTTATTCACCCGAATCTGTTAACACATGCCTTGAACACAACTCACCGTTAAGTTCAATGTGTTATACTTTGTTGATCCAACCACCGTAAAGATAAGAGGTTTTCAGGTTTGTTTATAAGTAGGGTACAACGACAGCTGAGTCTCAACCAGGCGTACTGTTCGTACTGTACAATAACTTACTGGGAATGGAATAAACGAATTTCACTACATAAAAAATAGTAATACACATTAACTAATGAACCCTAATCCTCGAACAACAAATCCTAAGGCAACAGACGACGAACCAAAATAAGACTAAACAATGGGGGCCATCTAAAGGTATCGTAGAATAAATCATTTGATGACAAATTTTTAGAAAATAAGTACGTCTTTTGATCTTAGACACAGAAGACAAGTCAATCTCTGTTTTGTTTGCTATACTTTATTTGATCTAATCCACAATGCTCAAACTTTTTACTGATATTAACTACAGAAATAGACTATCCAACATATGTGTCTGCAAGAAACACATTCAAGTTAGGATACCAGGATCTCGTTAAAGTGGAAATTATAAGACTTTTACTTTTAAGCAGAAGAGTTTCAGTTGCAACCAAAAACTCAATGGATAATTTTAACAAAATAAATGCTACGAAATAAGGCTACTCACAGCTGATTTACAAAAATTTTCAATTGTTAAACTTTGTCATAGTTTTAAAGTTCACAACTGAAAGATTACACTACCTGTCAAATCACAGTTTTATCAGAGACTAAGGAGGATTAAACTTATTTGTGTATTCTTCCCTTCTACCACACATCGAAGGTATGTGAATAGTTTATTTTATAACCGAATATTGTAGAAAAATAAGAAAGCAGCAAGATCACTAGTCAATTTGTAATTATGATTCTAACCTTTTTCTTCATTGTAGACTGGAATGCCAATTTCAAGCTGATTTGAAACCAGTTGAAGTACAATGGAAACTAGACGGAAGGAGTTGACTCAATCCGACCGAATTGAAATGACATACATGGAGGATGTTGGTGTAGCCCACTTGACTGTGCATCAAGTGAGCCCGAGTGATTCAGGCGACTATCAGTGTGTGGTTGTTGGTGAAGTGATTGAAGCGAAGACAGGTGAACGTTCTGTGAAGACGATTATGTCAACATCACATGTTACTATTGAAGGTATGACGACCTCTTGTGAAGTTAACTGTCACATTTAAATCAAACAGTAGAAAGCGGAAGTTACTAATGTTAATGAGTGGAAGTATCTTTTGACAGTGTCATTTACCTAAGGTGTACAACAGCAACTACAATAACTGTACAGCTTGAGGAGAAGAAATCACTACTAAAAGGTCTCTTCCAGTCACTAATATTAGCGACTTCGTGTTTATTTATTTTCATTTTATGTATTTTAAATGGTCATATTTATTGAACAAGCTTATTTTTAAGGACTAGTGTATGTTATTGTCAGTACTGAAGACTTTTAAGTTTCATACGGTGAAGGTTTATAATAACTCTCTTTCTATTCGAAACAGAACTCCCTGAAGAAGTAACTATACCTCTGGAGGTTAGTGAACCAAAACAACCAGTATGTACTACAGTGGAGCCAGCTGATTTGTATTTTGTAAAACCCATTTCACAAGAATTTCGTGAAGTCTCTGGACAGGAGAAACAACTTGAGTAGGTCCCTTGTTTTATGTGTATAGAAAGTTTTACTAAGTTATACCTGTTGATAATTACTTATTTATTTATTGGAGATGATTAGAACAATGATCTGTGTAATTAGACTTATTACCATGATATAACAAGAGATCAACTGACGCATTCGATGTAATAATTCAGTAACTAGACGTCACAGAATCCTGACCTCAATGATTATCTTTTTTCGGGAAGAAAGTTTCTAGCAACTTTCTAGTTTACTGCGAAAGCCTCAAGTGTTTGAAGCACAAGCGGACTGATTGTCTTCAGTAAGAGTGTCAATAGAGAGATATAGCCAAGTTTAGACGGAGAGACACTGATCTGGGTAATTTCATTAAATCATCAGTCTATCCTACTCCTGTGGTTTTCATGGTGTCTGTATGGCCTTTGAGGGTTTCGTACAATCGGTTCCGTTTATTAGCTTGAACAAAGAAGGAGAGGACATATTTAAAGGATAATACGAGTTAGTTTTATTTTGTGGCATTTTTCCAACTTCGTACATCCTAGGCAATATAAGTTACACAATTTCTGAACATACTTTTCTCACAGTGACATCGAGTTGTAGGTAGAAAGTATAAGCAATAAAATTCCAAAACTGATATAAGTTGATAAATTATTTAGTGTGAAAAGAGTAACTACTTATAGAATAATTAGATAACAGTGGTAGAGTTCAGATTTCGTCTGGAAACAAGGATTGACTAGTGATAGAATACAAGATCTAACAACAATGTGAGTTTATACATAATATGATGAAGAATTCAAGAGATTTGGAGTGAACATTCAAGTAAAATTATGACATAGATAAACAGTTAGTTAAATTTGCAACCCGATAATGAGTTCAACTCAGTGGGTAAAAATCCAAACCCAAATTAAGTGGAATGTTATGCAACAGAACAAAACTCAAAAGTTCCCACCGAGGACATTGGTTGGGGGTCAAGCTAAATCACGAATTGGTGAAAGTCAGAATTCATGCACTGACCATTGGATCAGGTGGGTCCCAGTGGCTGAATGGTATGCGAGATTGTCTTGTAACCTGAAGGTCCTGGGTTCGAACCCCAGTGGGTGTGTACTGCTGATGATTTCCAAACCAGGATGAAACAGGTGTCCAGTAATCTCTAGTTTTCAATGGTCCTCTAACTGATATCAATCCATGGTCAAACTCATAAAAAAAGATACAGTTTTCAGGATAGTGAGAGATTTGTAACGCTATCTGCATACAGAGGTTATGTCGAAGCCTTTTAACAAACAATGGCTTCTGAAAGATGAAGTAACCAGAGTTTTGCTTGTATATTGATTATGTTGGAAACATGATTGAGTTCTCTTGTCAATTAAGGTGTCTGGCAGTTGCAACTGAGATCATACTGCTATCTTTCATACAGAGAGTTTTATGTATACGCTCAGAAAATGAAGCAGACTCTGTCTTCTCAGTTCTTTCTATGTACTTGCTTCCGCAGGTGCGTGTGAATCGGTAAATGCTGTTGGAGTGACTCCTCCCATCTAAGAATCAACACTGTTCGTGGCAACTTGACTATGGGAATATTTATCTCAGGCGTATATTTTTGGGACTGTCACATACTTTCAGTTTGACAGTTTCATTGCGACGAATTTATTGTGCTTCCGGAAAACAGCTTCATTCTCAAATTATTACTGAGGATGTTCTATAGAGTGACAGGAGCTGAGAAAACACAAACTGATGTCAGCTCATGATTAAATCCTCCATACAAAACACAAAAAGTCCTTTGTTATATAAGAGTAGAATTTCGGCACTGTGGCAGGATATAATTCCATATTTTTTATAAGTGGACTTGATGTATTATACAGCGATACAGTATTAATCACCGGATGACGTTTCAAACACAATTTATTGCTAATAATCATATCGCTGAAACATATGAATAAACTTGTCCAATGTCATTAATTCCACTGCAGTACCGCAAATTTTCCAATAACTACTATTAAATGTTACACAAGTGACAATGGAAATAACAAGTTTTTGTTTCGTAGCAGTCAACGTGGAAATTACATTTGCCAAATAGTTTAAGCAATATTGCGTAGCCAGTACAGTCAGAGAGACCAAAATGTAGGCATTGTAAGTTAAGCTATCGCTATTGAAATTCAACGCTCTTGAGTAAAACTTAGATTCATCAGAAACGAATCAGAGGCATTACAATCTTAGTAAATGCCAGAAACTGACCCTAAAATTATGAAATAACTTCATATTTCTTCATTGTAGACTGGAATGCCAATTTCAAGCTGATTTGAAACCAGTTGAAGTACAATGGAAACTAGACGGAAGGAGTTGACTCAATCCGACCGAATTGAAATGACATACATGGAGGATGTTGGTGTAGCCCACTTGACTGTGCATCAAGTGAGCCCGAGTGATTCAGGCGACTATCAGTGTGTGGTTGTAGGTGAAGTGATTGAAGCGAAGACAGGTGAACGTTCTGTGAAGACGATTATGTCAACATCACATGTTACTATTGAAGGTTAGTTTATACTATAATAAATACTGTGTATTATTTGACATACAATTATCTGAAGACAGTAACATTGTATTTTGAATTTTGTGCTTCATTTCGCGATGATTATTTTCACGGAGACAGTATGTCAAAGGATGCTAAACTAGTTTTCATTTCTTGGAGGTAGATACTGATCACAATTTGATTCCACTGACCTTAATTGAGTTTATTTTACTATTATCAGAGGATTTTCGCCTTTCCCAATGTCATATAGATGGTGGATATTGGGGAAAATGAATATCCTGGCAATGGCTTGTCGTTTGTAGACGCTTCTCAACTAAGGGATACTCCAAGGTTTCCATATAACTCGTTATTTACTCTTGTCACTTAACACCTAATAATTTCCCCTCGTTTTCCAATTACTATTTTCACTTATCCTTTCTCAACCTCTTAGAAATATGCAGATTACTAAATGTCTTAGTGTCTTAACCTCATAAGTAGGAAAAGGCCACAGACAAGCGTGTTAATTCATATAAATAACTTGCTGCACTTATTTTCGATTTACACACCAGACATCCTCTTCAATAACAGGGTTTTCCAGCTGTCGGTAACGAATACGTTTGTAGGCTATTGAAATACATTAGAATAAATGTGTCTGAATTCTAGTTTCCTAGTAATCGCATGTTTGAACGAATTAACAACATGTCTTGTACCGTCAGCCATTTTTATTCTTTGACCTCAACAAAGACAAAATGTAAGTTCGCAGAATTCAACTACAGCTTAATTCGTAAGCAAAAGACGAAATGCTGAAATGTAAATAATTCATCGAATTCTTGATAACGGGATGAAGTCCAGTCAAAGAATAAATAAGTGTAGAGTTGGATGAGGGGTTTCATTTTTTAGTTGACTCTAAGTTTTCCTATGAATCGTCATCGTCACCAGAAAGCATTGATTTTTTTTTCAACCTGTATTTAGAAGACCTGCCCGAAGAAACTCTTGCACCAATTGAAACGAGTGAACCAGAACAATCAACTATTGTCCCAGTACAACCTGCTGATTTGTGCTTTGTAAAGCCAATTACACCACAACTAAATATTGTGTCTGAGCAGGAAAGACAACTTGAGTAAGTCATTTTCGATGTGTACTACATTGTATTGTTATGCCATATCGTTAGATTTTTGTGTTCCAACCAAATGGTTATTTGAATTAGCTACATTGATACCTATTGATATGTTCATTGTACTGATTGAGGGTGTCGTTTGAATATTGTTGTTTGCGTAGATCTTTCTGTTTTACCTGCTTGATATCTGCTAAGAAACGTAACTTGGAGATGAGGTGGATATCTTCGGATGAGAACAAAATTCAACAGTACCCTGTGGTGGTACTGTATGGTTCTTTTAAGGATAAAGATAATATCTTCCTATCATTTTCGGAAAATACAGGGATCGTTTCTGCACTATAGTTTTTATCTTTCAGTTTTCTATAACGTACGGGTTCACCACGGACGCATAGATCAGAGTGAGTGAACTCAAGACTTAGTGCTAATTAAGAGTAATTCAGCTTCCAGTTAGAAATACAGTACATAGATAAAAACTCATATAGTGTGAAAGAGTGACTTCCTTCTTTTCACATAAGTATTTGTTTAGTAATCAGATGAATGTTATGGTGAAATGATTTCTATTGTTTTTACGTCCACTGAGTTGAATGGTTTAACTGCAAAGCTGTCACTGTTACTCAAGACGACATCTTGTGTGATGTTTTCAAAATGAAGACTCGTACTAATGGACAATAAATAGTTCATAATTAAATCCTCTAGCTCAGAGAACGCTACTATAACGAAAGAATTCACCTCAGAATTAACATTCGCCGTTACGTTTGCATTACAATGAGAAAACAGAAACATCACTAGTCAATTTGTAATTATGATTCTAACCTTTTTCTTCATTGTAGACTGGAATGCCAATTTCAAGCTGATTTGAAACCAGTTGAAGTACAATGGAAACTAGACGGGAAGGAGTTGACTCAATCCGACCGAATTGAAATGACATACATGGAGGATGTTGGTGTAGCCCACTTGACTGTGCATCAAGTGAGCCCGAGTGATTCAGGCGACTATCAGTGTGTGGTTGTTGGTGAAGTGATTGAAGCGAAGACAGGTGAACGTTCTGTGAAGACGATTATGTCAACATCACATGTTATTATTGAAGGTGAGCATTCATTCTTTCATCGTATTCGTATTTGAAATATATTGGTGAAACGTCTGGAGACTTCAAGTAATGCCATATTTCATTCAGTGGTAAAACCTGAATAACTTTCAACCTTTAAGGGATAAATGTAGATATAACTGTTGTCTATGTGGACGATGTTTCTTCTCAATTTTTTACTTATTATTCTAGTTCAACTGTGTACATTCCGAGCTATGTGAGTGTCAACAGTTCATTCTCAGGAAGACACTCTAGCAGTCAAATCGTTGAAATTGTGTATGATAATTTTTGTTTTATTTTTACAACTAAATTTTTCTCCCCTAACTCATGTACAGGATTATCACTCAAGCACTAGTAGGAGTTGAATTATTTGTCTATTATATAACAGCTTCCTTAGAAGAGTGGTTTTCGCTGTGAGTTTCACTTCACCTTCTGTATCATGAAGCTAAGAACCCTTTTAAATAATTTGAAGTCAGCATTTTGAGCGAAAGGATATTTACTTCCAAGGTTCGGTCATAGACTGATATCAGTTCGACAACCGCTGAGAACCACAGAGTCACTGGACATCTGACAGGAACTGTATGGAACTGCTCAGCTGTACGCCCCAACGATTCCACCAGGGGTCAAGCCCAGGACTCACAAAAAACACTTGAAAATCTACTTCTCGATAAGGTCGTAAATTTTTCTAAACTTCAATTGCTGCACTACTTTTGTTGTCCTCCCGACTCGTTAACATTGAGTATTATTGATATCAAACTTACTGTCGCTAGATTGATTCAATTGCGTATTTCAAACAAAACGTGTAGGCGAACAATACTCTTCTCAGCTATGTATCGTCAGAATTAATTCTAATACACATAACATTACAATTAAATACTAAATATAAACCGATCCTGATGATTTCCCAATAATCTCTTTCTTACCACTTTTGTCCACCCTTCCGTAGTTTAATTACATCTTCACCTACCTACTTCCCCTGCAATCTAGTATCACGTAATCTTGAACAGAGAGAGAACAATAAATTGAGTAGAAGTACATGACATTTCATTTCCTTAGTTCTTCTTTTTCCGTACTTTTGCATTTCGAGTGGAACAGAACTTTGATCTCGAGACTTGAATTTTCAGTAGAGGTTGTGTGTTTTTTACGGGATGGGGTTGCTAACCTCATGTCCAGCCTTTCTACACTACCAGGCTTACTGCTGGTATCGTCTGTAAATTGAACCTGGACCAAGTGTTTGGTTGGTGAGAATCCTACTACAGAACCAATAACTCAGAGTTCTTCTTATTAAGCAGTTTTGTTAATTACAGTAGCGCCTCACAAGGTCTAATTGGAGGTAGTGCTGTCCACTTACATGTTTATTTATTATTTTATTCCTTGACGTTCCCAGTTGAAATAGAAGGCTTAAAGCTAGAGCTTTGAAGTTTCTGTAACAGTGGTATTTATTTTTACGGGGTGGGATTGCTAGTCTCACCTTTCAATCTTCCCTCTTTGCCGAGCTTATCTCCAGCCAAGCGGGGTTTGGGAGTGCGTCAGCAGGGAATCGAACCCCGAACCACCTGAGTGGTTGGTGAGCATTCTACCTCTGTGCCTTGCAACGCACACTTACATGTGGTGCTATAAATTTCATTGTGGAAACTTTTATCAAGAAAATAAAGGCAATTTTAGTGGGAAAATGCCTTTATTGAGGAAATCATCTTCAGAGGCTGTACAATAGTATTTATATTTACTATAAACGTATAATAGCCTATTAATGAGTACAATTCAGTAACATGATGGAAGAAAGGGTTTAGAACTTGATAAAATTAAAATTGTTATTGAATAAGGAGCAAGGTAGTCGAGTGTCCACTCGGCAAGTGTGAATAGGTTGAGAAAATGTACAGAAGTAATAAGTGAAAGTAAATAATCAATAAAATAAAATCGGACGATTAGAGAAGAAACTAAGATCCAGATAAAATAAGAGACTGAATAGACTTTTTCTGTACACAGAGTTCAAAGTTATATTGACCACTTGCCGTCGCCTCCATCATACATACAGCCGGAACCTAACACCCTTTGTGCCATTGGGTCTCACTTTATAGATAATCCTTATTATTTCAAAATTACGTATAAGAGTAAAGCTACTGACGAGGATCCAGTAATTCTGTGTGTCAATGAAAGGCTGAGTCTGTGTATGTGTCTGCGAGTTATGCACAGTAAATTGTCTGTCATCTGACGCAAACTCATAATTTCTAGGGTCCTGGAGCCCATGCTAGTCAAGAGATGGCAGTAAATAATTTTTGTTAGCAGTATAGAATCAGCTACAGCACAAAGTTACCAATTTCTCTCTGAAAAGATAAAAAGGGGTTGACTATGAAGTATTTCTTATAGACTGCTGATTTCTTTGTTTGCATCGGTGCATCAATGGCAGAATACCCACCAATCAAACTATATGGTATGGGGTTCGATCCCCAACTGACACACTCTTAAACCCCTCTCTTAGCCGGTTACAAGCCCAGTGAAGAGGGAAGGCTGGGCATGAGGCTAGCAATCCTACCTTGTGAAAAGGAACACAACTACTACTTAAACTTCAAAGCTACAGCCTTAAGCTCAATTTTTTAAAACTCGGGAAGCAAACGAATAAAATTTTAAAAAAGATAATCTACTCTTTTATCAGAAGATAGTCACAATTTACGAATGGGATGTGTATTACGCCCAACAGGTCAATCATTCAGTTGCTGATCAAGTAAATTTATGTAAAACGGAATAAAATATGGGGTGGATTACAAGGAAAACAAATATTCTCCATCACTTCTAAACTAAGAGAATGTTTAACATTGAGGATGAGGAAAAAATTAACAAATAAATTAACATAGAAGTAAATTATGACATTTATCTGGATACCGTTATGCATAGAAATGTTGTGTATATTTTAATAATAATAATAATAATTTACTTTATTCCAAAAAGAGTACTTGTGATACAGAATGGAATTTTCAGCATTAATCACAATGTTGTATCTAGTTTCCTCAAATTATAAATAAAAATTAATCACACAGAAAATTTTCCACATTTACAATACAGGTAGTGTCAAAAACATGCAGCATATAAAATGGAAATAACAATAATAATGAAAACAGCTAAGTTAATAATAATAATAATAATACAAGTGAAAATTTCCGTGGGCTTGTTTGACACAGTATTGTCAATGCGGTGTAGAGGGCCTGGCATGTTTAAAAATTATTGAATATAATGTTCTCTTTACATGATAAGGTGAGGGGAAAAACAAAGATTACAGCAGTCGTAGAGATAAGTTGGTGTTTACAATTATGAGAGTAAAACAAAGAAGTAACAGGACCATAAATATAATAGAAATAATAAAAGTAGAACTTCAAGGTATATAAGGATGGATGGAGGAAATTGTTTAGTTACTAGATGAAAAAAGGTTGGTTAATTCTTTCCTGACACTATTTTCATCACATAAAATACGTGCCAAGTATGGTATCATAGAATTTTTGTACTTAGACATGCGAGCATACAGTTTTCTGAAGTTACTTCTTGTTCTACTTGAGGAGAGGAAAGATGAAAGCTGAGGGTAAAGTGGATGCTCCAAGTCAGACAAAATCCCTTTAGCAAATTTATTGCACGAAGTCAAGTGCCTATCGACAACGATGTTAACTATGTGATCCACTGGGACACCCCTCACCCTACTGACAGTCTTCAGTATTCTACGAATTGTGACATAGTCCTTTTTAAGCAAACCAGGAAAGAATAAGCAGGGGTGAACAATTAAGAAGAATAGATAGGATGCAAGAGTTCATGAAGTGTAAGAGGAGGGGTTGAGTTGTACCCGAGTGCCTTAACTTCTTAATGTAAAATGTCAGGCGGAATATTTTGCTGGAGATCGTCAAGACATGAGAAGACCAGGAGGGATCAGAAGAAAGAATAAATCCAAGATACTTAATTTCTGATTTAATTCCTATATCATTGTCGTCAATCCTACAACTGTCATGAGAATCGATGACTTCTTTTAACTGTCGTTTACATCTTAAGCTGAAATTAACAGTTTGATTTCAGCCTTAAACGATCGCAATTAGGATATTTAGGCAGTCAATACGAGTGCAAATGAACCCATGGTTACAGTTAACCTATATTGATAACACTCCTCTTCTTCTATTATCGTTCTCCTTACTTCTAAATTTTCTATCATTTAGTTTATTTAAATTGATATAAGTATAAAACTTGGGCACTGTGGTAGAGTACAACTCCATTATGGATAAGATTTTATTTTGATAAATCACACAGTGTTATACAGTAATATTAACGGATGACGTTTCGAGCACAAACTACTGTTCATAATCATATCGAGTTACTCACACAACTTTTTCCTTCATTTATATACATGTGTGAAAATAACTAGATATTTGAGTAAAAATCAATATGAGATAATGTATTTAAACTGATCCTACCATTGCTTCATTTTCTCGTCAACTGAGCTGACGTTAAGATGTCTGATCAGATTACTTAGTTTAGTGTATTACCTATACAAATCACTATTTAAAAATCACATTTTTGTCAATATTTTCAAGATTATTATAGAGACTAATAGTTTTGTTAAAATTTTATTCTCACTTTTATTTATTCATTTTTAAATTCACTCAGAAGTTGTACCAGAAGACAATCTCAGTTCCCCAGTGATCATAAACGAGTTAACACCATTGAGTATTTCTGAAGGAGAGGAGATTTATTTGACAGCTGTTGTCAAAGGCAATCCACAACCAACTGATGTCACTTGGAAACACAATGGTAATGTCCTTCAACCAGATAGTACAGATGCTGCCATCTTTTATAGTCCAGAGACAGGAGTTTGTGAACTGACAATATCTGAAGCATTTCCTGAAGATTCGGGAGTTTATTCTGTTGAAGCACAAAATAATATTGGTACCGCTATCAGTCAGACCGAAGTAGTTGTATTAGTAGAGGTAAGGACACAGCCAAGTGTTTTACAGGAAGATGATATAAAAGTAGTTGACACAATAAATGATAGTGTAGAATTAGAGAAACAAACTGTTCTAAAAGATATAGAGCAAACTGAAAGAACAGAAATGTACTCACCTATTGAGACGCTACCAGAAATCCATCAAGCAGCAGTATATGAACACATAGCAGAGGAAACAGAATTCGAAGTAGATTTAGAAGAACCATTAGAAATGGATGACGCTGAGTTTTCGCTTGAGGAAGGCGTCACACCAACACATGCAATAGTCCTAGATGTTCTTATACCCCATGATTCTATAAGTGTAGATGAGACCAGTATCAGCGTAGAGGAGGCGGAAAAAGCTCAATCGATTCCCAGTTTGACTGAGATCTCCTTACATGATGTAACTCAGACAGGAATTTCAGAAACAAGTTTAATAGAATTCAAGCCAGTTCAATCCCAAGAATACATCAAAACGGAAACAATATCAAATATGGAAGACAAGGACGATGTGCCGAGTGAAGATTCCATCAAAATACAGGAAACGACCCCGCAAATAGTGGAGATAATAACAGAAGAACAGGTAAGCAAATAAATAATCAAACAAGACGAAAGAACAAACTGGTGAGGATTATTAGTGTGCGATAGGTAAAACATAAAAAGTAAAAGACTAAAAAGGCTCTCATGATGCGATCCCAGAAAAAACCACCGAAATGATTACAGCTAAAATCATGATTGAAAAACAAATATAGGAAGAGGCATAAAAAACAAGAAAACTAAAAGGATAGTGATTAAAAGTGCCAGATAATTGGAACAAGAAAGATCCATTACACACGAAAGAACGTATATAAAACACAAATGGATTAGGTATGCATAGGTAAATATATAAGAAAGAATCAGAAAACCAGATAAACATTAATGTAAAAAATAAAAATAAAATATAGATTAGGGCTTAAGAAAAACTATTAACCCATCATAAAACCGAAAGCAATATTAAGCAAACAGCGGGCAAAATGACACCACATAAAAAAATCTAAAAAAATTATATAGCAAAATATTAGGGAACAAAAAAAACAAATAATAAAACAATAAAATATAAAAAAAACATAAAAAAATATAAAGAAATGAAACAAGAATAAAAATGAAAAAAAACATTATTTTCTAAACCAACAGGTGGGAGAAGCTGAAGACACATTGACGACGACAGCCGAGGATGTTGTTGTACAAGAAGGGAAAGAGACTGTGACAAAGTCTATGGATTGGGCGTCGGAGGGTGTGAGTGAGATGGATGAGTCTGACGGTGCGGAGAGTGCGGTTGTGGTGGAACAGCCGAGTGAGGCAGCCGTGGCAGTTTCCGAGGAGCCGACGAAGGTGGAGAAGGCAGAGGAGGCTCCTGTGCATGAGGTCGATGTGGAGGAGGTACCTGTGGAAGAGGAGACAGCTCCTGTTTCCGTTGTGAGTGAAGGAGAGGCGGAGGTGACGGATGTGAAGAGCACGGTTGGAGTGACGGAGGAGTCTGCGATACAATTGGAACAAGTGACCGTCGGTGTGAAGCAGATGGTGGAATCGAAGGAGACGGTGACTGTGAAGATGGAGGAACGCATTGTGCAGGAGAAGGAGGAGAAGTTGGCTACTTCTGAGGCGAGTTACTGCTCTGTGCATACATTCGTGGCACAGTCGTAGGCTTAGTGGCATGGCAAGTTGTTCCGCTTCGGTTGTTCTTGAATTTACTGGTGACATTTCTGGATAATATTTTATGGGAATTGGCTATTGTCGCACCTCCCATTGCATGCATGTCCTGTCGGTTAGGAGTTTCCATGGTCTATCTATCCATGATTCCACATATTAATTGATGATCATCATTCCATTTGCATCTCACCGATATTCAGATAAGTGTTTGTTTGCAACGGTGTGTTTCTTGTTTGGACTCTGTGTGAGACGACATCTCACGAGTAATGCATTTTCGGTGTTCTTCCTTGTGATTCCCCTGTCATTTTGAGTTGACAAACAAGGTGGTTGTGGATTGCACCCAGCGGTCTTATGTCTGCTTGATGTTGCATTCGAATGGTATGATTGTGTATTTTGACAGTTTTAGTGTCTGTTGTTTTGGCTACACTAGGTGAATTTCTGACCACTAGATTTGGTTCGTTGATGACACTGTGAACTCTTCTTAAATCCTCGATGTAGGTGTGTATTTGGGCTAAGGTTAGACGACTGATTGGTATTGTTGATCATCGCTAATCAGATGTTTTAATTGTCATAGTTATTTCTGTTTGTGTGGTTGTGTATGTGTGAGTGTGTATGCACGCGTGTGCTTGTCGTGTTCGTGAGCGTGTGTGTGCGAGTTCGAGTGTGGGCGTTTTCGTGTGTGCGTGTGTGTGTTTGTGTTTGTGGCATAGTGAAATATAGTAGAGTAGAGTACATAACAGTAGAGTAGAGTATAGTAGAGCAGAGCAGAGTATAGTGTAGTATAGTACAGTGCAGGTTGGCACAGTCTAGCCTGTGTGTGTGTGTGTGTGTGAATGTGAGTGTGAGTGTGAGTTTTGTGATTTTGAAACATTCCGTTGTAATGTTTTGTGTAGTGTGTGGTTTGTGGTTCTCGTGGGTTACTGAAGGGAGTGTGTTGAACTGACTCTGTGTGTGTGTGTGTGTGTGTGTGTGCGTGCGTGTGGGTGTGTGAGAGGCCTGTCATCCCATAGGGTTGTTCAGCATTCATTTCCCGTACAGCTATGTCTTGTGTAGTATATGGTGATAGTGTGCATCTACTGCCTCCGATAGGAGATGAGTTTGATCCCGTTCATTGAGTGTGTTTTCGGAGAAACGCGTGCTTTAAGACTGACATCGTGACCATAATTCCGTTCTTTTGCATACCGGCAGGTGGGTGAAGCTGAAGACACATTGACGACGACAGCCGAGGATGTTGTTGTACAAGAAGGGAAAGAGACTGTGACAAAGTCTATGGATTGGGCGTCGGAGGGTGTGAGTGAGATGGATGAGTCTGACGGTGCGGAGAGTGCGGTTGTGGTGGAACAGCCGAGTGAGGCAGCCGTGGCAGTTTCCGAGAAGCCGACGAAGGTGGAGAAGGCAGAGGAGGCTCCTGTGCATGAGGTCGATGTGGAGGAGGTACCTGTGGAAGAGGAGACAGCTCCTGTTTCCGTTGTGAGTGAAGGAGAGGCGGAGGTGACGGATGTGAAGAGCACGGTTGGAGTGACGGAGGAGTCTGCAATACAATTGGAACAAGTGACCGTCGGTGTGAAGCAGATGGTGGAATCGAAGGAGACGGTGACTGTGAAGATGGAGGAACGCATTGTGCAGGAGAAGGAGGAGAAGTTGGCTACTTCTGAGGCGAGTTACTGCTCTGTGCATACATTCGTGGCACAGTCGTAGGCTTAGTGGCATGGCAAGTTGTTCCGCTTCGGTTGTTCTTGAATTTACTGGTGACATTTCTGGATAATATTTTATGGGAATTGGCTATTGTCGCACCTCCCATTGCATGCATGTCCTGTCGGTTAGGAGTTTCCATGGTCTATCTATCCATGATTCCACATATTAATTGATGATCATCATTCCATTTGCATCTCACCGATATTCAGATAAGTGTTTGTTTGCAACGGTGTGTTTCTTGTTTGGACTCTGTGTGAGACGACATCTCACGAGTAATGCATTTTCGGTGTTCTTCCTTGTGATTCCCCTGTCATTTTGAGTTGACAAACAAGGTGGTTGTGGATTGCACCCAGCGGTCTTATGTCTGCTTGATGTTGCATTCGAATGGTATGATTGTGTATTTTGACAGTTTTAGTGTCTGTTGTTTTGGCTACACTAGGTGAATTTCTGACCACTAGATTTGGTTCGTTGATGACACTGTGAACTCTTCTTAAATCCTCGATGTAGGTGTGTATTTGGGCTAAGGTTAGACGACTGATTGGTATTGTTGATCATCGCTAATCAGATGTTTTAATTGTCATAGTTATTTCTGTTTGTGTGGTTGTGTATGTGTGAGTGTGTATGCACGCGTGTGCTTGTCGTGTTCGTGAGCGTGTGTGTGTGTTTGTGTGTGTGTGTGCGTGCGTGTTCGAGTGTGGGCGTTTGCGTGTGTGCGTGTGTGTGTTTGTGTTTGTGGCATAGTGAAATATAGTAGAGTAGAGTACATAACAGTAGAGTAGAGTATAGTAGAGCAGAGCAGAGTATAGTGTAGTATAGTACAGTGCAGGTTGGCACAGTCTAGCCTGTGTGTGTGTGTGTGTGTGTGAATGTGAGTGTGAGTGTGAGTTTTGTGATTTTGAAACATTCCGTTGTAATGTTTTGTGTAGTGTGTGGTTTGTGGTTCTCGTGGGTTACTGAAGGGAGTGTGTTGAACTGACTCTGTGTGTGTGTGTGTGTGTGTGTGTGCGTGCGTGTGGGTGTGTGAGAGGCCTGTCATCCCATAGGGTTGTTCAGCATTCATTTCCCGTACAGCTATGTCTTGTGTAGTATATGGTGATAGTGTGCATCTACTGCCTCCGATAGGAGATGAGTTTGATCCCGTTCATTGAGTGTGTTTTCGGAGAAACGCGTGCTTTAAGACTGACATCGTGACCATAATTCCGTTCTTTTGCATACCGGCAGGTGGGTGAAGCTGAAGACACATTGACGACGACAGCCGAGGATGTTGTTGTACAAGAAGGGAAAGAGACTGTGACAAAGTCTATGGATTGGGCGTCGGAGGGTGTGAGTGAGATGGATGAGTCTGACGGTGCGGAGAGTGCGGTTGTGGTGGAACAGCCGAGTGAGGCAGCCGTGGCAGTTTCCGAGAAGCCGACGAAGGTGGAGAAGGCAGAGGAGGCTCCTGTGCATGAGGTCGATGTGGAGGAGGTACCTGTGGAAGAGGAGACAGCTCCTGTTTCCGTTGTGAGTGAAGGAGAGGCGGAGGTGACGGATGTGAAGAGCATGGTTGGAGTGACGGAGGAGTCTGCGATACAATTGGAACAAGTGACCGTCGGTGTGAAGCAGATGGTGGAATCGAAGGAGACGGTGACTGTGAAGATGGAGGAACGCATTGTGCAGGAGAAGGAGGAGAAGTTGGCTACTTCTGAGGCGAGTTACTGCTCTGTGCATACATTCGTGGCACAGTCGTAGGCTTAGTGGCATGGCAAGTTGTTCCGCTTCGGTTGTTCTTGAATTTACTGGTGACATTTCTGGATAATATTTTATGGGAATTGGCTATTGTCGCACCTCCCATTGCATGCATGTCCTGTCGGTTAGGAGTTTCCATGGTCTATCTATCCATGATTCCACATATTAATTGATGATCATCATTCCATTTGCATCTCACCGATATTCAGATAAGTGTTTGTTTGCAACGGTGTGTTTCTTGTTTGGACTCTGTGTGAGACGACATCTCACGAGTAATGCATTTTCGGTGTTCTTCCTTGTGATTCCCCTGTCATTTTGAGTTGACAAACAAGGTGGTTGTGGATTGCACCCAGCGGTCTTATGTCTGCTTGATGTTGCATTCGAATGGTATGATTGTGTATTTTGACAGTTTTAGTGTCTGTTGTTTTGGCTACACTAGGTGAATTTCTGACCACTAGATTTGGTTCGTTGATGACACTGTGAACTCTTCTTAAATCCTCGATGTAGGTGTGTATTTGGGCTAAGGTTAGACGACTGATTGGTATTGTTGATCATCGCTAATCAGATGTTTTAATTGTCATAGTTATTTCTGTTTGTGTGGTTGTGTATGTGTGAGTGTGTATGCACGCGTGTGCTTGTCGTGTTCGTGAGCGTGTGTGTGTGTGTGTGTGTGCGAGTTCGAGTGTGGGCGTTTTCGTGTGTGCGTGTGTGTGTTTGTGTTTGTGGCATAGTGAAATATAGTAGTGTAGAGTACATAACAGTAGAGTAGAGTATAGTAGAGCAGAGCAGAGTATAGTGTAGTATAGTACAGTGCAGGTTGGCACAGTCTAGCCTGTGTGTGTGTGTGTGTGTGAATGTGAGTGTGAGTGTGAGTTTTGTGATTTTGAAACATTCCGTTGTAATGTTTTGTGTAGTGTGTGGTTTGTGGTTCTCGTGGGTTACTGAAGGGAGTGTGTTGAACTGACTCTGTGTGCGTGTGTGTGTGTGTGTGTGTGTGCGTGTGGGTGTGTGAGAGGCCTGTCATCCCATTGGGTTGTTCAGCATTCATTTCCCGTACAGCTATGTCTTGTGTAGTATATGGTGATAGTGTGCATCTACTGCCTCCGATAGGAGATGAGTTTGATCCCGTTCATTGAGTGTGTTTTCGGAGAAACGCGTGCTTTAAGACTGACATCGTGACCATAATTCCGTTCTTTTGCATACCGGCAGGTGGGTGAAGCTGAAGACACATTGACGACGACAGCCGAGGATGTTGTTGTACAAGAAGGGAAAGAGACTGTGACAAAGTCTATGGATTGGGCGTCGGAGGGTGTGAGTGAGATGGATGAGTCTGACGGTGCGGAGAGTGCGGTTGTGGTGGAACAGCCGAGTGAGGCAGCCGTGGCAGTTTCCGAGAAGCCGACGAAGGTGGAGAAGGCAGAGGAGGCTCCTGTGCATGAGGTCGATGTGGAGGAGGTACCTGTGGAAGAGGAGACAGCTCCTGTTTCCGTTGTGAGTGAAGGAGAGGCGGAGGTGACGGATGTGAAGAGCACGGTTGGAGTGACGGAGGAGTCTGCGATACAATTGGAACAAGTGACCGTCGGTGTGAAGCAGATGGTGGAATCGAAGGAGACGGTGACTGTGAAGATGGAGGAACGCATTGTGCAGGAGAAGGAGGAGAAGTTGGCTACTTCTGAGGCGAGTTACTGCTCTGTGCATACATTCGTGGCACAGTCGTAGGCTTAGTGGCATGGCAAGTTGTTCCGCTTCGGTTGTTCTTGAATTTACTGGTGACATTTCTGGATAATATTTTATGGGAATTGGCTATTGTCGCACCTCCCATTGCATGCATGTCCTGTCGGTTAGGAGTTTCCATGGTCTATCTATCCATGATTCCACATATTAATTGATGATCATCATTCCATTTGCATCTCACCGATATTCAGATAAGTGTTTGTTTGCAACGGTGTGTTTCTTGTTTGGACTCTGTGTGAGACGACATCTCACGAGTAATGCATTTTCGGTGTTCTTCCTTGTGATTCCCCTGTCATTTTGAGTTGACAAACAAGGTGGTTGTGGATTGCACCCAGCGGTCTTATGTCTGCTTGATGTTGCATTCGAATGGTATGATTGTGTATTTTGACAGTTTTAGTGTCTGTTGTTTTGGCTACACTAGGTGAATTTCTGACCACTAGATTTGGTTCGTTGATGACACTGTGAACTCTTCTTAAATCCTCGATGTAGGTGTGTATTTGGGCTAAGGTTAGACGACTGATTGGTATTGTTGATCATCGCTAATCAGATGTTTTAATTGTCATAGTTATTTCTGTTTGTGTGGTTGTGTATGTGTGAGTGTGTATGCACGCGTGTGCTTGTCGTGTTCGTGAGCGTGTGTGTGTGTGTGTGTGTGTGTGTGTGCGTGCGTGTTCGAGTGTGGGCGTTTGCGTGTGTGCGTGTGTGTGTTTGTGTTTGTGGCATAGTGAAATATAGTAGAGTAGAGTACATAACAGTAGAGTAGAGTATAGTAGAGCAGAGCAGAGTATAGTGTAGTATAGTACAGTGCAGGTTGGCACAGTCTAGCCTGTGTGTGTGTGTGTGTGTGAATGTGAGTGTGAGTGTGAGTTTTGTGATTTTGAAACATTCCGTTGTAATGTTTTGTGTAGTGTGTGGTTTGTGGTTCTCGTGGGTTACTGAAGGGAGTGTGTTGAACTGACTCTGTGTGCGTGTGTGTGTGTGTGTGTGTGTGCGTGTGGGTGTGTGAGAGGCCTGTCATCCCATTGGGTTGTTCAGCATTCATTTCCCGTACAGCTATGTCTTGTGTAGTATATGGTGATAGTGTGCATCTACTGCCTCCGATAGGAGATGAGTTTGATCCCGTTCATTGAGTGTGTTTTCGGAGAAACGCGTGCTTTAAGACTGACATCGTGACCATAATTCCGTTCTTTTGCATACCGGCAGGTGGGTGAAGCTGAAGACACATTGACGACGACAGCCGAGGATGTTGTTGTACAAGAAGGGAAAGAGACTGTGACAAAGTCTATGGATTGGGCGTCGGAGGGTGTGAGTGAGATGGATGAGTCTGACGGTGCGGAGAGTGCGGTTGTGGTGGAACAGCCGAGTGAGGCAGCCGTGGCAGTTTCCGAGAAGCCGACGAAGGTGGAGAAGGCAGAGGAGGCTCCTGTGCATGAGGTCGATGTGGAGGAGGTACCTGTGGAAGAGGAGACAGCTCCTGTTTCCGTTGTGAGTGAAGGAGAGGCGGAGGTGACGGATGTGAAGAGCACGGTTGGAGTGACGGAGGAGTCTGCAATACAATTGGAACAAGTGACCGTCGGTGTGAAGCAGATGGTGGAATCGAAGGAGACGGTGACTGTGAAGATGGAGGAACGCATTGTGCAGGAGAAGGAGGAGAAGTTGGCTACTTCTGAGGCGAGTTACTGCTCTGTGCATACATTCGTGGCACAGTCGTAGGCTTAGTGGCATGGCAAGTTGTTCCGCTTCGGTTGTTCTTGAATTTACTGGTGACATTTCTGGATAATATTTTATGGGAATTGGCTATTGTCGCACCTCCCATTGCATGCATGTCCTGTCGGTTAGGAGTTTCCATGGTCTATCTATCCATGATTCCACATATTAATTGATGATCATCATTCCATTTGCATCTCACCGATATTCAGATAAGTGTTTGTTTGCAACGGTGTGTTTCTTGTTTGGACTCTGTGTGAGACGACATCTCACGAGTAATGCATTTTCGGTGTTCTTCCTTGTGATTCCCCTGTCATTTTGAGTTGACAAACAAGGTGGTTGTGGATTGCACCCAGCGGTCTTATGTCTGCTTGATGTTGCATTCGAATGGTATGATTGTGTATTTTGACAGTTTTAGTGTCTGTTGTTTTGGCTACACTAGGTGAATTTCTGACCACTAGATTTGGTTCGTTGATGACACTGTGAACTCTTCTTAAATCCTCGATGTAGGTGTGTATTTGGGCTAAGGTTAGACGACTGATTGGTATTGTTGATCATCGCTAATCAGATGTTTTAATTGTCATAGTTATTTCTGTTTGTGTGGTTGTGTATGTGTGAGTGTGTATGCACGCGTGTGCTTGTCGTGTTCGTGAGCGTGTGTGTGTGTGTTTGTGTGTGTGTGTGTGCGTGCGTGTTCGAGTGTGGGCGTTTGCGTGTGTGCGTGTGTGTGTTTGTGTTTGTGGCATAGTGAAATATAGTAGAGTAGAGTACATAACAGTAGAGTAGAGTATAGTAGAGCAGAGCAGAGTATAGTGTAGTATAGTACAGTGCAGGTTGGCACAGTCTAGCCTGTGTGTGTGTGTGTGTGAATGTGAGTGTGAGTGTGAGTTTTGTGATTTTGAAACATTCCGTTGTAATGTTTTGTGTAGTGTGTGGTTTGTGGTTCTCGTGGGTTACTGAAGGGAGTGTGTTGAACTGACTCTGTGTGCGTGTGTGTGTGTGTGTGTGTGTGCGTGCGTGTGGGTGTGTGAGAGGCCTGTCATCCCATAGGGTTGTTCAGCATTCATTTCCCGTACAGCTATGTCTTGTGTAGTATATGGTGATAGTGTGCATCTACTGCCTCCGATAGGAGATGAGTTTGATTCCGTTCATTGAGTGTGTTTTCGGAGAAACGCGTGCTTTAAAACTGACATCGTGACCATAATTCCGTTCTTTTGCATACCGGCAGGTGGGTGAAGCTGAAGACACATTGACGACGACAGCCGAGGATGTTGTTGTACAAGAAGGGAAAGAGACTGTGACAAAGTCTATGGATTGGGCGTCGGAGGGTGTGAGTGAGATGGATGAGTCTGACGGTGCGGAGAGTGCGGTTGTGGTGGAACAGCCGAGTGAGGCAGCCGTGGCAGTTTCCGAGAAGCCGACGAAGGTGGAGAAGGCAGAGGAGGCTCCTGTGCATGAGGTCGATGTGGAGGAGGTACCTGTGGAAGAGGAGACAGCTCCTGTTTCCGTTGTGAGTGAAGGAGAGGCGGAGGTGACGGATGTGAAGAGCACGGTTGGAGTGACGGAGGAGTCTGCGATACAATTGGAACAAGTGACCGTCGGTGTGAAGCAGATGGTGGAATCGAAGGAGACGGTGACTGTGAAGATGGAGGAACGCATTGTGCAGGAGAAGGAGGAGAAGTTGGCTACTTCTGAGGCGAGTTACTGCTCTGTGCATACATTCGTGGCACAGTCGTAGGCTTAGTGGCATGGCAAGTTGTTCCGCTTCGGTTGTTCTTGAATTTACTGGTGACATTTCTGGATAATATTTTATGGGAATTGGCTATTGTCGCACCTCCCATTGCATGCATGTCCTGTCGGTTAGGAGTTTCCATGGTCTATCTATCCATGATTCCACATATTAATTGATGATCATCATTCCATTTGCATCTCACCGATATTCAGATAAGTGTTTGTTTGCAACGGTGTGTTTCTTGTTTGGACTCTGTGTGAGACGACATCTCACGAGTAATGCATTTTCGGTGTTCTTCCTTGTGATTCCCCTGTCATTTTGAGTTGACAAACAAGGTGGTTGTGGATTGCACCCAGCGGTCTTATGTCTGCTTGATGTTGCATTCGAATGGTATGATTGTGTATTTTGACAGTTTTAGTGTCTGTTGTTTTGGCTACACTAGGTGAATTTCTGACCACTAGATTTGGTTCGTTGATGACACTGTGAACTCTTCTTAAATCCTCGATGTAGGTGTGTATTTGGGCTAAGGTTAGACGACTGATTGGTATTGTTGATCATCGCTAATCAGATGTTTTAATTGTCATAGTTATTTCTGTTTGTGTGGTTGTGTATGTGTGAGTGTGTATGCACGCGTGTGCTTGTCGTGTTCGTGAGCGTGTGTGTGTGTGTGTTTGTGTGTGTGTGTGTGCGTGCGTGTTCGAGTGTGGGCGTTTGCGTGTGTGCGTGTGTGTGTTTGTGTTTGTGGCATAGTGAAATATAGTAGAGTAGAGTACATAACAGTAGAGTAGAGTATAGTAGAGCAGAGCAGAGTATAGTGTAGTATAGTACAGTGCAGGTTGGCACAGTCTAGCCTGTGTGTGTGTGTGTGTGAATGTGAGTGTGAGTGTGAGTTTTGTGATTTTGAAACATTCCGTTGTAATGTTTTGTGTAGTGTGTGGTTTGTGGTTCTCGTGGGTTACTGAAGGGAGTGTGTTGAACTGACTCTGTGTGCGTGTGTGTGTGTGTGTGTGTGTGCGTGTGGGTGTGTGAGAGGCCTGTCATCCCATTGGGTTGTTCAGCATTCATTTCCCGTACAGCTATGTCTTGTGTAGTATATGGTGATAGTGTGCATCTACTGCCTCCGATAGGAGATGAGTTTGATTCCGTTCATTGAGTGTGTTTTCGGAGAAACGCGTGCTTTAAGACTGACATCGTGACCATAATTCCGTTCTTTTGCATACCGGCAGGTGGGTGAAGCTGAAGACACATTGACGACGACAGCCGAGGATGTTGTTGTACAAGAAGGGAAAGAGACTGTGACAAAGTCTATGGATTGGGCGTCGGAGGGTGTGAGTGAGATGGATGAGTCTGACGGTGCGGAGAGTGCGGTTGTGGTGGAACAGCCGAGTGAGGCAGCCGTGGCAGTTTCCGAGAAGCCGACGAAGGTGGAGAAGGCAGAGGAGGCTCCTGTGCATGAGGTCGATGTGGAGGAGGTACCTGTGGAAGAGGAGACAGCTCCTGTTTCCGTTGTGAGTGAAGGAGAGGCGGAGGTGACGGATGTGAAGAGCACGGTTGGAGTGACGGAGGAGTCTGCGATACAATTGGAACAAGTGACCGTCGGTGTGAAGCAGATGGTGGAATCGAAGGAGACGGTGACTGTGAAGATGGAGGAACGCATTGTGCAGGAGAAGGAGGAGAAGTTGGCTACTTCTGAGGCGAGTTACTGCTCTGTGCATACATTCGTGGCACAGTCGTAGGCTTAGTGGCATGGCAAGTTGTTCCGCTTCGGTTGTTCTTGAATTTACTGGTGACATTTCTGGATAATATTTTATGGGAATTGGCTATTGTCGCACCTCCCATTGCATGCATGTCCTGTCGGTTAGGAGTTTCCATGGTCTATCTATCCATGATTCCACATATTAATTGATGATCATCATTCCATTTGCATCTCACCGATATTCAGATAAGTGTTTGTTTGCAACGGTGTGTTTCTTGTTTGGACTCTGTGTGAGACGACATCTCACGAGTAATGCATTTTCGGTGTTCTTCCTTGTGATTCCCCTGTCATTTTGAGTTGACAAACAAGGTGGTTGTGGATTGCACCCAGCGGTCTTATGTCTGCTTGATGTTGCATTCGAATGGTATGATTGTGTATTTTGACAGTTTTAGTGTCTGTTGTTTTGGCTACACTAGGTGAATTTCTGACCACTAGATTTGGTTCGTTGATGACACTGTGAACTCTTCTTAAATCCTCGATGTAGGTGTGTATTTGGGCTAAGGTTAGACGACTGATTGGTATTGTTGATCATCGCTAATCAGATGTTTTAATTGTCATAGTTATTTCTGTTTGTGTGGTTGTGTATGTGTGAGTGTGTATGCACGCGTGTGCTTGTCGTGTTCGTGAGCGTGTGTGTGTGTGTGTTTGTGTGTGTGTGTGTGCGTGCGTGTTCGAGTGTGGGCGTTTGCGTGTGTGCGTGTGTGTGTTTGTGTTTGTGGCATAGTGAAATATAGTAGAGTAGAGTACATAACAGTAGAGTAGAGTATAGTAGAGTAGAGTATAGTAGAGCAGAGCAGAGTATAGTGTAGTATAGTACAGTGCAGGTTGGCACAGTCTAGCCTGTGTGTGTGTGTGTGTGAATGTGAGTGTGAGTGTGAGTTTTGTGATTTTGAAACATTCCGTTGTAATGTTTTGTGTAGTGTGTGGTTTGTGGTTCTCGTGGGTTACTGAAGGGAGTGTGTTGAACTGACTCTGTGTGCGTGTGTGTGTGTGTGTGTGTGTGTGCGTGTGGGTGTGTGAGAGGCCTGTCATCCCATTGGGTTGTTCAGCATTCATTTCCCGTACAGCTATGTCTTGTGTAGTATATGGTGATAGTGTGCATCTACTGCCTCCGATAGGAGATGAGTTTGATCCCGTTCATTGAGTGTGTTTTCGGAGAAACGCGTGCTTTAAGACTGACATCGTGACCATAATTCCGTTCTTTTGCATACCGGCAGGTGGGTGAAGCTGAAGACACATTGACGACGACAGCCGAGGATGTTGTTGTACAAGAAGGGAAAGAGACTGTGACAAAGTCTATGGATTGGGCGTCGGAGGGTGTGAGTGAGATGGATGAGTCTGACGGTGCGGAGAGTGCGGTTGTGGTGGAACAGCCGAGTGAGGCAGCCGTGGCAGTTTCCGAGAAGCCGACGAAGGTGGAGAAGGCAGAGGAGGCTCCTGTGCATGAGGTCGATGTGGAGGAGGTACCTGTGGAAGAGGAGACAGCTCCTGTTTCCGTTGTGAGTGAAGGAGAGGCGGAGGTGACGGATGTGAAGAGCACGGTTGGAGTGACGGAGGAGTCTGCAATACAATTGGAACAAGTGACCGTCGGTGTGAAGCAGATGGTGGAATCGAAGGAGACGGTGACTGTGAAGATGGAGGAACGCATTGTGCAGGAGAAGGAGGAGAAGTTGGCTACTTCTGAGGCGAGTTACTGCTCTGTGCATACATTCGTGGCACAGTCGTAGGCTTAGTGGCATGGCAAGTTGTTCCGCTTCGGTTGTTCTTGAATTTACTGGTGACATTTCTGGATAATATTTTATGGGAATTGGCTATTGTCGCACCTCCCATTGCATGCATGTCCTGTCGGTTAGGAGTTTCCATGGTCTATCTATCCATGATTCCACATATTAATTGATGATCATCATTCCATTTGCATCTCACCGATATTCAGATAAGTGTTTGTTTGCAACGGTGTGTTTCTTGTTTGGACTCTGTGTGAGACGACATCTCACGAGTAATGCATTTTCGGTGTTCTTCCTTGTGATTCCCCTGTCATTTTGAGTTGACAAACAAGGTGGTTGTGGATTGCACCCAGCGGTCTTATGTCTGCTTGATGTTGCATTCGAATGGTATGATTGTGTATTTTGACAGTTTTAGTGTCTGTTGTTTTGGCTACACTAGGTGAATTTCTGACCACTAGATTTGGTTCGTTGATGACACTGTGAACTCTTCTTAAATCCTCGATGTAGGTGTGTATTTGGGCTAAGGTTAGACGACTGATTGGTATTGTTGATCATCGCTAATCAGATGTTTTAATTGTCATAGTTATTTCTGTTTGTGTGGTTGTGTATGTGTGAGTGTGTACGCGTGGTTTTGCTTCTCGTCTGCTTGTCGTTTACTCCTGCTTTTTGTGCGGCTTTCTCCTCTTATTTTATATAACGTTTGTCTTGTCTATTTTTTGCGAATATCCTGTGTTTTCCTATCTGGTGTGTTTTTCTCTTTATCTTTTTTTTGACCTACTTTTCTGTTTGGGTTTGTATTTATAAGTGTGAATTTGTGGTTTTCTCGGAGTTTTTTATTGGGTGGAATTTTTTTTGTCATTGGTGTTTATTTTGAAAGCTCTTTTTGATATCTCTCTCTCTTTTCTAAATTTGGTGCTATCATTTTCGATGTGTGACTCAGTCTTTTTGCGCCGTCTTTTATGGTGATTTTCCTGCTATACAGTATTTTATGGTGAATTTTCCCGGGAAGCTTCACTATGTTTTATGTCATTGTAATATCCATGTTTCTTTGATTAATATGAATATATCTGTTTAGTGAAATATGGTTGTGTATTTTATATTTGAACTGTTTTTGTTTATTCAATCGCTTTCTCTTAATTAATTTTAAATTTACCTATTGCATAAAACATGTGACATCCTGTTGCATGACCATCGATTTGTATGTGCCACAGCTGTTGATTGTTGTTTGTTTTGTTGATTCTTTACATGTTAGAACACATTTTGTCAACCGGTCTTAACTGATTTTCATCTGAACTGCTTTTACTGCTCTTCTTCACTTCCTACAGGCTAAGCCCGAGAAAGTGCCGAAGATAAATGGTTAGTAAACAATACAGATAATTATTTTTTTTTCTACAAATTGATAGTAATAAGCAACTTTTGTACTTATTTGAACTGTTGACTTAATGAGTATTCAGTCGGTGAATTCACATCGTTAGAGTGAAGCGCATTTCAAGTAGTCAAAACGTACATTCAACTGGCAGTACGTTCTATGTTAAAAGAAATATTCACTTTATGCTTAGATTATGTCTCCGAGATCCTACCAAGCATCCTGATGGTATTTGAGAAGACTTAAATCGATTAGTCTATTTCTATTATCAATAAAGTGAGTTAAGTGAGTATGGATGGCTTTAATTGCGAAGCTGGTAAAATCAATAAAACAGAAATCGTTGAAGAATCATTGAGAAATTCCCCTTGACCAAAAACGTAATTATCTAATTACCTGGTTTGGCCGTTATTTACCTACTTGTGTAAAAATGGAAACCATCTCAAAAATTGCTGTCCTCATTAGCGTTTGGGTAAACTTCTTGCGCTATGAACCTTATAGGAAGATGAATTAGATATTTACAGTCATTGTTGAAATGTGGCTGGTTGGCTTTGTCATTTGATTTTCGGCTAGTGGGTTGAAGCGACCAGATTTTCTCTTCATTTAATACAATTTCATACATCTGCATGAACTACATGTGCATTTATTGAATATCCTTCAAATAATTTCAGGTGTATCTTTGACACTAATCCTGATTTGTCTGAAAACTCACTTATAGTATGCTGGTGGTGAAAGTTATTGGCGCAAATCTAAACATCGCTTAAAGCTGTCATTCTGGTTAATAGTTATTAGCAGCGGAATGCATGATGCGCATTTCGTCCTAATTAAGGTTCATCAGTATTTCTATGCAACGTGGAATGCCAATTACTCTAAAAGCAGAGTAATCACTTAACGATCCCCCTATGTGAAGTGATCTAATTAAATTAATACGAAGAGCATTTGGCTGACTGTTAGTATGTTTGTACTCACAGCCTCCTGAAGACTTAATGCTAGAGAATTTTAACTGTCTTGTGTATTAGGATTGGTGACTGAAATATCAGGAATATACCCTGTCTTACCATTGTTCTCGTTTGTATGGTAGGAGAACAGGAGAACCGTAGCACTTTTTTGAATGCATATTTCTTCTCTTTTAATTACGGTTGGCCATGTTAATACAATGTATGCTCTTCCCTGAACTATAAATCACCTTACATTTCCATGTATTGATGTTTCACCTTTGCAGCTCCTTCAAGTCCAATAAATGTAAGAATTGTTATCACTCCACCGGAATCTTCAGATTCTAAGCCAAAACTTCAGATAACTTGGGAACAGCCTGATGATGCACCAGTCAGTAATTTCTATATTGAACTGAAACCGGTAGATTCTAAACAATGGCAAGATGTATCAGCTGACTTCACTATAACCGAACCTCATGCAACACTTCCAACTGATAATTTGCAAGAATTTGTTAGTTATGAATTTCGAGTTATTGCAGAAAACGAAGCAGGCAAAAGTCCACCATCTAGTTCATCAAATTCAATTGAATTAGGTGAGTTCTGTCGTGTTCTAGATACTTAATTATTAACTGTATGAAGACTGAATAGATTAAGATTGACTAACATAAAATTTAGAAAATCAAAACAAGTGATTCAGCGAAGAAACTCTTTTCAACGAATTTATCATCAAGCTGTACAGTCGTATATATATGGTTTTTCAGAAGTTATATCCGGTGAGGGAATTGAATCTTAGGTGTGAATACATAAAATAATAATAATAATAATCATATGAAGTTCAATTAAAACTAAAATGTTTGTGATTATAATCGTAGTTAAATGTCAAGTGGCAAAGCAGATTAATGTCATATATAGAATAATTCATAGGAGGGATAGAACTTGAAAAAGGATGTGCAATTATAGGATTAGTAGGCAAATCGAATAAAACAAAAACGTTACGTAATATTGTGTGAAATTTAATAGCATAGAATTTATCGTTGTAAAAAACAATTGATTTAGAATGACAAGTGGAACAAGTGAAATAATACCGGGGACAGTTCAAAGTGAGAATAGTAATAATAACAATTGACTTAATAAGGAAGAGTATACAAATTGAATAGACAAAATGAAAAATTGGTAGAGCTAAAATATGATTGGGGATTATCATATTTTAGCATAGAGGGATTAAGACCATGAAAGTTGGAGGGGTTGAACGAACTTTTTCTGTACACAGAGATCTGGCTTTTCTGTTTCGATAGCCAAAGCTTCAGCAATACAGATGAGTCGGGTACGTAGGGATTTAGGTAGATTGCTCTTTGCCTTGTAGATGACTTTAAAGGCGGAGGCTATAGAGATAGGGTGATCATTTTCGACCAGATGTTCTATGATCGCGCTTCTTATTGCTCCACTTCCACCTTTTCGTAGCCATGCAGGATAATGTTCTTGCACCCTCTTGGACAAAACTCGAGTCGAACGACCGATATACCTAGCTCCACAAGAGCAGGTGAATTGATAAACGCACATAGAGTTGGTCAACATTGGGATCTTGTCCTTCAGGTTATTGAACAATAATGGTCGGCTAGTAAAAGCTATTCTCAGAGAGGCAGCAGGGAATGTTCTTTTCAGGGACTGTGATATCCTTCGTTTCATGATATCGGAAGCTAAGTCCCCTTTGAATTCTAAGCTCATGTAAAGTATTTTCTTGGGAGCGGTTGATAAGTCACGTTTTGTAGGCTTTGAATGTATATTCTTATCTATAAAACGTGGTGGAAATCCATTTTCCATTAGGATTTTCCTCAAAGTGTATAACTCATCTTCCACAGTATCAGTGCTACATATGCGCCGAATACGAGTGGCAAGCGACCGGACCAGGTTTCGTTTTCGACCAATAGGTACCCAGCTATAGAAATTTGTCAGTTGACCATTCCATAACAGCCTACGATAAATCGATCTCTTCAGAGTTCCATCGGTCCTTCTTGATAAGTTCACATCGAGGAAATGAATGCTAGACTCGTTCTCCATTTCGAGTGTGAATTTTATCGCAGGATGGCACTCATTAAATACACTTAATATATTATTCAGGTTACAATCAATATTACAAATAATAAAGGTGTCATCTACATACCTTTTATATATTTGAAAGCTTTGGATCATAGGCTTCAGGGAACCATTTTCTAGACTGGACATAAAAACGTCTGCAAGGAGAGGACCCAAGGGAGAACCCATCGCAATACCATCCTTCTGCCTGTAGATTGTTTCATTGAAAGTAAACTGTACATTCAATGTACATCTCAAAAGTAGTTCTTTAAGATCTGTAGTAGGTATCCCTATGTTCAATTTGTTGTCTTCAATATATTTGCATATAAAACATATGGTCTCTGTCAGTGGAACGTTCGTAAATAAGGATTCTACATCCAAAGACAACATTTGTTTATTCGACGCATTTATATCCTGTATACATTCAACAAATTGGAAGGTGTCCCGAAGGGACCCGACTCATCTTTATTGCTGAAGCTTTGGCTATCGAAACAGAAAAGCCAGATCTCTGTGTACAGAAAAAGTTCGTTCAACCCCTCCAACTTTCATGGTCTTAATCCCTCTATGCTAAAACATGATAATCCCCAATCATATTTTAGCTCTATCAATTTTTCATTTTGTCTATTCAATTTGTATACTCTTCCTTATTAAGTCAATTGTTATTATTACTATTCTCACTTTGAACTGTCCCCGGTATTATTTTTGACTTGTTCCACTTGTCATTCTAAATCAATTGTTTTATACAACGATAAATTCTATGCTTCAATGTATTACAATTCTCAAAAATAACCTCTAATGGTATGTATGCTTACCTGGTTTTAAAGACCTACTTACAAATTTAGATCACTTTGTACAGTAATGATTATGTTAATCATTTTATTCAGGTTCACCGCTACAATTCATACGTCCACTAACCGATCTTACCATAACTGAAACAACGACCGATACCACTGTTGTATTGGAGTGTGAATTGTCTCGGTCACCTCGTGAAAAAGTCAAGTGGATGAAGAACGGTCAACCATTAACTAAATTGCCTAAGAATATAAAAATAGAAGAATTGGACGACGGAAAAATTAATCGACTTGTAATCCAAAATATCACTGAAGAAGATTTAGGCGTCTACTCTATACAGGTGGAATCATTGAAGAGTGAAGCGAAAATTGACATGAAAAGTGAGTTCTCATATTCTTAAACTGAGTTACTCTTGATATCCAATAGAATTTTATCATAAAGCTATTAGTTTATTAAGAGTAATCTACTCTTTGCTATGTATATAATGCAATACTATTCCTATAAACTATATTCTAACCACAAAAATGTGTAAATTATTTACAGTACCACCAACACTGAGATTGTCAGACTCATTCTCCGATCGTGTCATCATGAAAGCAGGATCAGCTGCTGTCTTCGAAATCCCATTCATCGCCAGTCCAAAACCAAAGGTCGAGTGGAAATGGAGACCGAGAACACGTCCTGACGCCGAGCTCGGTGCACCTCAGACTCCACGATTCAAGCCTGATGTGGTGTCTGGATTGACGTCACTTCCTGTGAGCAAGGTGAAGCGTGAGGATGCTGGTGAGTACAGTGTGGTGATCAGTAACGAGTTGGGTGAGGTGTCGGTGAGTATCGAGTTGATAGTGTTGGACAAGCCGTCAGTTCCGCGTAATTTGGAGGTGAGTGAGAACACTGGTGAGAGTGTGTTGTTCAGTTGGAGTGAGCCAGAATTCGTGGGTGTGGCACCGGGTGTTGATGTGAGTCAGGAGTTGTTGTATGTGGTTGAGATGCGTGAGTCTAGTCAACGTGCTAGTCGTTCGGTGAGTGTGACGAGTGAGTTGAGTGTGAGGATTGATGGTCTTCAGTTGAACAAGTCGTATGTGTTTAGTGTGGCGGCGAAGAATGATGTTGGTCAATCGGAGTTTGCAGAGACGAAGCCAGTTTCAACGAAGTTGGAATATGGTGAGTTTGTTTAGCCATTTGTTTTCTGTTGTAATCGAAGTATATTGTGGTGTTTTGTTGGTTGCCATTGTTATTTTTTTTCGCAGATGTCTTATTTTTAATGCATGACTATTTTCTGTACATGAACATAAAATCGCCTTTTATATAATAGAAAAAGCTGCTCCTCTATAGCAGCTTAATGCACCAGTATAGAATTTCTGATAGAGAGTACTATTCCTTCTCCGAACTATATTATAATATGCTCAAGAAAGCAACGGTGTATGTATTTCCACAACAGCAGAAGTGATAAGATTATGCAGTCTATTATTTATGTGCACTGTAATGGTACAACGCATAGAGAATTGGACATAGCGTTGTGGTACAGAATACTTTGCTTATTGTTTTTCGGAGTTGAGATGTCAGTTATTCAAAAGCTACCTCTCCTTTGAACTACGAGTTGACTGATAAACATTTCTTCTGAGTTGTCTGTAAGCACTTCTCTTCACTGTAGCGATTTTTACAATCTTTTCCGGTTATTCCTTCTCATATAATGAGTTCTGCATCCTTCTTATTTCATCACTTAGAGTTTCGAGTGTACAGATTTTCCTAGTTGGGAACATCAGTCCACTAATGAGTTTCCATTTGTACGTAAGAGGGACAAAACTTTGAATTTGACAAACCCACGGTTTTATACGGAGATATCTTTGCGTCTGACTGTCTCATAATTTACTTGTTCGAAGCAAATGAAAAAAAGATCAATTATCTTCTTTTTTTATTACAGCTTGATTCCACACTGTATTTTTGGTACAAGTATGAAATTTTCAGCATGCGATATCGGTAGCCCAAATTTTGCAGGCCGACCATAGATATCAGGTATTCGTCGGCAGGAGATCGAACCTCGGACCATGTGTATGGTCGGCGAGAGTCCTAACCACTGTGCCAGCGACGCAGATGTATGACTTTTATTTAGTGGGGGCGGGAGGTGGAGGGAAGGGTGTATCATAGTCCTTAGTTCTATTAAACACAATGCTATTAAATGCGTACGCTGAATAATTTTATTGTGTCACAGAAAAGTGTGATAGTGTACTGAATATAAAAAGATTCAGTACTTTTGAGCAGAACCACTGATTGTCACCGGCCGTCACGGATAAAAGCTCCGGCCCACATGCATAGATAGTCAATTAAAAACTGAATTGCAGTGAATTTCTATATGATTATATTCAAGAATATAAATCATTCTTGTTACTATTCATTCCTTGCCTTCATAGTGGAACATGGGGCTTTACTAGTGCATCTACACTGCATTCTGTGCTATAACACCACTTTTAGCCGAGTGCACAACTGTCTACAAGCTTTCATCTCGTCTTTTACCTGATCTCGTCCCTGCCACTATCGAACGACCACCTTTTCTGTTTATATTCAGGGTCCACTTGAGGAAATAACACGTGTTATCATTTGCAGGTTTCCAAGCATATGCCTATTCCATTTCCATTTTCTTCTGCATTTGTTGTGTAGTCGATTTCCGTTGGCTAGTTACTTGTCAAAATTCTTTGCTATTCATCCTTTCTGGCCCGCAATCTAATCTTCGGTATCAAAAGAAGGTACGTATTGATGAAAAATCTCGAAAACCATTTGGATATGCTTTCGCTGGTGAGCACTTCACCTAACTGAACCGTATAGAAGCATTGAACTGACATTAGTGTTAAAAATTAAATACTTGTTCAGTGTGAGAAGTACTACCGATCACCATAGTTACTTTAGATTGAAAGAATGGAAATGCTGCCGCTTCATACCTCCTTACTTAGAAGTACTGATGTACCCTCTCAGTAGTACTAAGTTCAGTAGATAACTGATGAACAAGTCTCATAAATTCATTCTTGTACATTTTCAGGTCCACCGCCTAGTCCAGTCAATGTGAAAGCAGTTGTCAATCCACAGAAAGCATCAATCAAAGATCAAACTATCGAATTGACATGGGAACAACCAAGTGATCAGGTGTCGGCTTCTGGACCTGTCACCAACTTCTACATCGAAATGAAGCCGACAGATTCAACGCGTTGGCAGGATGTGTCAGCCGACTTCACAATCACTGAACCACATTTCACACTTCCTACTGAAAAATGCAAGAGTTTGTTAGTTATGAATTTCGTGTAACGGCGGAGAATAAAGCAGGGAAGAGTAAACCATCATCACCTTCGAATTCGATTGAATTAGGTAAGTTGGAACATTTTTATTTGAATCAGTCAGTGGATAATAATAATAATAACGATAATAAGCTAACATTATAGTTTGTAACTTTTCGGGACTGCATCGAATGCATCTCACATAATACATCTATTCTTAATAATAGTTGATTTATTTTTTAGCATTACTATTCAGTTATAGGGAAGAATGTTTTTGCCACCGCATCTGGTTATACATGTCAAGCTGTAATAAGGTAACACTTATCGCGAAATTATATTAGCTAAAGAACCTCCAGGAAGTCCAGGACGGCTGTTTCAACCATTTTTTTGCTATTTACCCTAGACGCCCATAACGCGACCAGTAATCGACGGAGGACCATCAAATTAAGAGATGAGATGGTTGACTATTCAGTCTCTGGGTTAGAATATGGAATTCCATGGAAGTGAACCTTAAAGATTTCATGATATTGCGCAACTGCCATCCAAAACTATCGAGCATCTATTGTCATACTCATCATGATGGACTCCAGTGGTTGCTTCTCGTCAACAGTGAGCAGCAGATTAACCATTACATTTTGAGTAGTAATACCCCTGGTTTCCCAAAGTCCCCTAACTTATGTCAGTTCTTGACGAAATACACCTTGAAATCACTCAAATGTCTAAATTCGAAACAAGGAAATAAAATTGATTTGCATTTTTCTGACCAATGTTTCACTTTCACATATACCTTCTCATGTCAATTATTACTTCCTCCTGTTTAGGTATTCCTCTGGAATTCATACGTCCACTAACAGATTACACAGCCACTCAACTCAGTGGCGAACCTGTTACTCTAGAATGTGAATTATCTCGTGCATCACGTGAAAAAGTCCAATGGTTAAAAGACGGTAAAGTATTAAGTCGACTACCTGATCGAATCAAAATTGAAGAATTAGATAATGGGAAAGTTCATCGTATTGTATTCAATCCAATAAGTGAAGATGATTTAGGTGTATATTCGATACGAGTGGAAAAATTGTCTTCACAAGCCACCCTGGATATGAAGAGTATGTTATACGATTTGTTCAGTTGTTATATTCTCTCATAGATTTTCACTACAAACGGTATTTTGCATATTATATATGAGTACAATTCAATATTCGATAATTTTATCTGATGCAACACAGTGATATAGTGTTATTAATTAGATAACATCCATCTTCTATAATTATGTCACTTTATCCACAGTCATACTCCTTAAGACACTTGAAACTTTACGTGAGGTTTTTAATAAGGCTGGAATTAAAATTTTGTCACATTCGATCTGCCCAACTACACAAATTAATATAGTTTGTCAAATGTAGTATAATGACTATGAGGTCAGTTATATAAGTCAAACTAGTAAATCGGGGTCAGTTAGGTTATTGGGATATAAGAGTTCAGCTAGAACGATTAATTTTTACGAGTTTGACCACGGATTGATATCAGTTAGAGAACCGTTGAAAACCAGGGAGTACTGGACAGGTGTTTCATCTTAGTTTGGGCATCATCATCAGCACACATCCATTTGGGTCGGCACCCGGGAACTTCTGTTTACAAGGCAAGCTCATATACAATTCAGGCACTGGGACCCGATTCATTGTCCAGTCCATGAATTCTAACTTCTATCAATTTGGGATTTAGCACGGCTACCAACCAGTGCCATCGGCAGGACATCCATCGTCACTGCAGACTGGATGGATCTCACTAGTCACGACTTCGCACTAGAACTGCAGGACACTTCGTCCTGCAGCAAGTTACTAACGAGCATCAGATTAATTATCAATAGTTAGTTTGCAAGGATTAGATTTGTTTTTACGAGTTTGACCACGAATTGATATCAATTAAAAAAACCATTGAAAACCAGGGAGTACTGGACATCTGTTTCATCCTAGTTTGGACATCATGGCTTGAGTAATCTATAAAAATGTTTGAGCATTTCAATGCATTCACATGCATCTAGGGTGGGACACGGTGAAAATATTGAAGATAAATATAATAAGGTAGGGAGAAAGGCGGGGGAGGTCAATCACCGAATCTTTACCAAGTATGTGCAATCAAAGTGACGCAAAGCCAATAATGGATATATGGGAAATTGCAATAAAAAACAGCAGGGAGTACAACTATGTAAGGCTAGTTATCAATTTATGTGGATACATTGATATGATTATGAAGAGCAATGAATTGTACGCGAAATGTTATCCAGTTACCAATACCTAATTTATCACTGAGTTATATGAAACAAATTTATTTAATATGAAACTGGTTCGTTTTTGACTTTTATCCCATTACTGTGTCTAGTTTTCGTTTTTATATAATGAGAAAAACACGTATATATATATATATATACTGAGATCGTATTGACGAAGACAAAGTGTTTTCCAAAAAATGGTTACCGAATAAAGAATATTCTTTTCGATAACGCCTTCTTCATCAGATTCTACAGTTATACGCATCCATAATAATGAATGAATTAGTGTTATTAACAAAGTTAATGCTGTTTAAATAACATCGAATCAATAAGAATATCAAGGAATTACAATTCGATAGCATCAACATAACAATACAATGAATATCAGAAAAATTAGAAAAGATAATAATACAAATTCATGAATTTATAGTCTCCACTGAAGGCTGTGTCCAGGACAGTATTAGTGACTGGCTTGACATGCTTGTTCTGCACACAGAACACCGGTTGTTTAAGGCGGCTGTTTTGAGTATGCGGTACCTGGATGTTTTTGGCAATTTATTTGGTATCCAGTAGATGATAGAGAAGGATTCTCCAATTATGGCTTTGTGTCCGATTTGGATCAGGTGGTCTTATATCGCGCTATTGATGCTTCGCGCTACAAGGTGGAGAAAGGTCTACAAAAAGTAAAAAACTGCCTGTGAAACTGTACACAAATTCATACATACTTAGTGTCACTTTCTGTTTCCATTGTGCTACATCTCATGTAGTAATTAATATGGAATTAATCTCTGACAATTTGATATAAATTATTTAATTATTCATTATGGTTTTCCTGAATGCTATATTCCTTTAAATCAGTTAAGAGAGTAGTCATATCACAAGTAAGAGGTTTTTCCTCATCATAAGTTTTATCGTAAAAATGATCAGTCTACGAAGTGTGTAATTCGTCGTATTTTAGACTAGTCAGCTGGGTTTACCTGCATCTCCACTAAGTGATGGTGTAGCCAGTAACACCTGAATCGATTCGGACGCCAAACACTTGCTCGCTAGACTACTGCGCTTCAACAGTCATATCTTGCGTAAAAGATATTATTATTATTTGTCACCTAAGCAATTAGTCCCTAATGTACAAAAATACTGCCAGCATTACTAAAATCGAAAGTTTAGCGCAAATATAATGGATGATAATTAAACAATGAAAGTTAACCTGATATACGTCAGAAAGAAAAGTCTCTGGCACCGACCTGTAAAAGGCTACCAAATTTAATTATAATAACTAATTTTCCTAATCGAACAATCAAAGAATAATTCATTTTTGACACACGCTTATGAATATATTTCTTCATACACCTTCAGTTCCACCAACACTGAGATTGTCAGACTCATTCTCCGATCGTGTCATCATGAAAGCAGGATCAGCTGCTGTCTTCGAAATCCCATTCATCGCCAGTCCAAAACCAAAAGTCGAGTGGAAATGGAGACCGAGAACACGTCCTGACGCCGAGCTCGGTGCACCTCAGACTCCACGATTCAAGCCTGATGTGGTGTCTGGATTGACGTCACTTCCTGTGAGCAAGGTGAAGCGTGAGGATGCTGGTGAGTACAGTGTGGTGATCAGTAACGAGTTGGGTGAGGTGTCGGTGAGTATCGAGTTGATAGTGTTGGACAAGCCGTCAGTTCCGCGTAATTTGGAGGTGAGTGAGAACACTGGTGAGAGTGTGTTGTTCAGTTGGAGTGAGCCAGAATTCGTGGGTGTGGCACCGGGTGTTGATGTGAGTCAGGAGTTGTTGTATGTGGTTGAGATGCGTGAGTCTAGTCAACGTGCTAGTCGTTCGGTGAGTGTGACGAGTGAGTTGAGTGTGAGGATTGATGGTCTTCAGTTGAACAAGTCGTATGTGTTTAGTGTGGCGGCGAAGAATGATGTTGGTCAATCGGAGTTTGCAGAGACGAAGCCAGTTTCAACGAAGTTAGAATACGGTAAGCTTTATTTTGAAATATATAAGTCAATGTTCATTAAGTCTATTCATTCTTTGCACCCGAGTTGCCTTGTAATTTTTAGTATGCCTACACAATTTTTTCGTGATTCACTTCTAAGATTTATTGTCTAGTATATTTTGAGAAAAAGAAAATGAAATACACGAATATTGGAGAACGCCTCACCTGTTCGCTGAGCTTCTATTTAGTTTACTAATACGATATCCGGTATTTCAATGTACCAGAAGTCTACTGTGTAAACACTTACGCTCTGCTGCTGTTTTCTTTTTCTGATGGATTTTGAAATTTAGAAAACAATTCTTTGTCCACAAAATAGTCACTGCATTGTTAATATGTTAACTCCATATGAGTAATTTCTATTTTATGGATTTCGTCATCTGTTTATATCAGACTGATTGAGTTAAGAGTGAGTGTTTCCTCTTTTTACTTCAGGTAGGTTGTTGAAAGCTGATAGTGTCGATGTAAATCTAGACCCTCGGCTATATACATAATCTCCAAGATTAAATATCACCCGTCTGAACTACCTTCCCCAAGAAGATGCTCATTGATGGAAGACCTTTTCTATTCCCTTACGTCCCCAGTGGAACATTGGGCTTCAGGCTAGTGCTACGAAGTTTTGGTAGCAGTGGTGTTTACGCTTACTGGATGGGGTCGCTAGCCATAAGCCCAACTATCCCCCTTTACCAGTCTTGTTACTAGCTTAGCGAGGTTTAGGAGTGCGCCGGTCGAGGATCGGAGCCCGAAACACATGTATGGCAAGCAACCATCCCACCGCTGTGCCACCGAGGCACGATGGAAGACTTAGTCATCCTATACTCGTCTATCATCAACCAAACCACGCGGTGTTTGGCTATACGCTACTGGCGACCGCCTTTACAACGCCCAGTGTAAAAAGAAGAGATGCTTATCGAGGTGAACATAAGTTGTAGTTTCTTCTTCATGCATTGTCAGATCGTAATTAGCCTGTAGATTACCAGATGCAAGTCAGCAGCATAAAAAGAGCCTTTAATACTGTTAGGATCCCGCATAAAATATTATCACATCATTTCTCTTACATATTGTGAGTGATTATGCGATCAATCATTTCAAGCGTTGTAAGCCGTCTTTATTGTTGTAAAAATGTATAAATGCCATGTGTTGTTCTCCTCATAGTGGTTCTTACAATATACAGTACATTACAGAATCTTACATTCACAGGCCAGTCTTTGTCTTTTGATATTTGCGTGACCCAGTAAGTCGGAAGCAGACATAACGAAGTGACTACGGTTCTCATTCAGTTCAGTGCAGTTATAACAAATACACTCTTAATGGTCAGAAAAAGAGTTGTTTTCCAAATCATTTCTCCAATCTCTAAAATTTTAAATACATAAATATTATAATATAAATGGACAGTGAAGGCAGATGAAAATCATAACCGTAACTGTATTGTTGGGTTACAAGTACAAGATGGAAAATAATTGGTGGATGGTGACTAGCAGTGGAATCCAGGGTGGCATTTCGTCCTATTTGGGATTCGTCAGCTGGATGTGCCTGCATTTCCCAATGAGTGGTGATGTTCCCACCGAGGCTAGAACCCAGTACGCATAGTTTCAAAAGCTATAGTGTTATCCACTAGACCACTTGGGCCACGAGAGCCACCACTTGTGCAAAGGGTCATGGGAAATGCCTGTACATCCAGCTGACGAAATGCTTATCCTGGATTCCACTGCTATTCAGCATTCACTAAATAAATTCTAATTAAATACCCAGACATCGTCGAAGCATCTGCACAAGAAGCTGACATTTTAACCTGAGACCGAGCACTTTGGTCCGATCAATCGACGGGAAAATCTAAAACTCAATTGAAGATGGAAGATAGTTCATTTATTGTCATTGTCAGTTGAACACATACAAAGCGTACAGTCGTTCAGAATGTAAGACAAAATGCAAATATACAACTGAGTGACATTATGTTCTTTAGTGACATTTTTAACGGGATTTAGAAGTATTACTGTTATAATAACAAGCATTTCCTTTATCCTCTGAACGGTAGAAAAAGTCTATGTTGCTAGATTGTAAACTTAATCTTCCGTTTGACTTCAATCTTAATTTGTATTATTACTCTTACTCTAAATCCGTCTTGAATACGAATCCTAAAACTAACCACATATCCGACTGAACGTGTCAGGCACGACAGAATTCTGTTATATGAAAGTATTGGCGTCTTCAGTCGTAGTCACAAATATTTTCAGCATCTACCTGGCTTTCACTGCCCCGTACGTACTTCGGCTGTCACATGTAAAGGCATAATGTGATCATTGCAACAACAATAAACTTCTAACACCTATTTCAAAAAACAAGTGAAAATAAAGTGTTCACTTGTGTTCTCCAACACACTATATGGTAGTGAAATCTAGCCAATGAATTCCGTTTCACAAACCGCTACTCCTTCGATTTGCACTCCTAAATTGAATATTGTGGAAATTGTCTTACCCATAATAACGATACACTTCAGACTTCACAAACGGTCAGTTGATATGTCTGTAAAAGGGAAAAAAACTCCCTAAAGAGTCTCTGTTGATTTCACGAAATCTAAATGAAATTTTGGTTTCGTTTGCGACCTTTTAGGTCCACCGCCTAGTCCAATCAATGTGAAAGCAGTCGTCAATCCACAGAAAGCATCAATCAAAGATCAAACTATCGAATTGACATGGGAACAACCAAGTGATCAGGTGTCGGCTTCTGGACCTGTCACCAACTTCTACATCGAAATGAAGCCGACAGATTCAACGCGTTGGCAGGATGTGTCAGCCGACTTCACAATCACTGAACCACATTTCACACTTCCTACTGAAAAAATGCAAGAGTTTGTTAGTTATGAATTTCGTGTAACGGCGGAGAATAAAGCAGGGAAGAGTAAACCATCATCACCTTCGAATGCAGTTGAGTTAGGTAAGATGTGTTTCCATGTAAACTGTTTGAGTACTGAATTTTATTCCTCCACTGTGAATTTTTACATGATACTAATTTTTCTGGAAGCACAAAATATTCTAAAGAACGTATCAATAGATTTCATGTTTAGTCTTTAAGGTGAATAAAAATGGCTTTAATTCAGTCTCTGTACAACTGACTGGTTGCTATATGATCCTAACAGATCTTTGATAAAGCCGATATTCGCCATTATCTAAACTGACAGCCGTTGAATATTGATCTTAGTTCCTCATTCTTTTCAGTAAGTAATTTCCTGTACTGATATTTACAGACTGACAGCTGGTGTCGATCCGGCTGATAAACATCCAAAGGGAGAAATGTTGAATAAGCTATGTTTAACTTATGGCTAAGAAGTCTATCCTAACTTTTTCTCAAAGACAGAGGCACCCATAGTGAATTACTGCTGTTCATAAATTTGATTAAACGCGAATGGAGCTTAGAGCTCAACGCAGGATTGTATGCTCCACTGGATTATCATGTTTGTCTCACTTCTCCTATGATTTCTGCTCACCTGTGCAAGTAGGGATGCAAGCTGATTGGGGGATATATTCTTCATTAGTCTCTGTAGTATGATATCGTATGCTCACTTTTTAAGCTTTGGTTTTGAAATATAAAAGTAACTTGAATATTCCTATAATTTATCTAGGACAAAAACAGTTAGAGTGAACAATTGTTTTCAATAAAGTTTTCTTCAGGCTCCATAAATATAAGTTCATTAATTTAAGCATACAATAACCAGTAAAGGCAAATTAGAATCAACACATTTAAGCGAACAATATTGTTTTCAATTAGATCTCATCAGGCTTAACTCTAATATATATAAGTTTACAAATAAAATTCAAATATAAACCAATCATGGTGTTTTGTCTATAGGATAATACGATGGTGAATATAAAATTGTGCAGTTAGTCATAATAGTGGTAATGATAATATTAATAATAGTAATAATAATAATAATGGTCTTATCAATAATAAGGATGAAAAAATGAGGCAATCTGTGATAACATGAATAATGAAAAACAGTATGATTAAACAAACAATTGTTCAGGTGGAAGTAGTCGATAAAGGCTAGTAAAAACAAATGAACCGATTACGTAATGTTAGATTGTAGGGGAAGGAAATGAAACACGTTTATAATGAATATAAGATAAGATTAAGGGATGATAAGAAAGGGGTTGGAAATATAAATAAAGGGGTGGGGGTAGAAGTCTTTCGTTGGTTATGTCTTATTAGGCCATGGGAGGGATAATGGCTGCACGAACTTCTTTTGAATGCATAGCTTAGGTTTAATAGTTCGAATGCCTATCGCCTCAGCTGTGTGCAGTAGACGAATACTCGAATAATCGGTTCATTTGTTTTTACTAGCCTTTATCGACTACTTCCACCTGAACAATTGTTTGTTTAATCATACTGTTTTTCATTATTCATGTTATCACAGATTGCCTCATTTTTTTCATCCTTATTATTGATAAGACCATTATTATTATTATTACTATTATTAATATTATCATTACCACTATTATGACTAACTGCACAATTTTATATTCACCATCGTATTATCCTATAGACAAAACACCATGATTGGTTTATATTTGAATTTTATTTGTAAACTTATATATATTAGAGTTAAGCCTGATGAGATCTAATTGAAAACAATATTGTTCGCTTAAATGTGTTGTTCTAAATTCTACTATGGGAATATTTAATATATTAAATTAGAATCATATCAGAAATGTTACAGGATTTCATCATGAGCCGACATTGGTTAGAAAACCATTGGAAAACCTGCGGGGAGTACCGGACAGCAGTTTCGCCCTAGTTTGGGGTTCGAACCCAGGACCTTATGGAAACAAGGCGAGCTCGTATACCATTAAGCCACTGGGACTCGACCCAATGGTCAACGGATGAATTCTAACTTCTGCCAGTTCACGACATAGCGCGACCCCTAGCCAATGTCTTTGGCGAGTATTTGTCCTCACACCCGATCTGCTGCACCCTACTGGTCACGACTTCTCACTAGAATCCCAGTCAACCACCTACCTGAATAGGGCAAGTCACAGAAGGTCGGGTGTGAGGACAAATACTCGCTGAGGACATTGGCTATATCGTGAACTGGCAGAAGTTAGAATTCATGGGCCACTGGATGGGGTCCCAGTGGCTTAATGGTCTATGAGCTCGCCTTGTGCGTAGTGCTGAAAAGTCCCAAACTAGGGCGAAACAACTACGAAGTACTCCTAGGTTTTCCCATGGTCCTCTAACCAATATCAGCTCATGATGATATCCTGTAGCCAATCAAATCTCTACAAACCAACACTTAAATACCAGAAATGTGTTGTGGAACAAGCACAACATGGGTAGGAACAATAGTCGGTTAGTACTTCAGTATGCATGGTCAATGAGAATACGAGCTCGCCTTGTAACCAGAAGGTCCTGGGTTCGAATCCCGGTGGGTGCGTACTGCTGAGGAGTCCCAAACTAGGACGAAACAGCTGTCCAGTACTCCCAGGTTTTCCAGTGGTTCTCTAACTGATGTCAGCTCATGATCAAATCCTCCATGCAATCAAACAAAATCCCTACAACAAACCAATACTTAAAAATATATATAATCATTAAATTATAGTCAACAAAAGTACAGGTTTCAAGGGTGAGTGTAATCAGTAGTGTGTGAGACAATATGAATACTGCAGAAAGCTTGAATTCGGTCATCCGTAGAACATATTATGCAGCCCGGCTTGTAATTATTGAAAAAGCCGAAAATATGCTCCACTGCCAACCTCAAAAGTGCACAAGTAATTATGTCACATCCCACACTATTTACCAATTTTCGTGTGTGTGTGTGTGTGTGTGCGTGGACAGACATACATAGGGAGGAGTAGTCGTGCTTTGCATGTGAGAGTGGGAAAGCATATTCCGAAATGGTTAGGAAAACAAATGAATTGTGGAAAATCAATAGACGCAGGTGAGAGACGAACAACTTCGTCAATGGCCAAACATCTAATCGACAAGATCCATAAGTTTGATGTTAATTCAGCCTATAAGGTCATATTAATATATGTGTAAAACTTGGGCACTGTGGTAGTAAGTAATTCCATATTGATTTGTTTATTAGATGTATCACACAGTGAAACAGTATTATTTATTATATGATTATTATTTATTATAATTGATATGATTATGAACAATAAATTGTATTCGAAACTTCCTCCAATAAATAATACTGTTTCACTGTGTGATACATCTAATAAACAAATAAATATGGAAGCCCTTAAGGTCATCTCTAAAAATGGGCAAGGACGCTTGATGAAATACGCTGAGGCTATAGTTAGTTATAAACTGAAGCCCTCCCCCCTGTGTATTCAAAAAACAGTTTATCATTACTCTTAACCTACCTTGGTAATCCTTATTTGATTGGATTACCAAACGTTGTGTTAATCATTCTTAAATCTTTTCTTTGTCACTTTGTTTAATTTTATTGCCCTTAATTTTTTCATATATATCGACTTGACAAGTAAGTGTGTGATCAGATTGTTCGAAATGTATAGCGCAAATACATCGAATTTTTCAGATAATCTCCGTCTTCTATCCAGAAAATAAACCAACGACTAGACATAAGTTCAAGGTTGAAAATAACGACAATACTAACGATGATGTGGTGTAAACTTAAAAGTACTATTGGTGAATGATTATCAAATAATAATAATAATAATGTATTTAGTGAAGTGATATGAACAAGATTTTGTAAATATGATAATAAGTTAGAAAAGCATTACTTAAACTGAAGGTAATAGAAATCATAGGAATTCGTAAAAGGTCAGAAATAAACGTTTGTCAATACAAGAAAGGAAAATATTGCGATAGGAATTTAAAGCGCTGATGTTTATAGAGAATATTTTGGCCTTATTGTAGGCCAAAGTAAACATAACGGTTGAACATACTATTTCTATATACAGAGAGCCGGTCTTCTGGTATTGATTTCTACCTCAACAGCTACGTATAGAAGACATAGTCGAGTTCCTCCAGGTAGATTACCAGGAACGCGGTAAACAACTGAGAACGCCTGCTCATGTCTTATCGGGTGTCCAGTATCTACCAAGTGGGTTAAAACCGCAGTTTCCGCATTTGGTTACGCCTTTGCTCAACCATGCGCGCATGGATGAAGCCCTCTGACTATGGCCAATATAACTAGCTCTACATGACCAGTTGAATTCATAGATACACGCTGATGAGGCAATCTTTGGTAATTTATCCTTGACTCGTTGTGTGAGTACTGGTTAGTCTGTGTATTAGGTCCTGATGGTAAATGATCAGCAGATCGATTAGTTCAGTTAAGTCGTAACAAAATACTTTTGGATAATTTAAGTCAAAAGATGCAGTCTAAAGCGAGATACAGAAAATGTCTTTTTGGAGTTAAAGTTTCCTAGGTAATAAAAGCCAAGACTGAAATCAGGCTTTGGGACTCAGTTTTATCTGAACTAATCAAGTGGATAGCACTAATATGACTGTTATTTGCTAACAGTTCGTTTCATAAGCCCCTCTTGTTGCTAAAGTAACCAGCTTGTTTACATTCCATCCTTGGTTGGTTTTTATCTGATAAAATCATACAGTATTACACAGTATTATTTACAGGTGGTTTTTGAGTACAATTTATTGCTCATAATCGTATAAAAATACGCATAAAATTTTCAGGTTTTGCCTCTATAGTCTCAGCGTTTATTATCCTTTAATTTCATTTGTAATAATGTTTTCCATATTTTTGATACTGGCGCTGCATCGCTCCTTCTACAATGTTTAGTGTAGATCCAGCGTACAAAGATTCTATGACCAACACTACCTGTAGCTGTGCCACACCTTACAGTGCGATTGTGTGTTAATGCATGAATTGCAATCACTGAGTTCCCTTCTGAAACACTTCAGAAAACATCAGATTTGTTAGGTATTCATTGATTCCCAGAAAAAGTTTTACAAGTTCTCCCGATGACTTTGATTTGGGACGATCTAAGTAGGGTTCTGGAATTTTCAGTATAAATATTACTTGTAAGATATTTTCATAATAGCAATTTCCATCCAATTAGTTCTTGTAGTCATAAGTTTAAAATCAATCAGTGCTAACATAGTTATGATGTGTTTCATTTAGGTATGCCGCTTGAATTCATTCGTCCATTGGAAGATGTAACTATAAAAGAAATAACAAGTGAGCCAGTCATACTGGAATGTGAACTATCTCGAACTCCGCGTGAAAAACTTCAATGGTATAAAGATGGTATAACACTTAGTCGACTACCAGAGAGGATAAAAATTGAAGAACAAGAAAATGGAAAGATTCACCGAATAGTTTTCTCGCCATTGACCGAAGAAGATCTAGGAAAATATACCGTAAAAGTGGAGAATTTAGCAAGTGAAGCGAACGTCGATATGAAAAGTGAGTTAATGTAAATATTTAAAATGTTAGAGAGAATTTTTCTCCAAAAATAATAACTTATTATCAGCTGTATTTCTTAAATTCAACATTACATATATACATCTGTATATATTCTAAAAAACAATTACAAAACAGGATGAATTCTATGAAACTTTCTTTTATATTCCAGTTAAACCAACACTGAGATTGTCAGACTCATTCTCCGATCGTGTCATCATGAAAGCAGGATCAGCTGCTGTCTTCGAAATCCATTCATCGCCAGTCCAAAACCAAAGGTCGAGTGGAAATGGAGACCGAGAACACGTCCTGACGCCGAGCTCGGTGCACCTCAGACTCCACGATTCAAGCCTGATGTGGTGTCTGGATTGACGTCACTTCCTGTGAGCAAGGTGAAGCGTGAGGATGCTGGTGAGTACAGTGTGGTGATCAGTAACGAGTTGGGTGAGGTGTCGGTGAGTATCGAGTTGATAGTGTTGGACAAGCCGTCAGTTCCGCGTAATTTGGAGGTGAGTGAGAACACTGGTGAGAGTGTGTTGTTCAGTTGGAGTGAGCCAGAATTCGTGGGTGTGGCACCGGGTGTTGATGTGAGTCAGGAGTTGTTGTATGTGGTTGAGATGCGTGAGTCTAGTCAACGTGCTAGTCGTTCGGTGAGTGTGACGAGTGAGTTGAGTGTGAGGATTGATGGTCTTCAGTTGAACAAGTCGTATGTGTTTAGTGTGGCGGCGAAGAATGATGTTGGTCAATCGGAGTTTGCAGAGACGAAGCCAGTTTCAACGAAGTTGGAATATGGTGAGTTTGTTTAGCCATTTGTTTTCTGTTGTAATCGAAGTATATTGTGGTGTTTTGTTGGTTGCCATTGTTATTTTTTTCGCAGATGTGTTATTTTTAATGAATGACTATTTCTAGTGTATGAACGTTTTTGTTTTTCCCAGTTGGTTAGTAGTAGAGAAATCAGATTTTGTGTAATGAGTATTTTAACTTCTAGAGTTTTTGTGTCCCCTTCTTTATCACTTCCCCTACTTTAGCCAAAAACGTTACCATACGTGTTTCCACATTTGCTGACTTACAATTATGACTCGTTCCTTTTTGTGAAGATTGTTTCTTGTCATTGCAGGAATCTGTCGTTAGATAGATCAGGTTTCTTCTGCAAACGTAACATCTAAATATTATCCCATTTTTGATAGCTATCCACATTTATTTCGATTACAACAATCCTCATCACACTGATCTAGCTAAACTGCAGATAGAGTAAGATAAACTCCTTTTCGAGGAATCAGTTTTAGGACCTTTTCAACCGTATTTATATATGAAACAGTTATCGCTTGTAATAAATTTAATTAATGCATTAGGAAGACGAATTTCTCAAGACGGTAATATCATTTCATAGTTTCTTTAAGATCTCTTTACAACTAACATGGTTCACATTTGCCACAACCGTGTTGTAGTGCTTGTCGTGGCTGCCTTCCATGCAATCAGTCCGGGTTCGGCTCCCGCTGGTCGCATGTGGTGAGCGTCCGTCATTCAGCGGTAGAGCGCTCGCCAACCACTCACGTTGTCTGAGGCTCTATCCTCAGCTGATATACTCATAAATGTCACTAAGTCGGTAGCATAGACTGGTAAAGAGGTCAGGTTGGACGTGAGGCTAGCAACCCTATCCCGTAAAAATAAAGCCACTGCTACCAAAAATTCAAAGTTCTAGCCTGAAGGCCTATGTAGCAGTGAGAACGTGAAGGAATACAATAATAAAAATATTTGACAATAACTCAGTTACAGCAAAACAAAATCACATACTAATAACCAAGTAAGTCATGGAAGGGAAAAGCTGAAGTTGATTGTTTTTCAGAAAGTGTGTTACATTATGTAAGGTGTAGTCTAGAGGCGAATAACTTGGCGGAGATTAGAAGTTGGAATTGCTTAATAAGTGTGAAAAATAACCAATCATTACTAAAGATATAGAATGGAAAAACGCTAATTGAAAGACAGTTAAGTGTTTATGTAAAATCTTTATGAAAAATTAGACGTTATTAGCAAACAGTTATAGCGATTGTGATTATAATAAACCAAGTCAATATTATGGTAAGGCGAGCGAGTGCGCATAATGCTTCTGGATGCAGAGATGTGGTTTCAGGTCCGCAATAGCCAGCGACTCGGTTATGTATAAATGGCGTACTCGAAATCTTTTCGTGAGATATTAAGGAACTCTGTATATTACTGTGAAACAATCATGGGAGGATGCTCTATATTCAGAGTTTCCGAGGTGTTTGAGGATATACCTACTGGTGGTCTTTTCTTTGCCAGTTAAGCAGGTCCAATAGTGTCCCTGAATGCGTTCCCACCACCAGAACAAGTGAAACGATCAATGCACACTGATGTGGCTAAAAGTACTATCTTATCCTTCACAGATGATTAGATTACATATCTGCTGTAAAATGTAACTCGTAAAATTAACTGCTTAGAATATCTTCCTCAGACATTTGGAAGAGGAGTTTTTAAGAATTCCAGCCTCATATCACTTCTAAATCCTAGGTTCACGAAAAGTTTCCTTAGGGACTGTTACAACCTTCATCGTTACAGGTATATCTCTCATGTTTCTGTCGATAAATCTAGGTGAATATCCATTTTCCAATAGTGTCACGTAGAGATTGTGACCCGATCTCTACTTTGTCTTCCAAACAACTTTATTTTCGATCCAGTGGGACAAAGCTGTGGAAATTGAGGAACTGTACAGTCTATGTTGGTTCTCGATATATTGATCTTTGAATCGAGTTATCGTGTCTTCTAGTGAGTAGCCCATCCAGGAATGGAAAACGCATGTTTGATTCACGTCCTAGGATGAATTTCATTGAAGGGTATGCTGCGTTGAAATTAGTAATGAGGGTGTCTGTATAAAAATTTTCATCACAAATTATCAAGGTAACATCTGAATATCCTTTTTAAAGAAGCATCAGTTGACAGATCAGAGGATCGAAGATGTTGTTTTCAAAACTTGCCTTAAAGCAGGATAGGAGTTGTTTGTATGTATCTTCATTCTCTACCATAACAACTGATTTGCCAGAGACAGAAGTTATTCAAAACATCTTCAGCATACTTCAGTCATTACTGCCGTTTTCTTCTTTTTTCCTTCTCTTCCATACGCTTTCTAAACAGTCTGAGGATCTTATCCCTGAGCATCGAATACCAAACTTTTACCATTAGCGTTTGTATGTAACGAACCCAATAGGCACCTACTTGACGTATAATTGAAATAACCTTATTACATCCCATACTTATCAGTTTAATAGTAGGGATATTTTCTTGTACTAGTCTACATCAAGAATAAGACAAATGCTAGAATATAGGGACAGTGAGTTGTTTCTAAGGCAGGGTTAACAGTGAAGTGATATACGGGTGTAGCATCTTTAGTTTACAGTTAAACCACCAAGTGAGCAACTTTACCCAGTCACACATTATCACATAATAATTAGCGAAACATAGTAGGATATTTCGATCCTTTTATTGATAAACTATACTAAAATTGAATCGAGAGAAGTTTGTAAAATGCGGCAACTCTCAAGGTTGGCCAAAAAATTCGATAATGCATGTCACATATACATGAATTCCTTGTCCAACAGTATGGTCTAAATAGTCTGGACAATAAGGATCCATAGGTCACTTGTTTTACAATTACTAACATAAGAATCCAGCAAGTATTCACATTATGATGATTCATAATATTCTCTCTAGGATATTCACGCAGTATTCATTATTTTAAACGCCAAAATATTGTCCAGCAGGCTATCTATATAGCAGGAGACTCATATTTAGGGCGATAGGCCTTATATATTGTGACTTAGTCATACTCGAGTTTAAGCTCTGTTGATATGCCATGTGTCAACAGTAAACAATATAATATATAATAAACAATATATATATTTCCCTACCGAAGTGAAGTGTGTGAAGTTGAAGAGGTAAAAGCGAGATTACTATTACTCGAAATTTCTCCAGTACCATATCACTAATTTTCGGTTAAAATTTAGGTCCACCGCCAAGTCCAATCAATGTGAAAGCAGTCGTCAATCCACAGAAAGCATCAGTCAAAGATCAAACTATCGAATTGACATGGGAACAACCAAGTGATCAGGTGTCGGCTTCTGGACCTGTCACCAACTTCTACATCGAAATGAAGCCGACAGATTCAACGCGTTGGCAGGATGTGTCAGCCGACTTCACAATCACTGAACCACATTTCACACTTCCTACTGAAAAAATGCAAGAGTTTGTTAGTTATGAATTTCGTGTAACGGCGGAGAATAAAGCAGGGAAGAGTAAACCATCATCACCTTCGAATTCGATTGAATTAGGTAAGTACTTAAATCTCTACAATGAGATTGGTTTGGAGGGTGCAGAATTAGCTCATAATATTGCTCATAATCATATCAAGGTGATTGACCTTGATGTGATTATGAGCAATAAGTCGTGCTCGAAACGTCAACAGTAAACATTAATTATATAACACTGTGAGGCTTTATCAAAATGAAATCTACTCATAATGGAAAGGTACGCCTACATCAACTGAAAAGAGTTTGGAAATCTTCTACACTCAGCATAAGGAACAAAATTCGGATTCTATTCAACACAAATGTCAAGTCAGTCAGTCAGTTCTTCTATACGGGTCAGAAACTTGCAATGCGTGTCACAAAAAGAATTTCCAACAGGCTGCAGACTTTCATCAACAGCTGCCTTGCCTCCATGCTGAAGATAAAATGTCCAGAAACAATTAGTAACAAGAAACTGTGGGAACGAACAAGCACTTGAGAGCTGATCACTCAACAAATATGTAGGGGAAAATAGAGATGGTTCCGGCGTACATTGAGGAGACCGTCGAATGACTTCATGCGCCGGGCTTTCCAGCGGGATCCAAATAGGAAACGATGAGTGGGTCGTCCTAAGATGACATGGAAGTGATCGTTGGAGTAAGAGATGAGAGATTATGGGCAACCGTCAGCGCGGCTGAAGAAGACAGTACCAAATAGAACAAAATGGCGATGCATTGTCGAAGCCCTATAATTCACTTGAAACCCAAGGGAACAATAATAGTAAATAATAGTTCATTGATATTTGAGAAGATTCAATTTTTCATTTTCACCCTTATTAAGTTATTCTTATATCGTCTACTTATTACTGCATTGCTATTCACTGTCTGTTTCTGCGTTGCTTTCACATATGGTAACTTGAAAGAATGCAGTTCTATAGAAATTACTCACTGACTGACTAAGTGATCAACAGAAGCTAACACATTTGTTTATCGCTGAATTAAAAGTGGTCAGGATGTCCTGCCTAGGTAATGAAATTATCCTGACTTTTTGATCAGTTATGAATGCTTATAAATTATTTCCAATATAGAAAAGAATTAACACCACAAGCTGCATGGGAAAAAAGTTACTACATATTGATCTGTTGTTAATAACAGACAATAATTTCATCCAAAGTCTGATATGGTTATCGTCGTGAAGAATTTAGCTTGTTATAGTTAGCTGAATATAATCAAAGACAGAAACCAGATAACCATGAATGAAAGTTCATCCACCACAGCTATTTTCGAACATTCCAGAGGAGTGAATCCAAGTCAACATAGCATGAAATAGGCCAAATAGATACTTAAACTTTTGCGACCGACTGCGTCTTAATAGTTTCTACAATTTATCGAATAAGACATTGCAGCTCAGCTATACAAAATTAGCCCTTATAAAGTGAAATTTCTACAAAATTTCGTCTACATTGTCTTTCAATGAAACCTATTAATTAAATAAATGCAAATCTTCTACAGTTAGAGAAATAAAATTCTACTTTCTGCTGTAAATTCCAGGTATCCCACTTGAATTCATCAGACCACTAACTGATGTCACCATATCAAACGTCACCGATCAACCTGTCATTCTCGAATGTGAACTGTCTCGTACACCTCGCGATAAAGTCCAATGGCTGAAGGATGGAAAACCAATCGGTCGTCTTCCTGACAGAGCGACAATTGAGGAATTGGAGAATGGAAGAGTTCACCGTGTGAAGTTCACCTCAGTGACGGATGACGATTTGGGTGTGTACTGTATACGAGCTGAGAAATTGTCGAGTGAATGTCGACTAGATATGAAGGGTATGTCCACCTATACACATGCATATAATATATATTCTGCATAATTCACGTGGCTTTTGTGTGTGTGTTCATGTGTGTTATTTTGTAGCAGTAACGTGAAGTTTGTTTCAGTGATATTTGTTCAGGTGATTGTGTATGAGAGAGTAAACGTTAGTTCTCAGATAGTTCACTCTTTACAAACAGCTTTTACTATACACCGCCACACTCTTACACGAGTCAGTTAAATGAAACAAATTTTGAGTATGTGACAACTGTCGTTAAGCGTTCATCAGTCACCCCCATTACTCAGCACGTAACCCATTCCAGTGTACACTCCCACGTCACATGAGGACACGAAATGTTTACATTCATTCGAAACTAGTCAGACAACTCATTCTCCCTTCCTTCATAGGTGTAGAATGTGAACTAAATCAGCGCGATAATCTGTGTGATAATAATGCGCTGAAAATAATATTCATCACTGAAATGCTTATTTTTGTTGTCTCGTATATTTTACAGTTCCACCAACACTGAGATTGTCAGACTCATTCTCCGATCGTGTCATCATGAAAGCAGGATCAGCTGCTGTCTTCGAAATCCCATTCATCGCCAGTCCAAAACCAAAGGTCGAGTGGAAATGGAGACCGAGAACACGTCCTGACGCCGAGCTCGGTGCACCTCAGACTCCACGATTCAAGCCTGATGTGGTGTCTGGATTGACGTCACTTCCTGTGAGCAAGGTGAAGCGTGAGGATGCTGGTGAGTACAGTGTGGTGATCAGTAACGAGTTGGGTGAGGTGTCGGTGAGTATCGAGTTGATAGTGTTGGACAAGCCGTCAGTTCCACGTAATTTGGAGGTGAGTGAGAACACTGGTGAGAGTGTGTTGTTCAGTTGGAGTGAGCCAGAATTCGTGGGTGTGGCACCGGGTGTTGATGTGAGTCAGGAGTTGTTGTATGTGGTTGAGATGCGTGAGTCTAGTCAACGTGCTAGTCGTTCGGTGAGTGTGACGAGTGAGTTGAGTGTGAGGATTGATGGTCTTCAGTTGAACAAGTCGTATGTGTTTAGTGTGGCGGCGAAGAATGATGTTGGTCAATCGGAGTTTGCAGAGACGAAGCCAGTTTCAACGAAGTTGGAATATGGTGAGTATTGTAGATATTGAGAATATTGTTGGTACTGGTATTATCTTATTTAGATGCTTTGATTTTTTATGTTTTCTGGTAGAACTATTTGTGCGTATTTCAACATTTTTGTCGTGATTTGCCGTACCACATTTCGCTTTCATATATATTATTTCGCATTGTTTCTGAGATCACACTTTGTAAAAAGTGTTATGATCATTGCAACGGGATATGTTTTCGTTCATTGCAGGGTAATACTCGAATACATCTGTAGTAATTATAACAGTATCTAGTCTAATGGATGATTGAGTCTTATGATATGTAGTCAAATTTGCTTCTCTAAACTGTGGTGAATTTCTTCACATGGGTAATGGTTTAACGTCATCGGCTAAATTTCTGATTATCTTAACTGATTTGATTTCATTTTTTACCCGACGAATCTTTACTTATTAACATAAGAACTGAGAAGATATTTCAGATAGTTTCGTTTACTACTTTTAAGGCCGATTAGGTATACTCACACTGGTCTGAGGTCGTTTTAAATCAATCACATACTTCTGAAATTATGTACAGAAAATAATTAACTTCAACCTTTGTCTACCATGGGCTACTAAACCTGCTAATATATTAAAACAGTTAGTCCCTTTGATAAATTTGAATAAGGCATTAAGAAGATAAATTTCGCGAGATGATATCATTTCGTAGTTTCTTTACAACCGCTTTACAACTAACATGGTTAACAACAATAAAATAATAAAAAGTTCATGACAATTACTCAGTTGAATAAAAAGCAGAAGTATATACTAATGACCAGTCATATTTAAATATGTCATGTAGTCCATGGTAGGCGAAGATTAAAGTCTATTGTTTTTTGTACACACAGTTTAGGCTGTATGTGATTAATCCAAAGTGCTTTCATCACCTCCAATAGCCTTGAATTAGAGTTATGTGGAATAATTGTAAAACAGTCATTAATACTGATTTTATGACCAGACATCAATAAGTGTTTTGCAATGGATGATGCTGGATTTTCATTCAGATTAATCGCATTGTTATTTTCTATACGATTTAGTAGCCATTTTAGAACATGTTCTTTCGACGACATTAGAACATTCTGTTGGTTCTACCTACATAAGTGTCACCGCAGCTGCAGGTGAACTTGTAGATACAGTTTGAAGTAGAGTCCACAGAATTTCATCCTTTAATCGTAGGAACAGGGATCGAAAATGTTCGGCAAGTGAGAAAAAGAGATGCGGCATAGAATGTGCGTTTGATGGCTGACCGAAGTCTTTGATCTGTCAACTGCATAATCTGGTCACTCTTGAATGGCTGGTTAATAAAGATAGCTTTCTTTGGTACAGAAGCTGTCTTTTCGAGATGTGGTTTTTCTTTACTGTGACAAGTGATAAAGTTTTCCGGATAACCATTAGCTAATAAAACTCGAAACTCATCCATCAGTGTGTCACTTGTGCATACTAAAATATGACTGGTTATTAGTACGTACTTTTATTGTAAATGTAGAAATCATATTGTAATTGTACAAAACAATAGCCTTGGTAAAGCAGTGTTTACTTGGTAGTTGGTATCCGCATATAGCGATATTATGCACACCTTATCTCCAAATCGTCATTTGCACAGATCTTCCGTGTTGTGTCCTTCGTATTGTATTTCTCTGCTTTGTTTTCTTGAACCCCAAGATTTCAGCAAAGTTGAATCACTTTCTCTCTTTGACGCCAAATCTATGTCTCCGCTATTTGATGTTTTGTACTGATGAACGTCTCTTTATATATTACTGACAAATCTTATCAGTAGCACACGCCACATTATCATCTCACGAAATTTGTTTTCTGGATGCGTTATTCAAATTGCTTTAATTGTCTAGAAGCCAAAGGATCGAAATTTTATCATTGTAGCTTAAAATGTTCATGGGTTCTGATCGTAGATAAAATGTAGAAATATTAGATACACATGATCTTATCTATGAAAGTCGAGAAGCAATATGTAAGGTAGGAAAATTAGGTTAGAAAAAATAAAGATTGGAGTTGAAATTATTATCAGATAAGATTAACCTTGGTTGTTTGAAATTGGATTACTAGGATGGGTTCAAAGTAATTACAACTAATTTTGGAACACTTAAGACACGTCTAGGCTTTTTTCGACCAGGGCTTCAAGGGTTTTAAGTACATGACCCAATTTTTAAGATTAAATGAGTCAGGTGAGCTTATTTATTCTTGCAACCAATTAGGAATGTATCCTGTAGTCTGGAATTCCAGAGATTTATGGATCCTTCCTATGTTTGTGTGACCACACATAAATGTGAATTGCTAAACACACTGGGATGTGATATTACTGCCGTAATCCAAGGCCATCACAAAGAATCTCATCATTTATTAATTCATTTAATTCAATCTGGACTTTCCCGTTGATTGATTGAGTCGGCCTCAGGTTGACATGTCGGCTCCTTGTGAAGATGTTTCGACGATGTCTAATTATCCGACTTGAAGTGAATAATCGATGGATGGTAACTAGCAGGTTGAGCATTCCATCCTTTTCAGGATTTGTCAGGTGGATGTGCCTGTATTGCACAATGAGTCAGTGAGTGATGGTATTCCCACTGAGGGTCGAACCCAGAAAACATAGTTATATACTAGACCACTTGGTCGACGAGAGTCACTTCTTATGCAACGGGTATCAGTCATTATTTAATTCAGTCTCGACTTTCCTTTTGATTAATTCATTTCTCCTACTAGTCACCACTAGAAGCCTAATTTTGGGTTCTTCACTCTGATAACAGTAAGGCATCCATCCAAGGAGTCTATATTAAGTAGTTTAGTAAATGGAAGTTAGTAGTGAGCAAAAGAGGAACATACAGAACCGGAAATACCAGTACATCTAAATAATGATGAAGTATAGTTAGAAAAAAGGAGGATGATTAACTTGATATTATTATTATTGTTCCCTTGGGTTCCTAGTGAAACATAGGGCTTCAACTACACGTCTCCACTTGCTTGCTTCTGTCTTCTGCTGTACTTTTCACCTGCATCCATGTTAGTCGATACTGTGTCAACTCCTCTTCACACCATCTCCTCCATGTCATCCTTGCACTGACGTCCCACTCACCGCTTCCCTTTCGGGTTCCACTCCAGCAGTGGCCTGAAGCGCGCGCGCGATGTCACGCAGCGGCCTCCTCAGCGAGTGTCCAATCCATCTCCATTTTCTCCTGCATATATGTTGGTTGGCGATTGGTTCTTGTTTTGTTTGTTACCATAGTTTCTTGGTGGTGATTCTTTCCGGCCCGGCCATCTGATCTTCAGTATAGAGCCAGTGAAGACAGTTGTTGATAAAGGTCTGCAATAGCCTGTTGGAAATATTCTTTGTGACCCGCCCGCCAAGTTTTTGATCAGTACAAAAGAACTGACTTGACGTTTGTATTGAAAATCCGAATTTTGTTGTTGAATGACTTGACAAGTTACAATAAATTGAAGAACATCATCTTTGAAGACCTAATTCAATAAACATTTTCGTCTCTTGACACAGACATGTTTTATAACCCCTATTTTTCAAGACTTTCCAGTCGCAAACATTTTCCTAATTCGATGATGAAATTCCTCTTTTTGACGTTATTTCATCTTCTTCCATGAATTTTTCGAAGTCCATCCAACTTTTTTTTACATTGTCTCCGCGTCTTTTCCCCTCTTCATTCTTCTATGGCTTATTTGTCATTATGTATTTGTCTGTATGTCATATGTGATCAGTATTCAACCAGGGAATTCTTTCAAAATCCTTTAGATTCACTAGATCCTGCTTTGTTTGAATTTAATACTTACCTTAGATTCATGTAGGCCAAGAAATTTTGTCAGTGTATGAAAACAGTCCTGGAGCATGTAAACTTCACTAAATGATTGTATACATGAAGGTAAGTGAAGTATTGAAATGATTTTGAAGTGAAACTAGAGGTGGACAGAATAGGATTAGTGAACGACTAAGTTGATCAACCTTCATTCATCAAAGTTCTCAGTTACCCGACCTTATCAAATCATGATGGAATGTAACCTTAAGTTTGTTTGATGGGAAATGTTTTTCGGTGTACCACCCATATACATACCTTCAAGACAGCTGACTGAAATGTGATCACACATCCAAACAAGTCCACCTAGTTAATTTGTTACTAATAGGGAACTGCACCAGTGCACGAGAAGTATAACTCAGAAGCCAGAAAGCTTCATGAAGTTAGTGCACTGACTTTAGTAGATAGTTCTTGAGACCTCTGCTTGGAATGCAGTTCTAAGAGTATATATAGATTCATGCATTTTCTTATTTCCTTGTTTCTTCCCATTCCCTTGCATTTCGTGTGGAACAAACAACTTTCAAGCCTAAGATTTTAGATTTTAGTAGCACTAGTGTTGTTTTTTACGGAGTCAAGTTGAAAGCATCATGCCCAACCTTCCTCCCTCACCGCACTTGCTGCCGAGTTGGAGTGATTTAGGAGTGTACGTCGAAAGGAAATCTAACTCAGACCATGTGCTTAGTTGGTGAGCCTTTTACCGTTGAACCACTGACGCACTTTTTGCTTGTATTATGACAGAATATGGATTTATGAGTTTCTGAGTATTTATTCATTTCCGATGCATGTGCTGCACATTTGAGGGAAGAAATGTGACTTGATAAGACTAAACAAGATGAACAATGGGTACAAGTTTTAAAATGAAAAGCCGATTCCTCTGACAGAGGAAAACAATCTTCACGATAATGAAAGACTTAAGAATGCTTTTCCATTTCATTGAAGCATTTTTGAATAAATAAATTTGTAATGTTGCATATGTGCATTTAGTAACTTCCTAAAGAGGGGTTTAAGATCTTTGAGATAGATATTTCATTCACTGTTTCTTCTTATGTATTCATAAGAGTGTGCAAAGTAGATAATACTGAAGACATGTAATGCTTGGTAAACTTATTATAGCAAACATGATAATCGAAGGAATTTTAATATTACATTAAATTGGTTTTCATCAAAACTATTCTTTATGAAACATCTATGAAACGCTAGGTCCACCGTCTAGTCCAATCAATGTGAAAGCAGTCGTCAATCCACAGAAAGCATCAATCAAAGATCAAACTATCGAATTGACATGGGAACAACCAAGTGATCAGGTATCGGCTTCTGGACCTGTCACCAACTTCTACATCGAAATGAAGCCGACAGATTCAACGCGTTGGCAGGATGTGTCAGCCGACTTCACAATCACTGAACCACATTTCACACTTCCTACTGAAAAAATGCAAGAGTTTGTTAGTTATGAATTTCGTGTAACGGCGGAGAATAAAGCAGGGAAGAGTAAACCATCATCACCTTCGAATTCCATTGAGTTAGGTAAGTTCTATATATTTTTTCTTATTGCAAAATATTTTATTATATTTAATTACACAGTTTGAAAATTTTCATCTCATAGATCTATTTCCTTGATAAAGTTAGACAATCAAGTAAGGAAAGTCGTGTATACTGCAGGTTTCCTACGCAATCAACAGTATAATCTTCTAAGAATGATCTGAAACACTCAATTTACACTGACCAAGCTAACATACTGACCACTGAGATAATAGTAACGTATATTCTGGCAGTGTATTCAGATAAATTTTATTTTAGTTAAATATTCTTATACTTTATGATTTCATCGCAAACTGAACTGTTATTCAGTTATTATTAGTGCTGCGTAATTCATTATGCGAAATAAAGATGCATCGCTGTCACTTATCGGTTACAAAGTGGTGATTGCACTTTGAGATATATTTAAGGGCCAATCAGTTTCAACTGTTAAAACAGTTACACAGTCGCACTTTTTGAGGTGCAGATTCCGGTAAATTTCAGACTATTTCCGTGTGTGGTTTCCACACACATTAACTTAACCAACATATTCTACTTTCTCTTGCAAATTGCAGGTATCCCACTTGAATTCATCAGACCATTAACTGATGTCACCATATCAAACGTCACCGATCAACCTGTCATTCTCGAATGTGAACTGTCTCGTACACCTCGCGATAAAGTCCAATGGCTGAAGGATGGAAAACCAATCGGTCGACTTCCTGACAGAGCGACAATTGAGGAATTGGAGAATGGAAGAGTTCACCGTGTGAAGTTCACCTCAGTGACGGATGACGATTTGGGTGTGTACTGTATACGAGCTGAGAAATTGTCGAGTGAATGTCGACTAGATATGAAGGGTATGTCCACCTATACACATGCATATAATATATATTCTGCATAATTCACGTGGCTTTTGTGTGTGTGTTCATGTGTGTTATTTTGTAGCAGTAACGTGAAGTTTGTTTCAGTGATATTTGTTCAGGTGATTGTGTATGAGAGAGTAAACGTTAGTTCTCAGATAGTTCACTCTTTACAAACACCTTTCACTATACACCACCACACTCTTACACGAGTCAGTTAAATGAAACAAATTTTGAGTATGTGACAACTGTCGTTAAGCGTTCATCAGTCACCCCCATTACTCAGCACGTAACCCATTCCAGTGTACACTCCCACGTCACATGAGGACACGAAATGTTTACATTCATTCGAAACTAGTCAGACAACTCATTCTCCCTTCCTTCATAGGTGTAGAATGTGAACTAAATCAGCGCGATAATCTGTGTGATAATAATGCGCTGAAAATAATATTCATCACTGAAATGCTTATTTTTGTTGTCTCGTATATTTTACAGTTCCACCAACACTGAGATTGTCAGACTCATTCTCCGATCGTGTCATCATGAAAGCAGGATCAGCTGCTGTCTTCGAAATCCCATTCATCGCCAGTCCAAAACCAAAGGTCGAGTGGAAATGGAGACCGAGAACACGTCCTGACGCCGAGCTCGGTGCACCTCAGACTCCACGATTCAAGCCTGATGTGGTGTCTGGATTGACGTCACTTCCTGTGAGCAAGGTGAAGCGTGAGGATGCTGGTGAGTACAGTGTGGTGATCAGTAACGAGTTGGGTGAGGTGTCGGTGAGTATCGAGTTGATAGTGTTGGACAAGCCGTCAGTTCCGCGTAATTTGGAGGTGAGTGAGAACACTGGTGAGAGTGTGTTGTTCAGTTGGAGTGAGCCAGAATTCGTGGGTGTGGCACCGGGTGTTGATGTGAGTCAGGAGTTGTTGTATGTGGTTGAGATGCGTGAGTCTAGTCAACGTGCTAGTCGTTCGGTGAGTGTGACGAGTGAGTTGAGTGTGAGGATTGATGGTCTTCAGTTGAACAAGTCGTATGTGTTTAGTGTGGCGGCGAAGAATGATGTTGGTCAATCGGAGTTTGCAGAGACGAAGCCAGTTTCAACGAAGTTGGAATATGGTGAGTATTGTTTTTTTCTGTGTACTGTTCTTATCACTATTTTCTGATATAGGTGCTTTTTTGTTATGTCTTCTTGCGTAACTCTTGGTTCATATAGGACGATATACTTTTTATTATCATTCCATTATTCTACAGTTTGTCTGTATTTTTCTAGTCATATCCCTCGTCAGTTTTTTTTCAGTGGTTTCAATAAGTCACTTTTTTCACTTTCGACTTTTCTGGTGTATGTAATTCAAATCCTGTATCTGCCTTTCTGGGCTTTGTTTTCTTAGCGACTGCTCTAATGTATGAGTTTGACTATTGCGATATTTTGCGCTGCACTTTGCCAACATCCTGCTATCGCGTATGAGTTTAAATTCCATTCTCATTGTGTTGTATTGAATCAAGCTGTAATCGAAATAAGTTATTTTTTCAGGACACGCAGCTTAATAGTTAGTCATTTGTAGCTCACTTTGCCGTCCTAAAATTTCTACTTCATGATAGCAATTTAATACCTCATTTTATTTAAAGAATTCGTGTAGTTTACTAGAACACGATGTGGTGAATTGAATCTACGTGGAATCTGTGGTACGTGGGAAGCAGTTTTGCTGTTTCAGGATTTCATCATAAGCTGACATCGGCTAGAGAAACATTGAAAAACAAAGGAGTAATGGGCAGCTGTCCCGTCGGTCTAATTCTGGACTCTTCATCAGTACTCACCCAGCTGGGCTGGAACCGCAGTCCTCTGGGTTATCGGTGAGCTCTTAGGCCATTAAGTCACTGATACCCAAATCAATGGCCCATGAATTTCAACTTCCGCAAATTCACAATATAGTGTGATCGCTAGACAATGTCATCTGAGAGTATTTGTACTCACACCCAACTTGCTGGACCCCCCTGGTCACGACTTCTCTCAGGAACCCAGGTGACTACTTACCTGAATAGGACCAGTCGCTAGAGTGTATCAGTGTGATATTCAAGTGTTGGTTTGCAGGGACTGGCTGGTAACCAGGAAGCCCTGCGTACTCATGAAGAGTCCTAGGCTAGGACGAAGAAGCTGTCCAGTACTCCAAGGTTTTCCAATGGCTCTCTAACAGATGTTATCTCATGATGAAATCCTAAAACTAATCAAATCCCTGCAGACCAACACTTGAATAACTATACTGTTCATTTTACGTTTCATAGAGTGAAATAGTGTTATAATTCTGTCATGTAGTATATTGAACTAGCCAAATAACCTGAAAATACATGTTGCTTTAGTTTCGAAATTGTCGACTTCTTCGCATATATGCCTTCATCTTGTAGTTCTATATATCACACCAGTGATGACTCATATTCAGTAGAATACTTAAGTTATAGTAAAACTGAATCGAGAAAAAACTTCCAGCTGCTTGGTTTATTCACTAATGAAGCTTTGTGTTCCCTTCACTCCCACAGAGGTCTACTTGAATTATGAGTATCTGTTTCCCAGACTTTCATCAATTCTTATTAGGAGTCAAGTTCTATTGAATCAGAATGAAGGAACAATTAGTTGATGTCAGTCTATTTAAACCAGATAAAATTTGGATATGCTTCAGCAGGATTTTGCCCATAAGCACAAACTAGTAAATTGGAAAATAGGTGTAATAAAAACTGGACATGCCATGTGAAATTAGTCCTATAAGTCAATTGTGGCTATCTCGGTGACAGATTTTCGGGAATGCTAATAATAAGTCTCAGCCAACAGAATCCATGAAGCCAGATGTAGTGACGTTTACTCACCGACTATTTTGAATGGTGATGGTGCTGCATAGGGAATCGTGAAAGTTGCAGACTGCCTAAGTGAATGATGCCATTCCAACCGGCCCATTATACATGTTACAGTTGGTTTGTTCTTTTGTGGTGTCTTGGATTATGTCTGTTAAGTAGCGTTGATTGTTTTCCAACACTTCTTTCTGATGAAATCTATCATGATATGCCTTTTTGATGCAAAATTTATAACAACTTGTATTTCTGCTGACGCGCATTACTTATATTGTCATCAGATGACTCATGTTTCAGAATTCCTCAGACTGATTGTTTACGAACTCAAAGACCACTCTGTTAATACAACCACAGTACTTTTACACACAACAGTTTATAACTGACCATTAGGACACTGTGATGACACACAAGGGACTGATGAGACTGAGAAGGAGGGATTTATTCCTTCAGCGAAAATGAATGATCAGAAAATATAATTTTAGTTATTCAGGTAATCATTTTAAATAACCAGGAAGTGACAAGTTTAATGTACGAAGACTGCGTTCTAACAAGTTAACACAGTATCCTATAGCAATTTATTGACCCAACCTTTTATCTACATTTAGGCTGAATGTTTAATTTACTGTTTTTGTATAGAAGAACACTAGCTAGTAATATGTCTCCTCTTCCTGCTGACACTTTAAGAGCACATCAGTCGATATTTCATGTGAATGGATGCCAGATAGTGAGTGCACTGTAATCCATTCTTAAATATCTTAGTTCCGAGAAGTTATTACAGTGGCACTATTGAATTGATTTATATAAGTTAACACTTCAGAAACACTATAAAACATGATTTATTGAATAAAGTATAATTATATTTTAATAGTTTACACACAATGATAAGTTTTGTTATTGGTAATATTTCGAGCAAAACTACTGCCCGTGTTCACACCACTGTTGGAATTGTTTTATTCCTGGGCCACTGATTTCCGAATAAATTGAATATCCGAATAAAACAATTCCAACAGTGGTGTGAACACGGGCAGTAATTTTGCTCGAAATATTATCAATAACAAAACTTATCATTGTGTGTAAACTATTAAAATATAATTATACTTTATTTGATCTAATCCACAATGCTCAAACTTTTTACTGATAATGATTTATTGATATAAGAATAAAACTTGTGCACTGTGATAGAGTATAATTCCATTATGGGTAAGTTTTTGTTTTGATAAAGTCTCACAGTGTTATACAGTAATGTTTACTGATGACGTTTCGAGCACAATTTATTGCTCATAATCATATCAAGGTATGAGCAATAAATTGTGCTCGAAACGTCATCAGTAAACATTACTGTATAAAACTGTGAGACTTTATCAAAACAAAAACTTACCCATAATGGAAAACATGATTTACTTTATGAATGACATTCTACTTGCACATGCTAATAGGTAAATTCATCAAGAAAGGAGGTATCCATTCTATAGTTGCATATCGGCACTTTTCTTTATACTTTGGTGCTTTATCCCAAAAGAACTCCGCGCTTATCTCACAAAATACCTATTTCTCTTGTAAATATTTTAACATATTTTACAAAATTCATACCAACCTTTTCCCAATGGTATTCCTCATCACAAGTCTACACCACTCAGTATAGTAGTGGGACGAGTCGATGAATTCTTGATTTGATAATGACCAGTGCAGTGAGGAAGTTCACTGTTATTCTAATGTAATCATCATGATAGGTGGTCAAATTCTGTAGTGTATTGTAGTCATAGTCTAAAAACTTTGAAGCGAAGCGTCCCAAAGCTATGAACCTAGGTGTGTCTGCTGCTCACAGAAATCGTTGATACTTCTACAAGACATGCAATAACCATAGCTGGATTCTAAGATTATATACCAGTTGTAGTATTTTCATAATTGCATCGGTTATTTACTTAGCCTTAGGTAGGGAAAAGATAGGACAAGATTTACAAATCATATAATATCAATATGTTGAAACATCGCGTATCTATTCGCTTATTCTATGTACTCTGAATACTCAAGACAATAATATTCATTGCCGTCTTCATCAGCACCATATTAACACACATTCATTCGTCTACAGGACTTACCGTCTTCATTTTCTTCACATCGTTTTGTCTTCCTTCCTATCTTTCAAGGTGTAAAGGAAAGATCGTCTGCAAAATACAGTAAATAATACTGTTTCACTGTGTGATACATCTAATGGAAACCTTACACAGAATTCTTAACAAGGCAGGAATAAAAGTGGCATTCAAACCCACAAACTCAATTACAAACAAGCTTTCTCAGTTGAACGATAGTGTGGAGCCTTTAGAACAAAACATTTTAGTTTATCTAATACCCTACAATGACTGTTAGGTCAAACTAGTAGAACAGGGGCAGTCAGACTAGCTGAACATAAAAACCTAGCAAAATCTAGATGCGCCGACCATGCGCATGGTCCGGGGTTCGATCCCCGGTCGACGCACTCCATTACCTCACTAAGCCAGAAGTAATGCTGGTAAAGAGGAAAGGTTGGGCATGAGGCTAGCACCCCCATCATGTAGAAATTAAACACTGCTACAGAAACTTCAAGTCACTAGCTTGAGGCCCTATGTTCCACTGGGAATGTGAAGGATAAAAGCAATCTAGATTGGGTTTTTTATTACAGCTTGATTCCACACAGTAATTTTGGTATAAGTATGGAATTTTCAGCATTTGATATCGGTAGCTCAAATTTTGCAGGCCGACCATAGATATCAGGTGTGCGTTGGTAGGGGACCTCGGACCATGTGTATGGTCGGAGAGGGTCCTAACCACTGTACCACCGACCCAAATGAGATAAAAAATCTAGATAGTAGTTCAGCTATAGCACTACATGCAGTTACACACAACCATACAATTGGATGGATGTAATAAGATGACAGTTTTGAAATCTAATGTCACAGGGTGGGTGGGTGGAGGGAGAGATCGATAACATAAGCTTTGTTTGTCGAACCAACTGCAAATACATGTAATAGGAATGATTCAACACCTGTTCCAGATATCTGGAAAATTCTACTACCATTACGACATATAGGAGGAGATAAAGAAAACTATAAAACTGAAGTTTCAAAGTCGTGTGATTATAATTCATGGTATGATTATGAACAATAAATTTTGTTTGAAACCTCGTCATCCAGTAAATAATACTGTTTCACTGTGTGATACATCCAATAAACAAACTACCACACTACCACAGTGTCCAAGTTTTACACATATATGCAAAATACAGCATTCTCACAGTTAGCTGAACTGAAATTCGCTTTCTCAGTACTGTTCATATGTGCTGTACAACCACGCCCATTTACCTTCAGTAACTTAGATTAGAGCTGTTTCAGATTAAGAGGCTTTTTGACAGTTTCAGTATGTAACGAACAAATGGAACGTTAAGAATAATAAATGCATACTGCATATTTCCAGTGTTTCGTCGTCTTTGTTATGAAGTACATTTCAGTGGATTGATATTCACATAGAGATTTCAACTTTCTAAATCGCATGAATTATACCAAGTTATTGTATTGGTTCACTAATTAAGATGAATATTAGGTGCAGAGGTATTGTAACTCTCTGTTCTAGAACATATAACTAATGAAATGTAAACGTAATTAACGCCTCGTCATATCTTTTTCTTCATCCTTGCACAGGTCCACCGCCTAGTCCAGTCAATGTGAAAGCAGTCGTCAATCCACAGAAAGCATCAATCAAAGATCAAACTATCGAATTGACATGGGAACAGCCGAGTGATAAGATTTCTGCTGCCGGACCAATCACTAATTTCTACATTGAATTAAAACCAACAGATTCAACTCAATGGCAAAGTGTTTCAGCCGATTTCACAATCACCGAACCAAATTTCACACTACCTACCGATAAAATGCAAGAGTTTGTTAGTTATGAATTTCGTGTAACGGCGGAGAATAAGGCTGGGAAAAGCAAGCCATCTTCACCATCGAACACTGTTCAGCTAGGTAATAATTTGTCTTTATTGACTTTTGCTAAAAGATACACCTCAGTACTTCGTTAGGATAAAAGTCTAATTACTATCAGCGTATAGTGTTCTTCCAGTATCCTATAATTTGATTTTTTTAAATTATGGAGGATTTTAAGTAGACTGAACAGTTAGTTTTATCTCAGAAAATATCTCAGAAAATGAAGTCAATGAGATCCTCATTCCTAACGTGGAGATAAACATAATTAGATACCTTGGCAATAATCATGGTTTGCTGAGACACGCAAATATGTTCTTCTAGCTGGATGATATAACTGTCTTTCCAGTATATGTTAAAATCTACGCTGAAGATGTCTAGAAAGACAACAGAGCCAAATTAAAAAAATACTTGGAATTTGGTTATTTTTTTAGAGATTTTTAAGGCTTCTGGTGAGTATGTGAAGAAATGGAATGTTGGCTCTCCTTTAGGAGTAAGGAAGATCCCTAAGCTTCCCTTAATTTTTACTTATAGATTTCGTTGTTGTTAACCAACCTATGTGGATTGATTGTTAGGGCCGTTAAGGCGAAACCTTGAAGAAATTTAGAAAAAACGCGCCTTATCAAACTAATATGAAATACTATAGGAGGTTTTATAAATCAGCTATGAAAACCATCCACCTTCATTTTTATCATTTCCCATTGATATATCTGAACAGAACACAATGACCTCTGTATTCTTACAATATCTAACTTTAATTAAGTCGTGTGATGTTGACTAACCTTGAATCATTAACTGGGTGTACCTGATATCTACTAATATTTATTCATGAATTCATACCACACCTTTTTTCTCTGCGATTGTAGGTATCCCACTTGAATTTATTCGACCACTAACTGATGTTACTGTCAGTGAAGTTCCTCAAGAACCCGTAATGCTAGAATGTGAATTGTCTCGTTCCCCTCGTGACAAAGTACAGTGGTTAAAGGATGTAAAACCGTTAAATCTTCTATCCAAGCGGATCTCAGTAGAAGAATCGGACGATGGTAGAATTCATAGAATCAAGTTCCCAACATTAACTGATGACGATTTGGGTGTCTATACAATTAAAGTTGAGAAATTATCTAGCGAAGCAAAGTTAACTATGAAAGGTATGCCCCTTATATTCATAAATATTTAGGTACATTAATATAGCGGATAGTTAAATGATTTATTCACATTATTAAGTAAAGTAAATGCGTTATTTAAACCTCTCTCTTGTTTTCCTTGAAACATTTACAGTGCCACCAACATTGAGATTGTCAGACTCATTCTCCGATCGTGTCATCATGAAAGCAGGATCAGCTGCTGTCTTCGAAATCCCATTCATCGCCAGTCCAAAACCAAAGGTCGAGTGGAAATGGAGACCGAGAACACGTCCTGACGCCGAGCTCGGTGCACCTCAGACTCCACGATTCAAGCCTGATGTGGTGTCTGGATTGACGTCACTTCCTGTGAGCAAGGTGAAGCGTGAGGATGCTGGTGAGTACAGTGTGGTGATCAGTAACGAGTTGGGTGAGGTGTCGGTGAGTATCGAGTTGATAGTGTTGGACAAGCCGTCAGTTCCGCGTAATTTGGAGGTGAGTGAGAACACTGGTGAGAGTGTGTTGTTCAGTTGGAGTGAGCCAGAATTCGTGGGTGTGGCACCGGGTGTTGATGTGAGTCAGGAGTTGTTGTATGTGGTTGAGATGCGTGAGTCTAGTCAACGTGCTAGTCGTTCGGTGAGTGTGACGAGTGAGTTGAGTGTGAGGATTGATGGTCTTCAGTTGAACAAGTCGTATGTGTTTAGTGTGGCGGCGAAGAATGATGTTGGTCAATCGGAGTTTGCAGAGACGAAGTCAGTTTCCACTAGCTTGAAATTCGGTAAGTTAAAATTGCTTTTTCCACCTAATCTTTATTGATTTATATTTGAGTTTTTCCACTTCTTTGCCAAATTATCTTGCCTATGTCGGTGTCTCACTTTGAATTTTTTCCTCTCAATTTGTTTTAAAATTATTGATAATATGGTTCAAAATTAGTGCTGCTATTTTTCACTTCATCTTGTTGTTGGTAATTAAGTTCATCACACATCGAATCGATCTCTGGAAACCTGCACAGTTTGCGTTGAAAATTCACCAGTCTTCACTTGGGTAACAGTCTTATTGTGGTATACATAGCAATACACCGACTCTTTTCAGAAAGGGGAATCATAGTTGGGTTAGGAGTAATTTTAGAACTACTATCACTATAACTAATGATGCTAATAATAGCAATAAGATCCAAAGTGGTAATGATATTAAATCATTGACGGGAGAATTATTATCATAATAACATAAAGGAAATTGTTCTGCTGATTTCTTACATTCGTCTTTTCTATCGATCTGTCTGTACATAGTCTTGAAAAAAAAAGAAGTGTAATACTGCAATGAGTCCTGACCAAAATTAAAACGAATAGTCTTTTTGTTGACTTATATACACGCTTCTCATAATAACTGGGCAGGGAAGATCTTTGAGATACGTTTGGAGAGTTTCTGTCTTGCATTTCTTACACACAGACAATCCCTCCCTTTATTTCTGTATTCAACTATACCTTTACAAGCCTTTCTGAAGACTCATCAGCTGTATACTGATTCAAATCTGAGTTAATATTTCTAACCATCATCGCTCAATTTACTAACTGATAAATATCACCAATGAAGGTTGGCCTTGTGGGGATTTGAGTCATTCCCCCAATGAACCAACGTTAACTTTTCAGATTTACAGCTGGATTCCACACTGTATTTTTGGTACAATTATGGAATTTTCAGCATGGGAAACTCTGTACAGCTTCCAAGGCATAGCTTTCAATTCTTCAGTAATGTTCAACAGTAACACTATCAGAAGTTAAGAAGTCGGAATACACTGATATGCTTATTAGTGATAAATTGTGTTTGAAACATCATCAACGCATAGACGTCATACCGTTATCCATTTTTTAACGAGTGAACTTTTCTCATATGGAACTAAAATGTACCTTTGTTCCTACTGATACCATTGGCTTATTCATTGTTCATATTCTGTTGTTTTCCAAGTGAGACATAAGGATTCAAAAGCACACCTCCATTTCACTCAGTTCTCTGCGGTTATTTTAAGCCCGCTCCAGCATCGGCAATAAGGTTTCACCCCCCTCCTTATGTAACCTCCTCCATGTCACTCTCGGAAGCCCAAGTCACCATTTCTCATTCGGGTTTCACTCGACAGCCTGGCGTGTGATTTCACTCAATGATTTCCTCGGCTTATGTCCAGTCTATCTCCATTCCGTTATACGTATTAGTTGGGCGATAGATTCTTGGTTGGTTCGTCCCCCAAGTTCCTTGTTACTCATCTTTTCTGGTCATCTGACCTTCAGTATGTAGGGGAGATAGTCGCTGATAAGAGTTTTCAGCCTAATGGAAGTGTTTTCCGTAAAGCATCAAGTCTCTGAACCACACAGTAGCACTGAACTGACTATGTGCATTTAATTAAGCTTTCTGTCGTAAATATTACTCGTCCACAAAACAAAATTTTCGTAGTGTAATATTTTTGACCTTAATAGGCATATGTGTGTTGGTGGTTTAAGGGAAAAGTGGTCGCCAACCACACACTCGGTTCGGCTTCGATCCCCGGGGCGACGCACTAGTAAACTTCACTAAGCCTGCAGTAAGCCTGTTGAAGAGGAAAGGTTAGGCTTGACGCTATCTATCCCACCCTTTAAGAAAACACACAGTTGCTAATAAAACTTCAAAGATTAAATTATCAATAAATAATGCTCTACATGGGCATTCACACTTTTAATGCTTCATTCTTCAGGTCCTCCAAGTCCTCCGCTTAATGTTGTTGCCTCTGTAAATCCACCACGAGCTGAACCTGAAGATCAGATGATCACAGTGAGTTGGTCGGAACCTGAAACGACAAAATCCGATACACCTGGATCAACTCCATCGCATTATATTGTAGAGTATCGTGTGGATGAAGGACGTAGTTGGAATCAGTTAGTTTGTGGAAAAGAAGTTGTTGGATTGCAGTTGGAATTTTCACCGATTAAAGAAAGCATGAGTGCTGGAAAGTCTTATACCTTCAGAGTCACTGCTGTTAACAAAGCTGGTGCAGGTGAACCATCAAAACCATCGAATTCTATTGAACTGGGTATGTCAAATTTACTTTTCATGGTTATACAAATTTTAACTAGAAGTCCACTGTTCTCATATCATTCGCTTGAATACTTATTTACTCTCTAATTTGGTTTTTAGGAATGAAATCTTTATCATGAGTATTGAAGGACTATACGTGCCTGTCCAAGAGTGCTTTCATGATCACTACATAAAACAGACTGTCTTATTTGCTCTTCTTTCGAAGATGTTGTTCTATATAATTCGATGTATATTTTGTCAGTCATCCATTTTCATCTGATGCGTCGTGGTCAGCAGTGAAATTCACGACATATGTTCAATCCTATGTGTAGTTAGCCAGCTGGATGCGTCTACACCTCAGTATTTGTGACGGTTTCCATACACATTGAGATACACCTCTTGGATTTTACTGCTAACCACCATTAGTCAAATAACATCAGTCCCCAACGCTGCACAAACGATTGCATCACGTCTCAAACGTATACCATTTTATGAGTATACATAAACACCTATGTAGAGAGGGGTTATCTTGCTTTCCATGTTAGGTGAAGGAACATGAACGTTAGTGAAAATGGAGTTTAGTTGCATAAGTTAGGGAATAATAGGAGTAATAATGACAATAATTGTTATGTACTCGCCGCTAAATTATTGTTATGGACTGGTCGATAAACTAATAGTCCTGACGCAAGAAGGCGGAAATCAGAAGACCACTAGGTTTGCGATGATACTTCTATTTTCCAAACACAAGGAGAATGCAAAAGTGGTATCACACCAAAAGTAAGTGTAAGTAAGTCACACAAATTGTGAGAACGAAATATATATATGACCATCCAGACAAGTGTGTGAACAATCAATAGATAGTCTTAACATGAATGGCTAATTATAATGAAGTATCGATCCATATATACATAGCGAAATATAGCAGACATGTCAACAACCACCATATATGGATATATGTCACCAAGCAACGGACTGTCAACAAACACTCATATTATATATAATATAAGGAGAATATACGTTGTTAAAGGAGACAAGTTCATACAAGTGAAATGGTCACAAACTAAGCGAGCAAACAGAAAGAGAGACCAACATACACACACACATAAATATATATATATGTGTGGATACATATCAATAATGAATAGAAGTTATCATATAAGGACTTCCAAAATTCATAACTTTCACTAGGACTCATCAACTCTTTCCTCTATATATACACGGCTTAATATACTATCATGAAGTGGAGGAATGAATGAATGATTGTACGTAGACACATATATTAATGCCACAATGATTCCTGTCTTGTTAAGAATCCCGCTCAACATTTTAGAAACTGTTTCTTTGTGTGCTGACAACGTCATTCTCATTTTGCAGAGGCATAGGGCTAAACATCTCCTGTACATAATTATGTCTGACACCATGGGATATCGGTGGTACCACTAAAATTCCCTCAGTTTATCTGAATATATTTCCCAGGCGTGGTTGCACTCTCACTTTGCTTCCACAGATTTACATGCTTAACTATTAAGAGGAAATAACCAAATGGCCACAAATTTGTAGCCCCCTGCTTGTTGTATACTTGAATTCTCATCTTTGGTGCTGAGGATTTAAATTACTAAACTACTGTTTGTTTGAAGCCTTGCATACCGTTCTCTATTTCCTTGTAACCATTCTGTATACCCGGTTACATCCTACTATTTATACTGAATCCAGACATCATGAAACAATACCCAGTATATAAGCACATCTTGTTCAGTATGACGTTCCTTTGTTTTACTTATGTTGTATCTAAGCGACGTAATGTTTTGTTTATTTTTTAGGAGTAATCCTTGAGTTTATACGTCCATTGGAAGATTTGATCATCACTAATGTTGAACCTATCGAATATAAATTAGAGTGTGAGTTATCACGTAAACCAAGGACAATGGTAGCATGGACAAAAGATAACAAACCACTAGTTGTACGACCAGATGATGATCACATGAAATTGTCAGATCAAGGGACAGTCCAGTCAGTTATCTTTTCACGTCTGATTGATACAGATGTTGGCGTATATGCAATCCAAGTGGAGAATATCTCATCTAAGTGTAAATTGGAAGTCAAAGGTAAGTTGGTTGTTTCTATTATAGTTCAGCTCTTCAGCGTTTATCTTTAAATCTGAGCGTTATGGACATAGATAGATTAGATCGTTTCAAGAATCAACGTGTTAATTTGTTTTTAATATCTGAATTGAGTGAAAAGAAAGATTTTACAACTTCATTATGCTCAGAAGCTGATAGAATGAGTAGGCGGGTGATCATGTAGAATTTACCTTAACAGTTGATGACAAATGCAAATGAGGATACATGTGAATTCGGTTAATCCTTAAATAATTCTTCAGTCATTTGTCACTCATGAGTTGTCGTCCATCATTATAAACCATCGGTTTTACTAACAGTTCATGCTATACACTGTCACAATACAATCACCAACTACGTTTCCATTATTTTCTAATAACCCTTATCTCCGGATTAATCCTGTTGGCAGATATTGAAAGCGTGACTTGAAGAACCCATGAATGGCTCTTATCTTTTGTTTCATAAAAGACACCTCCTATTTGGAATGTCTTTTAATGCATGTTTCTTTAATTATCGGAAATGAACAATGCCATCAAATTAGAACGGACAGCTAGTTCGCCTAATGCAGAGATAGGAAACATGTCCATAAAAATGTCATTTTTCGTGTATGTACAGATTGTGCGTAAAAAGAATCCCAAATCAAACAGTTGATTGTGTTTTCTTAAAATTTTCTTTGCATCCCTATAGCTCCACCAATCATTCCAATATCTGATAAATTCGAGGATCGTATCACTCTAAAAGCTGGTAGTTCAAAAATCCTAGAAGTTCCATTTGTATCTTCACCAAAGCCTAAAGTTAAATGGACCTGGGCACCAAGCACTGATATTACGCAAGAACAAGTACCTAGATTCAAACCAGATGTAGTTGCTGGTTTAACCACATTACCTTTAAGTCGTGTTAAACGTGAAGACAGTGGAGCGTATAAAGTGACAATATCAAATGATCTCGGTGAAATTTCTATGACAACTTATGTCACTGTCATTGACAAACCATCTCCACCAAGAAATCTTACCATTACGGATGCAACAGAAAATTCAGTCATGTTCAATTGGGATGCACCACTCGGTGTGAGTGAAAACGAATGTCTAGAGTATGTTGTTCAATACAGAGATGCATCTAAACGTTCAAGTCAACCTGTCAGTGTTTGTGTTACAAAAGAACTGAAAACAAAGATAGACGGCCTTCAACTTGGATCTCAGTATATATTTTCAGTATGTGCAAGAAATGAAGTTGGCGATTCTGCATTTGCTGAAACTCAACCTTTCTTGATTAAATATTCATTCGGTAAGCTGATATATATATATATATATATATATATATATATACATCCACGCGGTTTATTTGTAGTAGTGACAACGTTTTTGGTTATTAAATAAAACTCAATTTTATTTTATCATACTCTCTTTTATTCATACAGATACTCCTGAACCACCAGGTAAACCTCAGGTTACAATTTTGGAAAGTGGTAAGGTTGCTCTGGAGTGGACGCCTCCTTTCTCAGATGGCGGTTCTCCGATAACAGAATATCTCATAGAGAGTATGAGCGAACGATCACTTGGAAAAGGTCAGCGTCGTTCATCAGTCTTCGGCGCGCGAGGACAATGGAATTCATTGACTTCAGGTGTTGTATTTGAACCTGATATTCAGCCTAAAGCTACAATAACTGGTTTATCTTCAGAAATGCAGTACACATTCCGTGTTTGCGCTGTAAATAAAGCCGGTAAAGGTGCATTTGGTCCACCTTCAGATTCTTGCTTACCGATGGTAAAACGTAAGTTACTTCATAGGTATTATAATTGTTTTCTTCCTCTATCACATCCTTAACACAAAATGCGTTACACACACGTAGTAGAGCAGAGAAACAGTCATGAATACGTATTAAGTTGTGAGTAATTTTAATGAGACCTTTTGAAACTGCCGGTGGTTCAGCAGTGGAATGCTCGTCAACTACTCACGTGGCTAAGATTCTGGTCGACGTACTCCTAAACGTCACACCCCCGATATTAAGCCTGGTAAAGAGGAAAGCAGTAAAAAATTAAAATAACGTGTGTCGAAAATCAGTGAAGGTCTAGACTTATGTCTGTTGATCAGCCAACAGATATATAATAAGAATCATATCACTTCTTTTCTAAAACTACTTATATACAAGTTGGTATAAGTTGGTGATCAGGAGGGTTTCATGTGCTTTTGGAAGTGTGTGGGCGGTTGTTACTTCTCGGCTGCCCACACTGTGGAAGTTGATTGATTCTTCGGGTATCTGAAACAGAAAGATGGTTAGTATTGTATGACAGCAGAGCCCAGGGGACAACTGCTTGAGGCTGGTCACACACGGCATGTATGAACTGGTTTCTTGGACTGGTTCCGTATTAGTAAACTTACCGCCGGTTACAGACCACCGTAGGATAAGTCGGGATGTACAATTTTTGAGGTCAACCTTTTGTAACCCCCTCTCTCCAGAGTGGGGAGACAGCATAGCTGACATGCTGGTCATCTGAGGGAAACACCTTACTGCTGTTACATCCCTGTTCCACAAGAGTATGACTTTGCCAACAGACCCCCCAGCATAGTGTTAAAAAATCTTACATTATGCTGGTCATTGGTTTTAGTCTAATCGCTATCTTAAAAATCTTCCTGGCATGATAAAAACCTGCAGGAACATTGGTTCCAACCAGCGTAGCCTGTTGGGTTATTGCGATATGCAAGGTAGCAGTTATCGGTCGGGCTGGTGATTTGATGGTTTTTCTTGATGTGTGAACTATCCACTTTCACGTAAATAGTTTACACATCAAGAAGAACAATCAAATCAATTAAATTGGGATTTCAGTCAGATAAAAATGTTCAGAATTGTACACGGAAATATTTTTTCTTACAAAACTTCTGTTTCCTTCTCTTGATCTCTATCATAGATGAAGTGATATGATGGACAGCTTACTCTGAGCTACTTCACAAAATTTCTTAGTTTGGCTACGAGTTCATAGCATCCTCTAAGTAAACCAGATTTATGGCTTTCAGTCAACGCGAAATGATCCCACCATAACTGGAAGGCAATTTCGAAGGTTCGGCACCTGTCAACCGAAAGCACACACACGGAATAAATATCAATTGAAGAGAAAATCGTCAGAACGAAAGTGTTCCAAAACAATCAGCTTAGAAAATAACATAAACCTGGGTGAATTCGATAGGCTATATATACACATATTATGGAAAACATTGCAAAAACATTGCATCGGCTTCTTGTGCACTAATCAATAGACGGGAAAATCTAAAATTAAATCAATATGACCCGTTGCAAAAGAGCTGGCTCTTGCTGCCCAAGGGGTCTAGTTGATAACGCTAAGGCGTCTGAAACTGCGGGCACTGGGTTCGAGCCTTGGTGGGAACTTCATCACTCACAGGGGAATGCAGATAAATCCAGATGGCGAGTCCCGAATAGGACGAAATACGCATCCTGGATTCCACTGCTAGTCACCATCCACCACTTAAAAGTAACCATTCTTCTTGTTTCCTAGTAACCTCAGTTGTTCCACCAAAACAGTTGCTATGTTCACTTTCATTCTAAATGGTTGTCTACTCTAAATTCTCAGTTGCTTTAATACGATGGAAGAGAAATATAGAGTTCTTCAAACTGCCTATTTATGACACGTAAACACAATGGTGGATAGGAACCGGATACATTTATCCAATAATGTGTTGTGTTTTGCTCATTGTCTACTCAACCGGTCTTTTTTTCATATTGTGTAGAGAGGTCGCTTAAGGACAGTATAATACCATTTAAGAGTATGTATTTTTACAAAGTTGAGGAAAGCTCAGCTGATCATAATCAGGTTCCACTTGGCGTCACCCGAATGGTCTCATCAGTGTATATCCAACCCACCTATATTCCCTCCAGCAAATTGGTTGTGCGATTTGTTCTCAGTCGGTTTGTTCCCAGATTTCCTTGTTACTTTCTCCTCTTGATCTTCAGTATGGAGTGAAGGCAGGTGTTTAAAATGCTTTTCATGACGAGGCAGTCATCACTAAATCACCTGTGGTTTTGATATAATCAAACTTTTAACGTCATATATTATAGTCTGGAACACTTTCATGACTCTAAACACCGTTTGTCTGTGTTTCTTTTACTTCCCTACCAATTTAGCTCCTAGAGTTCCAGGAAAACCTGGTCCAATAACATTGAAACCGTTGAATGAGACAAGCGTCAATTTAGTTTGGACACCTGGTCCAGTAAATGATGATTTTGGTCCAGCTGATTATTACCTCGTTGAAGCTTGTGAAGCCGACGGAGATGAATGGAAAGAAGTCGGGAGAACAAATAAACCAAATGTTTGTGATTTAGATGTACAAAATCTTGACAGTTCTACACGTTATCAATTTCGTGTTCGAGGAGTAAACAAAGAGGGTATCGGTGAACCATCTAAAATATCCGAGAAGATTTGTTTGAAGAAAGGTAATTCATTTGTAATTCATGTTTAGGTGTCAGTCAACTGGCCATGAGTACTCTGCCTAACATTGTTAGCATTCAATGAGGTGACTGCTTCGTAATAATTGTATTCTAATTTCCCAAATAGCTTGAATGTTTCTGTTAATAATGTCTTGTGCAATACCATGTGGTAATTAGAAAGTGGTTTTTTGGTCTAAAAATGTTCACGCTTAAAAGAGCCCTAGAGACAGAACGGAAGAAAAGATGCCCAGTTATGATTACGATGTAATAACTTAAGGTATAATCTACACTCTCGAATGTGTATTAATACTACAGTGGCTTATAAGTATTTGCATCAGGCACATTGTTGAACTTCACTCAGCTTCACTCTTTTACAAAGTAGCTAAACAAGACAGAAATGTCGACTACATCAAGTTAACTTCAGATAAGTTATTCTAAATATTATGTAATGACTGACAATCGATTGTGGATTGAAAGCATTGTACAACTTATCTACTGAACGAGACATAAAATCCAATTCTTAATCTCATTTCAGTAAAGGAGAGGTGAATCCCGGTGGGTGCGTAATGTTGAAGAGTCCCAAACTAGGACGAAGCAACTGTCAAGTACACCCAGGTTTTCCAATGGTTCTCTAGCCAATGTCAGCTTATGATGAAATCCTTTAACCAAATTGAGAGGTGTATTCAGCTTCTATGTGGATCAATGATATGCATCATTCTGTTGACCATATATCCTACTAGCCTTTTCAAAAATTTAAGCTACTCTGAGTATTTTGAGTTCCTAATCTACTTCAGCTTGCTTTTAAAATAGGAAACCAATAGCTGATATTTTGTTGTTTTACTGTCATATTTTCTGATAATTTCAGATGCTCCACTCTCTATAGTTAAAGAGCTTGAATCGATTCATTTGCAAGAGATTCCACAAACAGTTGAATTCGAATGTCATCTTTCAAAATTGCCACAAAAAGTTCAATGGTTTTATAATGGGAAACGTTTAGATGCATCAAATTTACGTAAATATAGTTTCACAGATGATGGGAAAATACAAAAATTGGAAATGTTGAAGGTTACACTGGATGATGTTGGTGAATATTCTATCAAGATTGATAAGTTGGAATCAAAGGCCACGTTTGAGATAGAATGTAAGTCACCTTCTGGGGATTTTTAAGTCATGAACTTATCAGTTAGCTGAGAATCCTCTCAAGGCATTTTCTGAACTATTTATTTGATTAGGTGTTGTCTAGCCGACTAGAAGGTTAAATATTAATGCACTTAAACACGCAAAGCTTTCGTTTAATAAAGGACAGCTACGAAGAACAAACGGTCAAGCGAACTTGAACAACGAATCATATTTCTCTTTCATTGAAATAGTTACTTTCTGTGAACTTCCGTTTATTCTGATCTTTTTTTCATTTAGCTTTAGGTTCAGCATGAGGGCCCATTCTCCGGAGCTCATACTAATTTATTATGCATATTTTAGAGGGGGCACTTCAAGAAGAGAATTAAAGAGATACGCTGGTCCTTAAGTTGATAAGAGCTTGTGTTTAGAAATTGACTAGACTATTTGATTATTACTCTCGGTAGTATGTGAAATACTTTGTACAGTATGCGGAAGATTGTTACCATGTTTAAATTAATTCCCTTTAAGTTCTATATAAAATTATCTGATCACTTAATGTGTCTTCATTTTACGGCTGTCCTGATTGGTTGTCCAGGCTCATCTGCAATGATTACTATAATCTGCTACTTCTACACAGCTTAAACTAGATGGCTGAAATTCAAATTCTCACTACTGATAAAATCTTCAGAAGTATGCAATATGTCTTATGGCTTTGTGATACATGACAAGTTTAATTTGGATAGTGCTACAAAAGATGGTTAAGAAGACTTGGCTTTACTCAGAAATTAAAGCTTTGGGTCTTCTTCGCAATGAAGGACGGCTGATTTTAATTTACTATCTGACTTTTGACTATGTGATACGTAACTCTCATTTAAATTTTGTTGTAATTTAAAGCTATTTAAAACTGTATTTACCAGGTGATTCTCTTTAAATGCTAATATGAATTTCACTTTATTTTTATTTCAGTACCACCGAAAATTTGTCTCCCAGATGATTTCTCTGATACAATTGTACTCCCTCAAGGAGCTAGTTGTACTATTGATATACCATTTACTTCATGCCCACCTGCTACTAGTATTGTTTGGTACTGGAATGGTAGTCGTACCTTACCCGATCCTGCTAAACGAACTGTTCCAGACAATGATGCCAAATCTAAAGCTGTACTTCGCCTTACTTCTGTAGAAGTCACTGATGCCGGAGTTTATGAAGCTGTTATCACGAACCCATATGGGGAAGCAAAGGCCACAATTACCTTGAAAGTTCTGGGTGCTCCTGGTCCAGTAACTTCTCTAGAAGCTCATGTTGAATCAACTAAAGAAGTGTCAATTTTATGGAAACCACCTAAAGATGACGGTGGTAGTCCAGTCACAGGATATAAGGTTGAACAGCGTCAATTAGCTGCTGAACCTGGAGGTATGTTGCGTTCTCAGGCAAAGGAATGGTCAGTAATTGCAAACGTCAGCTGCAAATCAAAAGTAGTATCTGATGATGGAGAGGGAGAGTCATTTGTACATCGTGTTACAGGACTGACTGAAAAGGCAACTTATTTGTTTGCTGTTTCTGCCGTCAACGACTGTGGAACTGGACCACGTAAAGAAATATCTGATGGATTGGTCATGAAATCTCCATATGGTTAGTTTTAATCTTAAAGTAGCTGTTCATTTTCGCATTTTCTGTTCCAGAATATTCCAATTGGGGTGTGCTTTAATACCACTCCACATAATAAATACTGTAAACTAGGAAAAGCAAGGAAATTTCTTGAATCCCTTGAAATGTCGTGAAATTCGTGATTTATTGTCTTTATTTCATTTTTAAGATAAGTCATAGGTGTACAGTTTCCAAGGGAAACTAAAGAATGTTACCAAATTTCCATACCACGTCACTTACCAGTAAGTAATCTCTATAAATGTTAATTGGAAAGTAGATGCATTTACTAAACGTCTGAATATAACTAACAGTCCTCACCATCCTGATATCCGCGAATCACTAACCTAGACATTTCATCCTGGTTATTTCAACCAGTTATGCTTCATACTGTTAGCTTAAACTTATACATACAATTAATAATTTTTCGATAATACCATATCTTTGTTTATTCAGATGTACCAGAAATGCCGAAAGATCTTACAGCGAAACCAATTGACAAATCAACAATTGAATTAGAGTTCAGATTACCAACTCCTCATCTGGAAGCTCCATTAACTGGTGTAATCGTTGAATATCGTCCAAAAAATTCATCAAGGTAAGAAATTTGTTGTGAAATACGGTTAGGCTGTTTGATCAGCGAGCAGATTATTTATTAGGCAGTCTTGTCTGTTATAAGATTTCATAGTGTGAAATATTCCCATATTATGAATTAAAAGTCAATCTGAACGAAGAATATTCTTTTCAATAATTTCTCCTCTTCAGGTTCTTACAATTATAAAATATAATAATTGTGGTCGTTACAATAAAGGCCAGTTATGCGGCGGATACATTTTTAACGTAGAATAACCTCTCATTGCAGTCTTACTATCTCGTGTTTAACCCAGACCACTTTGTACTAGCCACTCACCTGACTCCTTTTATAACCTTGAACTGATTTGTCAATTTTCCTACCCCACACACTACAAATCTATTATGATTAATCATCACCATTGTCTCCCATTTAACATTATTTTCTAATCGACTTCAGCCTAACACGTCACACAAATATGACTATTGATTTTGACACAACATAACTAATCTGTTATTTTACATTAAAAATGTATCCGCCGCATAACTGGCCTTTATTGTAACGACCACAATTATTATATTTTATAATTGTAAGAACCTGAAGAGGAGAAATTATTGAAAAGAATATTCTTCGTTCAGATTGACTTTTAAGTCTTGTCTGTGCTTAGGCTGTGAACTCGTGTCAACACACAGTTGAGTGGTGTCTTTGTGTTAAACATTTCCGATTTGCTTTTACGGAACACTGTGGTTTACGCAATACGAAGTGTACATTTGGTTAATACTGTATACGTGACTAACTGACTTCGCACCAGAACATTTCAACCGATGTGTCACTAGTCTGAACCCCAGTGTACTTACTTTATCCTGGACACAGATAGGTAGTAGCACCAGCCTTCAAACAAGATGTATGACTGGTATTCGTATACACGAAATGTATTCCGTGTACCTGAGTTCAAGCAACCATTACTATGTGCAATAGAGATTGTCACACTGTTGGTTTAGGGGAAATTGACCAGTTTAAGTTAACCATCCTTTTGATCTGCCATCACCTAACAAACATCTGTTTGACTACATTGTGTCCCGTTAGAGGTTTATACAGGCTAACAATCTGTTTTACCACAAGACACAAAATTTTTCCACATTTGAAACTAAAATTCTCTAAAAGTTACTCGGAAATTTCAAAATTTTATGCATTTTTTCTTTCTTGTACAATAGATGGAAGTCAGAAACTTTTGAACCATCTTCTACTATACAAATAGGAAGACTAGAACCAAATACAGAATATGAATTTCGTGTCAGCTGTACTAATGTGGCTGGACAGAGTGAACCATCAAACATTGCTAAAGCTAAAACAAAACAGTTACCAAGTAAGTAACATCCTTGTTCACCTAACACACATAGAGGATGTATACTTTTACTAGAAGCTTATTTACTACTTTTTGTACAGCTTGTTTATTGCGGTTATTTTTGTTATGCTCAAGTGTTTCTGTAGCGATTGAGTTGATTCTCTCGGGTAGGATCTCTAGCCCCACTTCTATCCTTACCTCTTTTCTTCGGCTTAAGATCTGCTAGTAAATTAGGCAAAGTGTACTGCAATACTTCTCGAGAATTCTATTCGTATTTAGTAATTAAAATATAACCTAAATTATAAAAAAAAACAGACAGGTATATCCGTTAATGAATGCACTGGATCTTCAGAATCTCATTCACAGAAAGTGTTATAGTCAGATAATACAGTAAGATCAGTTGATAGGCTAAAACAAATGAGGGATCTTAAAGTAATGTGGAATAAAGGAGTAAACAGACTGCCTGAATTCACAAATCTTAAAATTTGGAAATACATATTCGGTTGGAGGATTTCATCATGAGATGACACCAGTTAGAGAACCATTGGAAAACCTGGGATTACTTAATAGCTGTTTCGTCCTAATTTTTGAGAACCTTCATTTGCACGCACTCACCGGGTTTCGTGACCCAGAACCTTCTGGTAACATGGCTAGTGCGTGGACCATTAAGCCAATAAGACCTGATCCAATGGCCCATGAATTTTAACTTCTGCCGATTCACCACAGAGAGCGACCGCTTCGCAATGTCTTCTTCAATGATTTACTGCCTCACTAGTGGCTTAACAGTCTACTAGCTCGCCTTGTAACCACAAGGTCCTGTGTTCGAACCCCGGTGGGTGTGTACTGCGGAGGGGTTCCAAACTAGGAAGAAACAGCTTTCCAGTGCTCCCAGGGTTTCCAATGGTTATCTAACTGATGTCAGCTCATGACGAAATCCTCCAACCAATCAAACAAAATCCCTACAAAAGCAATACTTGAAAATACATATTTCCCAATACTATTGGTTATTGGTTTTGAAAATAGTATAGAACCTTCGATGTAAGCTTAAAATGAAATATCCTAATATTATTGAAATAGAATGGAAATCTTGAGACATTTGTGTTCACCTAAAACCGTTGAATCGAAAATTTTTCCCTCATCTCAATGTCAACATGTGCTTCTGAAATTGGCATGACCTTAATCAACTAAAATTTACCAGCCAGATATTCGGTTTGAATCAGTAGACACCAAGTTAAATGAAAATAAGTTCAGTCTTCTTCAACAGTGTAACTTATGTATTGTTAAAATTCCCCAGAAATTGACAAGGAAATCTCGAACTAGCAACGGGATTATAAATAAATCATCCACACAGAAATATTTCATTTTGCTATACGGCAGTTAGTGTACACTGGTTTACCCTTGTATTGCGACATAATTTCGACATAATTTTAGTGAATTAGGCGATAACTCTGATACTCTGACATTTGAAGTCTCCCCGTATGCCAGACTGTTACCAGTTATCCATTCATATAATGAGTTTAAATCAGTCAGGTTTGATAAGGGCTCGAAAGAATGAATAACAGATATTTGTTGGAAATTAAAGTGATTTTCACTCTTCCTGGTGAGGATAAAGGAACATTAGTTTTAATAAAGTAGGAGGTGAAGATCTCATTAAGTTTCCTCGTGTAGACACAAAGTTCAAATGTGTAGCTTCTTGTCAAGTAATATCGTGTAATATTTTGACCTAGTAGCTGATCTATTGACACTTAACAGACTTTAGTATGGAATGATTTATATCCAACTATTCTGAGAAAAGCGGGTTTCTTTCAAACGGCAGATACACTCAGACGATAACTATCAACAGAGTCAATAAGGCTCAGTTGATTAAACCCGATAAATTGATTTTCAGATAAGTAACATCAAAACATAATGCACTACAAAGCCATACTGTTTAGTCTAGGGATCACTCTGTACTCTTAGTAACTTCTGATTAGTACTGCATAAGTCAAATAGTACCTTTTTACTTAATTTCTACAGTCATCAGTACAATTGCCATGGGTGAGTTTCCTGCATATCTGAAGATTTATCATTTTCAGGTGTTGTTGTCATCACAATCTGATGCCATGTCTTCTACTTTTTCCCTTCATTCCTTTTCCCCCAAACCCACAGAACCACCTGAAGCTCCAAAACTTGACAATGCTACTCCATGTAATACAAATTCAGTGAAAGTCGAATGGTCCTCTCCAGATAGTGACGGTGATAGTCCTATTACATCTTATCAAGTTGAAATTTGTGATGCTAAAGCTGGAAGTGAAGTTTGGAAGCCTATTGATGCTTTGAATATCGATCGTGCTGAGCAGCGTCTACTGTCACCAGATGAACATAACTCCTATGAATTAACAATCAATAATTTGGATACTTCAAAATCCTTTAAATTCCGTGTCTTTGCTGTTAACAGCGTAGGGCCAGGTAAACCATCGAAAAGTTCCCAGCCTATTACACCTGGTAAGTTGGTTATTTCATTTTTATAGCTTTATCATATTGCTTGGTTGCTTTGTGTAAGGAAGTGATCAGTATAAAGAAATCTTCCTGCACACGCTGATCTTAATTACTGGGGTCAAGAAATACTGGACTTCTGTCACTTCCTACTTTTACAACTTTTCAGCAGTACGCACTGACAGCTCCTTACAGATCACAGACATATTCGCATAACTGTAAGGATGTCAGGATTAAGATACTGCTTTTATGTTAAGTCGTTAACTTCTATGTATCATGTTAACGCGGATCATCTGACTTTATGTATCCTATTATTATTATTATTATTATTTTTCTTCACGTTCCCAGTGGAACACAGGGCTTCAAGCTAGAGCTTTGAAGTTTTGGCAGCAGTGGTTTTGCTTTTTACGGGGTAGGGTTGCTAGCCTCACATCCAACCTTCCCTCTTTTACTGGATTTAACGACCGGCTTAGCGAGATTTAGGAGTATATCAGATGAGGATCAAACCTCAGACCATGTGCGTGGTTAGTTAGCTTCTACCGCTGAACCACCGACGCACTGAATTTACATACTACCAAGTTAACTCTTTATGTCATAGTTTCTCGTAAAAATAAATCTGTCTTGATGTCATTTCTTACTGAACAATAGGACATTATGTGATTAAGAAATTGTTATAGAAATTCTGATATTTGTCAGTAATATATATCCTGTTTTTATATTACCAAAGATAATTTCAATGTTTATGAGTTGATGGAAAATGGCTTCCATGACTATGTGGCATCATTTCAATGGTGATTAAAAGCTACAACTTATTGAATCTGACCTTTTTATCATTTAGAAAAACAAAAAAATTGAGCAAAGATAATGTAGTCATCTGGCTTCACAATTATATATATATAGAATATTCTACAATAGTAGTCAATATAATATTGGTGCTTTTTAAATAATACCGATTTGTTAATCAGTGGAATTACAGTTCACTAAAGATACATAAATTATAATAAGCATAAAAATATAATAGTAGATAGAATATCAACTAAAATTAAGGAAATTTTTACAAAAAAGTTGAGAATCATTCAAACCTAGATGGTCAAGGTAAAGAAAATGTCTGAACTAGCTTCTTTTCGACATATAAATTAGGCTTATTAATGTGGATCCTAACGGCCTCAGCAATATTTAGTGAACAAACTCTGAAGTTATAATTATTTGGTATGCGGTAAATTATTTTGAAAGCTTTTTTAACATCAATCTTGTCTTCTGTATCCACAAGATGAGATAGAATAGCGATATGGGTGGATTTTGTTTGTCCTTTACCTAACCACTCAGGTTGATGTTCGGAAATCCGACAAGCAGCTAAGTGTTATACATGGACGGTGTGAAACTCCAAATGCCGTATACAGATTCTTCACCATAGTATTTTATACACTCCACACTGCAAGCTAATTACCCTTGAAATCTCTGATCATTGAGTTTAGAAAAAAAGTTCCTCAATACCAAAATATAAATTCATTGGTTTTAAAACATGAAATTCAATAGAGTTTCAACGTTTAGCAAGCTGAGGCAACTGTCAACTTGAAGTTGCAGTCAAATTAAAATTAATTTTTAGTAATACATGTGTTGTATATTGACTTCACGTATAAACTACATGCACGAATGTGTCACGTTAGTCCTTCGAAGTGGATGTTCATGTTAGATGGTTAGAGGTAATCGGCCATGGGAAACCTTGAACTTAGGTTTCGTGCTAGTTGGCACTCAGCAGTCGGCAAGGCGTATCTGCAACCTTGAAGGAACTTATGTCCCTTCTGAGATTCGAACCCGCGTTATCCAGTCAGTACTGCAATCATAGGCGTTACCACTGAGATGTTTGGGCTCACGGTTGACCTTCTGTAGGATATTTTGATTTAACACTAGTAACTAGTGTGATGTGTCTAGTCCTCCTCTCTTTGATGCAGACTGAATTCTATCAGACAGGTTTGCAATGTGGCCACCATTCTAGGTAGCTCGCTATCACAGTACACATTGATTTGACGATATTAGATGGTTGGAGGCAATCGACAGGAAGCCTTGAATCTAGGTTTTGTGCTAGTTCATGTTCATATATTCTAACAAAGATTCCAGTTATAGAATGCAACAATTGTCTGAGTTTCCCAAATTTCATTGGTATTTCACATGATTTAATTAGTGAATAAATGCCTTCATATTATTAATTAAATCCCATAAATAGACGGTCTTTTGCCTCAGCGTAAACACAGTTGCTATAGATTTTGTGAATACATACAAACTCAACCTTCTTGTCTTCATTGAAATAAGTAGTATAATGATACCATGGAATGTATTGTTTCGCCAGCAGAAGGAGTTAGCACTGAATGACTTTTTGTAGGATTTATTTCTAGAGAGTTTTATTTGATGATGAATGATGTTTGGTAGTCTTCTAGTTTTCACTCTTGATAAACTTTTGCTAACCTTAAAATGATGCACTGTTTCTTCCTTCTTTCTTTCTCTTAAAATAAATAAATAAATAAAGGCGTTGAAGTTACCGTTGTCCGACCTTTGACTGATGTTTGTTTCAATGAAATACCACAGCCTGGCACAAAAGTTGAATTAGAATGTGAATTAAGTCAACCTAACTGCCGAGTAAGCTGGTTATGCAACGGGAAACCAATTGCGCTAGGCAAAAAGTATGACTTCTCTCCAGAAGGGAATGTTTATCGTTTGATCATCAATGATGTGACACTTGAAGACATGGGAACTTACGAGCTTAATTACAAGAAATTAAAAACACAATGTAAAGTTGAAGCGAAAAGTAAGTTAAACAATATCATTTTGGATTTCTTTGTTAATTTCTGTCTAAATTTTTGTTGATGAATCTACATTATGTCATGTTTAAAATTCGAACTACTAACAAAATAAAAGTAGTATAATTTGTGACTAAATTGTTTTTCAGAACTTTGCTTTGTGGAAGATTTCTTCATGACATACTTAGAAAAAGATTTAAAAATCAAGAAGCTCTTCACATCTAGTTCCTCCTGTTTAAAGATTGTTCGGAAGTGTTCAGTTACTATCTTGTTAGGCAACGACTTCATGTATTGAGGAGAGTATATTTATCATACTATTGGCCTTGAATTGTAGTGGCCTATAGATTCCACTGTCTGCCAACTCACTGTATTCTTGATAGGTCCTCAGTTCTTGACTAATGAATCAATGTAGAACTTCGAAACCTTTTTTCAATTGGTCACCCTTAGAAGAAGTTAGCGGTACAGATCTACAATGATTGTTACTATTGACAAACAAATGTGTAAAGAAAGTAACTAAACCAGGATTAATCAGGCACTTTTACAATCTGGAATATGATAAACATTGGGTACATGTGTACAAACGTCAGTAGTTTTGAGCCGTATCAACAACAGGCTCCAATTACAGTCAGGCAATCATATCAGTGGTTAGCAACACCATGAAGTGATGACATTTCTTGGTTTGATCATTCCCAAATTCCTTCCAACCAAGCATTACCTCGTGCATCGCAAATATACTAATTGCTGTAGCCGATTAAGTAAGCTTCACAACCTCAACTACAGCTTGCACTGCGAATGCTATGCGAACCGTTATTAACTCTGGAAAAATGATTGCGTCTTTCCACATATTAGCTATTCTGTTAAAACTTTGAATTTTAAAAGAAAGTATACACTAGAATAATACGTTTCAGCTATATAGCTGTAGAACCAAATATCAATAGTACATTTACCCAAACTGTAAACATTTATTTGAAATGAAAGGGTTTCTGGGTGACTTTGCATTTGAAAATTCTTCTTTTCCCTATGTAACTTCTATTCTGAGTTGATCGTCTTGAAAGCGTTGTTGCTTTCCTTGTCTGTGGACCTTTCGCTTTCCTATTATGACGTACATATTTCTTTCTGTCTAGCATCTGTCTAAACTCACAGTTTGTTTGGTAAATTTATTTTTATATCCGATTCCTGGATAGAGTGTCCCATGCTGTTTCTTCTTTTGACTCTGTTAGGCTTCAAATAGCCTCAAAATAGCTTTTTTGTAATAGTTTGGAATTTTCTTAGTCTAATTTATAAGATATACATTTAGCCGTTATTTCGTGCTGCCAGCGTTCACTGTGGTGATCACACTGTCTAATATGCTGACTATCTCCATTAGAGTAGTCTGTTCTATAAACTTTATTTGCTTCTCTTATGTTTATCATATGACTTTGATGGTTTGCCAGGTATAACTCTCTCCAAGTCGTTTTGACTGCCTATCCAGTGTATTTTTACATATTTTCCATGTATGAAAGACAACATCCTTCTGTTTATTACACTCAGTTGTTCAGGAGTTGAAGGTTATTGGTGCATATTTTTGTGCTCGTCTGAAAAGAAAGAAAACTAGGGCCAGTCACCAAAACTTTAAGTCTATCAGGGATAAATTAACTTATGCTGAAGAGTCCCGAACTAGGACGAAGCAGCTGTCCAGTACTCCTAGGTTTTCCAGTGGTTCTCTAACTGATATCAACTCATGATGCAATCCTTCATGTAATAAAAATGTATTGCATAATTAGCCATCAGCCATCCAAACTACTTTTTGAAAAGCTGTGAGTAGTAAATGAATGTATTTTTTCAAAAATAATTTATTTCAGTACCTCCAACACTTCTTGAAGACACTGAAGAAGACCAAACACGTCGTATTAATGTTGGTTCAAATTGTGTACTAGAAGTACCATTTAAAGCTTATCCAAAGCCGTCAGTTAAATGGCTTGCACAGGGTATACCAGTCACTGATGCAACTAGACGTTATCAGGTGAATATAGTAGCTGGTTTAACATCATTGTCAATTCAACGTGTACAAAAGGAAGATGCTGGTAAATTGGTTGCTTTAATCGAAAATGAACATGGTAAACTCACCTGGAAATGTGAACTAATTGTAGTTGGTAAGTAACCTCGTTCAATGAAATTTTTCCTGTCAGTATTATGAATATTCCTCAGAGTATGTGTAAATGCAATGGAGAAAGCTGAATTCTGCGTATTGATCAGCACTATACCTAGATTAATTGTAATGATGATAATCAGACTTCAGCACTACAATAGGCAAGTGTAAATGTAGTCATTTACAGCTGTCGTTGCTAAGGTCAGGACTTTAAATGGTAAGACTGTTTCGCTTGATACACTTATTCTTGAAATAACTTGATGAATGACTAGTAGTGGTGGAATTCAGGACGTGAATCTCACCCCATCTGGAAATAATCAGTTGGACGTAGACGCAATCCACAACCAGTGACAGCATTCCCGCCAAGATTCAAACCCAGTACGCTTCATTTCAAACGTGATAGCGTTTTCCACTATATCACTTGGTCACGAGGTGCGCCTCTTGTGTTGTGGACTCTCTCGTGAGCGAAAATGGTTGGAAAATATTAAAAACTCTGAGGAAATATATGTTCCCACAGAAATCTATTCTCGAAGCATTTATTGCTTAAGCCAAAGAGTTTTCGGCTATAGTGACCTTAATTTCAAGTCTTCCAGCCAATTGTCTTTAAAATCAATGTACTAATGTTCCGTTTTGTTTTATGTTTTGTGGATCATTTATATTTCCTGATAAATAAACATTTCCCAACACCATATCAAATATGTCCTTCCTATTCAGTAATGAAGTCGTACATAAATTCCAAAATAAGTACTTTTAAGGATAGCAACACATTCGTTATCTCTTTGCCTGAATAAATTGTGACTACCATGTGTGTGATTGGGCTATTTCCAGCCACTTCGATGCGCGTGTATTAATTAGCACGTGGAGATGAATACATGAGCAAAACTGAAGGTGACTTAAAATGATTACCTATTCAGTTAGAGTTACTTTTATTGGCATATAATGCCTTGCAGCGATCCCAGTTTTTCTGGCAAAGTTAAACTTCCGGCACCACTAACTACCAATCAGCAAATGACTTAGAACGCACCAATCACGTGGAGGCATTTTTGTGCATGGAATACAAGCATTTATTAAAAAAATGCATAAAAACTGTATAAAAGTGTTACAGAAGATGCCTTTCTCTCACATGTGATAAAAGTAGCTCTCAGTTTTAGGTTAGTGTATCAACAGGGTATCATTCTATTATAAGTAAAATTTTTGATAAATTTTCAGTGTTATACAGTAATATTTACTGAGTAATAAATTGTGCTCAAAACGTGGTCATCAGTAATTATTACTGTATAACACTATTAGACTTTATCAAAACAAATGTTACCCACAGTGGAATTATACTCTACCACAGTGCACAAATACTATTCTTTTATCAACAGAGTAATTTAACCACAATCTATGCTTGTAAATATTTATGTCTTCTAACCCAAACAATAATCCTAATCTTTCCTGAACCCAACCCTAACATGAAAATATCTCGAACCAACCCTAACGTCGCCCTTATTAGGTAAACCTAACCCTAACTTGTCCTTGGCTTAAAGCGTACCTTAATCTTTCCCAAACCTAGGATGACACTTGCCAGATATCGCATTTAATAACATAACACTTCGATGAGTATATTTTATTGATGACAACATTATTTGCCAGGTTTCACTAACTTGCTCAGTGAGTGTTTCAAGGTCATTGGTGTGGTCGCACTCCAGCAGTACTCAATGGTGCTTAAAGTTTTACTTGGCTGTTTTTCTGTAAGAATACTTGTTAGAGTTGTACATTACCTTGTCATGTCGATGCTATAGGGTACCGTTTCTCTCTTTAATAAAAGATGAACAGAAACTGTTTTTCAAAAGTTCGGTGTTTACTTCTTTTTAACGTCTGTTCTTCTTCATACTTCAAAATGAATCTTTGAAGATATCCGTTCTCTTAGACACTTCCCAACAGTACTAAGTTCACCTGCTGACTTGTTCGAAGTACACAGCCGTGTAATAGAGTACTTACATGAATATGCACTTGTAACGACGGCAGAATCTAGTCTTGGAAAAAGTAATGTTCAGTTTATGTCCTTTCTATGGATAGCCTTCTTAATAGTACCGAAATTTCTCCTTTTTACAATGAGATTCAGGAAGTTGAACTCATTTTCGTCCTCACATTCCAAGGTGGACGTCGCTGAGTTTGTCAGATAGTTGGGGTGTATGATACACACTCCTATAAATGGTAAAAGTATCATCAATGTATCTGAAATCATAATGATAATAACTAACTTTCGAGATTAACTCTTTGAAATATCGACTAAGATAAACCATGAAAGCGAACTCATCGCAACTCCATCACTTTACTAGTTTTAAATTGAAACTGAATGTCTTTTATGCGAGGAAACAACGGCTGTTTCTTTTCTATATCGGGTGATGGTAGGATTATATCTGTTGAAAAAACGATTTCAGTCGCATCAATCACTAGTATACCAGTGAATACAGCTGTGTTGACATTATCTATCTCTTTCAACCTGCCAAATGAAAACTTCTTTTGATTGGGCTTCAAAGAATGGTTTCTCCTATCTTATCAAGCAAAGCATCTTAGAAATAATCAGAAAAATCTGTTTAAGACCAAGAAATCAACCTGCCAGGGATGGTTTTTGTGTCAAACCACTTTAGGCTGAATCTTAACTCAAATAGGTCGATGTTTGGTTAAGTCTACATAGCTTATTTATTTCATTAATTACGCTAACTGTTTGAAGTTTTTAATGGGCTTCAGTTGATTGATTCACTAAAAAGACAAATGAGAATAAGTAACCACCTTCATGTTGTTTTATCAAGTGTAAACCACATAAGATTGTCGCCACGTAGTCGCCATTACTCCTGGTGATTGGCAATCATTAAATAAGCTTAACACATAGCACTAGTTATGGATCTTGAACTGTAGGCATGGTAATGATTGAATAATGATGATTCATTCGAAATTTTTAACATTTTATGTATAGTACTTTCACCAGCCTTGTTTTTGTATTGAAATAATCCTAAAGATAAACCGGGTCCGGTAGAGAATCTAACTGCTGAACCGAGCAGCAGCCGAGTTCATATGCTGCTTAGCTGGAAGCCACCGCGTAAAGACGCTGACAATCCAATAACACATTATGAAATTGAATATCGTAATTCAAAGCGTCGTGCCTGGCAAACACTTAAAGACGGTCCATCAGATGATGATGATTTGTTTAAAGTCCCCGGTGATGTTAAACAGTTTGAAATACCAATAACAGAGAAGGAAACAGCAAATAGTCTAGCGCCTAATACTGATTACTACTTCCGCGTAATAGTTGTCAATGCTGTTGGGAAAAGTGAACCAACTGAAACACGCTCAGTGGTTCGAACTCCATCATTACCGAGTAAGTTTTACCCATTTTTTCATTATTTCTTTGTTAGTCAGAAAATACGGGATGGATGAATATTTTAATGTTATGTATAAATGACTTCATATATTTTGTAAAACCATCTTACAATGACTACAGACAGAAATCTACATTTCACAGCACCAGCCAATATAGTATTTTAAAAGATCAGAACATGAGTTAGCTAGTCACCATTACATACTTTTGTTTTGTCCCTAAATGCATGATATATGTCTATAACATCCGGCTTCATGAGGTTGGAATTCAATCACCTGTTAACTCTCAAAATATCATTACTACCAACCTATGCCATCAATGAGTGTCAATCTAGGAGGAAACAGTTTCCGGTGCAGCTTGGTTTTAAATGATTCGCTAACTGTTATTGAATCGCCACAAGATCTACCCTGAAATTTGAATGTATTAAAGAATGATGGCGGATAACACCCATTTTATAAATATGGATGGGTTTATTAATGTGAAATGAAAACTGCTCCCTACTGTAAAGTTTATTGACATGAAATTTTATAGCCGGTCTCTCTTCACGTGATATATGAAGTGTAGTCTAGTTTTTGTACTCATGAATACTTGTATTCGCTTGATTTCTCGAAATTCGACCTGATCATTTTGAGTTGAGTTCACAGTACGCACCCCCGGAGGTTCAAAGCCCCGAATTCATGGCCCATCGTATTGGATCCCAGTGGCTTAATGGTCTACAAGCTCGCCTTGTAACCAGGAGGTCCTGGGTTCAGAACTTATTGGATGTGTACTGGTGAAGAATCTCAAACAAGGACGAAACAGCTGTCCACCACTCCCGGGTTTTCCACCGGTTCCATAACCGATGTCAGTTTATAATGAAATCCTGATGTAATTTTTCTTGAGCTTAAGGCACAGTGTTTCTTGTCTATTTCATTTATTAAATGCCCAACAGTTAACTGAAGACATTTTTAAATTCGTGTTGTAAACAAATCATTAGGTAATTAAAACAAAGTAGAACAGTAAATTTTGTCTATTACAAATAACGGGAGGGTGTGTAGCCCAGACATTTAAGCAGTTCACAGCAGAAGATTAGTGATCCATTTAAGACTAAAACGAATTATTATTATTATTATATGTCTGGTTGATACCCCGGAAATTGAAAAAGGAGGTTTTTTTCGGGAATAATATAATCTTCAGTAAAAAGTTTGAGCATTGTCGATTAGATCAAATGAAGTATAATTATATTTCAATAGTTTATACACAATGATAAGTTTTGTTATTGGCCAGCAGGAGTTTACACTGAGTGTTATGATTTTAACCCAAATACACTATAACTAAAAACTAACCAATCACACAAGTTTAAAGCTGTTTTATTACATACACTACAACTCACCACATAGGTTACCATGATGACAAATAAACTTAGAAAGGGGTGTATAATTAATAAAGCACTGAGTAGCTAGGTGCGATCTTAGTGAGACAAAACAGCAAAAATCATATTGAATTAAATCAATATGATAGTGACAAGTGTTGGTTTGCAGGGACTTGATTGGTTTCAAGACTGCATCATGAACTGACATCGGTTAGAGGACCATTGGAAAACCTGGGAGTAGTGGACAGATGTTTCGTCAAGCTAGTTTGGGACACTTTATCAGTACTCACCCACTGGGGCTCGGATCCAGGACTTCCTCCCAGGTTTTCCAGTGGTCCTCCAACCGATGTTAGTTCGTGTTGAAATACTTAAAATGGAAGTGACAAGTGAGGTAATACTGGAAATTGTTCAAAGTGAAAATAATTAGAACAGTCGACATAGTAAGGAATGGATGTACAGAGTGAATTAATACGACTAAAAATAAATGGGGCCGAGGAAGAAATGGGTACTGGAATAATTTAAAACAAACAGATTAGGACCATGATAGAAGGACTGGTTGAAAACAACTTTTTTAGACATTTCCTGTTTCGACGACTAAATCTTCGGCGATTTAGATGAGTCGGATACGTGATGATTTGGGTAGATTATTTTTCACCTTATAGATAACTTTAAAGGAAAAGTTTGTAGAAATAAGATGACCAGTACGAACCAGATTTTCACTTATTGACTTACTTATAGCTACAAGTATACCCAGATCCCCAGGAGTAGTTGAACTGATAAAGACACAAAGAGTCGGTCGTCTGGGAGATATTATCCATAAGGCTATGCAACAGTAACGGTCGGCTGGAAAAAGATTATTCTCAAAGAGTTAGTAGCGAATTACCTTTTCACCGGCTTCGAGACCATCGACTAAGGATGTTGGCAGCTAGGTCACTTTTGAATTCACACTACGTAAGCGGTATTTTCCCGGATGCAGACATCAAATCACATTTCATAGGTTATAACCTTATACTTTGCGTTGGTGGCTTAGCGCCAAAATGCTCGCCAACCACGTATGTGGCCTGGGGTTCGATCCCCGGCCGACTCACTCCTTTACCTCGCCAAGTCATTAATAAGAGTGGTGAAGAGGGAAGGCCAGGCATAGGAGTAGCAACCCCACCCTGTAAAAATAAACACTGCTTTTTGGTTGTAGTAATAACTGTAAACCCTCGAATCAGGATTATGCACCATCATAGAAACTGTATGTTTCACTTTCGATCATGTTTTCCTAGTTTTTCCATATAATAATACTAATAAGACTGAGTTGTTGGTTGTTATTCTGAGAGAGAGAGAAAGAGAGAGAGAGAGGGAGAGAAAACAAAACGAATTATGTCTGACGTTAGTCAGCCGAGCTAAAACAAACACTAGTATGTTTAATATTAACAGGCGAATTCTATGCACCAAAGTACAATGGAGAGACTAACCTATTATTCACATATTCGTATTTACTCTTCTAGGTCAGATAACCTGTAATTGCGATTCCTAGTGAGATTATTTTTTATCATTAACTCCTTTCTTATCTCGATATCATTCTTTTCATAGAACCGCCTAAGCTGAAATATGATCCAACTCTAGAGACAATTAAGATAGCCGCTGGTCAAAAGCACGCTATACCTGTCGATGTGGAAGGTGAACCTACGCCAAAGATAGATTGGCGATTTATTCCTGACGGTCAGTCTAAAGATTCCCAGTCTCCGATTCCCAATGATGCACAAAGTGAAGCATCTGGTCCAGATCAAGATGGTGTTAATAAAGTCGCTATGAAATTCCGTAAAATATCAAGATCATGCGATGGCACGTATGTGTTAACAGCTGTCAACAGTGGTGGTGAGGCTCGTGCAGAATTCCGTGTTATTGTATTAGGTGGGTAATATTTTATGCCTGTTTACAATTGTTCAGGTTCAAGTTTGATTTATCCTAGGTTTAGAAGTCAGAGTTTAGTTTAGTCTACTGAATTTCACTCGGATTCCGTTAGATGGCCCGGTGTCTATGATTTCGCTTGAATGCCACTTGTCGCATCATGCCGTCTTGGAATAAGTGATGTCGGTTATTTTTTCAATACCCTAATTGTCATAGTCCCTATCACTTTTGAAACTACTAATAAGTTGTGGGATAACTTTTCAACATAGATTCAACACTGGCTGCTTACTATTCTTAATTAAAGTCATTTCACCTAAGGTCAATCAAATAATACCAGTGAATACGCTGTCTTGAGTTGAAAAAGACTTCTGTTGATACCGATTCTGTTAGTTCAGAGAATGAAAACCCTGCTGAAGAGGACACAGGCTTCTTTTCACAATTTATAGAGTTCAAAGGTTTGATTAAATACCTGTCAATAGTAATGGTATCAAATTGTACTACTCACTGTCTACACAAGAAGACTTACAAAGTAAGTTGTTATAAAGTAGTTTGTAAGCCGTGGATTCCTGCAGATTCTGTAACACTAGTGAACAGAATCGATTGGGGCAGGTGGGGGGTGAGATTTCATTTTCTAATCTTAACCATTCTACGGTAATCGATTCTTCCCCAGTATAAATACTCAAGAACTGGTAGTGAGTTGTACACATCAAACTGTCTGGTGATTATTAAAACAGCTACATTAAAACATGTAGGATGTCACATACAACTGCAGAGGTTTAATTGTTAGACTTTATAAAAGCACAAACAAAGATCTGATAAAATAGTAAGTAACTAAATAAATTTGGAAGTTTGTAATAGGCTCAAAATATTGTTACCTGTGAAACATAATTACTCCTGTCGGCCTTCTTTGGAACCCAGCTATCTGGCTTACACAGTTTACACGATTTATAGTCAGCATTTCTGCCAGCTCCCTCTCTTACTCAAATGTATAGCATTTATGCTTCTATTAATACTACTCAGCTGGACAGACTATCAGATGATATGGATGAAATAAGTTTCACCCACTTCAACAGTACACATTCTGACACAAAGCAAAAGTTAGCAATACTCTGTAAACATTCATGATAGAAAATCCGTAACCTCTTGTTTTTAATATTCCGCAAGAATATAGGACGAGGTGAACTTGGTAGTGCCCTAGCCGACACGTCAGCATTTAATGAACTTCCTTTCCTCGGTTAACTCCTGATCAGTACACTACCTACCGTGTATTTACTGATGAGTGAAGTCCAGGTAAAAGGCTTGTGCACTCTTTTGTGCCCTGATATGAATTATATTTATATAACAAGTGAAAAGCAAAAATTAGTATGTAATAGTATCGTACAACTTATATGTCGACAGGCTGTGGTGGTAGTAAGCCCGAAGGGTGCGCATTTAGGGATCGCGCCACGTGCAAACAGTCAAGCAGGAAAAAAATAGCGCAGCACCATAGTACATGTACGCGTTTAAAAAAAGTTCCAACATTCAAGGTGCACTACAAACTTATTCTTCTGTCACAGCAATGATCATTTAATAAATGACAAATGGATATTTTTAGTCTGTGCTGAAAATTCGTCAGGAATAAGCGCATCAAAGCCAATCATAGAAATCAATCCATGCTCGTAAACAGGCTCCAAGATGACAAATAGTAAATTATTTAGTTTTGTATGACTTTGCATAAGCTAAACTAATTTCGGAAAGATAAACCTACAGAAATTTTGACAAACCCAATGAGAGAACATGAGATAATTCGCCAGATTTTGTAAAGTTTTCAGTCAGTCTGGATGAAGTGCTTAATCATATGGGTGAAATCTGAATCGTATGTAAAGTTTTTTGGATGACTAAACAAATGGGTTGACTTTAAGATTCTAAAGTGAGAAGAAATTTAAAACTCCAGGAAAATAAGTAAATTATTGCGTGCCGATTGCCTCCAACCATGTAATATCATTAAATTATTTCTCGCCTACAGAACAATTCAAGTTCTATTTTCAAAAATTTTCAAAAAGTTGCTTGTATTTCTTTTCTTATTTCTTTTTGTTTTTTAGGCTTGCCAGGTGCACCACTTGAACTAGTAGCATCAAATCTATCAAAAACTTCAATCCGTCTAAAGTGGTTACCGCCTACAGACACCGGAGGCAGTCAGTTGTTGAATTATGTTATTGAACAGGCTGTAGTGAAGAGTAATACAGCCACACCGTCTAGTGTTGGTTATTGGGAGCCAGTAGCCCGTAATTTACCAGTACATGAAGCATCTGACGGTTCAACAGGCTGTTTGTATGATATCATTAATTTAGCACCAGAAAAGCATATGCTTTTCAGAGTGGCAGCTCAGAACAAACAAGGTGTTGGTGAATTTGCAGCAACTAAAAGTCCGATTTTAGTCACTTCACCACACAGTAAGTTATCTGTACGATTTCACGCATACAATCCCCTTCTTTCCGCTGGCGTTTATTGTATTCGTTAACTGTTTCTTTTTATTTCCAAATATTTACAGATTTGCCTGGACCACCAAGAGATTTGAAGGGTACTGTAGATAAGGATGGACAAGTCCACTTAGAATGGAAACCACCACAACAGGATGGCGGTGCAAAGATTATAAATTATATTGTGGAAAAATGTTCATCTCTTAAAGATGCTAATTGGTCTGAAGTGAATCTTCCTGAATCACCTGAAACTGAACGAATAATATCAAAACTTAGAGGTAATACAAATTTTATTTTTTGTGTACATATTTCTTAACATGTAGTCGACTTGCGCATCACTGAGTATTCTACAGGAAGGGTTTTCTTTCCTGCTTGGTACTAAAGTGGCCTTTTCTGCGAAGACTTCAATTGGAGTAGAGTTTTTATTTGTTTCAGTCATTTTTCATTCACCAAGGAGTTATTTCCTAGATCCCAATTCACTTAGATATGTTAGGATAATGTAATTTTAATGGCAGGACTAGTCACTTAGAAACTCCCGGTTTTCATTCTATGAAATGGTTAAGTTTTTTATTAAAATGACACCCAGTACCCCTGAATGTTAAAATAAGTCTCTTAGTTAGTGTCAGTGATGTGATGCTTACTGTTGTTACTCTAATGACGGCTTTCATCACACTTAATTTTGAAAACAAAACACGTAGATCAGCGAAGTGACTCTTTTCAGCGAATTTCACTTATTTTTGCACACTGCGTTATATGTCTATTATAACAACTGAATAAACATGAAATCCTTTCAAGTCAGACACATAGAACGTGAGTTTCGTTGTAGCCAATCCTCTAATTTTAACACTGGGTGATTCTATTTCTGGTTATCAAGACATTATGTGTGTCCTAGACGCCGAAGATACACCGTTGTTCTAAGCGTCAACATGCATGAATTCTATATCAAACAGGCGTCTGTACTCGGAGATTAACGTTCATTGCACAAAGACAAATTGTCTGGTGAGAAACAATAAGGCGTAAAGGTAGCTGGTTGATGTCATTGACATATAAGTCGAAAAAACTTCATTGGGTTTGAGGTTTCAAAGGAATTCTGATCGAATGCATTTCAGTAAAGAGAGACAACATCACGCTGATTAGTACATAATTCTGCCTACATAAAAGGCGTAACCTGATACTTCCAAACAATTACCGTCAAATGCTTAACTCTCGGTATTCAGTCATTTATATTTTAACTAAATATGACGACTTAGTACTTCGTGTCCGCCAATCTCAGAGAGACTTTTGATTAAGAACATGCATATCCCCTTCAAATCCAATAATCTACTGTATGCTGCCTAGTTTCAAACCCAAATAAATTTGTATTTATTGCCCAATATACAAATTCCGTAGGCTGACTGGATTTGTTTGTTTTTTCTTTTTTCGATGTTTTATTTCCAACAGATGGCATCTGTTACTTCCGTGTGTCAGCTGTCAATGAGGCTGGAAAAGGTTCACCCTCCAGTATCATTGATTTAGATGTGAAGAAAGGTTCTGGTAAGTGTAGCTAGTCAAATAAAGTGTCATAAATATGTCTAGGCAGCCTTATATTAATTATGCTTTTAAATCTATTCTTGTCTTAGAAAACAGAGAAATCCAGTTCAATCACACTGGATATGTATGAAAAACGCTGTGGATCAGCCAGTCTAGAACAGTCAAAATAGGTTTGAGAATTATTAGAAAAAACTCTTATGGTCTCATGTCAACTACAACAGGTGATGTAGTTAAGATAAGATAAAATAAGATAATAGCTTTATTCCAAAGCAGTACTTGTGATACAGAATGGAATTCTCAGCATTTTTACTACAATATTGCATCCAGTTAGTACATTAACAATAAATAAAGTTCTACATAGATTAAAGTTATCTCAGTCAGTTTTGACAACAACATATTAGCATGTCGGTAGCAAAGCCAAAATTTAAACAGAGTGTTTGAAGGTGTTAGAAAAGTAGATACTACTAGCATATTTACTGGCGTAAGCGATAGCAAAATGGTCGAGATATACAGAGTGTGAAAGAACGAACAAGAATGTTTTAAGTAGAGTTTGCAAGGAAGAGAGAAACAAAACAGCACATAACAAAATAAAAGGTAGAGAGAAAACGTTGTACCTATAAATGATGTGAGTTGGAAAGACGAGATCCATTGTTCTACTGACTATTTAATAAGTTAAAGGTTTCATGCCTAATGCTTTCTTTATCGCACAGAACACGAGCTAGGTAGGGTATGGATGAGTTTTTGTACTTACTAGTGCGGGCATATAGTTTCCTATATAGGCTTCTGGTTTTCCCTGAAGAGATACATGGGGAGAGTTGTGAATGTAGAGGGTGTTGTGAGTCAGATAAAATGGATTTCGCCCATTTTTCACATGAGTCCATGTGCCTGTCCACCAGAATATTAACAAGCTGGCTAAGTGGCAAACTGCTTACCCTGCTGACAACCTTTAACATCCTACGTAATAAGGTATAGTCTTTCTTCAATAGCCCAGGAAAGACTAAGGGGGAGCAATAGAGAATAATAGGCAGAATACGGGAGTTAACAAATTGTAGGAGTAAGGGTTGGGTTACACCAGAATGTCTTAACTTCTTGATGTAGAAGGTAAGACGGAATATTTTCTTGGAAATCGTCAAGATATGAGACGACCAGGAAAGATCAGAAGATAGAGTGACGCCTAGGTTTCAATTTCAGTGCCATCTATGTTGCACACCTCGTGAGTGCTAACCAGTTTGTTTAGGTCAGATTTATGCCTAAAGGTGAAATTAACTGTTTGGCATTTGGAGGGGTTTAAGGTGAGACCGTTTTCCTTGGACCATTGGCTAATTTCTGATAAGAAGCCATTTAGTTTAGAGCAGTCACTTTGACATTTGACAGGTAAAGATACAGTTAGGTCATCAGCATATTTGACAAAGTTAATGTCATTTGAAGATGGTAGGTCATGTAGGAAGAAGAAAAGAGAAGTGGGGAGAGTACAGCACCTTGGGGGACACCAGCTTCAGTGAGCACAGCAGAGGAGGATTCCCTTTGTATACGGTGTACTGCATTCTGTTTGAAAAGTAGGAATGCAACCAGTTAGTGACCCAGGACTCGGTTTGTGTCATGGAGAGCTTATTTAGCAAGAGACATCTAGGTACAGAGTCGAAAGCAGAAGTGAAGTCAAGAAACGTGCAGCGGACATATTTGGCACCTTTGTCTAATGATGAGACAATACTGTTGTGTAAGACGGCTGCAGCGTCTAAAGTACTCCTACCCTGTCTGTAGGCAAATTGTTTGGGGTCTTCGAAGCTTTTAAGGGAGGGTTCGAGTTTAAGAAGTACTAGTTTTTCCATGAGCTTTAGAAACGGGGAAGTGATGGCAATGGGTCTGAACTTTACGTTCTTGCTATTGCCAGGTTTAGGGACAGGGACTATTTTAATGTCTTTCCATGGAACAGGTACAACGTTTTCGGAGAAAGAAGCATTTAGGATATTAGTTAGAGGGGAACATAAAGCATCTGCACATTGTTTTAGAACAGGTATGCCATCAGGGCCAAGACTATGTGAGGGCTTAAGAGTTTTAAGACATTTCAAAACATCGAGAGTGTTAAAGTCCTGGAAGTTATCAGCTACAAGATTAGTAACGTTAGAAGTGGTTATAGTAGAAGGAGAGCGTATAAAAGACAGATTAAGAGCATTAACATCACAAGAGGGAAAAACATTACATCGCTTACTATTGCCAGTAATTTCATTGAAAATTTCCACATGCTGATAGGAGATTTGCATGATAAAAGTGTTTGGTTATAGATAGCATTAAGATTTTTGATTTCAGATTTGATTTGAGCATTAATCTTTTTAAGTCCTAACTTGTCTTTGCATTTATATAACATTTCTTTTTGCCTGCGAAGTTGTTTGAGATGGGGAGACGAGAAGCGGTCGAGGCGTTTGAACAGTGTTTGTTTGGGACAGCATATGTCGAGGCAGAACTTAAGATAATCCATTATATTGGTGATTGAGTCATCTAATGTACTTTCATAGAATAGATCCCAGTTGGTATCTTTTAACATGCATCTTAGATTGAGTAAGTTGTCAGATGTGTAGCATCTTTGTTGTGCTTTCGTAGACAGGTGTGAGAAGATTTTAATATGTGTTTTGCTGTATATTTTTGGCAAAACGCGGACAACGCAGTGATCAGAGTTTAGTATCGGTGAACGTCTACGTGTTGTGACTGTTAAGCTGTTAATTCAAGCAAAATGTAATGAAACACGATAGTGTACAACTTTTCGATGAAAACCCCTAGATTGGTGCTACCAACATGATTTATAAAGTTGATAGCCCTCTTTTCCATTATTCTGACACTGTATACGGTAACATTTTTGTCTGAAGAGTATCTGTAAAGACACGCTTGACGATGTTAAGTGATGAAATACTGCCTAAGAACTCCGTATACTCTGGCTATACATATAACATCAATATATGCGATTAAATGAGAATGGGTAGCAGGTTTTATTATCAGTTGTGACAGGCTGTTCTCTTTCAGGCTTTATTCTGATAAGTGTCAGTTCTTCAATTTCCAGTTTTATCGTATTTTGAACAACACTGACTGGTAACAACAACCTGACTTGAATTACCGTCTCAGTTGTCAATTCATTCGACATATCCTTAACTCTTTGATGAGATCAGCACCAAGGCCCACAACTTTATTGATCTGATGGAGTAATAGGTTTTCAGCTTACGAACATAATTCGAAAGAAAACAGAACAGTGTCCTTTAGGGTCGATACTAACTTGCCTCAGTGAAAGTTTCAATAAAGTCAGGAAAGTTCCTATCGTCAGGTGGAATCAGTTGGAGAAACAGTAAGTGTACAAGCACACATACATAACCATTCACCGGGAAATATGAATACATCCAGCTAATGGGTCCCGAATAGAGGACTAAGTGCTCATCCCCTGGATTCGAGTGCTAGTCACCACCCTCTAAATTAACTAAATTTATCTTTGAAATATTAACTTGAGATTTCCATTGAAAGATACTTTTCCAATCGGGAGAGCATCGACAGACAGCTAAATTTTAAGCTCTCATGTTGACGTTGTTGAGGTGAACAAGTCATCTCCAATTAAATAGAATAAAAGTCTTGATTTCTAAAACTGAGTGGTTTAAAGGGTTTAGAATTCATTGAGTCATCAAAAAACCTGTAATCCTAATGCTCTAACCGTTTTTACCAAATCTCTACATGCATTTTTTCCATCACATTTCTGGCTTTGTGTATTTTTCAGTAAAGCGTATAAAATCCTAAAGGACGCGTCGAGAAGCTCGATTCTCCTTCAACATTTATCTATGCAAATATAATAATTGATTAAATTTCCATACCTTACATAATTCACTGTTGGGAGTGAGTGTTTTCTATCTGTAATGATGGTGACTTTGATTCTACAGAATACATTAGTCAACCTTTGACTACCGGAGTTTGATCGTTTGTAGACGTACTACATTAAGTGCTAAACTACAGTAACCCAGTGTCTTACTTCCTAGTGCTTGAAGTAAAGAGTTTCAATCTAAACATATAAGCAAACGTAGATATGCTTAGCTAGTGAGTCTTAAACTGTCTCACAAGTTTTACTGAAAAGTACAATATAAATATAAGTTAATGTAGTAATCATTTAGTGGGATGTATCTGAAACACCAATAATGTTTACAAAACAAATTTTAGACTTACCACTAGTATTTAACATACCTTATATAATTACACTTTCGAGGTTGGATCTGTTTCGTTTATTATACCTTTGTTTATGATGTTTCCTATTATCTAAAGATAAACCTGATCAGCCAGGTCAGCCAACAGTTGAGGTTATTGCAGATGGGGCTGTCCAACTACGTTGGTCACAACCATTGAATGAAGGTACCGGTGGACCGATTAAAGGTTATGAAGTTCAAATATGTGAAGTTGGTTCAACTAAATGGAAGCCTGTTTCATCAGACTTATATCCAGCGAATGAAGCTCGTGTAACTGGATTGGATTCAACAAAAGATTATCTATTTAGAGTGATTGCTGTTAACAATGCAGGAGCAAGTCAACCTTCTGAGCCGAGTAGACCCGTTCGTCCAGGTAGGTTAAAGCTGGCAAATGAAGAAGTTGTTTGTTAATCAATTACTGGGTTAATTTATAGAGAATGACGTATTTCCAGGATTCACTGGTTCAATTTTCAGTCATTGAAGACACTGACTAAATTATACCTTTGTTTTGGCATTTAATATCATCAGTTAAACAAAATTTGTAAGTGTATCACAACAGTGGTTAATGTTTAAGAGTAGTTATGTGCAGGCAGTAAATTTACAGTTCCGAAATCCCTCTGATTCACTAAGGAAATGTCTTTTGAAGAGGAGTGAAGTGTAACAGGTGGGAGATATAAATTCAAACTGAAGACTTCATCCTTTCGTAAAGACGGAATTCAACCGCAAGAAACGACAGAATATTCTGTTTCTAAGTCTGTACATAAGCTGTTTCATGTGTGCTATTTTTTCATTCACTTACACTCCGAATGGAACACGGGGATTCAATTTTCAAAGTCTCAGTAGCAGGGTTGTTTTACTCACGAGTGGGGTCGCTAACCTAACGGCAAACCTTACCCCTTTTCCGGAATTACCACCGGTTAGGAGAGGTTTGGTAGGGTATTGTCTAGGAATCGAGCCCAGACCTCTGACGTTGCTGGCAAGCATTCTACCATCCAACACTGTATACTTCCACAGGAGTTATTTAGGAGTACTGGTCAGAGCAGATATTCCACAAAAGTATGTACTAACCATCTAGAAACCAAACCTTCTAACTTGTTGCCCTCTACCTAAGTTACACATTACTATACGGCTACGTAGTAATATTTATAAAATTAGAATATTCACTTTGTAGATAATAATAATGTAATTAAATTAAGAACACCCATTAAGACGTTAAACAAACATTTCAGTCAAGACAATTCTCTCTTCATTGATTTCCCTCTGATAAACGCAAACGAATCAACAACACATTTCCATTACTGTATAGAGGGTGGAAGTACCAAAATGTGATAATATTGGTACACAGGATTATTAATCACAAACTGATTAGACATATGAATCAGTAAAGAAAGGCCAACAGAGAGTACATTGGACAGATATGAGTAAATAGATGCTCGAAAATGTGAATATGTGAATTTAGCACACTCAAATGTGATGTGATGGAAAAATAAGACGAGTGAAGTGTCGTCAATGTAATAAAATAAATAAAATGTTAAACTTTTTAACCAAACGAGTGCGTTACTTATACCTTTCAATAGTTACATTCTGAAGTTTATAGGAATACCAAATGACTTTTCAAATTAACAAATTCAGTGAAACAGTATACCAGTTCAAGTCACCAGACATCTTAACAGCACAGCAAATAACAAGAAGAATATAGAGGAATAGGAATCTAGTGGAAAAACACTTACATGAAATTACCAAATAAATCTGAGCAATTGTGATTAGTGTTAGGTTGTCATTTTGAATTTGGAAAAATGCCAATACCTTAACTTCCTGTTAACCTTTGGTCTACCTGACTCAAACCCGCGTGAGTCCATCAAACGGTATACTTGTTTTACTAAAAATTCCGAATTTAATCTGGACCATAGTTATATCAAGTGTAAAATATTTAGGCATAATAATAATCACGCTTAGATATTGGCCATATCTTCTTGTCTTCTGCCTTCAACAAGGAGGATTCATAGGACTCATACAATAGGAAAGAATTGACTGTTGCATGCTATGCTCATACTCACTGAAGTAATCCCCCATAACTGTGATTGGAATATTTTCTCATGATAGTCTGTATTACACTGCAAAGTCCCCTGCTCCTAATCTGAGGATTTTAAAACAGTGCACTTTTGACCACACACTAAATCAAAAATTCTACCTAGCAATTTGGAGGTCACTGGCTCGAATCCTGCCATTATCACCTATTACATCAGGAATACTGTTTCAGTCCAAAGCTAATTAAGAAAGTTACACCAACAGAAAGCCAACTGTATTCAGGTTTCAAGCATATAGGTAGATGGTAACAGAAGACGGTTTAAAGTAGCATACTACTTTCATGTCAGTGACCAACTATCTGTCTGTTCATTGTATTTGCTTTCCATTTTAATCTAAGAGCCCGAATAGGTCAGTGGTAACGTCTCTGACTGCAGTATTGGATGACGTGGGTTTGAATCTCAGGTGGGACAAGGTTGCAGATAGGCCTTGCTGACAAGTGCCATCTAGCATGAAGCCTAGGTCCAAGGCTAACTGTCGATTGCCTCTAACCATCTAATACCAACAATTCAGTGCACCGTGATGGCAAGCTACCTAGAAGGGTGGCTACATCTCAAACCTGACTGATAGAATTTAGTCTGCACCAAAGAAAGGACTAGACACATCCCATCAGTTACTAGTGCCCAATGAAAGTATTAATTAAAGCTGAAAAATTTAACTCGCCTTAATTGCTGATTGTTTCGGGAAAAATTAAAAGCCTTTTTGTATCTTCCTATTGTTTATTTCAAATTTTAGCTACGGATGTGGATTTCGTTCGTCAGTTAGAAAATCAATCCATCACAGAGTTACCCTCTGATGTTGTATTCGAATGTGAATTGTCTCGACCAGGTATGACACTGATATGGTCTAAGGATGGACGTGAACTCAATTTGTCAACACGATGTGTGTACAGTATTGTTGGTGAAGGCGATAAAGCATTTTGCATTCATCGACTAACGCTAATCAAAGTTAGCCCAGATGAACAAGGTGTCTATAGTGCAAGATTAGTGACTGGTAAAAAAACTGAAGCTAAACTGACTATTGAATGCCCACCGAAAATAAATTATACTGGAGCATTGGAGATACAATTACTCAGTGGTAAAAGTACAGTGATTGAAGTGCCGTATACAGGAGCACCATTCCCAGATGTCAACTGGTCATTCAATCATGGACCTTTACCGATTGGTGCAAAGCGTGATTCTCCGCTCGCCTCAGTGGATACAGTTTATGGATTGACATGTTTACGTCTACGCCATGTTACAAGAGAAGTTTCCGGGAGTTATAAACTTCTGGTAAGTTGAGTTTCAGTTTGTCCTCCTACCCAGAATGTAGACAGATACAAGCCTTTTGTAAAACCTAAAAATACATTGATTTTTGATTTTTTTTCTGTAGGTGAGTAACGACATGGGCAAGGCAAGTTTAGAGATTGTCGTAAAAGTGCTAGATGTTCCTGAGCCTGTACGTCAACTGAAAGCAACTGTTCAAAATCAACCGTCTGGTACTGCTTTACTCACCTGGCAAGAACCGAGAGATGAAGGCGGTTCACCAATTACTGGCTATTTAGTTGAAAAACGTGAAGCGAATAAGCGTAGCTGGACACCATTTGGTTCACTGGTCAAAGAATTGAGTTGTACTATAGACGGACTGACACCCAATACTGGTTATTTCTTTAGAGTAATGGCTCAAAATGCATCGGGTTGCTCTGAGCCCACGGAAACTGATACATCAGTTGTAATTCCCTGTTTAACAAGTAAGTTTTGCATTCGTAAAACAAACCTATTGATTTCTTGGTATCACTAGCGACTATATATTAACTATGCATAATTTTATTTAGAAGAAACATTTTTCTGTGGAACGATGTCTGCAGTTAGGTCATTATAACAGTTGAACTAGGGTTTTGAGAACTGTTCATCCAATGATCTGTCACTACAGTTACAATTTATTTAATCGTTATCTGTCTAATGAAGACATGGTATAACACACTAAGAAATATAAGAGCAATATAAAACAGTTGGAGAATAACACAAGTAACGAAATTTTTCCAAGAAGAACATTCATCGAAGCTCTTGTCCAGTTTGTATTACTTCTGATGATAGGAGAGGGAAGAAGGCTGTATAATCGCCAGCAAATTCATTGTAGTACTCAAAACTTTGAAATAAATAAGGTGAAATAAACTTGAAAAGTATAAACTACAAAAATTAAGCTTTTTTCGCATCTGTTCAGATCTCCTCTGTGCTCCCAGTGTAGAGTTGACTAACTGCACATACAACAGATGCATTCAAACCGTTTTTCATATGATATTCTTGTACGTTGCACACAGACAGATGAGTGATAAACAGTCGAGCTCTACAAACACTGTTTAACAATATTATTTTAGATACATTCCAAATCCAACAAGCTCACTTTCATCTTGGAGCTAACTTTGAAAGCCGCTTTGGTAACATATTAGTCGTTATCCGAGTAATTAGTTGGAGACATACTGATCAACCCTTTTTATTCTATCCAAACAAAGTTCATGAATAATCTCTATCTAGAAATTAATGAAAACAAAAAATGAAGTTTAGAGAAGAGTCTCTGTAGTAATTTATTGTAGTCGTAGTATTAGTATTTCGAGATGACCGAATTACAAGAATCCAAACAAAACACAGAGAGGGCAGAATTCAGGAATTTGTATTTAGCGGAATTATTATGCAATTCATATAAGAAACATATTAACAATCAACAGTAAGTATTTAAACAATACAGAGATAGAAATTGTCAATCACCACATCCGCCACACGTCGAATATCTCCTTGCGTATTTATAACGATGTCTCGGTTTGCTTGCAAGTAGCTGCGACCTTCTAACTGATTCTGTGATATTATTTTCATCAGTATTATCTGGACTTATTTCTGAATTATCTACAAAATCAGGATTATTAGCGGAATCATTAAAATAATAATTGGAACGACCTACTTCATTTATTGTCACTTTGTCCAGGTGTCTGTTATGAACTGAGTGATCTTTGATGTCTAATATCTTCACCACTCGATTTCCCATTTTTTGTAGTATAATTCCAACAGAAGGTCTATAGTCATTCCCTTTGTAATAATGTACATTAGAAGTCGTGGACATCAGATGCTTTTTGAGAATTCGAGATTTGAAAAGTTTTGCAGGACTTTCACGGGTACTTGTATGCTCTGCATTCAACAGACGCAGTCTATGCATATGCAGCAATTCCTCCATTTTAATCAGTTGCTCTCTCATCTCATTCAGTTTTTTCCGTGTTTTCGACAGTTCGCATTGTAACTCGGCTACCTCATTTTTGAAAACAGTTGACACTTGAGTTGCCGAACTTGTAGTGGAGGTTTTCATTGGATTAGCTTGAGTATTTTGAAAGGTTGAAAGACACATTGACTCCATTTTACTAGACAGCTTGGGAGAATTATAAGAATGTTGAGCAACATAAGTATTCGAACTTCTGCAAACAGTCTTGATGTGTCCAACTTTACCACATTTGTGACACTTAGCACCCCGAAAACGGCAAGTGCTTCGTAGATGTAACTTTCCACAGGAAAAACACGGTTTAATGTTTTTGATCTCTCGCTGCATTCTATTACCTGTGGACGGCAGTTTGGATTGCTTTCCATGACCACTTGTATTTTCGACTTTAGAAAGCATAACATCAGATACTGACGTAGTGGGAGCAGAGTATTCATTATTGACATCTTCATATGTAATACATAAATCTTTAGCAGTTTGAAAGGTACAAGAAGGAATCTGAATTAACTCTTTCTCTAACTTAGGAATATTGATTCCAGCAATTAGACGATCACGTAGTTGAGTATGCAGCTGATCTCCAAAGTTACACTTTGAAGCTTGTATTTGGAGTTGCAGAATAAAGTCTCTAATCCTCTGGTTGGGAGCACGAACCAGTTTATGGAATTGAGCCCTCTCTCTGGTCTCAAATGTAGTTACATGAAAGTGATTTATCAGAAGTTCACGAATCTTGACATATGACAGAGAAATAGGTTTATCTGGAAATGACAGAGTCTTTACTAGGCTATACGCATCTAGCCCAATAGCAGTGATGAAATGTGCTGGTATTTTGTCATCCCGAACATTCTTTGAAATGCACCACGCATCGAAGCATTCCAAATAATCAGCAATCTCCCGCGGAGACCCATTAATAGGAAATTTTCCCAGGTTATTTAGTTCCATCGCGACGCCAATTTGTAGTAATTTATTGTAATCGTAGTATTAGTATTTCGAGATGACCGAATTACAAGAATCCAAACAAAACACAGAGAGGGCAGAATTCAGGAATTTGTATTTAGCGGAATTATTATGCAATTCATATAAGAAACATATTAACAATCAACAGTAAGTATTTAAACAATACAGAGATAGAAATTGTCAATCACCACAGTCTCTTTTCGACGAATTCATTCACTTAGCTGTATAATCGCAAATACACTTAATTATTTTTGTATATGTACATTAGCCTTGTCAGTTGAATGACTAAGGATTCAATAATACGAAGGAGACAAAAGTGTATCGCTTTTAGTAGATTATTTTTGACTCTGTAGATTATTTTGAAGGAGACGTTTGTTGAGATAGAGTGAGCGGTTTGTGTTGACAAGGTGTTCGATGATCGCAGAGCCAATACTACCTTTTTTCAACTATGCGGGATAGTGTTCTCGAATCCTTTCAGAACAAGGTTTACAATAGATGAATGCTTTTTGTAATTTTCGAAAAAAATGACATATACGGTTTCTCGGGTGACCTTTAAAAGTTACCTGTAGGTCTAATCCTATTGATTGAAGCACCCTAACTACTGAATCCTGATTCCTGACGATATTTGTCTTACCAATATTTGTTAATCGAATATTATTTTCTTTCACATTCAGAGCCGCCTTCAGCTCCTGGAACGCCGGAAGCAAGTGACATTGGGACAGATTCATGTCGTGTCATCTGGGAGCCACCTAGTACAGATGGTGGTGCACGCCTGACATTCTACCATCTAGAGAAAAGAGCAAATCTTAAAGGGAACTGGGTGCGGGCCTGTGCAGATAAACTGCCTGTCCTGCCAAACGAAGTTAAAAGTACTTATGTGACAAAAGTTACTGGCCTTGTGCCAGACAATGTGTATGAGTTTCGTGTAGCAGCTGAAAACGCCGATTTTATGGTTGGTGAATACTCTAATCCAAGTCATAGAATTTCAACACAATTACCATTTTGTAAGTCTTGTTGTATTTATTGCTTCCTTTTCAAAATAGTATTCTTATTATCAGATTAATTAGCTGACACTGCATCCCCAAAATGAGCACCGGCTATACTGAAATGAAGTATATTGCATCACAGGTGAATATGAAATACTGTGACAGAGGAAATATTCCCCTATCAGTTTATTATAGAAATTTGTAATTGTGGGGAAAATGTTTCTCCAGACAATACCACTTTCAAATTTCTGTTAATAAAATGAATATTACAAAATAATAAATATAGAACTACCGTTGTCATGATAGCCCATTGAAAATGACTTACTTCTGCGTTAAATTAGAGGGTCCATTCCTCCTGCTAAGATTAAAACTACTTATCTAAAATGTATTCCTTAAATACTCTATTACCGTTTATTCTTTAACTTGCTTTCAATTTAGCTGTACCCGGAAAACCGTCAAGGCCTGAGGTTAAAAATGTCACAGAGACAACTATTGGTCTTGGATGGAAAGCTCCATATGATGATGGCGGTGATTCGGTGAAAAAATATATTGTCCAATACAAGGTGAGTTGAATATTCAGTCTCTCTCACAGGCACACATTCTAATGTGTGTGTGTGTGTGTTTCATTTGTTATTTATGCGCAAACTAAATTTATCTGAAAGGACTAGAACACCTTGGCTGTACGCCTCCTGATGAACGTGATTTGAAACATGGCTATTTTGTGTTGAGTTGTCATTACAGCCACCCTGCAGTTACGAAGATGCTTTCAGTCTTTGTTTTTCATATTTAACTGGAGACAGAAATGGATGAGGTTCTTTCATTTAAGTTTGACTAATCTTTTATTCCCTTACGTTCCTAATGAAACAGGGCCTCAAGCTAGAGCTGTGAAGTGCCGGTAGCAGTGGTATTTATTTTTACGGGATGGGGTTGCTAACCTCATGCCCAACCTTCCCTCTTTACCAACCTTACTACTTGCTTAGCGAGGTAAATGAGCGCGTCTAATATTTATTTTATTTGTCTCCTTTAGTTTCTAGAGGAATATAGGACTTCAGCCGCGTCTAATGTATAACTGTTAAATTAATAATCCCCCTGGAGACATAAAAACAAAGAATTCAGAGAAGAAAATTCACTTTTCAGTGGTTTAATTTTCATAACTATACAATCGTATATATACACATATTTAAAAAAGACAGTAACAATCAGTTTCTCTTGTGTGTATGTGTGTTAAAGTTTGACATTGAGTGGAAAAACTAAAGTGCGGTAATATTGGTGTATAGGGTTATGGGTCACCATAGGTTAGATTTATAATTGAATAACTGAATAGATAGAGGTCAGCCTAAAGTTCAGTAGACGACAAGTATGAAACAGGTGATTGGAAAATAAAGTACATCGGAAATATGAATATGTGAATATAATATGATAGAAATATAGGATGATTGAAATGTTGTCAAAATAGTAGATGAGATGAAATGCTAGGATATGATAAGATAAAGTGAAATCAATAAAAAAATGGAACATCGAATGAAGAAGGATAACAAAGTTGTTATGTGAATTACATAGTTAAATCAAGAGCATGGTAACCATGTTAGATGAAGATGCATATTTTTACTATAGCAAATTACTGCTAGGAAATCCGGAACAATAATAATGTAATTAGAACAAACTTCTGAGTCGCTCGTAAAATCCGAAACATAAGATTAACCCAAATTGAATAAATTAATAGATAAATAAATAAAATATCCGTCCTAATTGAGAGATGTTCAAGCTTTATGCCGTCAAATGCACTGTCAGTGTGCATCAATGAGAAAAAACAACAGCAAAGCAGAGTCAAAGGTGATCCGCTTGGGGACATGAATAATAATGCACGAATGTACATGTCAAGAATAGAGCGTTGAGCAGAGAGTGGAACATGGAGAAGAAGTGTGCATCAAAGACAGTTTAACCGTAGGAAGATAATTACACTAGACTGAATAGAATGTTTATAGAAAAAGTGAGATAAATTCCAATAGAAATCATTAACCATAGTACCGATGTAACGAAAAGGTGAACAAAATGTCAACTTATGCCACTCGCTACTCATAAGTAGTATAATTTGAACAAATGAAAAATATGATAAAGAATGGATAAGTTAGGAATTAGCAAACGTCAACATTAGTAGTTACAATAAGAGATGTTCTGAGAATGAGATTTTACCATCTGAATAGAAATAACTATTTCAAGACTAGGCTGCATTTTTCTCATGTCTGGTAATAATAAATATAAATAATAATAAATAATTTTTCCTTCACGTTCCCCAGTGGAACATAGGGCTTCGAGCTGGTAGCTTGAAGTTTCTGTAGCAGAGTTTTTATTTTACAGGATGGGGTTGCTGGCCTCATGCCCAACCTTCGCTCTTTACCAGAATTATTTCTGGCTTAGAGAGGTAAAGGTGTGCGTCGGCCGAGGATCGAACCCCGGACCATGTGCATGGTCGGCGAGCGTCCTAACCGCTATACCACCGACGCACGGTAATAATAAGCGCACTTTTTGAAGGGATTAGTATCTTTGGACACCTTCAAAGTCAGATCACATATGGTTGGTGGTGATACATTACACCCTGTGTGGTAGGAATTGAAATTTCCAATGCTTTATTAAGCGTTTGTGGAACCATATACTAGCCTGATAGTTGGTTCACAGTTAGGCAGACTGACCTTTTGTTCACAAAACTACCTGCGTTGCCCCTAGTATCCCATCTAAGTCACCTGTTTGCGACAGTGAGGCTAAATTTTCGACTGTCTGTATAAGGATGAAGGAGATTTTCTAGTCTTATGACATAATGTGGCAGTCACGTTCTCTCTACATTCTGTGCTTGTCTCTTTTTAATGATTTGAATTGAACTGACTGAAATGTTACTCAGTTTACTAGTTACTCATCATTTTACTGACCCCTTGTCTTTCTGAGCACTGTCTGTAAAGTTTGGAGCCTCCTATTAACCGATATCATGTAACATTTGCAAGTATATTAAAAGTATATCTGTACACAAGCTTAATGATTTCTTTAGACTGTACGCGGCTGATGAGAAGCCAACAAAATAAATGGTGATACCGTCATACGATGAAATTAGATGCAATATTGTAGATATGTGCTGAAAATTCCACACTGTACCACAAGTACTGTTTCTGGAATAAAGCGAAATTGTTATTGTTATTATTATATTCTGCACAAACCGTTCTTCTTGCTTTATTCAAATCCTTTATGTATGTATGCATGTATAAACCTGAGTAAGGCAATGGGAAGGGGAAAGACACTGTCACTTATCCCTTTCAGTTAACTTCAATTCCTCTTTGTAATACAACACAATTTTACCTAACATGTCTCACCCTATTACGCAGTGTTCTATTTATCCAGCAGTTTTGTTAATCTTACATCCCTTTCTAAAATATGTCCATTCTATAAATTATCTTGTAAATTACGTAACTCATTTATAAAGTTATATTTGTAAAATCTCAGCGAAATTGAAATTGAACTTCTTCAGGGAAATTCGGACCAGATTGCCGAACGAAACGTTGGAATTAATCATTTCAATGTCGCTGAGATTTTACAAATATAACTTTATAAATGTCTACTTCTCACTCAGCGCTCAATTATTTTGCAACTATCCGGTCAAATCTTGATCACAGTTCGTATGAATTACGTAACTCACTTTGCTATAGCTCTTAGCGGATCTACTACTTAAGTGTATAACTTCATTGATGGAGACAAGAGCACTAACTGTCTGTTGCGTCATTTCAATCTCTTACATATTCTATTTTTATCTAGAGCACATCGTCATCCGAATGGAAAACTGCCAGTGAAATGCCGGTTGATTTGGAATTCACTGTATGCCATTTGCAATCTGATGAACAGTATGAATTTCGGGTTGCAGCTATCAATTCAGCAGGTCAAGGACCATGGTCTGATACTTCTGAACCTTGTCACCCAGCTAAAGCCATTGGTAAGCTGATGTTTGCTAAACTTCATTACATTGTTTCAAACCACGTACTTTTCAGTATTCATTCTGTAGACATTTCACTTATGATACCATATCTAAGCTTTTCAGAGAATTTATTCCCCTAACTTCACAGCAGCAATTATGTGTTTAATTATTTTTGTACGTGTGTGTACATTCAGTCTGTCAAAAATAACAGAAAATGAATTAGTTTAGAATATTATTCACATGATCAAAATATTTCGGAATGGTGAAAATTAGTGAGTTTACAATAAATGTCCAGTAATCTAAAATAATGTTGAGAAAGTTGTGTGTTAATGAGAAGAGCGAAAGACAACTACACACTATTGGTTGATTGCTATGACTAATTGGATATCACTCAAATCACCACGCAGTTCTTGCTAGACCAATCTAAGTGGTTTAAACACCAGATAGCCATCTCACTAGTTTCGGACCAAGCTTGCCAGTGATTTGCCCCGTTTGGCACAGTTTCAAGAGACGAATCGGTTCCAGCCACTCGAATTCTGGCTAGGTACCGAGGTGAAGTGTTAATACATACTTGTGGAAAACATTCCAAATATTCTATAGAAAGAATTACTTTTTTTGAACTGATTTCTTACTAATTTATAAGTGGAATTTGTTGCTACACCAGTGCTACTACTGATAACAGTAATAATAATTCATTTCATCAATTAATTTCAGAATCCGCCAAACCTTCTTTGGTCAGCCCATTAAATAATATAACGGTGTTAGTTGGCCAATCAGTTGAATTAAACTGCGATTTCCAACTGGGTGATCCAAAAGGAAATGTGACTTGGTAAGTTTTATGTCAAATGAATACACAAAATTCAGTATTACTACACATTTTTGTATTATTTGTGGTACTACACAAATAAAACGTCGACTAAGCAATATAGTGTAACATACTGTATCACAAACTAAGCTTTTTTGTTGGAGACACTTCGAAATTGGAGCTGGCGGATTTCAGCGAACGGGTAACCGGGTGGACACTGGATCTCTAGACTTCATAATCACTTGACAACTAAGTTTTGCGTGAAATAAATATATGTGCCGCAGTCAGACAGATTTCACACTTTTATCTGAATCAATTGTTGTAGTGTTCACCGTTTTTATTTTCGACAATTTTACCATCTTTATTCTATGTCACCTTTAACCAAAATGGGAGAATTAAAAAGTGCATTATTTTACTAAAAGCTCTTTACTGGAATAACTTTAACTGTTTTATAGCCCAGAAGAACTTTCATGTAGGATATCCAATATTGGATGATGTTGTCAAAGTGTCCGTATTCTCAACATATTTGTACAATTTCATCTCAGGCGTATCTACGAAGATTTCGTATTTTCCAGGGAGATCGCCTAACTAATTTAAAGTACATCGATTATCTAAGCAAATTAGATGAAGATGCACATTATTAATACTGCAAATTACTTCTAGGAAATCCGGAACAATAATAATGTAATGTGATGTCATGCAATCCAAAACATAAGATTAATCTAAATTGAATGAATAAACAAATAAAATATCCGTCCAAATCATGAAATGTTCGCGCCTTATGCCGTCAGATGCACTCTCAGTGAGCATCAATGAGAAAAAAACAAAGCAGGATCAAAGGTGATCCGCGTGTGGACATGAATTGCGCTCGAATGTACATGTCACAAGAATAACGAGATTCGAATAGAGTGTTGAGCAGAGAGTGGAACATGAAGATAAAGTGTGCATCAAAAACAATTTAATCGTAAGAAGATAATTACACTAGACCGAATAGAATGTCCATAGAAAAAGTGGGATAAATTCGAATAGAAATCAATAACCATAGTACCGATGTAACGAAACGGTGAACAAAATGTCAACTTATGCCACTCGCTACTCATAAGTAGTATAATTTGAACAAATGAAAAATATGATAAAGAATGGATAAGTTAGGAATTAGCAAACGTCAACATTAGTAGTTACAATAAGAGATGTTCTGAGAATGAGATTTTACCGTCTGAATAGAAATAACTATTTCAAGACTAGGCTGCATTTTTCTCATGTCTGGTAGTAATAAGTGCACTTTTCGTAGGGATTGGTATCTTTGAACACCTTCAAAGTCAGGTTACATATGGTTAGTGGATGGAGGATGTGATACATGACACCATTTGTGGTAGGAATTAAAATTCCCAATTCTTCATTCAGCGTTTGTGGAACTATGTCTTTCTTCCCTTCCTTATATATGGCTGTACAGAACGGTCGTTAATTGTAAAAGAAACCAGGGAAAAGACTCAGTGCTCTTTGGTTTCGATTATTCTGAGTCTTATCACATCTTTGCTCTGCTTTATGTGTGCTGGTTTGAAAGGTGGCAAATCAAACTGCTACTCTTCTGCGAATAGCCCTACATTGATACACCAGACACCAAGTCAGTCAGGCAGTCGAAGCCTTGGATATATATTCTGGTGACTGACATATATCATTACAGCTTTAAAGAGAATTTCAGGGATTATTTTCTTGGGTATAATAGCCAAAAGTAGTCAAAGTAATCAACCTGCTGACACATAAAGATAACTAAGTTCATGTTATTGTCTAAGAAAGTGAGGATTGTGCGTCAGATGACTGATGAAAGTCAACCCGAAAAGGTTATCAAGGTTCCGTACTCTAATTAATATGATAATAAGGTTTTTCGCGAAGGTAAGTTAGACTTGTAATGTATTTAAGGTTTTTATAATATCTGCCTGAATCATATTAGTTGATTTATAACTAGGTAGCAAGTAGCTTTATTTTTAGTTTGTCTTGAGAGATAAGTAGATTGAAATTTTGGAAAATATTCTGTCTCACAGAAAATCATTTTTAAACTTATATTAATAGGCTGAAAGATGGCAAACCAATACGAAGTCAAGTCAAGTATTCAACAAGTTCTACTTGGGAACGGAGAGCCAACCTGAAGATAAATCGTGCAAAGTTAGAGGATGCAGGTGTGTTCAGTTGTGTAGCAGAGAATCCAGCTGGTAAGGCTGAAACTACTTGTCGTGTTACTGTTGCTCAAAAGCCAACTTTACAGCTGGAATTAGACAAATCTGGATCGAGTAATGTAAGCGGAACAATAGGAAAACCAGATCAGTTAACTGGTCGAGTTGGTGGTTGTTTAGTACTGAAAGCCACCTGTGAAGCTGTCCCAGACTGTGAGTCAATTGTATGGTTCATCAACGGGAAACAAATTGATTCAAGCTTGGATTCAGAGTTGTTGTCTCGCGTAATAGTTAACGATACTCTTACAAGCCGAACTTCAAGTGGACCAAAACCCTTAGTTTCTGTATTGACCATCAGTAATCTTTATCTCTCTGATGCTGGTGATTATGGATGCAGTTGTATGAATGAAGTGGGAACTGCTCAAGCTGCTATCAAATTATTATTATGTGATCGTCCACAACCACCAATGTCTATTGAAGTAACTGAAAATCGTGGCCAAGATTGGATAGAAGTTAAATGGGAGAGACCAGCTAGTGATGGTGGCTCTAAACTGACACGGTATGTTATTGAACGTCGTATTGTCTCAGGTGGTCAAAATACATCGGTTCGTGAGACAAATTGGTCTAATGTTGGACAAACTGGACCTTATGATGATCATTTACGAATTCAAAACTGTGTACCTGGAACAGTGTACTCTTTTCGTATTTTCGCGGAAAATGAAATTGGTATGAGTGATCCCACAGAAATAGAATCACCCTATCAAATGAAATCATATACAGGTACTGTCAAAGTGTTTAAATTGTGTAAATAGTATCTTGATTATTTATTTCCAGTTTACTGAATCCTATTACGTATATCTATATCACATATTTGAATAAGTGGGTTGGTAAATACACTTCGGTTATATTATGAATAGTGAGAAGCAACAAGTTGGCAGAAGAGGCATCAAAGATACGACTTTAGGTGAATATAGAGAAAACAGGGGTGATGAAGATTCCTGGCCAACACCAACAGCAACAACAACAGACAACAATCAGCATAAATGGGAGGAGCCTGAAAGAAACAACCTCCTTTACCTGCTTACCTGGGAAGCATCGTTTCAACTACAGGCAGATGGAACTGACGAGGATATCAAAGCCAGAATTGGCAAAGCAAGACAAGCTTTCATTACTCTCATGTCTGTGTGGAAGTCAACAGCACTCAGAATCAAAAATAAGATCCGGATTTTCAACTCCAATGTGAAGTCAGTGCTACTATACGGATCAGAGACTTGGTGAGTCATAAAGAACATCTCAAACAAACTCCAGACCTTCGTTAACAGTTGTCTTCGCTCAATATCACTCAAGATCAGATGGCTGGTCATAAAAGATCAGCAATAGCGATCTCTGGTAATGAGCAAACAAACCAGGAACCGATTGTGAAACAAATAGTCAGGAAGAAATGGAGATGGATTGGCCATAATCTGAGGAAACCAACAAGTGACATCACTAGACAAGCCATTGCTCGAGTGGAACCCGAAAGGGAGGCGGCGAGTTGGTCGTCAGTGCAAGGGTGAGGGTGACTTGGAGGAGGTCATGTGAAGAGGAGATGAAAGCATGTGGGTAGGCTTGGAGCGGGTTGAAAAAGTTGGCGGAAAACCGAAGGCAATGGAGACGCGCGGCCGAAGCCCTACGTTCCTCTAGGAATTAAAGGAAATAATAAATAAATAATAATATTATGAATAAATAGATACAAGAATCTATCAAGGTAGTTGGTTCATGCTCATCTAATGAATAGCTGTCGAGAATGCTGCTTTACTTTTGTCATCAAACAGCTTTGTATAGATATACGTTAAAGAGTGATTCATTGAGTAAAGAAGTATATTCCTCTTGTTCAGTTAATAACATTTTTTATCTGCCTAATTTTTTCACTTTCTTATTTATGCATTATTAGTTATTCTTTGTAACGGACTTTTCTGACCAGTAGGATTCTAGTTTCTTACAAAGGGAAATGGTTACCGCTGGTTATAGTCCTGTCAACACTGTACTGTGAGAGATAAGCTATAAGAGTAGGGCCGTAGTCACAATGATCATAGCATCGATCTCATGAACATATGAATTAGTCTTCCGTTACTTCCTAAAGTGAGATAGATTAACTTTACACAACCTTTCCCATATACACCCATCTTCAATAATCCTACTAAGTGCTAGTAAACTGATTGCAAGATATACAATTTTCTGTTTACATTTTTAATGATAAAACAGTACAAATTAATAGAAATGTTAACAAGAATATTACTAATGACGAGACGCTTTGCAGTAAATTAGTAGTTTCATGCCTAATACTCTTCTCATCACATAAAACGGCTACCAAACAAGATATTGTTGAGCCTTTTTATATTTGTAGTCCGAGGATAAAGTCTTTTATAATTACTCCTCGTCCTACTTGAGACGATTCAAGAAGATAGCTATGAAGAGTGAGGACACTCACAGCCGGACAAGATGAAATTCGCCAATTTCTCACTTGAGATCATGTTTCTGTCCATAACAGTATTAAAACGAGTTGGCTTATCGGAACATCACTTACCCCACTGACAGTCTTTAGCTTCCTTTGAGATGTGACAAAGTTTACTTTCAAGTAGACCAGGAAAAATTAAGAAGGAACAATGAACAGGAACAGGTAGAAGAGTTAGCAAACTGTAGAAGTAGAGGTTCAGTGATTCCAGATTGTCTTAACTTCCCAGTGTAAAAGGTTAGATGAAATATTTTTTTTAGGAATCACCAGAACATGGGATGACTTCATTTCAAGATAACTAACACTCATATTAGTTTCTACTTCAGTACCCTCTATGTTAAAGGAATTGAACCTCGTAAAATTTTATTGTATATATCTTTAAATTTCTTTTTCAAATATTTATTTTATAGCAGACGATAGGTAATGAGATTTCTTTAGGTTATGGGTGCTTTCGGAGTATTGTTTTTGTATAACTGCATCACAAGGTAGGAATTATGGTTTTTCACTGTGGACAAGGCAATAAACACAACTGCTTAGTTTGCAAATACTCGTTGAGTAAGGAGACTGGAATAACGTGTTATGCATTACTGAGCCACCTATCCGTCATCTTGAAAAACAGTGTCAGCTACATTAAGGTTAGGGTGTGTTAAAAACGATAGGAGTTATTGTGCAAAGATAAGATATTAGACCATGAAGCCCCCTCTAACTCCTATACTGATCTGTTTAGTGAAGTATCGACTGTCTGAATGGGCTTTTACGAAATAATGAGAGTTGCGGCGATCGGACTCAATAGCACATCTACACTCACTCTCTTTTATGTTCAAAGCAATAAACATGTCATAAATTTTCATTCATTTTTTCCTACTTCATGTCATATCCTTTATATCTTAGAATCTTCTACTCCCGTTAATTTTATCCTCGTTTTGCTGTAAAGTGTAACATTTGAGTTATTTTGTCTGTCCTTTGTCTAAGTGATATTGTTTATCCGAGAGTTCATACAGTTCATATGCTAAGTCTTATATTTGGTATTGGCTGTGTGATGTGTGAATACAAAATAAATGTTTTATTGTATAGCAGGTACATCAGTGTATGAAACATGCCCAGTTATATTTGATTCTAAGTCTGTATTTTCTTTTTCTTACTGTCTAGATGTACCATCACCTCCAACTCATGTCAAAGCAGAGCGTTCTTCACCGAGAGAAGCTAAAATCCAATGGCGTCCACCTACTAGTGATGGTGGAGATTCTATTCAAGGTTATATGGTTGAACTACGCGAATCACCAGATCCAAAAAGTCAATATGCATCACAATGGACACAAGCTAGTCCAAAATTGATTAGATCTGGAACTACTTTAAAAGTTGACGATTTACACCCGGATATGTTTGTTCAATTTCGAGTACGTGCTCGAAATCCAGTTGGATTTAGTGAACCGTCTGAACCATCTGAATGGATTGAGCCTATTGTAAAAGGTAAGTAGACACTTCCTTCTATTTAAATGTCACACTGTCAATCAACCATTTGTGTACTTGATGTACCCAGCTGATGTATAGCTTACTAAGTGTTTATCACACGATACAAAGACGGTTCACCCTAGTCTCTGGAACTAACTATTTCCCAACTAGTCAATTTCTTAAGCACGTGTTTTTAAACGTCAGCCGGACATTCTAATTAATGTAATCGAAATCACTAATCTGCTTAAAGACAATTCAAGCACACTGTGTGGCCCTCCTTACCAGTTTTAACAAATATTAGCTGTCAGTTGGTATAAAGTCAAGCATAGTCTAATCTTCATTACTTATGACTGAACCTGCTCAGTTCGCAACTCAAGATGACCACCTATGGGACAGAGTAAGTGTATGCCAAATGCTCACCTAGTAATAACAGATATTGTTATATTATCGTAATTGTTAACTGAGATATGTCGGCTAATTGTAACCCAATGATGTATGTTTGGATCTTGCACTGAACATGAGGTTCCGCAAAGTTATACACATATATCATACTGGTGAGACTGTCAGTGAATAGGAAAACTAAGCAAAGCACTTCCTTCTGCTTTTTATCACGTAACACATTCACTGATGAGCATTATGTCAGCAGTAGTGGAATAACAATGTTAAAGAAGACTTCTCCTCCAAACTGGTAGTGTTTCTAACCGAGCTTTCACTGTCATTCTCACAGTAATGTTTGACTTCTTTATTTATGTACTTAGAATTAGTGACCTGCTACACAGACAAGCCCTTCTTTCCTTAAACTGTAATAATGATTATGGAAATGTGGTCATAGTATAATTACTGTTCGACTTCTTGCCTAACCTGGTACAAGTTGAAATTTTTTTGTTATCGTGTGGTATGATTTGCCTTGTGTATTTAAAGTATTCGCAAAGAAATACAGCAGAATAAGGCGTGCTAATACTCTGGAATTCAATAAGCCTTTATATGTTCAGTGTCACACACTGAACTACAGAATGATAGATACAGAACAGGCCTTACCATCTCATCAGCAGGTACAACAAGAGGGCTTTTTATTATCATGAGGCACTTATTATATCAGTTCAAAGGTAATGTAACTCATCTGAGTTACTAAACCCCTCCGAGCTGTTCTATCCTAGTTTGGTACACTTTAGAAGTGCACACCCACGAAACTACCAGGAATCGAACTAAATACCTTCGTAGTACGAACCAAGACAATTAACCTTTCAGCCATCAGGGAAGGAATCTAATCACAAATGAATTCTAAGTTCTTTAACTTGCTTCGATTAGTGACAAAATCTACCCTGAAACTGTACAATTAAACACCTGAAAAGCAAAATGTATTTATTGGTTTAAATCAGTGGAATGAATCCGAAGAGACATTTTAGTAACCGCGTTTTAGCTAGAAATACGTTCATTCAGCTAAGCACATTATTTCGAAGAATTCATGTATAATGTATCGTAATTATAATAAATGGTTTTAAAAGTTGTCATTTTAAATCCCGTATCTCAGAATTCAAAACTGTACACAGTACTGTTTTACCTACAACGATTAAGAAGTTCACATTTCTTTTTCTTTAATAGAACGTCGTGAAACTACCGAAGAAACGTCTCGACGAGATGGTGTGACGAAGTTACCAAAAGATACACAACCTCCAATAGATATATTACAAGAGGTTATTGCTCTTAAAGAAGCAGGCCGTCCAAAGAAGAGTATTGTTACAGGTTTGTTCAAGCTATTTGCTGAATAACAAAGTTTTCAATTATGTTAGTTTATGCTATTTTAGCGTATAAACAACTTTGATTAGTACATGTGTACTCTTCAAGTAGCTTATTTATTCTTTTCCGAACTAGCCTATACTGCTTATTCTGACATCTATTGATGGCTTAGTCATACTGCTCGGTTTCGACTGAGTACTGTTGGTCTAAGCTTCTTAGTTGGTCTTTAAAATCAAGTGAATCAACACTGGTGGACATTGCATATAATTTTAAGAGTTCAGAAACTATCGCTAATAATATGTAAAGAATATATTTGAAGCAAGATCATTTTCTGATTTCTTTTTCTGCTTTTTTTTTGTATAGAAGCGCCTAATTTACAACTTCTGGGTGAAAGTAGCTATCGTTTAAGACCAGGAAATAACCTACGTGTTGGTGTACGTGTAGACTCTGGGTCTAAAGCCAATGTCGAACTTTTAACAGCAAGTGGACAACCTCTACTGGGAAACACTCTTGGAAGAACTCGTGTAGAGCAATTCGGTGATGATTTCTACGTAAATCTACGTAATATCAGTCTTTCTGATGCAGGCAGTTATTGTATAAAGGCGAGTAATTCAGCTGGTGAAAGCAGTCAGTTAATTCATTTGACTGTTCTCACGGAACCCCTACCACCGAAAGCACCACTTTTAGCCAAAGTTATTGAAAGTCCTAAAGAATATTCTGAAGGTGCAACTGTCGAGTTGACATGGGGGCCTTCACCACTGCGTGATGGGGAGTCAGTAGAACATACTTCACCAGTTTTAGGCTATTGTGTTGAACGACGTGAAGGTCAACGCCGACAACACTTTAATTATCCTATTCAGTTAAAAGGTGCTGACAAATTATCTGTAAGAATAAATGATTTGAAACCAGGAGTTGAATATGTCTTCCGTGTAAGTTCATACAACGATGTTGGAGCCAGTGAACCAACGTATTCAGAACCACTTGTAATTAAGTCACCCTACGGTAAGTTCCACGCAATTATTTTAATGATATGTCTTCAAAATTGTATGAGTTAAAAGTCAGTTAATCTGGAATCCTTCATTACTCAATAGAAACCCTGAAAGATTCATTGTTATATTAACCGCTTGACAAATTGGTATGCCATATCCCTTTCATAAAATCACATCATACTAAATGCTAAAAAATGTAGAGACCTTTATAATATTGTTCAGTTATCCAGGTGTAGTTTAGGCAATATTTGTCATAAGTCTGACATCATGAAGACTATATGGATTCCTATTTCATTTGGACATGTTTTTTTCTCGTTCATGTTCCCCAGTGGAACACAGGGCTTCAAGCTTGTGGCTTGAAGTTTCTGTAGCCGTGTTTATTTTACAGGATGGGGTTGCTAGCCTCATGCCCAACCTTTCCTCTTTACCAGCATTATTTCTGGCTCAGCGAGGTAAAGGAGTAAGTTGGTCAAGGATCGAACCCTGGACCATGTGCATGGTCAGCGAACGTCCTAGCAGCTATGCCATCGACGCATAAAATCTGGAAATACTGGACAGCTGTTTCGCCCTAGTCTGGAACCCTTCACCAGTACGCGCCCACCAGGATTCGAATGCATGGCCTTCTGGTTACAGGGCGAGCTCATAGGCCATTAAGCCACTGATTCTTGTTGGACATGTGGTGAGACGAAATACTTTTATAAGAATAGAGCTTGTGCACTGTGGTAGAGTATAATTCCATTATGGAAATACTTTTATGCGAAGACTGCACTTCCCATCAATCCTAAGTCAAGCTGATTGGCCACTGGTGGTTTTAACTAGCACTAATGAGAATAATAAAAGTTTTCTCAGTTAATCTATGAGGTTTAATGATATACTTTTTACTACTGTCTTTTTCGTGGTACAAAATAATGTTATTTCATGAACCTAAAAGATACCAAATTCAGTGGAGGAATACAAATTGCGAATTTGATTCAATGTATTAACATTTCTCCCCTAGATAGCTGACCAGTTGGAAATTGGTTGGTTTTACCCTATTCGACTCTTTGAGCCGAGTCGAATCGGGTACACCGCCGATGACCTCTGCTGCAAACAAGCAAACCGATTGCCTAGTGTTTAGACCCCTTCCATCTAATTAACATCCATTACTGGTTGATATAAATGCTATCCAACCGCTTATATCAACCAATCAGTAATATATTCCATCATGCGAAAATGCACACACGTGTATTTATCTTGATATCTCCTACTTATGTGATATTTAATCCATGATTTCCATTGGCAGTAATGTTTGTTAAAGACAAATTGAAACTTCATTTAATTCCCAGTGTATTTCGTCCATAGTGTGACTGTTTATGGTCATTTTTATCTCACTGTCTCAATGAAATAAAAAGATCGCTGTTGGCCGATTGAAAGCCGCAAAGTATTATGAATCCATTCCACTGAGTTCTATTCTACGTTAACTAATGTCAGCTCATGATGAAATCTTGAAACCAATCAAATCCCTACAAACCAACACTTGAATACGTTAGAACAGTTTGAAACAACTAGACATTTTACAGTGTTATGAGTTTTACTCATTCAGATTAAGGGATAAACCGAGAAAATATAACGTAACAAAGATTAATGTAAATTTAGAGTTCATATAAAAGAATAATATTATTATTTATGATCAAAGCCGTATGACTACCAGGACTTTGCTGATTAAGCAAACAAATTTTTGCTAATTTTGTCTATAAGCTAATTTGAAACTAAACGATTTAAAACCAGAGCTAAGCAGAAAATCTTTTTCCTCTAAATTTAAAGATTAATACTGCCACAGTTTGTTTTCCACTACACATACTACAACTCTTCTTCCAATCTTTTGTATGACGTTTATCTTGCCTGTACTATTCACCAAGTTCTGTAATTATTATTTAAATCACTCTCTTGAAACGTATTAAATACATCTCCGCCTGGCTTAATAGAAAATTAAATCCTTTTTTCCACATTTCTTTTGGTTAAGGTGTTCCTGATGCTCCTAAAGGACCATTGGTTTGCTCCGATTTAACGGATTCTTCCCTAAAGCTCAGTTGGTTGCCGCCTGAGGATGATGGTGGTCTTCCCGTGAAAAGATACTGCATTGAGATTAAAGATGTTGGTCATCCAGCTGGATGGATACCTTTAAGTACTGTATCAGCAGATTCTACTTCTTACTTGGTCAGTGGTTTGCAACAAGGATTTGCTTATCGATTCCGTGTAAGAGCTATCAATGATGAAGGACCAGGTGATTGGTTAGAAACAGACAAATCCATACCTTTCCGTCGTCCTGTTACAAATCCATCTCAACCTGAGGGACCTTTACGCATGCTACCAGATGGTGATAAAGCAGTCCGTTTGACCTGGAACGCCCCATTAGATGATGGTGGCTCTCCTATAAAAGAATATATAGTAGAAGTATGCATGGATAGATCAGGAGAACACTGGCAACCTGTTGGGGAGGTACAAGGCCTAAGCAAGCATGTTGAAAATCTTGTTCCAGATGGGATTTACAGTTTCCGTATCACTGCACGTAATGAAGATGGTAAAGTTGGTCCACCTTTGTACTCAGAAATCTACAAGCCGGGAGCACCTATGACTCCACCTGGACAGCCTGTTGGTCCACTCAAAGCTACTTGTACTGGAATCGGTCAGGTGAGATTAGAATGGAAACCTCCGGTAGTTGGCGGACGAAGTGGTTGTGGAGTACCTGATGAATATTTAGTTGAACGCTATGAACCTAAGAAAGCACGCTGGGCATATGTAACTCGGCAGAGTGCTTCTGCCGGAACAAGTTTAGTGGTAAGTAAAAATCTGATCATTTGATAGTAGTATTATGATAAGAAAATTTGTATAACCAAGTGGTATAACTATGCTTTATTTCTTTATTAAGGTCTCTAATTTGCAACCGGGTTCTGAATGTCAATTCCGTGTACGAGCTGAAAACAGAGCTGGTTCTGGTCCTTTCCTCGAATCCGACCGTCCAGTTACAATCATTAGCCCATTCAATCCACCAGGTCCACCTGAAGGTCCGATGAATATATCAGAAGTTCAAATGGGTGCCAGTCGAGCAGACTGTTCAGTTCGTATTTCATGGAGACCTCCTATAGATACAGGTGGATTACCACTTATACGTTATATTGTACAAATGCGTTATGCTAATACACCAGGTTGGCACAGAGTAACTGGGGTTCAAAGAACAATTAGTACAGATGAAGTTAGCAGCAAATTAGACACAGGAAAGATAGATTTAGCCACCAGTTCGTTGGTGACTGGTTTAATGCAAGGTCAACGTTACGTTTTTCGGGTTGCAGCGGTGAATGAAGTTGGAACAGGTGCATTCTTAGAATCTGAAACATTTGAAATGCCTGAAGATGATAGTGAGTTTGTTCAGCATATTTTTCTATTGAAATGAGTGTGTATTTGATCTCACCATCACCAAGCGGAATTCACAAATCACTGAGTAATCGTCAGATTATACTTTCCACTAGATAATAAGAAATAGTGACATCCTTATTTCTTCGTGGAAATCGAGATGAATTCTTTCCCGCCATCTATGTTAGACACATTTCTATCACAAAGGATGAGAAATATTCATGTCGCTACAATTTCCAACTTTACAAAGAAGTTAAATTGCTATGGTAGCACTTAATTTAAATCAGCTTGTGTATTGGATATGGAATCATTAACTTTAGTTGCTAATGTTCGGCATAAGAACAAAGACATTACAGAAACATTTATAACTGTTTGAATGAATGTCTAAATGGAGGTCTAGGCTAGACTTCCTTACTGAATGCACAAGTGAAAACATCCTTTGAAATATCTACCATCCTTAAGGCTGGAGAGACATTGTAGGTACCCTAGGTGGGACGATTACTGAGTAGAACGTTGCTAAAAAGTCATAAAGAAATATCTGAATCACTTATGTTTATGGAATCGATTGTATGCTCTCAGGATCGATTTCTGACTTGAATCCTAATGATGACTTCACTAAACAAGATATTCTTTATATTTCTTTACATGGTAGGTTAATACACCTTGTAGGCAACACTCATAGCCTCTTCTCTTCAGTTACTACTCTCTGTGGTTTTGTCAACACTGTGCATTTTTCAATATTTCTATTACTTCAACCATTTTAGATTAACTTAACCAATACTACATTACAGTAGATTTATTGTCACTCTTCAGTGGCATGAGAAAGTTTGTTCCGGTGCGTATTACATGCAGTCTGTTAGTACTGATTATTCCGTTGACTCACAATAGGCTTGGTGTTATATAATACCTCTCATTTATGTCTAAACCTCGTGATTTTCGGTACACAACCAACTATTACTGTCACATAGTGCTTCATAATAGGTCTTCATTTACTACAAACCAATTGCCTCTTTTCTTTTGATCACTTCCCCTTACAGGCTGCAAACCTAAAGCAGACTGGGTTCGTATTGCCGGGAAATCAGCTGACAGTGTGACTGTGGAATGGCTTGTTCCTCACGACTGTCGACATGACCATGGACCTAATCGTGCACATCACTTAGCCATAGATAGTTTTCGTGTATTTGTTCGACCTGCAACAACTCCTCAACCAAGTGATGCATCTCAGTGGAAACAAGTGGCTGAATTAGATCATTATTTGAATCGTTTAGTAGTGGGGAATTTGAAACCAAATCAATTTTACTATTTCGGTGTAGCAGCTGTTAATCAATCTGGACAAGGTGAAATTATTTCTACTAAAGAGCCTGTTTGCCCAGAAGCTATTACAAGTGAGCGGCTATTTTGCATTACATTATTCTTATTTTACCTTATTTACTTGTGTTTAATTGATACCTCACTGCTTATACAGGTCATCTCTAATAGACAATGGTGGTACAGTTAAAAGTATTATTTGATAGGAACCTGTTTATTACCCAAAAATGGTAGACATTCAAGCAACCAACTCAATGGTAAAGCCTGCTAAAGTGAATAGCTTGCTGGAGCAAAGAAGGAGAATAATTAGTAGCTTTTGAGTGTCATTCAAATGGAATCTAATGATAGGCCTTTTAAACATTATAGAAATCATGATATATTATTGTAACTTCAACACTAGTTATTTTCAGTCATAAATTGTAACGCAGTATACTATGAGACCAATTAACTGCACCGAGACAATGTTATCAGAAGTCTTGTCTATAAATGATGATCTTAATGAACGAACACTGTTTCTCTCATTCATCAGTTGACAATTCTACCTTAACGATTAGGTTTTCCACTCTTAATATCTATTCCCCGACAATTTCTATTGATTCTTTTCTAACTGCTTACTTTTCATAGCTGTACCAAGTCAACCGATTGGACCATTACAAGTATCGAATATAACAGACAACAGTTGTCAGTTGTCATGGTTAAGTCCTGCAAGTGATGGTGGCAGTCCAATATTGGGCTATCGAATTTATAAACGTGAAATGTATCGTCGTAGTTGGCAAGAAATTGGACGCATAACTGAATTATCTGGACTAACCAGTTCAAGACAATTACAATTTCAAGTACAATACTTAATGCATGGTACAGCCTATGAGTTTCGTGTTGTAGCTGAAAATAAAAATGGTCTCTCTGAACCATTGGACACTCAAGCTCAAGTTCATCCGATTAAACAGACTGGTAAGTGATATTTTATAGGTTAAAATGTTTATGGTAGGTTATTTAAAGCCTATCCATAATAAGAATAGAACTTGTGCACTGTGGCAGAGTATAATTCCATTATGGATAAAATTTTATTTTGATAAAGTCTCGCAGTGTTATGCAGTGATATTATTTGCTGATGACCACGTTTCGAGCACAATGTTCATTACTGCTCATAATCATATCAAGGTACTCACACAACTTTCTTGCTTCGCTTATATACATGAGTAAAAATTGATTAGACATTTGAATAAAATCAGCATAAGACTCGCGTCGAACAGAATGGAAGATAAAGTACATTCGGAAATAATATTAACTGGCTTAATCGTCCCATCTTCTCTCCTGGTCACTGAAATATCCAGGAAACCGAGTTTGTTAATCCATTCGAGTTCGGAAGTCACTTGGATATTTCGATGAATGTGATTAAACAGCAATAAAATTCTCAATAGACTTACTATTATTACTGGGTGACATCCGAACTCAAATGGAATGAGAAACTCGGTTTCCTGGGTATTTCAATGACCAGGAGACACTATGGAACAATTAAGCGATATATTTTTCGTAAACAGATATGCAGTGGACAATATGTTCATTTCACCAATCATATTAATGTTATCAATAAAATACAAAAGGATGGGGAATAAGACGGGTGTCGTTAGTCAATAAAATGGGAATTTGTTTCCCAAAAACTGATCGGAATGATAAACACACTCATGCAATCTACTTAGTTTAACCCATTTAAAATTATTTATCGCATTCCAACTTATCTTAATTTTGCTCTGCGAGTTCGTCTTCTACAGACGGCTGAGGCGATTGGCATTCATCTGAAGAAGCCAAGCCTATGTGTACAGAAAAAATTTGTACAGCCACTTTCCCTACCGTGGCCATCGTCACAAGAATGGATAAACAGGACTGCGTCACCCCCCCCCTAAACCTATAAAATTATATTTGTCTAAATTATTTATTTTATTTATTTTGACCACTTTATCTTTAATTTAAGTGTTATTCTTGTAAAATTAATTTATTCTATCCATTTCCACCTTTTAAATCTGTATTGATTTTCTTCGTTAACTATTAACCCATTGACACTGTTTAATTATTGTTAACAAACTTATCGCCATTTAATTGGCAAACTGTTGTATTGTAATTAAAATGCTACATATATTAGAGTAGAGCCAAAGATGAGGATCTAATTGAAAAGTAAATATTCCTTCGCTCAATCTTTCTGTTTTCTAAATGTCTAAATGGGGATTTTTTTCTCCATTTATGAGTGTTGAATGCATATGTTTAAAATACCTGTAATAATATTCTGTATAAAAGTATTCACTGTGGTATAACAAAATTAGTGTAGGATAAGACACCTAGGATAAACTTCTATCTAATGAAAGCCAAATGGTCTTTCCTTTATTTGTTCATCAACGACGAGATGATGTAAACTGGTCGTTGAGCTCGTCTACTTCTCTGCATATATTCATCAGACGGAACATCAGTATAGACTAATTCTTAAGTAGTTATTCACATTAAAGAGATGCAAAACATAGTGAAAACTACTTTAACTTGTTGTCTCCAGAAGTCTTTCTATTCTATTAATCTCTTCACTTGATAAGACTATGTTGTATTTATAATTTCAGCTAAATAGGTGTGTTTTCTCCTGCCTTGAGTAATAAAGTCCAACTAGTGACCGCGATCTTACTTTAATTCACTTTAGAACGGTAGGGATGGTAAACGGAAAACTACTGGTTCGAAACTATTTCGATCACTAGCTAAAGTCAGTTAGAGAACCACTAGAAAGCCAGGGAGTACTGGATAACCGTTTCGCTCCAGCTTGAAGCTCTTCATCAGCACGCACCCACCTTCTGCCTACAAGTCAAGCTCGTTGACCATTTAGCCACTGGGGTCCGATCCAATGGCCTATGAATTCCAACTCGCATCAATTCGTGATTTTAGCGCGACCACCAGCCAATATCACCGGCAATTGTTTGTCCTTACGCCCAACATGGTGGACCCTACTGGTCACTAGACCCAGAGCCCAGGCGACTTCGTCCTGTAGCAATTAGTCACTAACGAGCATCAGATTAATTTCCATACTAATAATAAAATCTCAACAAACTAACTCTTGGAAATATATTTGCTCCACTTCACCCTCATGGTTTACTAACCAAGTTTACTTATCTTCCGATGTTGAACATTTCCGCCTCTAAATTCGTCACTCCGGTACACTGAAGCTTATAAACAACTTCATATTTCTGTTTTGCTAAGAGAGAAAAAAGGTTTACACTTCTCGCTAACATTACAGCCATCTGTGCTTCTCAAAAGCTCAAGTGGGGATGGTGGACAATGTTTCCTCAGTGAAACTGGATATAAAATCACTTCACTTTTTAATCACAGATACCGCATTCGATGTGTTCAACTCATTGCTAACCATCTTTGATACTGCATTAAATATTTAAGTACTGAGTCCGAATAGCTCAGTGGTAACGTCTCTGACTGCAGCACTGGGTGACGCGGGTTCAAATCTCAGACGGGACATGAATTCCTTCAAGATTGAGGTACGCCTTGGTGAGTGCCATTTAGCACGAAACCTAGGTCGAGCAAGACTTCCTATGGCCGACTGCTTCCAACCATCTAATACCAATAATCTACAGTGCATCATGAGGGCAAACTACCTAGAATGATGGCCACATTGTAAACCTGGCTGACAGAATTCAGTCTTCACCAAACAAAGGACTAGACACATCGCACTAGTTACTAGTTTCCAATCAAAGTAAAAGAGATACTTTTTGACTAACCAAATTCTTGACCTCAGTTTTCTTTTCACTATGACTACTTGATGAAATGAATCAGCGCTTAAGTACATTCTTTATGATTCTGGACCATTCATTAAAGGAAGTTACTAGCAAGTCTTAGACTAAGATTTCATTTATGCTGGAAATTTATAAAGGTTTGAGATCAGCTAGATTTCTGGTGTCATGTCAAACTTGACTTGTACAATTTTTTTCACTACCAATCGACTATTTAATGTTTTTCGAGATTTCATTTAAAGCAACTTTATGTCTTGTTGAATGTTACTTCTTCACATTTTTAAGTTGAAGCAGAAGAACGAAATTGGTACTGCATATATATATATATATATATATATATATATATATATACTGGAATGAGTGTTTGGTCTTCCATTAATATCACCACAGACTTATATGAATGTTCATCATAAATGCTAGTATCTATTTCTATGACGGAACGAATATCTTTGTTTGTTTCATTTTAGGTGTCCCAGGACCACCAAGAGGACCATTGCGTGTACGTGAAGTTCCTGGCAGTATTGGAACGCTTGAATTATCATGGTCACCACCACATGAACTTGGAGGATTACCTATACTTGGTTATCAACTGGAAGTTCGCCAGGGTCGTTCATTCAACTGGAAACCATATCCATTGTCTGGTGAACTTATAGCTTGCGGACCTGAATTCAAATTCCAACCGTCACATATTATCACGGATATTCAACCGAATAAGGAATACTTTTTCCGTGTATCAGCTGTTAATAAGGAAGGTGTTGGTTTACCACTAACTGCTGATGACAGTTATGTGAAAAATATTAATTTAGCGCCACCGAAACGCGTAATGGGTCGCCGTATACCTTCGGATGAAACTGATAGCCAAAGTTATGTTAAACCATTATTACAAGTTTCATGGGAATGGACTCCTTTAATGGCACATGAACCTCAACCAACAGGTTTCCAGATTGAACGGCTTGATATAGCATCTCGAAGTGCAAAATGGGAACCGATTGATTTTGTTCCAATTAACGACCGTTCTCAAACAAATTACACTCACCAGTCTGTTTCTCCAAGTCTTGATGGTAGTTACAAGTTTAGGGTGTATACTACATACAATGAAGGTGCCAGTCAACCAGTTGAATCAGGTGTCGTTTTGGCTAGTCAACCATCAGTAGGACGGCCTGATTCACGTGAAACTAGTCATTATATACCTCCAGTTCCATCAGTTACGCTAAGATCTGATAGTAGATTGGGCTATGAACTTGAATGGGAAGCTCCTGAAGGCCGAGGAGCTGAAGAAATTCGTGGGTTTACTCTAGAAGACTGGGATTCAAAGAAGCAGAAATGGGCACCACTGATAGAAATCCCAGCAACTGCACCTCGACAGTTATCTTTGGCTGCACCTTATACTCCTGATAAAGACTATAAGATGAGAATCATCAGCCATGGTGCAACTGGAAAGTCGATACCAACTGAATTTGGTCTGTATCAAAGCCCAAGAGAGTCTGCATTATCTAAACCCGTATCTAGAGACTGGACAACACTACCAAGCACATCAGGTCATCCATCATCTGCATTATACCCCGAAAGAGGTTTTCCACGCAGAGAAATCGATGATGATTTTGATTTGGAATTAGCTATGATTACAGGATATGAATCTGGATCTGTGGATGTAGATGAATTTATTCGTTCTAGGCGCCAAATAGCTCAAGACATAACTCAGCGTACAGCTACACCATATCGCACTCCATCGTCCTTAGGAAGACTCAGTGTATTAGAACGAGAAGGACTGGACTTAAATCGTATTGAAAGTTCATTATATTCAACTGGGAGGTTGACCGCTCGTCCGGGAACTTCTACTCCATCAGGATTACTAATTACAGACCAACTAAGAGCACAAATTGTAAGTCCTACTTCCGTTCATCTCAGCTGGCCTGAACCAAGTGGCCTTTTAGCTCCTGGTAAAATTAATCTCTATGACATACAGAAGTGGGAACCTACTTATGCTAGATGGGTCTCAATCGCAAAGGCTCCATCCAGAGTTACGGACTACACATTGACTGGTCTCCGAACAACAGATGAAAACGGCTGGTGGTTCCGTGTAGTACCTTTGGGTCGTGATGGAGAGTCTGTTGGTGCACCATATCAGATGGCTAAACCACTTTATCCTAGATCCCAACACGCTACAGTACCTTCTTCTGTCTGGGGTGTAGAGATTTCCCCTGCTTATGGTCTAAACAATATGGATAAGCGTACAATTCAAGTTAACTGGATGCGGCCTAGCAATGATGGTGGCTCTGATATTCTTGGCTATCGTCTAATAGTATATGATGCTGATACAGGTGACGATCAAGAGATAGTTGTATCTCCAAAGTTCTTGAATGCTAAGATCGATTCTTTAGAAGCTTTTCATGTCTACAGAATAACTATCACTGCATTCAACCGCGTCGGTGACTCGATTCCAGTTACCTCAACTGTACCTCTACATCCCGAAACACCTGGTCTACCACCTTTACCTCTACCTCCAAGTGACTTCCGAGCTGTTTTAGCTGATCAATTCGGCAAAGAGTATTGTAGCTGCATTTTATCTTGGAAACCACCTTCACTGATCTCATCCCCTGTAGACTTTTATGTAATTGAAAAATGGAGTTCCCAGTCTAAACAATGGATTCCATTCAAAAAAGTTACTGCTGATATACATGAAATTGAGGTTACTCATTTACTTGACGATGTGGATTATGGTTTTAGAATACGATCACAAAATGTCAGTGGGCTAAGTGAGCCATTATGTCTGAATACTCATATTCGACCAAACTTAGCAAAAGAGAAGAATATTCTTGCTTTACCTCCACCAGCTCCTGGAGGACCTTTGGAATTGAAGCCAATTTCTACACCAAATGAAGGTTTATCAAAACTTAAGGAAGTAACAGAGATTGCTAACCGTGTAATGGAGTTATGTTGGAGTCAACCAACTCTCCTACCAGATGAAGTAGGCCCGATCAGAGGTTATGTTATTGAGGCCCGACGAAGTGGTCAAGAGAACTGGGCACTACTTGGACGGCTTCCAGTAACAAGAGATAGATATTGGAATATTGTTTTTGGTCCACAAAATACTAGTTATAGCAGAATGCCATCAAGTCAGCCTTTACATCGTCCAGCTTCTACTTTGACTGAATACTCTGATGTATGGGATAGGAGCATCCCACAATTACTCGCCAAAAGTTATCCTTCTACATCAATGTTACCAGGAGAGCCTAAAGATTATGAATTTCGTTTATATTCAGAAAACGAATTCGGCGTGAGTGAGCCACTTTATTTAAGACCAAAACCGATAAGTTCTTCTATGGCTGTTGAACCTCTTTATGGTAGCTATTCACCCTTGAATATTCGCCTAAATTTATATCACCTCCTAGAGGACCCATTCAAATAGAAACCAGACCAAAATCTTCTTCGTATCAAGACAGAATTCAAAAGGGAAGTGATACTACAACTCCAGAAGATTTGGTTTTAAGATGGAAACCTCCGTATGATACAACGAATATTTCCAGCTATGAAGTGGTTTACAGGACACCATATGAAATGAAATGGCAACCTATTGGTAGAACAGGTCTCTCTGATACAAGTTTAAGAATACCCAGTTCATTGTTACATGATTTTCCACAGACTGTTCATGTTGGTGTTCGTTCTGTCGGAGAATATGTTCCTGAATTGGATAGACGTCCATATTCCGAGACAGTTGAAGAAGTTTTGTCCATTCCACAAAGTATTTTCACCTCATCATCTTACCAACATAAACCTTATAAGACTACAAAAGACGAATTCAGTCTACGACCACCATCAGAAGTTCGTGCAAGTGTTTTCAAATATTCTCCAGATAAAGAAAGTCCTGAAGAAGTGGCTGTTGCTTGGCGTCCACCAAGTGAAAAGTCTGTAGTACAAAGAGGTTTAGATAGCTCACCAGATTCTTACTTGATATTATCCAGAGAGCTGGGTCATTCTGAATGGAAAGAGATTCAAACTATTCCTAGCGATCTCACCAACACTCACATTAGATCATCATTACTACCACAAGGTCGAGACATATATATTGGTGTTGCACCTGTTCGTGGTATTCAAATAGGGCCAATTATGTCCACCTTGGATACCATTAAATTAGCAGAGCCCGCAAATTCACGAAGATTTTCCTCAAGAAGTTCCTTACCATTTATTTCTGGTGAGCCGTTAACTGTTTTACCCGATGGACCAGATGCAATACGAGTACAGTGGAAACCTACTGAAGCATTGATAAGTAAACTACCTGAACGAGGTATTTCAGATTATCGATTGGAAATGAGGCGCCCGTATGACTTAGAATGGAAATCAGTGAAAATACCAAAGAATATAGATTTGATTAATGGAATCTCGCCTATAACAAGTGCATTGGAATACAGATTGGATAATTTGAAGCCAGGTGAACGTATTGAGCTAAGAATAGCTACACGACCAGGTCGTTCTGGACCACCAATTCCAGTAACTGATACTCTGTTCTATCAGTTTATTCCTCCTTATGGTAAGATTTTCAACTTATATTTTCATTTCCGTTGTGCTCTCTACATATTTATATTTGGATATTAGTAGGTGTTACTGAAGTGCTTGCTATGCGTTAAATGAGAAGAATCTCTTTTCCTTAGTTCCTTGTAGTCAGATGTTTATCTTAAACCACTTGAATTTTGACCAGACATTTTCAAGAGAGGAATATTTCCACAAATTTCAACCTTCAAAATGTGTCAATCATTTCTTTTATCTGTAACATCGTCGAGTGAAACGTCAAAACATGAAATTTTGAGTTTGACGCAAAACTTGTATGTTTAATTCAGATTCAGAGATACCCTTCTGTTTATTTCATCCTGTGGTATCAGGTGATCAGGTGAATATAAGTGATGACTTGCATACAACATTCCTTACTGTTCGAACACCTCATGTAGGAATTAGGAGTTTTAGCCTTCTTTACAGTCTAAATTATCGACTTAGTGTATTTTAAGTAGTTGAAGCTGTTTTACTCTTCATTCATACATAAGGTTAATTTTGGGTTCAGTGCAATGAAGTGTGGACAACTCACTTTGTCTTAGTGTGTTTAAACAGTGGTACATTGTCACTTACTTCAGTGAAAATCCAAGAGAGTATTCATTGTACTGTAAAACTATTTTTAAGCGTTTGTTACTTACTAGCAACCTAAATGTCCCCAATTACAGTATACAGGCAAACAATTCCTCCCTTTTGCACTTTTGCTAATATACTACTTAAATATGAAGTAAGATCTTAATGGAATGTTTTCGATAGTACATAGTTATGCATTTCTTTTGTTATTAAAGTTGTGGCTTAAAATCATTCGAATTTCCTACAAACCTTGTGATATCTTTTAATGGTTTAATTTATACATCCACTTTTTTCTTCTATCAGATGTCCCATCGAAACCGAGAGGACCATTAATGATCGATGTGCTGCCTGTCTATTCGCCTATTTATTCAAGAAGACCATCATCTGTTCTAGAACGAAATGAGTTTTCATCACCACTTCCTGCTCAACCAACATCACATACGGATTCAAAGAGTATTGAGCTGAAGTGGCATGCTCCTATCGACACAGGTGGCCTACCGATAACAGAATATGTTATAGAACGTCGTGGAGGTCCAGTCAAAAGTTTTACGAATGAATGGATTCCAGTATTATCCGTTTCAGGAGAAACAACTACGGCAATGATTCCAATCCCAAGTACTGCAGCTAATACTTCTCCCTATTCATTTCGTGTTCGAGCAATTAATCGTATGGGTGCAAGCAGTCCATTAGAAACTACAAGACCAATTGACTTTGGAACATTATTGTCAGAACAAAGTAGTCGGCCTTCTTCAAGAGCTGGTTACCGATCACTACCACCTGCTGCTCCAGTTGGTCCTTTGAGGTCGGAACTGCTTCCTTTTGATTCAGGTGTACATCTAGAATGGCAACATTCTGTAAAAAGTCCTTACAAATTAGAAGAATCACCATTGCCATCCACTTACGTAATTGAAGCTACCGAAGCCAGCAGGCCAGATGCACCTTGGATCGAAGTGGGTCGTGTCCCAGGTACTGTGACATCTGCTGATGTCCGGCTTTTACCATCTTCGTATAGAAGTGAACCGACGGAAAGGCTACCTTCTTTGGATAAGTACCAAATACCTCCCACTCTGCTCTATCGAGTAAGGGGAGAAAACGACTTTGGTTCAAGTGCACCACTTGTGACGCGAATCGAACCGCCCAGTAGATCTGTATATGATTTTAAACCTGAGTTTGAACATTTGCGATTAAGTCCTGGTCGCCTCGAAGCTCGCTTACTGCCAACACTGTCAGCATATCAAATGCCTCAAATAGAACTTCGATGGCCCTCTGTAGCACCCGAACACAGGAGGCCAAGTTTACCCCTTACTGATAGTTCACATATTCGTCCATTCACACCAGATACAAGTTATCTTGTGCAAGTTAGAAAAGCTGAAGATATTGGCTGGAAAACAATAGCCACTTTACCATATGGACAGGAAAAATTCATTTATTATCCGAAGATAGAGGAAATATCTTACAGGCCCCGATCTAGTTTAGGTTCAATTAATAAACTTGAAGAGAAACCATTATTTGAAGGTTATCAATTTCGAGTGGCTCCAAGAAGTCATTTTGGTATTGGAAGATTTCTCGAGTCAGATGTAATCAGCTGGAATGCGTCACCTTCAAGACCTAGTGATTTCAAAACGATAACGTCACCTGGACCTGTGGCGATGGAACTTATGGCTCCACTTGTCCCACAATCAGTATTGCCTTCACCTGAGCGCTTCCATTTGGTTGATGTATCTATGGGAACACCTAGCGGAAGTATTGAAGACAGATTGGGAAGTGTAATACTACGCTGGCATCCTCCGTCTGGCATGCCCTCAACTTTACGTTCTACCGCTGATTTCGTTGTGGAATCATGGCATCCAGACAAACACGAATGGTGGCCCGTGGCTCGACGACCAGCAGCAGTTAGTGCAGAATCTGTACCAGGAAGATATGAAATAAGAGTGGATAACCTGCCTCTTGGGAAAACTTATCACTTCCGAGTTCTAACAGAAACCAGAGATGCTCGCAGTGAACCAATTACACTACCACAGCCTGTTTTTCTTCCCCAGATGGATATTGAAAGAAAAGGTAAGGCATTATTTGATTGCTAATCATGTTATCAGTTTCTGTGAGTGAATGTTTCTTATTCTAACTTGATTTGGTTATTCCTAGACTGTTTTTCGAACACTGTCACCTAACTTAATGGTGATATAGGCTTACGGCTGTCAATCCTATTACATTTTTTTAATATTCTGGTCCGCCGTTTTATGAACACTTCATTTACAGTTGTCAGTGTACATAGCACCCATACCTTATCAATGTAATGCAAACCTCACAAAAGAAAAGAAATAGAAGCAAGTGGCGGTTAGAATTAAATTCCTCATTTGAAAATTATACAATTCAAGGTGAGAATTCGCCAAGATTTCCATTAGACACCCAGAATGATTAGTTGACGATATGTGATTTGCTTGATACAATAAATGAAGGTCAAGAAACCAAATGAACTACTGTGCTGACACTAAACACTAGTGACTGATACGAACAGTTGGAAAACAGTAGTGCCTACCAGCTCACCATGTACTATCAAGTTCATAAATGACTTATGTGATTCCATTACCAGTTCGACTGAGTAGCTAGCCGGAATTCCGGTGATTTGAACTGACACAGTTCCCTGAGCTAAATCAAACATGGTGTACAGCTGATGAACTTGACTCCAAATTAGTCGAACAACTAGTAAGTGCTACTAGTTGTTAACAGTGGTTTCGAAATCATCATATCAGAGGATTCTGGGCATCAGCAACGATTATGAATATAGGTCATGATTTTAACATTTAAATACTAATCCAGTTTTGTAGACTGATTAATGCCATACTGTACTGAATACAATTTTATTACATGCAGTTTCCACGTGCATGTAATAACTAAGGCTGGAACGAAATCATAAGTTACACCAGAAATGAAATTATCCGATTGACGATTATTACTTCGACTGTTATTATTATTAATATGTCTTAGAATAATATGAAATGGACTTTCTTTTCCAATGGTTATCTTGGTGATGTCCGTGAATAGAAAGTTATCACTATTATAAATCTATGAATAACTAGAAATCATTTTATTTCAGTAATAAATGTTGGGAGTCAACAGACTGAAACCCTTATCCCACCCAAGTTTCATAATTGAAAGTACCGATCAGTGAAATGTGCTTGTACTTTGAAAGAAATGCATTTCTTCTTGGAAGTATGAACCAGTTAGTTATTGCACGTTAGGCTAATAAATCTGCTGTAATGGTTACCAATTTCTATTAAGTAGTCTGTATTATCACGACTCGATCGGTTTTACATTCTACTGATTGTATGTAGCTTTCTCTTCTATCAATTCAGTTTTGTTTTCCTGTGTATTATTTTTTAAAAGTCTACTGTCAGTCAACAGTATTATAATCCAACCTTATATTAATAAACACTGTGCTCGGTGTTACACGGAGAGTGATTTCTCCTTACGAGAACTCAGCTGATGCTAGAATACCAGTAAATCGGCACCTCATATCATTATGTACATCTTTTTCATTCTACTATTCTCCGATTGTGATGTAGAACTTCGAGCTGTACAATTTCAGTATCATTGGTATTGATTTTATGCGAAGTGACGTTGCTAACCTTACGCTCAATCCCTCCTCTTTATCAGGCTGACTATCGGATAGTAGCCTAGGCAAGGTTTAGGACCAGACAACATGTGTGGTTGGCAAACATCCTAACACTGAAGCATTGACGCGCCATATCCTTATGTATATACAGTGGCTGAATGGTATACGAGTTTGCCTTGTAACCGGAAGGTCCTGGGTTCGAACCCCAGTGGGTGCGAACTGCTGATGATTCCCAAACTAGGATGAAACAGATGTCCAGTTCTCCCTGGTATTTAATGATTTTCTAACTTATATCAATCCGTGGTCAAACTTGTATCAATAATTATTCTCACAATGTATTTCTCTTCATATATACAGCAATACCTGCTCCTCCATCTCATTTGAGAGTTTCATCGTTAAGTGGTGCTTCCAAAGGTGCTTTATTAACTTGGCTTCCGCCAACCACTGTAACCTTTGCCGACCGTCGCAGGGATCTAGCATTATGGTGTCCTCCATCTGGCTATGTACTGGAATACTGTACTTTACCATCGAAAGAAAGTGAACCGACCAGCTGGAAACGTTTAGCAGAGCTAGAGGCGTGGGAGACTTCATATCAAACCAATGATTTAGAACCCGGTAGCAGATATTTATTCCGTATAATGTCACGCGGACAGACTACAGATTCACATCCTATAACACCATCAAGAATCGGAAGACTTAGTCGAAGCGCAATCGATTCAAGTGTTCTTAGCGAGGCAATTCACTCGGAAATATTTGAAGTGCCAAGGCAAACAAGTATGTTAAATTAACATAGTTTTTTTTCTTTCTATTCGATAGTTTTTGTTGACTTTCAGGAAGTACCTATATCTGCAGTGAGTAAGCAATAAGCATCTAGAAATAGCACAAGAACTCAGTGATATTTCCTAACTGTAAATTAATTCTCAATTTACACAGTTTTTGGAGGTGAAATTTCACCACAGTTCCCTCTGAAAACCAAGATTATTCAGTTCACGGCGTGTGGTCTGCTTGATTACCATAAATCTTGACTAAGATGACAATTTTCCAAAGGAAACTGTAGTGAAATAATCACGTCGAACTGAGTAAACTGCAAACTAATTTGCAAATTGCAAATTGGATATATGGTGTCACCAGTTCACCCAAGTAGCTAGCCAGAATTTGAGTTGTTTGAACTGATTCAAATAGGCTATACCGCTGATGAGCTCCGTGGTAAACGACAGAAAAGGCCATCCGGTATTTAGACCAATTCGATAATCCGTATATAATAAGCATTACTGGTTGACATGATCGGTGTACAACTACTCATCTCAGTAGTATGTAGAGCTTTATGCAATATTTTTCAATCCTAACGGTTAATACCACTGTATTAATTTGAGGCTGATTTGGCTGATTGATGCAAAAGGCAATGGACACAAAAAAACAGTTGTCCTTCAAGGACACAGACAAAAAAAATATGTTGACCACTTTTAACGGGTCCAAAAAAGGTCAGTCTGACTATGTTTACATACACAAGTACAGAAGTAAAAAAAATAACATGTAGTTAGCCTTGGGTAGCAGTCTGATCTTTTTGACCTAGTTAACGGAAGGAAGAGCCGAAATTTGATTGGTTGGCAGTCAATCTTGTCATCTAAAGTAATCAACATGATATGACAAATTGTAACAAAACAAACGGTAATCTATGCTAACTCTAATCAAGATTTCAAGTAATAAATTTAACGCATATATCATGATGTCTCGGCCCCATCAGAACTAGTTACAATTTTTAAAATCAAAATGGCATATAACGGTGGATATGAACATAGACGTGTAATAGATGAGGAATAATTGATATGTGCATTGTTAATGCATTTTGTTAATTACGTAGAATCATTGAGATCAAAAATGCAAAAGATGTATGTGTGTAAATTGTTACTAGAATGCATTAGCGTTATCAATATCAATTAATCTTTAACATATAAAGCTGTAGGACCTAGCGGAGAAGAGTATACATTATTCACTAATCACATTTTCGAAATTTATAATAGTTCTCATCAGACAATACATGTGTTAGTTTAATAAGGTGTTATTAATAACGGAAAGTAGACGAAATTATTAAATATCAATTGGGATCGTCTGATCGTGAGATAATTAGATAGAATAGTCTTAGAAACAAATAGATGGAAATCATCTTTACAACTGAAATTAGTGTTTCAATATGGTTGAACGGAAGCATCCAATTTCTAGTCAGTAGGCCGTGGGTTAGAGTCCCTTTCCACCTAGTTCAGCCTGAATCATGTAGAAGCATTGATTTTTATGTATTTGTTAAGATTTCGAATATTCTAATGGAAGTGTCCAGTGATGCATGTAAAGCTTAAGTGGGGGCAAATTTTACACAAAGTATGAAGAGTTTAGTTAGACATTTGCAAGCAGTTGATTGTGCAGTGGTTTCAAAAAACCGGCAAACCTACGAAGAAAGCATGTGGGGAAGGACTTAATCTTAATTAATTGAAATATTGCTTTCAGTCATACAGAAATATTTAATTCAATTGGGACTTTCCCTTCGATTGATCGGACTGAATTGTTCGACCTCTGTTGTCATCTCAGCTGCTTGTATGGATGATCCGGCTATGTCTGAAGATTTAACCTGAAGTAATTTGGTGGGTGGTGACTAATAGTGGAATCTAGGATGTATATTTCTTCTAACCAATCGACAGGAAAGTCTAAAGTGAATTAAATAATAACCGATAGAAGGTGGTTCCCGGGGCCCAGACGGTCTAGTCGATAACGCTGTGGCGTTTGCGGCGATGGCTACTGGGTTTGATCCTCAGTGGAAACACCACCCACTAAGAGAGACAGGCACATCTAACTGACGAGTCCCAAATAGGACGAAGTGCGCATCCTGGTTTCCACTGCTAGTCACCATCCACCAAATTATACAGAAATGCTTACAAGGAGTTTCGAGTTCTAATGCTGCCCACTAGTGCTTCTTTTATTGACTATTGACTCGTCTAGGATTAACCAGGTTATTTTCATAAATATGTTAGTTGGCTGAAGTCATTTGAAAAGATTTGATGTACTTTAGATTATTTGAGTATATGTAACCAAGATGACAAATTATGTTCCCCAACAAATTTGAACTTGGCGTAGTTGTATCCTCTGAGCTGGATAATCTACTTGTGGGGTTTTCATTGTCTTTGTAGACGACATCTTCAGCACAGAGTTAAGTCTTCAACTCATGCTAGTCACATCAGATGATTTCAGGGTGTTTTTTCTGTATGGCGAGGCTATGATAACTAGACATCTTCTTGGAGGTAATTAGTAATTATTTTAAATTCCAATCTAAAATATCTACTTACTATATCTGGTGAACTGTCAGTGTGTCACAAATTGTGCACATGTAAATAATTTTTAGTGCTTCAATTAGGGTGAAGATAGATAACAACAATTAATGCAAACACCTTTGAACTCTTGAAGTCTTTTTCCCGACTGTTTTCGCATCCAATGGTTATTTAAATGTGAGAGGCATGTTGTCATTATATGAAGCTTTTCAAGTAAATACTCTTTTGCAATCTTATAACATTATTATACCACGAATTAGTTAAGTAATTGAACTGAGTTCACTAGTATTCTAATAATCTTTAAATGTTTTATTTTTCAGTTACTATACCAAGACTAACTGGTGATTTAACTGTAAAACCAGTCTCTACTGATTCGCCGCTCACATCATCTGTCTCCTTGAATTGGCATCCAGCAAGTGAATCACTAACCGGCTACATACTGGATTTATACGATATAAACGAACCAACTGGTTGGAGAACAATCACCAGAATGAATGCAAATGAAGTGAACTATCCATTCCGTGGAGTTACTGTAACCGGTTTAATACCAGGACATTCATATCGATTCCGTGTTATCCCCTATAAAGATGATTTATTCGGTCGACCCATAGAAAGCCTTAAGGCTCATACTGTGCCAAAAATATCAGAATATGATGCCATAGACTATGACTCGTTAATCATTCCATCACCTCGAGGTCCTCTGAATATTGACTCAGTCAGTGATGGTTTCGTTCGCTTAAGCTGGCAACCAGTGCAATTAAGAAGTACATCAACAGATGATAATATGCATCTACGTAAATTAAGTGATCACATTGAGTATGTTGTTGAACAACAAACTCCAACTAGACGATTTTGGTTAGAAGTTGGTCGAACACGTTCAACAAATTATGTTTTACCGGTTAGCAGTAATACAGTCAGATTCCGTATACGTGCAGTGTTATCTGACATTACATCTACTATTGAGAAACACACCAACTATTCATTATCATATGATGGTTTAATATCCGACTGGATTCATTCAGATGATGAAAATATTGAATTCAGACATATTCCTCGTCTTGACGAAACTCCAAGAAGACGATTGTCTACTGATGTAGCATTCGATATTGGTCGAATAGTACCAGACAAACTACGTGTTCTTCATATTGGTCCGACTTCTGCTTTACTAGGATGGGATTCTTTGACAATGGATGAAGAAAAAATGTATCCAGGCTATCTAATTCTAGAACGATGTACTATAGATGAGTACAAGCCTAGTATTTGGGAGCCAATCGCAAAAGTTCGTGCTTCTGAAACATCTTATGAAGTGCATGGATTATCTTCTGGTACCACATACAATTTTCGTTTAGTTGGTTTTGAAGAATCCACTAGAACACGCAGTAAAAAATTCTGTCAATTGACCAAACCACTTACAACACTTGGACGACGTGACTCACTCGATGAAGTTGTAAAAACACGATGGATCGATAAGCCTAGACAATTCAGTGCTAGTGGAAAAATTGACGGAAATCAAGAAGGCATTATGTTAACATGGAAAGCTCCAGAAATGCCTAATCGACTAGACGAGAAACTGCTTTATAGAATAGAAGTAAGAAGTTGTAATTTCTCTGGGGAACCAATCACTCCATGGACAAAAGTTGTCTCAGAATTAAAATCCACTCAGTATTTTGTTAATCATACAAAGTTGGATAATATCTTCTCTAAACTTGACCAGTTACCAGGTTACAAAGGTATTGGAATACAATCTACTACTAGAAGAAGGTATACAAGATCAATTGATTTAGATCAACAACAATGGCAGTTTCGTGTATTCTCTGAACTCGATGATAGACAGAGTTTGCCAGCGGTTACACTAACTCCGATAACATTAATTCCCCCAACTAGTAAGTTTATAGTTTTATTCATTTTTTCCCTTTATTTTTTGCACACTATCTAGTGCGTTGAGTCTAAATTCTCTAGCCATCAGGTTTTAGATGACTCGTTAAATATTTAATTATTTGAATTCTGACGGGGAACTAATAAAAAATCCGGTTTAATTTCTTACTTCATTCATTTAGTGTCCAACCTGACTGTTAAATAATTTAAATTGTATTTTTTTATCCAATATAGTCCTACGGCAGGTGAATCGCGAGCCCGAATAGCTCAATAGTAAAATCTCTGACTGCAGCACTAGGTGAGGCGGGTTCGGACCTCAGAAGGGACATTAGTTCCTTCAAGGTTGAAGATACGCCTTGCCGACTGGTTAGTCCCAGCTAGCACGAAACCTAGGTCGAGCGAGGCTTCCTATGTCCGATTACCTCCAACCACCTAACACTTTAAGTTGTAGCAAACATTCAGTCAAGGTTTCACTAGAAGTACATTATAAGTTTCAGAACTTCTATTTTCAGTAACCTTTACTTTACGATCATATAACATTGCAAAACCTAACTTAAAGTGTGTAAAATATATAATGTAAGCGTTACTTCTTACAATTACACCCTTAATACATGGCGGTAGAAAGTTAGAGAATTCCACAGGCCTCATCTTACTATCCTTAGTAATAGCATAGATATGTTGTAAAGTTCATTCCATATTACAAATCTAATGTGGCCTTTCTATTAGTCTGTACACAATGAGTAATGCTCAAAAAAGGTGGCATGTGGTCAGTAATTACTTTTTTATAGCATCGCTTGTATGTAGAATAGTCGTTTTTGTGTCTTGTAAGCTTCACTAAATAATTGAGACCAATAATTTGAGATCTGAGGCAATGTTACTCAGAGCTATTTTTAGCTATGTGAAAATCCACCAGGCAGTCTTTGTTAACATAATCATCTTGATATCAAGCTTTTTTCTATGACTGGTATTGTTTATGAAGTGTGACAAATTGAAACAGACTCTGCATTGTCAGACTATCACAACAGTGAGGATAATTGTAAAATGCGTATGTATCAATGAACTCAGATTATTTGTGTCACTATCATGCGAAAATTTGAAGAAGTATGTGCATAATAGGGACAGTTTGCGTTTATTTGATGATCTACAGAAATTCATTTTTTTATTTACAACAAATATGTGGCAGAACAGGTGACATTCAGTGTGTGAAGCTTTTCATTATTCAGTTATTTGCACTTCATTCGTTTATGATACATTTAATAGGTCATTAGTAAAATTAAACTGTTTTTAAGTGAAAATTACCTAACGAATTCTTGCCTTTTTAATCAACCAACAGAACGAAGTTCACTACGTTTCTTAAATTTGAAAGACGATCGCATTATTTACGCTGTACATGGACAAAAACTGGTTCTATCTGTGGAAATTGAAGGGGAACCGAAGCCTGAAGTTACTTGGTAAGTAATATTTTGACTTTTCTGATTTTACACATGGAAGGTAGGCCTTACTGTTTCCCATTTGTTGTAACCAATATAACCTATGCGAATAATATAAATTTTGTGCACAGTGGATTTTATTGTACTGTTCCACTGTAGGCTTCATCAAGAAACAATGGCGGACCTTATAGAATTTATCCCGTATGTATGTATGTATATGTGTGTATGGTACTAAACAGATGTAAACACCAGATAGCTAGCTGTATATGATGCACCATGGTTCTTGTTAATCCTTCAACAAGTATCATTTTACGGTAACTAACTTAAGGATTATTTATTTTTTCACAAACTCACTAGGTGAAGAGATGATTGCATTCTACGTCAGATTGTTTCCACTAATGATGAATATCATATATGCACTGTGCATCGGCGATTCAAAGGCACAGTAATTGACAACCACGAATGCAGTTCGAGGTTCGACTCCCGCTGACTCCGTCTTAAGTCCCACCTAGCCGGTAGAAAGACCAGTAAAGAGGGAAGGTTGAACATAAGGCTAGTAACCACACACGATAAAAGAACAACTTTATTACTGAAACTTCAGATCTAAAGCTTCAACCTCTATGTTCCTCTGAGAACGGAAAGGAATATATATATATATATATATATATATATATATATGTATCCAAATCTTTTCACACTACTAGATGTTACCTTGGTCTGGCCATATAAAGCAGTCTTGTGATGACTGTCAGTAGTGCATCTTTAAAGCATATCTATTTATTCAGTTTCAAGAAACTGAAGTAAAACATTCCTTATTATCAGTTAGAATTAATTAGTAAATTTAGTACTGAAGGTAACTAAGTTGTACAAGGCGAAGAAGAAACCTGGTGTTTAACGAAGCATGATTTACCACTTGCATCATATTACTTTGCTTTTAGTCATGGATGCATTGACTTACGCTTATTTCAGGCGAGTTCAGTAAGTGGAAATGACGTCATTTTGGAGTGAATATGCTGCACCATTGAAACTAGAGAGGTTTGAATAAGACAGAAATAATTCCTTCCTTTTCAATAATGACTTGTAACACAACTACCAGTAACCATTTTATAGCATATTTTTAAGAGCCTATGAGAAAGTCAAAATCAGCAAGTTGAATTTTTGTATAACAGTGATCTAAAATCAAAGCTGATTTCTCAACATTCAAGGTTTGTGCAGTTATCAGTATCGATAGCAGGGCAAGTCAGCCATACTATTTGTGTCCATAGTGTTTGGCGCCCAGACATAATATATACCTTATTATTGAAATTTATTATAAGTCACTAGTGAGTCGGACAGTGTGTCAAGCATTCTGATGTATTTATTATATCATCGGTTCAAAGTACATCACGATGGCAAGTCGTCAACTTGGTAACAACATTACACTTAAAAGTAGACACATGACATCCACCAATACCTGTGACTAATCAAAATCTCTGCTGCAATTCTACAGGAAGCCAATTATCTCCTGAATAGCTCAGTGTTAAGGTTTCTGACTGTATCACTTGGTGGCGCAGGTCCGAATCTCCGAAGGGATATCAGATGCTTCGATGTCGCAGATATCCCTGTCTGGAGAATGCCAATAACCATAAGGCCCATATCGAAGGTTTTCTGTCGACTACCTGCAACAACTAAGTATCAGTGTTTCTCTCCTTAATACACCACGGGAAAATAGTCAGTATAAAATAATGGTTTTTTGAAACCCATTAAACTCCGCACATGTAACAGCTGTACAACAGTCTTTGAGGTAAAACCCAAGAAGCATTTGTCACTTCAACTGAAGTTAATCATCCAGTAAAACGGATAAAAAAAGATGGATAGGACCCAGATTTTATTTAGGCTTTATTCCATTACGTTCTTAACGGAACATAGGGCTTCAAACTGAAGCTAGGAATTTTCGGTGGCAGTGGTTTTATTTTTACGGGGTGGGATTGTTAGCCTCATGCCCAACCGCCCCTCTTCATGGGACCTACTACCAGCTTAGCTAGGTTTAGAAGTGAGTTGGTGCCTGGGGATAGAACCCTGGACCATGTGAGGCGTGATTGGCTGGTGTTGTACTGCTGTACCACTAACGCATCAAGATCTCTATATGATTGACCTTTTTTTGACAACTGATGAGAATATAAATTAAGTATATCATCCACTTATTTTCTTCATATTTAGGTATTTGAATCACATACAAATAGACGACAGAATTTTGCCTGGTTGTCGTGTTGCTCAAGTCGGAGTTGGTGTATATGAATTAACCATTGAACGAGTCCAGCAAGGTCATGCTGGTTTCTTAGAGTGTCGTGCTTGGAATATATACGAATCCATTTCTGAAACTTGGGAATTGATTGTATCAGGTAATCCTTACAGTTTATAATTATCATACAACATTGTCAAGTTCACTGTTATAAATTCAATAAGAATGAGTGTATAGATTAACCCACCAACTGTAACTATAGGTATTACCAAAGTGATTGGCTGAATACACTCGCCCACCAAAAATATTAGATTTAAGTATGTAGCTTCCCAGCTAATATACACCACAATCAGTTGTGATATGTCATCTTGCTATATTGAAATATAACCATGTGAATCAAGTTAATCTGAATGTAAGATCGTTGGATTTACATCCGAGTGAATGGAGCAATATCTGATCTGATCATGGAAACACCTGTACATTAATGCTAGTGGGAGAACAAGAATATTCAGCGCATTCTCAGATATATTAGTTGACAATCTAATAAATGAAGTCTATAGGCTTCTGCTGTGATATCGAAATATCCACACGAATACGGGTTAACGGTTTCCTAGATGTGATTCGCCTAACCCCACTCGTAAATGAGAAGACCCATATGATAATACTAGAATGTATTTTCGAGCGAATGAAGGAAGAGATAATAATTATATCCAGAGCAAGAATGATAAGCGCGGACAACTGTTTCCAATAAGTTCTTCTTTAGGCTGTATGCCTTACCTTTCCAATTCTGGTTTTGATATCCTCATCCTTTCCGCTTGTAGATGTAGATAGTATGGTAATGTAAGCAATTCAATAATCATATTAGGTTAAGATCCTATAAAATTAAAAGTTGCTCAACACTGAAGATAAGGTGGAGAGATAATCATCTAAACGCATAGAGGATACATGCGATAATCGTAAGATAAAGCAATAAGAAAGGTTATGAAATCGTTACAAGAGGCTAAATTCACCATCTAGAAGATGGCTCAAATAAAACTAGAAGTTAATTTATCTTCTTTTCTTTCTAATTATTTTTCCGTCCTCAGCTGTGCCGCGATTCAGCCGTCTTGGTTGGGCTGCACAACCTCGTGAATATGAGTTAAGACATGGAGATAGCTGGTATTTACGCATTCCATTAGAAGGCTTAGATTACATACAAGATCACGAGTGGATAACAAAAGTTTGGTTTGAACGTTTAAGTCACCTTACACCTGGTCTGTCAGTTGAACCGTTAGAAAATCGTGTTCGATTGAATCTCTCATGTGGTTGTCGTTGGATTGAAGTTATTGTTGATAAATTGAATCTAGCTGATACCGGACTCTATCGTTTATGGATACAGAATCAAGCTGGACGAGATTATATTGATATACGTTTACGTATCGCTGGTGAGTTTGCTTTACACTTACTGCGAAGCGTATTTTTCAGATGACCAGATATTGCTTGTTTTTTAAAAAAAATAACTGACAAGTAACATCATTTGTGAAATTTCTGTTCACTAACATTTGTGAATTCTCCACGCCAGATTATCATGAGTAAAGACCTTACCACTTCCACAAATCATATTATACCACTGTTTTTCTATTAGCAGTTAACATTGTTATCCATAAATGATATACAACTCCTACTCTACGACCTAATAGCTAAATGTGCGTACATTTTTGTTAGGGCTTCTGTTAAAATCCAGGAATCAACATTTATCACTTTACACAGAGATACTTAGAAGTGGAGTGTTCACAGCTTGAGTAAACAAGTTTTAATTTAATGGAAGTTGGTGTTCATACAGTTTTCCCCTTTGATGAAGGCGAATAAGACAAAGCAGAACAAAACATAGTCTCCTTTTATCTCATGAGTTCTTATCAGTTGCATACAACCTAAACCATTTCGGCTTTCAATACTCAAAATTTTCATATACTTTAATTGAATTGTTAGAAGAGATTTCACGAATCCGTATCAGTCGGAGAATCTCTGAAAACCGGAGACTCCTTGAAGGCTTTCTCCTCCTCCTACTTTGTTTACTCGTAAATTCAATCATCATCATCTGGTTCTATTTGATACTTTTTTCAAACCTCAAGTCTCAGATGTAAAACAAGACAAAAAAAATCATTCAGCTACAATAAGTCCCGCATTCCTAAATCCCTTTTTCCATTAAACTTCACTACTTTGAAATAACAGCTCAGCTGGATATTTCTGGTGTTATTGCATTTTATGAGTGTGATGTTTGAATTTTCCAGCGTTCATTGTTCCATAGGACGCTATTTTCAGAGCTCAGAATTAAACCATTTATTTCACAGAGCATTGCAACGTCAGAAGTTCATTATGTTGTGTTTAACTCTTTCTGTTTCATTATTCCCCCTATTCTATGATTAAAAGTTAGTGCAAACAGAAAGGTTTGTATCTGAAGCGTATGTGTTTTATCTTACAAAGTCTTTAAAGCATATCTGAGTACTTCAAAGTAATGGATAATGACATTAAAACGATGAGTAAATAAAATTATGATTGCTATGACTAATTGCACCTTTATGTGTTAATCCCACTCATTTGGATTTTAGGTAATTATTCTTGAAGTAAAAGTACACTTTTGAAGAAATGGGGACAACAGTTGGCCGATTATTTTTAATATGGATATACTCCAAGTCAAAACTTTAAATTCCCTTTAATTTACAGAAGAAATCTTTTGATAGCAAGGTTGAAGTTGAGGACAGTTACCCGACATTGCTAAGTGGTTGCGCTGTGTTGTGACTTGGCAAAAGTTAGAACTCATGAGCCACTGGGTCGTGTCCCAGTGGCCTAATGGTCTACGAGCTCGCCTTGTAACCAGAAGGTCCTGGGTTTAAACCCCAGTGGATGCGTACTAGTGAAGAGTCCCAAGTCAAAACGAAACAGATGTCCAGTACTCTCATGTTTTCTGATGGTTCTCTAAGCGATGTCAGCTCATGATAAAATCTTACAACCAATAAAACAAAATCCCTACAAACAGAAACTTGCAAATTTTAACGCTTATTTCCTCCTTTATCACAGGAATTTGTTCTCACTGTTGTGCTTTTTTACTTCGTCCAGATAAACCGCATATTCAATTACAAAAACCTCGAGTAAAACCACATGGTCCAGGGACATTGATCATCGAATGGGATCCACCACTGATAAATGACCGCTTAGAATCCCTAATTAAATTCACTGGCTACCGTGTAGAATACTGTCGTGATGAGCCTGGAGAAGATTGGTGTCTGCTGGGTACTACGTCTGCTGATCAAACCAGTTTTGTTGCACGTAGCCAACTACAAAAGGATGTGAATTATCGTTTCAGAGTACGACTAGAGAACTGGCATGGATTGGGACCAGCTAGTGAGCCTTCAGATGTTGCACAGCTGCCAGTACATCGTTTCACAGAAGGTATCTTACGTCATGGCAGTTTTTGAATAGAGTTCTATTACTTCATAATTAGATGATATAGTATACTTCATTAATTTTGTGGGAAATTGTTTCTAAGTATGTTGAGAATTACTCTATGAGTCAGTAACAGATAGCGCAGTAATCTTTAAAGTGATGACAAAAATGATAAACAGAAATGAAGGCGATGAAAACAGAAATTATGTTCTCAGTGGGAATGTAGTACTTACGAACTGACGGTGTAAGACATCTTACTAGGCTAATCAAGTAAATTAGAATAAGTTTGTCCAAATACAGCTCTACAAGCTTCTTAATCTCATCATATGGACCTATTTGAATATGCTCATCGACCTGAGTTAGCCTTGTCTGATTTAGCAGCTACTAGGTTCTTGTCATTTGTCAAGTGTTTTCAACCGATATTTGTTGTTGTGTTGAGTTTGAGTGGGAACACGCATCATCCACTCTCACTGACCATGCACATAATCCGGGTTCGATCCCCTGCCTACGCACACCTGATATCAATGGTAGGCCTGCAAAATCTGGGCTACCGATATCGCACGCTGAAAATTTCATACTTGTACCAAATATACGGTGTGGAATCAAGCTATAATAAAAAAATTCAGGTCTAGTTGACGAGTCTCAAGTAGGGCGATATACGCATCTTGCATTCCACTGCTAGTCACCACCAACCAACCAAAGTAACTTCAGTTTAATGCTACAACATCTTTGAAGCATCCGTTCTAGGCACCAGCATGTCAGCAGATACCGAGCATTTCAGTCGAACATAATCGGTCAACGGGAAATGTAAAAATTAACCTGAAAACAAATAATGAAGATAGTATGATGATGACAACAATTCAATAATTAAATTAGGTTGCCATCTTATAAAATTAAAAGTTGCATATTACTAAATATGAAGTGGAAAGATAATCAGAGTTTAAATAAATATCATAAGAATACGAAAGAAGTGAGGAAAAAGAAAGAGTGTGAAATTACTATTATTATTATTATTCTCTTGAGTTCCGAGTGGAACATAAGGCTTCAGTATCGCATTTCTATTTCATCTCGTCCTCTGCTGCCCTTTTTTATTTGGCCACACGATTGCCCATAACCTCATATCTTCTCCTCAAATGGTCTCCTTAATTAGTTCATTAAACTTACCTAGGCTTGGAGGAATATAGAGGTAGGGCGAATTTTTTGTGTCTTGAAAGACTTAGATTATTCTCTCAAATTCCTATAGCATTTGGCCTTAACTACTCACACTTTTGTTATTGTTGTCCTTATATTATCATAAGTATTGCCATTATTATAATCTTCGTTATCACCAACATATTTACAACACTGAATACTTATATTTTCATCTACAAATTCCTCGTCATCGGTTAAAAAATTACGCATATAAAACTATATACAATAGTGTAAGTTCTGAGGTGGATTGAATTGAAGGCAATATTGTTCACTAATGCGTCTTGTTTTGATTATTATGTATATAGACTGGCAACGAAAATTAAGATAATAGACTAGGCTATCTCAAATGAACCAGTATAGTAAGTGGGCCGAAAAATATTTAAGCAAGCCCTGGATGACTCATCGTTTTTGACGGACAGATTAAGCATTGCAAATGTAAGAATATTTAGAAATTAGAGCAGCTAACTGTTTAACTATTTTGTCTGATTATGAGGTCAGTATGCATGAGTCATCCATTGACAGACATTAGTTAATTTAATATAGGGTGAGAGTTATCTCAGAAGAAAAGTGAAAAATTCATTATTATTATTATTTACTGACTGATGTTACTATGGTACATGTTATTCCGATACATTATGATGTATGTCGAAAATTTAGTTAACTCAATATCTTAAATATTTGCATGTTTGGATTACATATGTCCAAATACTAGTGTATCTATAATAGCCGTGTCCTTTGGATGACTTAGCAACATGTTTTACACCATGAGTCATAGAGTTATTACTTTAATAATGTTAGAATTTTTACTGTTCACAGGACTGACTGTGCAAAAAATATTTTAAAAGCTAGGCATACTGGTGTAGAGGTAGATGTTAGATGGTAATCGAAATGCCCATGGATGGAAAGAGAGTGAAAGTATACTATGTGATTATGCACAACTTGAGTTTTAGTATAATGTAAGACAACTGGGCTTAACTTTGTGGAATGTTGTCATGTTGTATACCGTAGAGTCTAAAAATGACATTCAACCCAACAACCAGTCACAATACCAAGCAGTCAGCAGTAAGCTACACTTAATATTTGAATCTAATGATACTTTCTGGTTGCTGAAACCTTGGTAGGTGGAGTGGTAATCTAAATTGCGGCTAAGTGTTTGGAAATGAAGCACACGAACCAACAAGCTACAGCTCTGTAAAATCTATTACCCTACAGTAATATAGATCACATTCATATCTAGTCATGAATACTGGGAATCTGTGAATTCATGCATTGTTCTCTCACTGAACTGTATGCCCTTATCATCCTAGTTGGTAAAAGTCTATAATTCTTCATGTACTAGAAATAACTACAAAAACATCGTTCAAATCGCTATATGCAATTCTGAGTGATACGACAAATGGCAATAGAGAAAGCAAGAAAAATAGCATGATCGTATATTATTAAATTTTAAAGTGATAAATTAGTTCCCAATTATTAGTCGTTATCTGATGTAGTTAACCAAAAATCTGTACGGTTAGAACTGATCATGTTCCCTGAGTTTAGTCAAGCCAAGGTAGATTACAGATGAGATCATTTCTAAACTAGTGATTAGATCCCTTCAATCTGGCTAACAATCCCTGTTGTTTAACGCCAAAGGCTTCCGGCCAGTCCCGTTATTCAGCAGTGTACAACATCAGGTTATCAGGGATTGGGTTTTACTAGTCTTAGTACTTTGAAAGCTAATTTCTCTTCGATCTCACGTGGATAAATAATGCTCCGCTGCTATTATCTTTAAACTTAAAATTGTTTAGCAAGTGACTAATTGGGATTATGTATTTGTGAGTTAACACAAAGTCTCAAATTTTATTTTAGAGGAACATGAAATCTGCGTCAGACGCTTTAATCTCTTTGTCTAAATCATCAAATAATCTAATGAATTTATCTTTGTTTGTGTATATTCTAGTTTTGAATCTCAGCGATATGGAGTTCCGTCATTATACAGATGGATCATTTGATTCACGTTATGATATCATGGAAGAATTGGCTCGGTAAGTATCAGTAATTAATGATTGAGCTTTAAAGTTTAGCTCTATTACTTGATTTTACTATAGTAACTGCTCTTTTCGGTTGTTTTTTCTTTCTTTCCTTGAAACATGTCTTTTCTGAGTTCACTACCGGCTTAAGAGTGCGTCCACTGTGCCTGTAACCAGGGCGCCTCCTGTGTGTTTGACTAGCATTCAACCATTGAACCACTGACTGCCACCGTATAATGGTGCATTGATAACTGATATTTGAATAAAATATGAGCACTGAAGTAAAGTATATAATTAACAAGTATTAAATGATGAGAGGCTCTTTATCTACGATGAACTAAGTATTCTAGAAAAGATGTGTCTTACTACGATACCGTGAGATATCGTGTAGTATCTGAGTTAATCTTATACATCTAGACGTATCCCTATAATATATATATATATATATATATATATATATATTCATCTTTGCATCATTCTTGACCATCTGAGTGTTAGCTAACTTCCTAACATTTAATCCAACTTTCACTGAATAGTTCTGGTTTGCAATCTTAATGTCCTGTTGGTTTTATCTGGCTTAAGAATATTGTGGATATAATGCTAATGATCGCTTCGGGTTACATTTTGTTTCCTGTGAAAGATCTTATGTAATATTGACTACTGTTCAACTAAAAACCTGGTTGATAGTTAATCTAGATGTGTAGCGAGATGAACTTAGATAATCTGAAAAGGTGACATGTAACATAAGCGGTTAGGTGTCAAGTTATTTATAATAGCCATCATTCATGCTTCGCTTATTGTTCTTAGCAATGCAAACTTCATCTACTCATTCCAAGAGGGTGGTCGTTCAGGTCTTGATTCCTCTGTTCCTTCCTTTTTTAAATAGTCTAACTATTTATACGGTGGAGTTGCTAGCCCCACGCCCAAGTGTTTTACTTTTTCGGGTTCTTTATGGACTAGTAAACTATGCGAAGCTTGTGAGTGCGTCAGCCAAAAAATGAAGTTGAACCATTTGATTGGCTGGCAAGCACATTTGACCACTAAACCATCACAACAAAATTATTTACAAGCGGATGTGTTAAGTAATCAATATTCTTGCTCTTTCTTCTAGTTCTAAATATTCTGGCCTATACCGACTTGCAGAACGTTCAACTGGTCAAACATGGTTGGCTACTATTATAGATACAACTCCATCTGCTTTATACAAACGTCCAGCTAGTGCTTTAGGTAAACGCGATATCAGCTATCCTGAATTACCTCCAAGACCAGTTAGCGTATTGGATAATGAGCGTAATGTTCGCAGACGTGCTTCATATGATATTTCAAGATATACCAGTAGACATGATATTACTGACTGGGAACAAGAAAAGGCTGAACGTGAATTGAAACTGTTTTCGCGTATCCAACAAGAAAGTTTTGCACATCTACATGAGGCTTATACAGAAGCCAAAAGAACTATTTGTGTTATGGAAGAGTAAGTTTTTACTATTTTATATATTTTACTTTAATTTACTAACAATATGTACGATCTGATGTGCGTCGGTGGCACAGCGGTTAAGACCCTCGCCGACCATGCACATGGTCCGGGGTTCGAGCCCCGGCCGGCGCACACCTTTACCTCGCTAAGCCAGTAGTGAGACTGGTAAGGAGGAAAGGTTGGGCATGAGGCTAGCAACCCCATCCTGTAAAAAAAACCAACACTGCTACGGAATCTTCAAGCCTATAGCTTGGAGCCCTATGTTCCACTGGAAACGTGAAGGAAAACAAAAAAATGTACGATCTGATAGCACTCGGCATTTAATCACGCTGACGAATGTCGCTTTAAATAATACCGATAAATCTTATCGCTAGCACACTCCACATTCATATGGCTTAAAAATCCTCCTGTTGCTGAACGCCTCTTCGAAAATATATTTCCATAATTGGAAAATTACCGGCTACCTACTTTCTGAAATTAGCATACTTTCTGTTGAAGGATTAAAAACACAAAAAATACGGCTAATGTGCAACTCTGTTGAAATGAAATTCATTAGGTCAAAGTTACTTGTGGTGTAATGATACAATTTGTCTTATTTTAAAAGTTTTTAGAAGAAAACAACAGACTGAGTGAAGAAGCATGCATTCCTTTTCAAGTAGTTCCTTATCATCGGTTGGTTCTACACTAATATACAGCTGCTTAGATCAAAATTTTATCATTCAAGTGATTATTTTAATCAATCAGTTTTAGGTATAGACAAGTGAAATAAAGAGGTGAAATGTCGGCAAAACATAAATTTCATACATTCGGTTCCCTTAATAAAACACTAATTAACTAATAGATGTTAGTAACAAGATATCTAAGTTTATTAATTATGGAATTCAAGATAAGTTAACCAGTTCGGGTAGGGGTTAACACAACAAACTATTACGTAATCAATTAATTTGTAAAATAGTAATGATCACCAAAAAGAATAGGATGACTCAGAGTGGTTACATAAAATATAAACAAGTCAACAGAATAAGTCATAGCTGTAAAAATTAACAAAATCAAAAGATAGTTGCAAGGGCAGATGAAAAATCGTTTTTAAAAATTTAATACATATTATGTAGTTGGTCATGAGCATAGAAACGAGCTGTACAAATTTCTTTCGAACACATATATTTGGCTCGTTCAGGTGAATTCCGATTGCCTCTGCTATATGTAAAAGTCGTACTCGTAGACCATGTCAGAGGTTGGGTGATATAAGATAAATAACTTTAAAAGCTTTGTTAGAGTCGATTTGATGTCCATTATCGACAAGATGAGCTAGTATTGAGCGGCGTATAGCAGCATTATTCGAACATTTGCCAAACCAAGATGAGATGTGTTCAGAGATTTGACAATGATTTCGCCCGATCGTACGCCCTATGTAACTAGCTGCGCACGGACAGTTAAACTGGCAAATACACATGGAAGAGGCGAAACAGAGGAGTCTGTCTTTTTTCTTGAACTAAGTATTGGTCGGCTAGTGAATACACAGTGTATAGCTTAGCTGCGTTGGAAGTCTTTTTGATGGCCCTTCTCAGACGTTGTGATAAGATCTCACTATTGACATCTCCTGTGAATTGTAACCTAAGGAAGACTGACTTTTTAGGGACAGTCGGAAACTTCGACTTTTTACTTTCTGAGTTTATGTGTGTGTGTGTTCACGAATCTATTTGGATATCCATTTCTACTAAATAGATCGCGAATATTACCGAGTCATTCATTCAGTGTCTCATTTGAACAGATAACTGTAGGCCGGTGAACCAGACATCTAACCAGATTACGTTTGTATTGTAGAAGTACGAAGCTCAGGAAGTGAGTATATTGTCCAGTGGAAGTAGGTTTTCTATACAAACGTCTGTTCGTTTAGTCATTAGGATAGAGTCATTTTTTTTCTTCCTTAGTTAAGCTTATGCTGGAATGTGCTCTACTGAATTTATCCAATATGTCCTTAGCCTCACTTTCTTTCTTATCAACTATAAAAGCATCATCAGCATATCGTCAATAGAAATCAAGATTGTATACTACATCTTTAAGTGGACCATTCTCTAGTTTCTGCAGGAGAAAAATCTGCTAGGATTCGGGCTAGTGGTGATCCCCACGGTACACTGCACATATAGTTTGCCAAATGTGCATGTTGTTGTGGCTTTCTTGGAATTATATCGAAACTGTAATATGTCCCCTTTTCTTAAATCTTACTCTTAGATATGTATGTAAATTTTGAAATTTTCGAGGTCGAGAAATATTTCATGTCAGTCGACATTCACATTAACGCATCTCCCTTAAGGATACAATATAGCAAGCTACAAAACTGTCCATAATCATCCATGCACGGTGATTTTCATGTCCAGAGGTCGGCTGTCATCAGAGTAAATGACCGTCGGTTGTGAAACCATTTACTGTGCTGAAGGGAACACTGATATCCATGAAATAATAGATTTAGCGTATGAGAGAGAGAGAGATTCGTCAAAGTTATCCTATGCGTGCTGGATAAATAAATGTAAGTCTTATCAAAATAAATATGACAGTAGAATAGAAATCGGTAGTTTACGAGAAAGACCTGCTTCATCGACGGAGGCAGACAGGTCCAGTTAGTGTTCTACATGACAATGTAGGTTTCGGCTAAAAGATCATTTTCACTCGTAATGATATGATATGATATGATCGATGTCTATCATAGGTTTCCAGAAGTAGTTGGAATTGATTGTACTTATAAAAGGAAATAAGATGGGACAAGTTGCAGTACAAGGTATAGTTTCGCGTGCAAATTTATGACAGATGGCCTTTATATCAGTTTGTTGTGACTGATGATGGCTTTGGAAGAGGAAGGACTGTTTTATTTGCTCTTACTAGGAGGAGAATATCTTGCAAACGTTTAAGAGATTTATGAGTGATACTTCCGAAACGGTAAGATTGACTGTCGACTGTGCAACTGCACAGATGAATGCTTTGAAGGAGGAATTCCCTAGATTCAGCATTGTTTTATGTCTTTTCCATGTGTTTGGAAAAACAACAGATTGAGAGAAGAAATAGATTCCTTTTCCATGAGTTCCTCGTCATCAACTCTACAATAATATCATAATAGTTTTTTACACCGAAATTTTTTATCAATCAAGTGGTCATTTTAGTCAATGAGTTTTGTGTATGGGTGGGGTGAAATCAAGAGGTTAAAGGTCATCAAAACAAATAACTAACAGGTGTTAGTAATAAGATATCTAGGTTTTAAAAGAAAGGTGAAAATTAATTACGGAATTCAAGTTGATTCTAAGGCGTTAGCAACAAGTTATTACATCATCAAGAAATTTGCAAAATAGTAATGATCACCAAGATGAATAGGATGACTCAGAGTGGTTACGTAAAATATAAACAAGTTAATAGAATTAGTCATAGCTGTAAAAATTAACAAAATCAAAAGATAGTTGCAAGGGCAGAGAAAAAATCGATTTTAAAAATTTAACAATAAGTTGAAACTAGATGAACATTGAGTCTTATGGACAGGTGGTTATTATTCAACTTGTCAAACGACAACATATATAAAATGGCTTAAAAATATTGACAGGAGATATTCAGTTTTTGGAACAGATTAGCAATCTGCTAATTCAAATGAGCGCACTGAAGTTTTATGAATATTTTACTTATTCAGAATTACTCTACTCAGACATCCAAGTAACCTCTTTGTATTTACGGTACTATTGTGCAATGATACCAGAAACATGATGCAATCGTAAGCATTATACTTTTTTGACTTGATTTACTTTTCATTGACTGCTTACAGGATGGAATCTTTTTATTATTATTGTTCCCTTGGGTTCTTAGTGGAACATAGGGCTTCAACTGCACGTCTCCACCTGCTTCTGTTTTCTGCTGTACTTTTCACCTGCTGCATCCATGGTTAGTCCATACTCTTTCAACTCCTCTTCACATGATCTCCTCCATGTCACCCTTGCGCCGACCTACTCGCCGCCTCGCTTTCGGGTTCCACTCGAGCAATGGCCTGACACGCGCACGATTTCACCCAGCGGCCTTTTATACATCAAAATTATTACATATACCTGATCAGGTTAAAATTTAATAAATTTACTCAAGCTAAGATGTTTCAGCTTTCGATGTTTAACTCCTGTGCTATTCAGAAAGTTTCTTCTGATTTCAGGGAAGCTGATAATGTGTATTTGTGCAAATATTATTACTCAAAACTCTCTAGTCTAAAGGGTCACTTTAACTGATATCCATCTGCTTGACAAGTGTTTAGTAATGAAACATTCCTCGACACATATGCACAAGAATAAACTTACGAATCAACTTAATTTGTCTTTAGATCCAATATATACAATCGAAATTTTACAGTTAGATGAGAATATTATTAAAGTAGCTTTGTCAGTCATTTAAATATATTTCTGTAAATTTCCAAGATATTTATTAATTAACATATGAAAAAATATTGAATCTTTCGTCTGATATTTCCAGTGTTACAGCCGGTGATACATTGTGGCATCAATTGGATCGACGTATTACAGTGACTGAGCATAAAGCAGCAGATATATTACGTCAGCTATTGGATTTAACATCTCAGATACACAAAAGTGGTCGTGTACATCTTGGTTTACAAGTAAGTGATACTTTATTTATATAAAGGGATAAAAAAAGGTATTAAAAGCCTCCTAATTCGATAATCGTATAGCACTAGTGCATGCATTGAAAATGTTGCGGATGAAATTAGAACAATGGGTCGGCAGTGCTTGTGTTCTAAACTTAGTCATTCGTTTAAGATTAAAAGTATCAGCTGAGGAGAATGCTAAAGATGTTCAGTTGTTATTACTTAGATCACAAAGTGTTTTACAGTAATATTAACTCATAATCATATCAAGTCACTCACACAGCCTTTTTTGCTTCATTTATATACATGAGTAAAACTGATTAGACATTTGAATAAAATCAGTATAAGATAGAGTACATTGGAAGATCAGCAAGAAGGGCATATCTACGAATTTCTGAACATGTATCAAAACGTTTATGTCTAAAGGGAAAAAGTGTTTTAAACAGCGCCATAGTCAGGTATCTCCTTGATGCACATCATGAGGTGGACATCACAAGATCGTTCAAAATTATCAGTAGGCAAAAGAGTTCAATTCTCCTCAAGTTCGCCGAAGCAGCCTCCACCAATCCCCTGAAACATGATTTATACGTTCCGAAAGAAGTAGTTATCAGTCTTTTTTCGCCCTGGTAACTGGATATTTTCACCCCTCTTTCATCTGATTACGTAATGTCGAAAGTTTCCATTGTATATATATATATATATTTTATATATATATATATTACTGTATGCATATATTGATTGATTTTTGTTTACAAATGAACTCTGTACAAGTATGTTAAGATCGTTACTGTAGATATACTTAATAATAACTTTGGCCTGTAAGCAGCTGATGAGAAGGCAACGAAATAAATGATGGTACCATTTTATTCTGCAAAATCTGTTGTTCTTCTTTTATTCAAATAATATTAGTGTTATGAATAAAATACAATCAGATGGGAAATTAGATATTTTTATAGTAGAAATAAGTAACTTGTTAGAATGTTAGAACGTGAATTGAATACATTTTCAACATTATTTATTATTCTCTGATTTGACTGGTAATAATGTCTTCCTTATCTCTGGTATTTGCATTGAGTCATTTCTTGGCTAAAGGATCCGGTGGACTAATTTAAACAAAGTGAAACAATTTACAAAATACCTTGCAATGATTGTGAGTTAGGTGAACTACATAGGTCAAACTGGTAGATCGGGTGTAGTCAGATTGTCAGAACATAAGAATTTAGCCAAGGTTAAAATGATTGATCCCACAAAGATAAGTAACTTGGAAAAAAACCTCAGCAATCGCACTCCATGCATTAACATACAACCAAACAATAGGGTGGGAGAAGGTTAAAATTCTAAGAGATAATATAGGCGGGTGGAGAGAGAGATTGATTACTGAGTCCTGGTTCATCGAATCTACATCCAACAGATACGACAGAAATGACTCAACGTAAATACCAGAGATATGGAAGATATTTATTACCAGTCAAATCAGAGAAGAATAAATAATGTTAAACATGTATTCAGTTCACATTATAACATTCTAACAGGTTACCTATTTTTACTATAAAAAAAAAAATATATTTTCCCATCTGATTGTATTTTATTCATAACACTAATACTATTTCTGAATGTACTTCATCTTATATTGATTTTATTCAAATGTCTATTCAGTTTTACTCACGTATATAAATGAGGCAAAAGTGTTGTGTTCGACTTGATGTGATTACGAGCAGTAATAGTTTGTGCTCAAAACGTCATTAATCAATATTACTCTACCACACTGTATGATTTATCAAAATGAAATCTTATCCATAATGAAGTTATACGGTACCGCAGTGCCCAAATTTTATACTTATTAGCGGTTACTTAGATTTGTACGTTCCCCATCTAACAAGTAAACATAGCATAGATACTCAGCTTTGGAATAATTATGAGAGCAATTCTAGTGTTCTGTGTTTTCTGGTAGAGGTAAATGGATGATAAATTTGATACATTAAGACTATTGAAATTCTTATTCTTTTCCACTTAAATATTTTTCTGCCAACCTCACTTCATATGAATTAACCTGTGTACTGTCTGAACAATATACGATTAGGTACAATATTGATGCTAAATATTTCAATTACTTATATGTTGGATATGTTCCCAGAGTCAACTTTACATGTAATAAGGAAGTTTGGTTTATTATAGACTCTAATGAGACCACTTATTCCACTGGGATTACTAGTTTTAGTCTCTTAAATGTATCATTTTGAACTTATGCAAAGTCGACTTCATTCAGAACACTGCATCACGTGTGGATATTTTGATTTTACTCATAACCATATCTACAGGTTTCTTAATCTCCTCCTACAGACGGATTTAGCCTATCCTTGTCTATTTTGTGAATTACTTTTGCCATACTACTGAACTGTCAGACTAGGATGAAACAGCTTCTTGGATTTCAATGATTCTCTATCCAACTAGTATGGGTTCATTGGGAGATCCTTAAAAAATCCAGTATCTAAATAGTAGGATAGTTACTCTTGTTATTGTTCTCAGAAAAGCTTAAACTTGCCTCTTCTCCTGTACAAATATTCTTCGTCTGATTTTATCCTGTGTACTTAAAAAAAATACTAGGTGGGCGAAGCGACATAGCAAATAAGAATGATATGCAATTTGAAAATAAGTACAAGTTGTATAGTTAACAGTGAAGTTTTATTCCAATTGAAGTAATTTGATGATACTATTTTTGTATTTCTGTTTATTTTCGTCTTAATTATAGCCAGAAAATATATTCTTTACTGACCAATCGAAGCAACGTATTGCATTGGCTGATTTAGGACCAATACAGACACCAGTGGGTGATAAACCTGTTCGTTTATCATTCCGTTCTATGGTGTACATCCCACCAGAATTGACTAGTTCTATGCCGATTAGTAAATCAGCACGAATCGGACAATCTGCTGATATGTGGTCGTTGGGTCTGTTACTCTATCAAATGTAAGTGATGATTCTAACTAGTAAATAACTGATGGCTGTATTATGTTATGCTAATGTCCAGTGATGACAGGTTTTCGACTGTTGAAAATTTAAGTTCACAGATGAGTTTTGTGAGATACAAAATTTTTGATATTTGAAATGAATTGGTACTCTTTAAGGTCAACGTCTAACAGTACTGGAGCCTATCCGGCAGACAGTAAAAATCACAGTATGGGGAGGCTAAAGAAGTTAAATGGAACTGGCGTTTAACTTAGGATGAAAATAACTGTCACACTCACCAGCCTAAAATGGCGGCTCTATTTCAGTTATTTACTGTTGTCATAATTTTTTCTATTGGCCTTATTTAATAAAAGTAATTAAATTATTACACAGGACTACTGGTGATACAGAAGGATTACCAGAGCCAGAGAAACTTGAAAGAATGCACTATTCTTCAAAAATGGTCGATTTTACCAAACGTCTACTGCATACTGATCCTAAAAAGCGAATGACAGTTCAACAAGCATTACAACATCCATGGATAACAAGCATGACAAGTAATAGATATGATACAGTTGAAGATAGTGATAAAATTAAGCCTTTATCACTGCCAAGACCACCATCATCAAATCTATCACGAAATCTTGAATCACAATTACACGATGAAGTTATTGAAGATGATATAGCTGAAAGAATCAACAAACGTGCTTACACAAGACTTCTACGCTGGCTAGACGCAAGTTATATACACGACAGTATTGATAGTGAAACAATTGAAACCTCAGCTATTCGTAAAACATCAAGAGGATCTATTCTGGAATCACGTCAACGTTATTACAATGATTATCCAACTTCATCATCAAAAGAATCTGAAGAGATTGTTGTACACGCTAGAATAACACCACGTGGACAAGCACCTGAAATATTGACACCTATGGGTTCAGTTACTGCAGCAGAAGGCAGTACAACAATGTTACGTTGTGCAGTTTACCTACCGAAGACAAGAAAATCATCACATCCAACTGATCAAATGAGTGATTTACAGATACGTTGGTCATTAAATGGTCGAGAATTAAATGTTGGTCATCCATTACCATCACTGAAAAGTCCACCTACACAGCATTATACATGCACTTACGATACAGAGACTGGTGACATTAAACTGCATATCAATAATGTTACAGTATATGATGCTGGTACATATGAAGTAACTATTATCGGTAGATATGGTCAAGTATCGGATTCAGCAAACGTCAAGGTTTATGGTAAGTAATGCATTAATTGTTTCGAAATATAGTTAACTTAATAGAAGCTCATTGTCATTGTAAGACTGAAAAATATTATCCCATTTGATCTAATCCCGTATTACTTTTGTTTGGATTCGAACTGACTGCATTCCAACGTTTTATGTCAAATAATCTCCGGTAAACTTGTAAGTACGTACCGATAGGTGTGAATGAGCATGAAATGGGATTTAGTATCATAAGATCTTACATTTTAGCCAGGTTGAACACTCATTAAACAAATCTGTACTGAATTTCAACATAGATCTTTACACAGATGTTCAGCAGTCCAAGTTGCAACACAAAGATAAAGAAAAAAAGAGGAAAGAAAATTCAAAAAAAGAAAACTGTAATGACCAGAAATGCATGGGATAAAGAAATGATAGTAGGGTTTAATGCGTTCGAGAGGTCACAAAGAGTAAATGCATTTGCGCCACTGAGAACAGTTTCAAACCATATCACCAAACCAAACTCTAACTTATCCAGAAGTGAATATCGCTTCTATGACATTCAATCTTTTACTTGTCTTGATTAGAAATTTGCGACCGAGAGTCGAATAAAATAGCCCAAAGATACCCTACACACATTTCGCCAGTATTTCTAGAATTTTATACAAAAATCATTTGATTCTTTTATTCGATTATAGCGAACAATATAATCTATGGAGAGGTAGATTTCTGTGCTTAAAGCATAGTTGACCAAATTCATATTGGAACTCTAGAATCGTTTATCTATGTGCCTAGTCCCATGAAAAAAATAATATTTGTCTACCTAACCACGAATTATTCAGTCGAGCTCTTGTTATTCTGTGCAAACAACAGTTAAGCAATAATAACGTTTGTAACAATACATTCGATAAGAATAAGTCAGTTGAATGAAGTTCACAAAAGCAGTCTAAGTCTTTTCATGACAGGTTACACGATTTTATCACGAGACGAGAGTCATTGAAAAACCATCTGGGAGTACTACCAGACAGCTTTTCAGTCTTTCTAGTTTGGGACTCTTCACAGCAATAACCACCCACCGCTAGGGTTAAAACCCATGACCTTCTGGTCCCAAGGAGAGCAAGCTCTTAGACTATTCAGTCACTGGGACCCAATTCAATGGGCCATAAATTTCAACTTCCGCCAATTTCCCAATCAAATCAAATCCCTGCCAATCAACACCTGTTTATCTTTTCATGATACTTATAATTTTCTGTGGTAGTTATTCACTCTTACTAGGTGCAATTCTTATAAAATAATAAGTGTAATTACTTATAATGGTTTGAATATCATTCGTTTAATTTCCTTCTTCTCCTTCTTCTTATTATTACTGTTATTGAAATTAACGTTTTACGTCTTACAGAATCGACTCCACGTTCCAGTATTAAATCAGATGTATATGTAACAAGTGAATTGGGTGCACGTATTTTATTACCACTAGTCGATATGACAAGTACACATGGCAGTAAAATACAAATGAAGGCTAAGGGTAAGTGTAATGCTGAGATCGTATTTTTGAACTTTTTCTTTTTTTTGATTTTACTGAACTATGTTGATATGTCGGCAAACAGTACGGATGTTTCAGTGTTACCAGCTTATTAAGCCCAAGTAAGGTGAAACGTATCTCCAGAGTTCCACTGCTACCGACTATACACTAAATAAGTGTGATGTTAGCTAGAAAAAACAACTGATGCATGACTTTTTGTGTAAATATTATTTTATTTTCTGTATAAACTAAAGTCAACTTTCAATGAAACCATGTTGTGATCGAGTCCATGGACTGAAATTTGTTCGTCAATAAATTAATGTCCAGTCAGGTAACAAACACTGTGTAAAAGGGGACGTATAGTTCCTGACTGGAATTAGTACGAATAGTGACACGATTATATTCAAACCTTGTCTTGTCTCGTATTGATTGTTTGTTTCTGTTATGTTTTACATATTTGTTTATTTCGTATTTTTCAAAAGGAATCGGAAGTTTCTTTTCTGTTGAATACATTATTGGTCATATTACTTATGTTTGCAGTTTGCGTCACTTACCTGTACATCTTGATTGTTACTCAGTCTATCAATGAATAATGTTGAGGTTATTCTGTAAAGGTGTTGTCTTTAGATGAATCCCACTAATTCCCAGGTCCTTTCAACCATATCCATATGGTATTTTACAGACCATAGCCTGGTAGGCTCATCATACTTGAATGAAACAATTTACTGTTCAGCTAGAAGTCATACACATGTGAGCTGAACTGAAATAAACCGTCAAACTAGGATTATATACAAATCGTTGGGAAAGTTCGGTCCCAGAAATTTTACATCAAGACTTAACGTACGAGAGATCGCCGTCAGAGTTAAGATTTCATGTTTGAACAAAACTTCAAAAACTTTACTTGAAAAAAGCCGTGTATGACCCAGTTGTGTCATCATGCAACATTAATTCTTCTCCTTTTCCTGGTACTCCAAGAGGTTGTCACCTTTCTTGGTGTTACCTGACTCCCACTCGGAACTAACCTTTATTTGTCAAATAAAAACCGGCAGAATTCAACACTAAAAGTTAGCTCTTTCTTCAACTGAAAATATTCAAACCGTTTCTCATTGATATATATATATATATATATATATATATATGCTATCAAGCAATTTTTTAGTCAGTTAATTCTTCTTTACAGTCTGCGGAATCCCACTTCCTCGATGTACATGGTTCCACAATGGTATACCGATTACCGGTTCATCACGTCGACGATTCTACCAGGAAGAATTAAATGGTCCATCAGCTTCTGAGTTAATGCTAAAACTTGAAATATCTGAAATTACTACGGCAGATGCTGGACTCTACTCTTTAGTAGCTACAAATAAGTATGGATCACAGACATGTTCCGCAGTCGTCGAAGTATTCGGTAAGCGATGTTGTGATTATTCTATTCTATTCTACTTTTGATATCATTTCTCGCATAACAGTTAAGTGTTTTCCAGTAGTAAGTACAGATGGCATCTGCTGGATGCTTGTATCAGTCAGAAATTTGTTATTTCAAGTCAAGTTATCCTGATAGTTAATCAGTTTTCTCTTAACATGTAAGTACGGAAGGCACACAATTTAAAGCGTACTTGACAGACTCTTGCCAAGGTTACCTTTTCGTGGTGCCAACAAATACCACCACAGTATTTGTACGCTTCAATTTAGTTTACAGGTATCATAAATCTTCTTAAATTTACCTACGAAATGACTATAAAAACAAAAGTAGTGAAGAGAAACAGCTATACTTGGTTAGTTAATTATTTGTCTAATAAGTATGCGTTGGTCGAGTGTTTCATGACATTTTAACGACGCGGCTAGCCTAGTTGTGTTTTATGCAGAGCTAAAATCCCTCCTTTTTAATTACTATCTGAAATGTATGTGCAAACAAGAAGAATTAACTACTAGGTTAGACAAAGAATTTCCTCCATACTTTCCAGAGAAGTAATTATATTTACTGAATATTTACCACCAGTACTGCCATATTCTGACGAATAAAGCTAGACAATTCAATGTTGTGATTGTTTATGCCGTATTCAGGTAATTCGACGGGTGGGTACTTTAGCCTTATTCACTGGAATGGTGAGGAGAAACACTTAAGTTCCTTTAATCCTACCGAATCTTTTTTAGACTTGAATTTTTGTTCCTTTATATCGAAATAGGTATGATAAAAAGTGGTGACTTCTTCAGTCCAGCTGGCATATACATGTATAACTGTCTAACTCCTGTCAGTACTTTTTCAGTACATGAGCAGGACTCAATTAAATTTTGATTCAATGGGAACACAGGATTTATTTTCATTGGATTTATTTTTATGCAACTATTTATTATTTTTTTATAGCTTCTCTTGATGAAGGCTTTGAAGCACCACACTTCTTGAAAGAGTTGACAAGTATTACAGTTGTTGAAGGAAGTGCTGCACGTTTTGAAACATGTGCTCGTGGTCAACCGGCACCAACAATCCGCTGGTTAAAAGATGGAAAACCGTTATTAACAGATGGTGTACGCATAAGTGTTTCACAAACATCTATTGAAAGATCAGGTACTAATACATCTAGTCATACACTTTTAATACGTGATGCTATAACACGAGATAGTGGAACGTATACATGTATTGCAGCAAGTTCAGCTGGTACAGCTATCACAGAAGCTGCATTGCACGTAAGAGGTGAGTTCGTTCAGTCAACATAATCTTCTTTTAACACTTTTCCTGTATATAACCAATATTTGTTGGCTTCACAGTTATAGTAAGTGTGAATAGATTCATTTCAACCTAGAAATAATACCAATAATACAAGTTGTATAGGCAGTTACTTATGTTCAAAAATGCCTTGTTCAACAATGGAAGGAGGGAAATTAAGTATCGCCACCTATTGATTATATAAATTATTTAAGAATAAAACTTGGGCATTGTCGTAGAGTATAACTCCATTGTGGATAAGATTTTATTTTGAATAAATCACCCAGTGTTATACAGTAATATAAAATCTTATCCATAATGGAGAAAATTTAAACTATTTAAGTCTTTTTAATCGTCATTTTACCTGTGTTACTCTGAGGAGAGACCACCATGGTGTGGTGAGTACTACTGATAAGATTTATCAGTAGTATATAAAGAGACGTTCAAGGCATAAGAATATCAAACAGCAGGGAGATATCTTTGATATCAGAAAAGGCAAATGATGCAGCATTGTGGAGGTACAAGGTAGACGCGAAAAAAAACATGAAGGAACACAATATGAAGGACAGAAGAGCCACACCAAGAAGATCTGTGCAAATGGTCCGTTGAAGATAAGGCGTACATCATTTAGCTATATATAGAGACTCCATTTCAACAATACCTTCTCCTGCCACACTCGGGATATATTGAGACAACTTCTAATTTCGCTAACTACAACATGAAAATGAAAGGTCTAATAAGTTCGTTACTAAATCCGTATGGTTAACGTGATTTCGGCTAGTTATTCAAGATACAGTATGTGCACTTGCTAAAGTAGGTTTTAGATTGACTGCACATTTCAGTCATAAGTTTTATAACACTCAAGATTTGTGAACCACGTATACGTCGAAATACAGCTGGCAAAGTTCAACAATAGCGTCCCAAGGGATGCGAACGCACGAGTGACCTTCAGGCAGCCAATCATAAAAATGAAGAATTTTTGCACGAAAAATGACGTATATTCACAAGAAAGTGCATGAAAACACATTAAACGGATTATATTTCTCTGATATGACTTAAAAATACGTTCCAGTTGCGATGAAGAGTATCAGTTGCTAATTTGGACTAGTTTCTGTAGATGTATTCACCAAAGTGACTGAAGGTGTGCTGTTTTGGGAATGGTTCATCTCTCTTCTCTTGCTGTGTAGTCCTCTCCTAAGCCCTCGGTTTAGTTACTATGGTTCCAGTAAGAGCATTGGCGACTACATACAAGGGAAATAAGGATAATAAAAGAACTTGAAATAAACGAAAAATCTATTCCTAATCGCTACCCTAACCCTAACCCTAAACCCTAACCATTGTGCCACCGACGCACACAATGACCGTAACCCTAACCACAAAACTCGCCTTAACCCCTATCCTAACCCTAACGAGATGTTAACACATTGTCCAAACAGTAATAAAAGTGTTATCTGGGTGAAACTTGCTCCTTAATTGATGAATAGGGTTGATATTTCAGCTATGATAATGATAGGAACCGTTAGCCAACGACTAGCATGCATTCAAGGTCATTTGAGCGTTGAAGGTTTTGGGACGCTATTGTTAAACTTTGCAATACAGCTTTGAATACTTCGCGTCATAATGAAGTCGTTTGTGATTATTGTCTCGGTTAATTATTAAATCATTTTTAAACCAATCATTTGTTTATGTTGGTCAATAGGCATTATCAATTTTTTAGGTGTAGATGAGGTGGAAACAAGAGATTAGAAATCTTCAAGACAATTGACTAGTAAATGTAGGCAACAGATTGCTAGTCAACAAGATACCGAAATTTTGAGACGGGAGAGGGGTTAAAATAATTACGGAATCGAAGATCAATTAATTAGTAGGGGTTAGCAACGATTTATTACATAGTCAAGGAATTTACGAAATAATGGTAACTAATAAGAATTACCTAAGAATACCAAGACGTAAACAAGTTAGTTGAATTAGGTTGAATAGTAGTCATAATGAAATAATAACCAATTCGAATGATAGTTGCTATAGGAGAGGGAAATCATTTGTTTAATTTAATACACACTATGCAGTCGGCCGTGGCAAACAAAGTCACCGCACAGATTTCTTTTGAAAGTACAGATGTGGCTTGTTTAGAGGAATCCAGACTGCCTCTTCTGTATGTAAACGTAGAGCATACAAAACGTTGAGTGAAATACGACAAATAACTTTAAAGGCTTTGTTAGTGTCAACCTGATTGTCCACTATCGACAAGATGAGCTAGTGTTAATTACTTGTTGAAATCATTTTTATTTTCTGTTTTTAGGATTATTTGGTCGTGGAGGTCATATGGGTTCAGACATGCTTAACGGTGGAATTCGACATCGCCACCCTGAGTTTACACGCCGTCTCCGCAATCAACAGGTTAATTTGGGCAGCACTATACGCTTAGCAGCATCAGTATTGGCTCAACCATCTGCAACAATAGTTTGGGAGAAAGATGGTGCTGAAATCCCCACAGAACCGTCTAATGACCCAAGAATTACTGCTAAGGTCAGTCGGCATAACATAAAAAGCAATTTTTTGAGTGGTATTCAAACCAGTTCTTTTTTCATGAAGTGTATGTGCTGCACATATATTCTGAATGTTAGGCGTTTTGTCGAAATTGATTTGTTTCACGCTTCACTTCCATACTATTTCCTTTGTTCGTGATTTAAAATTAGATATAGGAATGTAAATTAGAGATTGAAAGGAAAACTAAATGACAGAGAGATTTAAAACTAGTTTCCTTCATGTTGTCGACGCGTAGTGAATCCGTAACTGTATTGATAACATCTCAATCTCATTTCAGTTGTCCATCGTCTTACACAAGGGGGTATATCGATGAAGAACACTGGCAACTGTTACTTCTTCAGTACCTAACTGCACTTTAATATGAATAGTTTTTAAGAATGAAAACAAGCAGACTTATCTGATAATCATTTATCTGTATATATCTTTAACTTCTGACATAATAACATCTAAATTGAAATAATCAAATTGCTAAATAGTAGAACATCTGTTTCAATTCGCTTTCCGCCTTTTTGCTTTGTTCATCTTCCTTTTACAATTTAATATAATAATCTGCTATATTTCAAAAACAGTACTTATAATACGGCAGGTAGATTATTTTTTAGTGGAGTGGTGTGTACACACACATACATACGCACACACACACACTCTGTTTTACAATATGCTTCGCTTGAATATGCTTCAGTGTCAGTTGGCTTGAAGAGGTGTTATCAGAAGACATTGTATGTCTAAGATTTAAGTATAGTAATACATACGCCTTAATACAAGATATAAAGGAGTTACACTACATTAAGAGCTAAAACACTCTTTCAAGGCTCAGGTCTAATCTTCACTTCTGTTTGTTTTAACACTTAGAATAGTGTCTCCTTTGTTTTAGTGATGAATATGCTAGTCAACTTGGTCGACTACTAACTAAACCCAAAAGTTTCCACTGTATTGTTTAGTCTTTTTTGACATAAAGTTTATTCTTTTGTTTTTTTTACATCTATTTGCTTTTAGAACCATAGCGGTCATCTGGAACTACGTATTGAAGATGTTAATAAGGACGATTTGGGTCGATATACAGTTATTGCATATAATGCTGCAGGTGAAGCTCGTTGTTCGTGTATTCTGCAAGCGACCGCTATAATGGAGATTCAAGTGCCACGATTTACTAGAGAACTTAGAGATTATACTGCTTTAGAAGGCACAACACTGTGCTTAGAAGCGACAGCAGTCGGTGAACCGATACCTGAATTCAAGTGGTAAGTATGAAGGATCACTCCAATCGAGTTGAACATATTTTATGTTTAACTGAAGTGAGAAAGCGATTTCATGAAATATTATGCTTAAGAAAAATCAGTTCTACAGCTAACAGGGATGCTATTTATCTAGTTGAATCACTTTTGTGATAAGTTATGGGATGGAATTCGAGTGGTTAAATGAATGATCTGATATCAAGACCTCTAGGCGACGTTAAACTATCATAGCCGAAATCGCAGTGACCTTGAACAATCAATCAGAACCCAGATAAAAAAGGTTACATAACCGTTGCGTCGGTGGCACAGTGGTTAGGACTCTTGCCGACCATGCACATGGTCCGAGGTTCGATCCCCTGCCGACGCACACCTGATATCTATAGTTGGCCTGCAAAATTTGGGCTACCGATATCCATGCTAAAAATTCCATACTTGTACCAAAAATACAGTGTGAAATCAAGCTGTAATCAAAAATAAAAATACTAAAACTTCACTGCGAACATGATATTACACCATATAATTGCCGCGCATGAGTTGCAAGAATGCCTGTCAGTTACTACACAGATGATCTATACAGAAATCGTACCATGCGCTATAGACGCATCCATCCAGGTGACTACAGCTCATGGTACTTTGAGATCAAATGATATTTCTGACAGCCTTCCTTAAACTACTCTTGACTCTAAACATAATCCTAGCTTTAACCTTATTTCCAACCTTAACCCCAGACCATATGTATATAAGTTTGACAGAGAGTGGAAATACTAAAATGCTGTAATATTGGTTTTTGGGATTATGAGTCACAAAGTCCTGGCTTTATTTTACGTATTCCTAAAGCCTCTGCTGTACAAAGCAAATGCACTGCTATCCCTATCGGCAAGCTTTGTCGGACTTTGTAGACTAGATTAAACTAAGTGTTAGGTGCTGCGTCATCAGTATCTACAATATGTTGCAATATCGATGAATTAATACCTGCACGTTCTCCTTTGCTCAACCAAACCGGGAGTTGCTCTCTAACGCGGCGGGATATATTTCTCGACGAACTTCTTGTACTCCTAGCTACACTCAATGTCAAACCTTAACATACATATATGCGATTGTACAGCTATGAAAATGAAATCGTCGAAAAGAGAATTTTCTTCGCTGAATTCTTTGTTTTTCTATAATTATTCTAATATCGGTTATTCATTCCAGTTATTAAAATCGAATGTTAGCTATATACTAGCTTGATAGTTGGTTCACAGTTAGGCAGAGTGACCTTTTGTTTACAAAACTACCTTAGTCGCTCCTATTATTCTATCTAAGTCACATGTTTGTGACACTATGACTAAATTTTCAATAAATTGTCATCCATTCCTAACTTTTAGTAGCAATCAACTTGTAACAATAGAAGGGAAGACACGGAAGCCAAGTTGTGCTTTTCATTAGTCAAACTGCTGTTTATAATATCCGCAGTTTGTATTCGTTAACCAGTCATTGAGCACGTGATTTTAACTTACATAAAATGACATGAAATAGAATGTCCAAATGTACATAGTATGCTGTTGCTAACGCACTAGTGAACTATGTGGAAAGTATTGCCTCTAACATCAAACAGAATGTTCATATAGGTATATCGTATTCTGTTGTTAGTGCCAAAATGAAGTGTGGGAAAATTATTCTCACTCTAACATCAAATAAAATGTTCAAATTTGAGATATTGTATTCTGTTGTTAATGCCATATTGAACCGTGGGAACATGTGAGAATAACGTTCCGTTGGCACACATTGTCTGTATCATACCACCATATTTGTGGTATAGTTAAAGTCTGAAGTGTAGACAATCCACTTCATTTTGACTCGCCTACTCTGTCGGAAATGCAGTTATGCTCTTAATGATTTTGGGTGATCAAGACCACAGTTGGAAATTGTAGTCTCCATGATAAATTGACGCTATTACACATCATAAATCTGTTGATTCTTTAGAATGCAGTTACATGTATCTGTAATGTATTTAAAGTAAATTTATATTTTAGTCAGTGTTATACATCAATAACTTCAATCTCACCATTTTCACCTCATTCACTCATTCAAGGGAGAAAGATGGCTTCGAAATACTACCTGATGAATCTGGTCCACCGCATATTATACCTGGTACAAATGGCAGTGGTTTAGCTTATCTACGTATTCATAATGTACGCAGTTCAGATGCAGGTTTATATCGATGTACTGCTTACAATAGATTCGGTCGTGAAAGAACAACATGTTTTGTATATGTTGACCCAATAGGTCAGAAAGGTGAAAGACGACCAGGAATGATGAATGGATCATTTACTACAGCCTATCATCAGTCTACAGATTCTTCACTGTCATTACTGTCTTCACATTTATCTGAAAGTGGTGCAAAAGCATCACCACATGACCATGCAGATTCACCTAAGCTAACTGGATACATAAATGTGTTACGCTCACTGCCGAAGGCTATTGAAGTTGAAGAAGGTGATCCCATAGAACTGACATGTCAGATAAATACAAATCTACATTACATTCGTAAGTGTTTATTATGCAGTTGTTGTTATTTCCCTTCTGAATGATGTTTATTTTATCCTTTGTGACACTAACTCCTCCTTTTCGACTGTGAAGACTGATAATTATTCTTGCAGAATCACAGTAAATTTGTTTGGCAGTTGTCTCAGCAAGTGAACCTAAATTGTTAGTAGTGGCGAAATGCGTGTCCATACACGTGACAATGACACCTTCTAGTTTTTTTTTCAGTTGGATTCAAGTTTGGACGAATAACTTACCTATTAAAGTTCGAGCTTTTAGATAGATAAGGTACACGTTGATGGGAAGCGGCGACATATGAATGCTTTTCACATAATGTACACATAATATATCATTCGATTGTGCTTTATCACCTAGCTTTGAAAACTAAAAGTAAATCACTCCAATGAGAATTGGTTACTTCTCCACTGATTTCAACGGAACGTCTCTTACAGGTGATATAACAACTAGGGTAGGTGAAGTGAAAATGAGAATTTATAACTACTGAAAGTAGTTTTTGAGTATGTGTTTGCAAACTGATCAGCTCGTTTTGCTCAAAGTAGCTCACAAAATTCCGGCCAATTTCATGAAACTCGTGATAGAAGTTATTCAGTTCCCGCTAACCACTAAATTGTTCCCCGTGATTAAACACAGGGCTTCAAACGAGATCTTTGAAGTTTCGGTAGTAGCGGTTTTACTTTTACGGGATGGGGTTTCTAACCTTATGCTCAACCTTCCCTCTTTACCAGTCCTATTGCTGGCTTAGTGGGATGAAGGAGTGAGTCGGCCGGGGATCGAACCCTGAACCACCTGTGTGGTTGGTGAGCATTCTACAGCCATACCACTTACGCATCTCATTTAAATTAGCATCTGATAACACACTGAGAGCAGTTGTAAGAGGTTGACCATATACTCTGGTGTTTTTAGATCATACAAAAGTCTTGCATTGTAAATTGTGAAAAGATTAGTCGGAATTGCATTTGACCAACTGGCAATGGATGTACAGTATTTACGCTGGAAAACTTCTTATCCCACTACTATAAAACTTAGATGTGAATTCCACAGGTTCGAGTCATTATGAAGCCTAGTTAAACCAAAATATCTCAGAGACAAGTAATATATATCTATTCGATGAGTGCGAATACTTCTGTCTGTCTGTTTTTCGACATAGAACTTTGCACATATGTGCGGCGGTTCAAGTCGCCACAGCAAATACTTCGATTGAAATTGCAGTATTCATACAAAATAGGATTGGAATTATGGAGAGTATTCGCATACTCATGTATACAGAGGCAAAGTTGAACCACTAGGGGCCCAAGGGATGCGAACACACGAGTGACATTGGGCCTACCACGAATAAAAATAAGTGATTTTTGGACGAAAATGATGTTTATTTACCAGGAAATGCATGAAAACATATTAAACAGGGTATCTTTCTCTGACATGACTTAGAAATATGCCCCAGTGATAATGAGGAGTATCAATTTTTAAATTAGACCAGTTTTTTTTACATGTATTCACCGAGGTGACTTAAGGCGAGCTTTTTTCCTGTTTTGCAGTCTTCCCCAAAGCCTTCGTTTGAATTATTATGGTTTCCAGTAAGAGGAACGACGACTACTTACTTGGAAAATGTGGATAATAAAATAAATTAAAATAAATAATACCGACTCTAAATCTATCACTAATGGTAACCCTAACCCTAATTATAACCCTGATCTTAATCCTAACCCTAATGAGCCACTAAGGCCTTGTCGAAACACAATAGTTAGAAACGAGATCACGGTGAAATTTACACCTTTACATTGGCTCCATAATCATGGTTAGTCCCGTTATCCAACGACTAGCATGCGTTCAAGGTCATTGGAGCGTCCGCACTCCTGGGACTCTATAGTTTAACTTTGCTCACACAGACAACTATTGTTTGCTATTGTAGTTTCTAAAAATAGGTCTTCATTCGGCTACTGAATATTTCTAGATGTTCAAAACAGAAGAACTAGAAATGTCCGTGTTAAGTGATCATGGCATCAGTTGTACAGCAGCCTAAGACATCTCATTTAGTTCATCTTAATGTGATTACTGATAGTGAATAAATACTGCTGAAACCATACTATACCATATTGTACCAAGTCAAATAAATGTGCATAATAAAGTATAAGTTTTTGTAACTTTTCTGACTGCCAAATTTATTTCTAATTTTTTTTTCCAGCCACATGGAGTAAATCAGGTCGAACGTTAACTTATGATGGTCGTAGAAGAATAACACGTAGTAAAGATGGTGAACTTACACTGGCTATTGATCACGCTATGTCAAATGATGAAGGACGTTATACACTGACACTGGAAGCATCCGATGCGAATGCACCGAAAGATTTAGAGCCTATTGTGCTTGCTACTCGTGTTGAAGTTAGATCGAAACAGAAATCACGGTAAGCTCATCTGATTTCTACAGTAAAGTAGTCATTGTATACGTCTCATAGTTGTATGAAGGATTTCTGGTCCACTTGAAGGTTGTATAAGTGCCAAGGCATTCTCATTTGTAATGAGATACACCAAAGTGAAATGTGATAGTGATGAATAGGCTTTCGGCATAAAATGACGTTTTGTATTTGAGAGTATGATAAAACTTTTACGAGTAGCAGGGGGGATATTCGCAATTCTACTGATATTCTCACTCACATAATATTTTGCTGTCCAAACCAAGGATATGTTATTTAGATCTGTCGATAGTTATCGTAGTTATTTTACATACATCAGATTACAGCTGGCTAGCAATATAAAATAAAATATCTAGGGTTGCTTCCAATATCCATAGTACTAGCGAGATTTAATGCTTATTTTTTTTACTAATATTAGACTGCATGCTATGAAAGTCGAACAATTGTGACCCTACTTAGTCTATCACCAAGACACAGGTTAGTCTAAATTTTAACCTTAAATCTTCAAAAAAGAAATGTTTTTTTTTTACTAATTATTGAACATATTGTCTTGTCTTGTCAATGTTCTTTATTATCTCAGTTATGATACAAGTTCTCGTGGATCATCTCGTGCTAATTCTCGAGCACCAAGCATTACAGCTAGTCGAAACTCTAGAGAGCCGTAATAATCAATACGGGATAAAAGAAATATACATATATACATGCACAAAACATTTGCCTTAAAAAGTATGCCCAACAGTAGTCAATCAATGTTAACAAAATAGGATATCATTCTGTACGCTTAAAACCATGAGATGTTTTCAATAATAAACACTTTTCAATATTGCTCATTTTAATCAAGTAAAATTCTTCTAAATGACTACAGAACAATGTGAAGTTATGAGCTTGGAAATTAATTAGTCGAACAGAAACTGCATAATTAGGATACAACTGCTTCTAGATTTAATTTTCAGATCTTTGTATGTTTAAAACAAACAATATGGTATGACAAACAAATCAGACATGGTGATCTTCAAGTTTTCGATATTTTTCGTTTTTAATTCGTGTTACTTTTGATTGCCTATTTGACTGACACTTGAAGATTCTATGCCCCCCCCCCATATGTGAATGAATAATTGTCCAACAGTTTTATATTGTACTGATTTTGTTTGCCTGTACGCCTATATAAATTTTAATTTCTGTCGAAATTGATTAAACTTGATGTGTTTTGATTAAGCAGAAATTCGATGCCTTTTTTTGCCTAGTATATACTTATCAAGAAGAGTTGTTGTGTACACACATACCTACAAAATAACCTACTTTTACTCATAATTCGCCTACCTACCTATTCTATCCATTATTACACTTATATTAATAAGATAATTCGCTTGCTCCTGTTGTTTTCTGTTTGTTTGTTTGTATGTGTGTGTGTGTGAGTTAGTTTCCCCTTATTTTATATCTCCTGTTACTCCGTACTCTGCCTTCTATGTGTGTGTGTGTGTGTGCCTTTGATATTATTTGCCTCATCCATCTAATGATGAATTCAACTGTCTGCGGGTCTAGAAATTTCTTTTAGTGATATCTATCTTAGGGGAAAAGCATGATTTGTTTTTACTGTTCTTGTTTTGTTTTGAACACTACTTTCCATATTTCAGTTTTATGCCCTATTCGAATAAGAAGTGATATTAGCATTTGCCTGTTTACTGTTATAATATTCGTTCTCTTAATCTTACAGATACACTTGTGAACCCTACAGTGGTTCTGTTGTTGTTGTTGTTCTTCTTCTTCTTCTATTTCCTCTGTCCTTATACTCCTAATTAAGATTAATGTTACTTTACTAACAAAGTCCTGTATTCATTCATCCATTCAGTAAACAAATAAATAAATAAATATTTACCTGATAAATTAACATACAGTTTTTTCTTTTGGTGCCTGAGAATTAATACTGCGTGATATTATTCTACACCGGAGGAGGTTTACAGACATTCTTAACAAAAAGGATGTTTTATTTCCAATCTAGGAGGGCTGCATTTCTCATACTTCTTCAGCGCCTGATTGGCTAGTGGTAACAGGGAACAGTATTACAATAGCGAGTATCTTTAAATTGAGTACGACAGTAACCTAACAAGTTGATATTGAATGATTTAGAGGGTGGAATAGTTAGTACAGTAGTGACACGTCTGAGTACACCACACGAAGGTTATTATTATTACTATTGATTTCTTGAGTTTTTGGGTGAGTGAGATCTACGGCTTCAGCTGCATATCTCCGTAGCACTAGTGCTCAATTCTCTTTCATCACTTCCAACTGCCTACAAACTTTCATTTTCTACTCAAATAACCTTGATTTAAACCTTCGAATGCCTAATACATCATATCCAGTTCGAGTTTTGCTTGACTGCCTAGCGTGTGATGACACTCAAAGGTGTCTCCTCACCTCAGTGTATGGTCAACCAATCCCTCTGCCTTTGTAGTAGCAGAGTTCCTAGTTGCTTACCATTTCCTATCAGTGACCCGATCTTCGTGATTGGGCAAAAGTGAGTGTTGATAAAAGTTTGAGGCATTTTGGAGATGCTTTTGCTGACCACGGACGGAGAAGCACAACACAGAATAATGCATATTCTAATCTTTGAGAGAACATCAATTCCACTTAGGTTGAATGAAAACATATTCAGGATTAGAAAGGTACTTATTGTTTATTAAAACACAAAATTGGTGCATTCTGGGCACCAATAGACAGATGCCCTATACAAAATCTCATAGTTTCTGCATAGGCTTGGATACTCTCCGGACGCCCAGAATGAAGCAGAGGATTAGAAAAGGACTGATTTTATTTTATGGTTTCAAAGCGTGTAATATGTAAGTGTGAACAGATATGGCACACATAAGTATAAGACAGATACATAAATTGGCATGGTGAAAAATGAGTTCAGTGAAAACAAAACACGTAGTTCAGCGAAGAGTCTCTTTTCGAAGGTGAATTCATTTTCTTAGCTGTACAATCGCAAATAGATAGGAGTTATTTTTCATGCATGTGTACATTAAGTTTTTCAAAGAAAAATACAAATGGTTGTGGTTAATTTAACTTAACAGTTGAAAATTAGTAAGTTTTGGGCAGAGTTACGTAATACAAAGACGGTTGCGAAAAGGCAGTAGTTGTGCTATAAACAGTGCGATAATTGAACACGTGATTAACACTGATCATTCGATCTCAACAAACGCCTCCTGCTTCAAAGTAATCTACAGAGTTAACAATAACCTACTAAAGGCAATACAGTTTTGTCTTCTTTGTATTGCTGAAGCTCTGGCCATTCACATAGAAAAACCGGAGCTGTGCATGCAAAAACGAGCATTACTCAACCACTTCTATTATCATGGTAACTACTCTGTTGATTTTTGAAGACTTAATTCTGTTTGTTTGCCTGTGTCTTTAACTGCCTATAATTCTCGTATTCATTTAGAAATCTTACGTAACTTCGTATTCCCTACTTTGCTCCGATGTGTATCCTGATTACAACTGAGTCATCAAAGTATTTATATTATTACGTAGTTCCATCTTGACAACTGATTATGACAACTCATCACCTTTGTTACTACACTAATTTCACTAACACTCAATTTTCTTGACCGTTTTGTACAACGTAACTCTACCCAAAATTTACTGATTCTCAACTGTTTATAGGTTTCCAGACTATAGGTGTTACGAACTTCCTGTGGCTTACACGGCGAAAAGTTCTGAAAAATCTTGTTTTGATTTTCTTAACACGCTGGGATTAGTTCAAAGAATTTATAATTTTCAACTGTTTATTTAAAACAATCGTAACCAATTGTAGTTTTGTTCGACAAAATTAATGTACACATGCATACAAAATAACTTCATATATATATATATATATATTGACGCGTCACAAAGAGCATCTCAAACAAACTTCAGACCTTCATTAACAGTTGTCTTCGCTCAATATCACTCAAGATCAGATGGCCAGAAAAGATCAGCAACAGGGATCTCTGGGAGCGAGCCAATCAGGAACCGATTGCGAGACAAATAGGCAGGAAGAAATGGAGATGGATTGGCCATACGCTGAGGAAACCATCAAGTGACATCACTAGACAAGCCATTGCTCGAGTGGAACCCGAAAGGGAAGCGGCGAGTTGGTCTTTAGTGCGAGAGTGGGGTGACTTGGAGGAGGTCATGTGAAGAGGAGATGAAAGCATGTGGGCAGACTTGGAGCCAGGTAAAAGCTCTAGCAGAGAACCGAAGGCAATGGAGACGTGCGACTGAAGCCCTATGTTCCTCTAGGAATTAAAGGAAATAATATATATATATATATATTTGCATTTGTACAGCTAAGAAAATGAATTCGTCGAAAAGAGACTCTTTACTGAACTACGTGTTTTGTTTTCATTAATGCTTGGATGGGAATTATTCATGAATTCAAAATGAGTTCAGCTAAATGATTGGAAAACAAAATTAGCAGCCACACTGCAAAGTAGACTGACTAAATTCGAACAGTCAAGGTAACTCGAGATTGATTAAATCCTAGTGAGTGATTACTGAGTTGTATTAAACAGAACGGATCTCCGCCTAGTTCCATACATTTTACACGTATACAACTTTTAATCATAAAGAAAATTGGCTTCAGGATTTCATCATGAGCTGATGTCGGTTAGAGAACCATAGGAGAGCTTGAGAGTACTGGACAGCCACTTCACAGTACACACCTACCCACCAGGGTTCGAACCCAAGATCTTCCGGTTACAAGGCAAGCTTGCAGACCATTAAGACACAGGGACCCACCAATCCAATGACCCATGAATTGCAACTTCTGTCAATTCACGCTTGATATAATTCAACCACTGGCCAATGTCATCGACGAGTATTTGTCCTCACACACGACCTGCTGTACTCCACTGATCATGACTTCTCACTTCTTCTCGAAGAAAGCCAGTGGCTAATGAGCATCAGATTAATTTTCAGGTGTTTTTTTGCAATGGTCTTCTAACGGATGTTAGCTCATGATGAAATCCTGAAACCAATCAAATCTCTACGAACAAACACTTTGGAAATTGGCTTCATTTGTCATTTGTTAATTTTGCAAAATAAAGTCTTTGTAGTTATTGTTGAAATATTAATTATACAGCCATATAAAGAGTTGTTAATATTCGTCTCCTTCATCGTAATGCAAAGAATCTTGAATTCATTCAGTTACAACTGGTGGGAAAGAGTTAACGGAGGTCAGGGTAAGTCCACAACGTCTCTGAAAATGGTCACCAGTAATGCAGATGTATTTAGTCCTTGTCATCCTGTAGATTTTAAAAATCTACATCTAATCTTATTGATTCCGTAAATGTTCGTCTATAGTGGTAGTTTCACAACATTTCACTTGAAGTTATGCACCTCAGTACAAAGTTCTGAGATGATAATTCGGAGTAATTCATTTAGTCATGCACTAGACAACGATATTCAAAGAATTATTGGCCATTACAACGTGATAATTCCTGCATAAATGTTTGTTTCAAAATCATTTGAATTATAATTAACTGATACAGATGAAAATTAGGACATAAAGAGGAGATAACTTAAACTGAGTCGTTAACCACCTGGATGGATGAACTACATTTAATTTTGACAATTACCTGAGTGTAATAAGAAGCTCCTCCATTCAAGTGACACATAAGCCTAGGAA